CCAGGACCTCGCCACCCTCCACGGCACCCTCACCCAGGCCGGCGTGACCATCTGGATACTCGGCCCCATCGCCGAAGTCTGCGCCTCCGACCAACCCGACGGCTTCTCCTGCCCCAACGGCCGCACCGTCTACTCCTCCTCCATCATCTGGGGGCTTATCGGCCCCCGCCGCCTCTACTCCGTCGGCCGCATCTACTCCTCCCTCCTGCATTTCTTCTGGATCGGCGCCATCGCTCCTGTCATCACCTGGTTCCTGTACAAGCGCACTCGCCAAAACTTCTGGAAGTACCTCAATTGGCCTCTGATCTTTGTAGGGACCTACAATGTTCCGCCGGGTATGCCCCCCCCTCTGTTTACTATTGTAGTATATCAATAATCTAATGAAACAGCAACCGGAATCAACTACTCCAGCTGGGCCATGGTCAACTTCGCCTTCAACCATTTCATCAAACGCCGCTTCTTCGCTTGGTGGACTAAATACAACTACGTCTTGGCCGCTGCGCTGGACACCGGTCTCGCTCTGAGTGGTATCGTCATCTTCTTCTGCATCTCGTACCCCGGCGCCGTCTTCCCCGACTGGTGGGGAAATAACGTATATCTCAACACGGCGGATGCAGAGGGTGTGCCATGGAAGACGATGCCAGACGTTGGGTATTTTGGGCCGCCGAATGGCACATGGACTTGATAACTCCTGTATTAACATTAGCCCATAATACGTGAAGAATGAACTCAGGCCCTGCATTATTACGCTTAGATCCTGCTACTGAAATGGCGTTTTCAGATTTCATTCGCAAACCCATAGAGCATATTAAATACATTCTGATCCCCTCGCATACCATACGCAGCCAAGAAATGAACCATGGTGAAAAGCTGAAACAAAACCGAATTAAACATAACACACTGAGATAATAAAATACTGGACCACGAGTCCAAGAGCCCGAATGACGGGCGAAAAGCAATCCGTTAAAACGAGGTATAACCTGTCTCCATCGACTAAACACTAGAAGGTATCATGAAAGGTTCACTAAACATCGTTAGCATCACATACTCTGGGCATCTACCGTGATCACTTACCGAGATCTCAGCCATTCCCGTATCCTCACCACCGTTGGTGGCGGGCTGCGGGGCAGTTCCATTGGCGGGTGCGTTGCCCTCAGCAGGGGCGTTTTCGTTGCCAGCGAAGTAGTCGACCATTTCGGCGTCCAACTCCTCCACAGTCTTGGGCTTAGGGCGGCTCGTGTTACGACCACCGCCACGACGGGCACGACGACCCCGACGGGCATTAGCAGTCTTGGTAGCTGTGGCGGGCTTCGGCTGGGGCTTGGTTTGTCTATAACATATGAGAAATCAATCATTACGGACGGCCACGTGGAGGGTAACTTACGCGACACGCTCACCAAGAGGCTTGGGAGCAGGGACTTCGGGAGCGTGCGAGGCATCGACAACAACCTCGATCTACTCACATTAGAAAAGCGATAAAGAATGCATTTGGGAAACTCACCTTCATAGGTCTCCCGTCAACGAGCAGGCCGTTCAAATCCTTAGCAGCCTTGGCGGCCGTGTCAGGCTTGCTGAAGACAATGGAAGCGATACCCCGGCTGGTACCATTTTGGTTGTACGTGAGCATGACACGCTTAACAGGCCCTGCAGATTTAGAGAAATATTCCTAAAGCCAGCATATAGAATCAGTATATCGGCTCTGAAGTTGAGTGATGAAAATGCGAAAACGCCGGCGAGGCCAAAATATCGAGACGCGCGAAAGGCCCTCCAATTTCCGTAAGAAAGAGCATCAGCGAGCACACAGCGGTGGTTAGTGATAAGCAACGAATCTCCTTTAGGGTCGAAGTAACGCAATCGAGTCCAAACGTGGAGCCACAAACAGCCGAGTCGAATTTCCCTCCAACAGGGCTGCTAGAACCTTCCGATTGAACATGTTGTCATATCTCCATCCCCCGATCCCACCAGCGACGTCCGATACGCTGAAACCCTAAGTACCAAAAGCGCTGTGAATAAGCACAAGGCTTAAACCGACTGTTCCCCACCAAGAAAAAAAAACCACAGTCGAAAAGGTAAGGTCCCTTGTGCGGCGGGGATAATAGTCGTTCTCAGACTTTCCCAGGGTACCTCAAATATGTCCATGATAGGACGAAGCAAGACGCTCACTAGTCTCGACAGGTTGTATGACGGCGCTCTTCATCATCTGGGGGCGATGTTCCCACACGCCAAATACCCTGGAGACAGGTGCATATTTCATTGCAATATAAAACGACTCGTTGGTTGCTGGTCTGCTGATGCGCTCGCTGATGCCCGACACCCGAGATGCGTACTACAGGCGCAGCTAAGCGGAATGATCATAGGAATCTTGTTCCTAACTAGTTTCCACAGCACAGTCCTCTGCGTCACAAACGAGCAGGCATTCTCAACAGAATCCGCCGAGGCAGGATGTGCTGTTGCAGGACTTGGACAGGACTCGACTTCGGTCGCTTCTCGCATGGTTCCAATGAGTTCATTGCGTGCGACATGCTGCGAAGGAGTGCACTGTCTGTGCAGGAGACCAGGACAGCCAATATGTAGGAAAGGCGTGACAAGAGTCGGAACGCGTGCGAGTCAAAGGCCGATGGCGCCTCGAAGGTCTCGATAAAAATAACACGGCGATAGAAACCCAAGGCGATGGCCTTTCGATCAACATACCTTGATATTGGCCTCGTTCACATCCGAAGGCTGCAGGTTGTTAGTAATGAGAACGATGGGGAGGTAGGGACAGAAGACATACCAAGCCGCTGACCATGATCTTGCTCTCGTGGGAAACGGGGTGTCCATTGGGAACAACCTTTCCGGCAACCTTGGCAGCCTTCGTCGATTTCTTCACTCCTCCAACCGGAACAGTGGCGGTGGTAGCCTTGGAAGTGGCCGACCGGCGAGAACGGCGGCGCGCGCCCTGGCGACGGTTGACGAGGATCTCGTCGAGAGACTTGTCGAGCTTTCCAGACATGTTTGTTGTCCAAAAAAAGTCGGACACGGAGATGAAGAGGTGGGATAGAGATCGCGAAGCGACGTGTGCTGACGGGTGCGCTACGGAGAGGGTCGTAACACGTTGAAGGGACGAGCAGATTTGACGCTTGAGGGCGATAATCGGCTGTGTAAAAGTAGCGGTAAGCCGAAGGAAGAGATTAATGGAAGTTCACACGACGCGAGGATGTCAAACGCGAAGTGGGAGGATGAAAAGGACGAGAGGATGAGGAAGATGATGACGGACGGAGGCGGGAAGGAGAGAAGTCGAAGCCGCGAGGCTGACACTAGGCCACATCGGGATCCGATGACTCAGCCCCACTCGTAACATTCAATACACCCGTACACAGGGCACCACCTGCACCCATACAGCGCTATTGACTAAGGTATGAAGATGATAGGTACGTATTTACTTCTGATATGCCAATTTTACTCGGTATTGGTCCAAGTGAATGAACAATATGGCCTGGCTTAGTATTCAATTGCTCTCTAGAAAGTATCGTGAAAGTTCATAACCACGAAAGGACCAGCCTCCAAAAACACAACAGACATGAACAGCATGACACCAGCATAACACCCAACTCCCTATATACCGCGGTACATTAGACATCTCCGTCAAGAGGCCTCTTCAATCAGCTCTTCAAGGCTTCCAACCGTCCCCGCATCTGTTCCAAAGTGGCCTCCTGGTCCTCGACCGCTTCGCTGATACCTTCCTCGGGCTCCTCCAGTGGCTTCTGTTTGACATCCTCGACCTGGGAGAGTTTGCCATGCAGGATCTCTTGCAGGACCTTGTCGACCTCAGCATCGGCCTCCTCCTCTTCATCTTCCAGGAACTCGTTGTTGGGGATGGCGTCGTCCACCATCTCTTCGATAATGCCCGCTCGAACGAGCTCCGTCGACAGCTGATGCATGGTGGACGTCAATTCTGGGAGGCGCACCAGCGTATTCACGTCCTTCATGATGCCCGTTGACTTCTTCAGACTCCCCTGTATCTTTCGCATCGAGAATGCCTCATTCACTTGCATCTGTACGCTCTGGAGTTGGGCTCTGCTGGTGGTGAGTCGGGTGGACTGTCTCCGGATTCGCACGAGCTCTCGCGCGAAGGTCTTCGTTTCCATCATGGCTTGTTTTGCTTGCGATGGGTTACGCTCGGCCCGCCGGGAGGCATTGATGATATACTGCCGGGTTTTGCTCTCGAGGTTTTTGAGCTGCATGATATCTCGATCTAATTGGCGGGTGTTGGCACGGATAAGTTGGTTGCATTTTCTCATCTGCAGTGAGATGTAATTAGCATGGAGTGAACACAGAGAGGGGGATATGGGGCGCGCGGAGAGAGCATACCTGAGCCTGGGGGTCCGGCCCAAAAAAGACTGCTTTGAGGGTCTCCATGACGGTAAGCGCCAGATACAGTCGTACGATAAGCTCCGCAGAAGTTTGATGTACTCGTCGTCACTGGATGGCGGGATTTGTTCAGCGCTGAGGCTATCGAGCGTAGAGTGAGGCTGGGAGAATACCCACCCTCGGCGACGTCTCCGGTGGGGTAGAGGATGGACGGCGACAGGGTCAGATGGGAGGCAAAACGAGGCGACGGAAGATGGTGGAGATGGAAGTCGGTATGAAATGGTACCCGGGTGATACTGCGTCAAAAAAGTCGCATACTTCTTGTGGTGATTCTAATGTCTGTCCTTTGGACCGGAGATGAAGGCAGAATCATGAATGGATCACTCCGAAGATCGATGGCGGTCGTATTGATGAGTCAGGCAGTGTAATGTAATTACGCGATGACGTCGCCGGAAACAGCCTAACTAGCCAGCCTGAGGCACCATCAATGAAAGCAAACAGGGCAAACGTGAACGAGTGGGAGGAGAGTTCCAGTACTTTCTAGCAGTCTGACTACTACCACCTCTATGGAGTAAGAACTTCCTGCCCTCTCTTCCCTCCTCTCAACTACGACTACTGCTTGATCTTCATCCCTGTCTCCATACAGTCTCTATCCTTCATCGCCTCTCCAATCCGATTCTTTTCTATTTTCCCTTCTCCTAATTCTTTCCATCTTTCTCTCTATTCACAATGCCTGACGTTCCTAAGCTCCACCCCGAAGGTGCGTTCTGAGAGCCCTTCAACCTTCCCCGCTTTGCTGTGGTCAACACCTCCCACCCACATGCAATTTGCCCATTGTATCCTGACTTCCCATCAGAGGAGATCGTCATATCGGGATACATCTCCGCTATTGATTTCCTCTCAACTAACATCGTTCCTTAGTCACATGGGCCCAGCGCTCCTCCTCCACGGAAGCGGAGCGCAACTACCTCTACGTGAACATCAAGGCGCCCGATGTCCCCAAGTCCGAGGCTAAGCTGAACATCACGCCGACCACGGTCTCTTTCTCCGGACCCTCCAAGAAGGGCGTACAATATGACGTCGAGCTGGAGCTGTATGCCGAGATCGACCCTGAGAACTCCAAGGTGAACCACAGCGACCGTGAGGTTGAGCTGGTTCTGCGGAAGAAGGAGCTCAAGGAGGAGTACTGGCCCCGTCTGCTGAAGACGACTCAGAAGATTCATTTCCTGAAGACCGACTTCGACAAGGTACGTCATCGAGGATGCGAGTCTGGTCCGGACATTACTGATTGATGGTCCAGTGGGTCGACGAAGACGAGCAGGATGAGGCTGCTGATGATGACTACGCCAACAACTTCGGTGATTTCGGAGGCCTTGGTGGTGACCAGGGTGGTCTTGGAAACATTGACTTCTCTAAGTTGGGCGCCGGCCTTGAGGGCATGGGTGGCATGCCTGGTATGGATGCCGCTGGTGCTGCTGGCGACGACGAAGGGGTATGTCCATATATCCCGTCCCATACATACATACATCATGCATACTAATGACACGTGTAGGAGGATGAGATGCCTGAGCTGGAAGAGGCCGACGACAAGGCTGAGGGGTCAGCCAAGTCCAAGATCCAGGAGGTTTCCTAAATCTGAGGGATGTTGTTGGTGAACTCAACGACGTGGCAAAAACAAAACAAAACAGTTGAATGAAAACGTTACGAGATGCATCCCACTTATTCTTACCTTTTGTATTGTGTTGAAATTGGGCTTGGTGTCTACTGGGAGTCCTCGGACACATGAATAGGCGGCTCATATCATGTACTGAGACGACGAGATGACATACGTTCGTAATCGGAGAATACTTTTCGAGTAGATCAAGTACAGATGCTATTTTCTTGTATACTCAAGTGCCTAGTATGGACAGGATGACGACAACTGGTGTTGGTGCGGCGGGCGGTGATTATTGGCGGAAGGGAAAATCGAGAAAAGATTGGTTGCCGCCACTCACAAAATGTGGAGGATTCCGTCTTGCCCTTACTTCCAGTTGCTTCTCTTACCACCGTCACCACCACCGCTACAACTCTCTCACCACCACTCCCACACCACTATCGTTGATCTCTCCCCACTCCTCGAGTGATCGGAGGTCGTCTTATTGTCCGATTGTTTGTTCTGACAATACTTCCCTCGACTCTCCTTCATCGGACGAGGTTTCTTTCCACTGTCCCCTCTTTTCACTCCGATCGACTGTGGGCGGACCATCTCCCCGGTTTCTCTGCCATACTGGCACTCGCCTACTCCATTCGTTCTATTCTATATACATTTCGGACTAGTTGAAGACCAAACACCGCCACCATGCCTCCCAAGAAGCAGGACCAGCCCAAGAAAAAGAAGACCGTCGAGGACAAGGTTTGTACCGATCGCTCGTGTGATCAAAAGCAGACAAATCGCTAACCTCCCTCCTCCCCTCAGACCTTTGGTATGAAAAACGTATGTGCTCAACGTCGTCGACCGTCCTAAACCAAACCCTTCGAATCACGCCAACCTCGTGACCACCAACTGACACGGAATTTTCACCAAACAGAAAAAAGGTTCTTCGGCCAAGAAACAGATCGCCCAATTACAAGCGCAAGCGAAATCTAGCAAGACTCCTGACGAGAAGCGAAAAGAAGCTGAAAAGGCCAAGCGTGCGGCGGAGAAGAAGGCCGCCGAGGATGCGAAGCGCGAGGCCGCGGAGTTGTTCAAGCCCGTGCAAACCCAGAAGGTGCCTTTCGGTGTGGATCCCAAGACCGTCCTCTGTGTGTTCTTCAAGCAGGGCAATTGTGAGAAGGGACGGAAGTGCAAGTTCAGCCACGACCTCAACATCGAGCGCAAGTCCGCGAAGAAGGACCTGTACACTGATTCCCGAGATGCTAAGGCTGAAGAGGAGGAGGCCCGCAAGAAGGATACCATGGACGATTGGGATGAAGAGAAGCTGCGCAAGGTCGTTCTGAGCAAGCACGGAAACCCACGGACGACCACTGACAAGGTCTGCAAATACTTCATCGACGCCGTCGAGAACCAGAAGTATGGTTGGTTCTGGGTTTGTCCTAATGGGGGTGATAAGTGCATGTACAAGCACAGCTTGCCACCTGGGTATGTTGCTTACAGTACCGTCCCGTACCTGTATATTGTTGCTAACAACCTCGACAGGTTCGTTCTGAAGACAAAGGAGCAGAGAGCTGCCGAGAAGGCTCTCATGGACAAATCTCCGTTGAACACCCTGACGCTGGAAGATTGGCTGGAAAGCGAGCGACACAAGCTGACCGGAAACCTGACGCCCGTCACGCCAGAGACGTTCGCCAAGTGGAAGAAGGATCGTCTAGACAAGAAGGCTGCAGAAGAACAGGCCCGGAAGGCTAAGGAGACCACCGGACGTACATTGTTCGAAAGCGGTAACTGGCGGGCGGATGATGAGAGCAGCGATGAGGAAGACGATGATGATGCCTGGAACCTGGAAGCCCTCCGCAGGGAGACGGAGAGAATTCGTGACCAGAAGGAAGAGGAACGACTGGCGCGGATCGCCGGACTGCCCGTACCGGCGTCTAACGATGCGACGATTGCACAGGAGGGCCAAGGCTGAGTCCTGTGCACAATCCCCCAAGAGTGTGAAGCATCTTGGGTTTAGGGTTGCGGTCCTCCCAGACTGAATCAGGGAACCAGGCCATTGTCCGGACCCGTGGGAGTTGGTCATGTTGTTGGATGATGGATACACTGCTGCTTCTCTTTGGTTTTGTGGATACCTCTACCAAGTGATCAAGTTGTATTAATCTCCTCAACGCGGGGCTGTGGTGGTCTCCATGGACAGTCTGTCCTCCATCTGTGTTCTCCATGCAATGTCTTGTTGCACGGAAAGCTTCCGGGGAAGCCATGGATGAGGACGATTCGGGATGGGAGAACACAAGATTGAGATAGATCTGTGTCTGTCTGAATCTGAACGTGGCGGAAGAAAACTGACAGCATTTTTGCCTTGCCAGATTTGTACGTAGACCGTTCGTTATGTTCATGAACCAGCGATGTTTTCTAAGGTGTCGGTCCCATACGCAGTAGATCTGTTGCACTATTTCTGCATGAGGTTTAGGAATCTAGTTACTACTACTGTGGCCTTCGCAACAGCCTTATATAAGCAGGGTAGATGCAGGAATGCGTGCTATTGCATGTTTCATAGTATCTACTGGTGCTTTACAAGATCCCAATATGTATAATGTATGCGAACCGTTGAAAGGATGTACAGATGAAAGCCGTGAGGAAGACTATAAGGAAGCGCGTTCCTTGATCAACCCCTTTTCCCGCATCAAGGACAAGACGTCCTCGGCGACACCCCAGGACAATTCGTACCCACGGCCTCCAGCGCCGTAAGCATGCACGATCGTCCGATCACCGGCGACCTTTTCTGCCTCGATCCGCATGCCACCCTCTCTGGCGGGACGACGACCGACGATGTCACGGATGACATCGAACTTGCCCTCGCTCTCCGGCGTGAACGGGAACCACTTGGCCGCATTGGCCAGCAGTTTCTCCCTAGTTTCGCGCGACGGCGTGGGGTCCCAGTCGCGCGGTTGCTTGGTGCCCCCGATGATGGTGCCTCCGCCCAGCGGCCGCGGGATGCAGAAGGACCAGGAGCCGTCCGAGTTCTGGCGGGTGAGGGTGACGTCGCAGGGGTTGCGGACGAGACAGGTCTGGCCACGGATGATGAAGGACCTGGGGTCGCCGAAGCCCAAGCCGGAGCAGTTGACGACGGTGCGGACGTTGTTGGCCAGGTGGAAGGCTTCCATTGGGTCGCCGAGGGTGTACTCGCGGGTCTGTCCGCCCTGCAAGACAAACCTCCGCAGCAGGTAGGCGCAGTAGACGGGCGAGTTGACGGCAAACGTGCGATAGCGCACGGCCCATGTCACGCCGGCGGGCACCTCATCGGCGGCGAGCTGGCGGAAGCCGTCCAGATGGGCGAAGAAGTCCGGGATGGCGCGGGGGTCGAGGTACTCGGCGGGTGGGTTTTCGAGGTGCTCGATGCCGTCGAGGGCCTGCACGGCGGCGGCCGGCTCGGTTGCGGCGAGGGTCTTGAAGTGCTGGTAGGTGCGGCGGGCTTGACGCTCCTCGCGGGCGGCTTGCGGGGTGGAGGCTGGCACGGGCCGATAATGCGCGCCGGCCCAGGGCGAGGCGTAGTTGAGCGAGGTGGTGTTGGGGAAGTCGCGGGCTACGATCAGGACGGACTGCGAGCGAGGGAGGTGTTCTTGGATGCAGAGGGCGGTGGACAGGCCTATCACCCCCGCACTGTTGGATAAGGAGTACATTAGCTTCGGATGTGTCCTGCAGGGGATTTGCGACCTACCCGATCACGACGATGGTTTCTTTATCTGGCATTCTAGCTTTATGATGTCAACGGGTTGATTGTGTGCAGAGGAGAGGAAGAAAGGGACAGGTAGGAATTGAAGCTCTCCATCCATGGTTGATAAGACGGGGAAACCCCCGCGTGAGTCAACGGCCCGAGATAAGCCTGATCTATACAACTACCCTAATCGATTATCAAATATCACTCAGGCAATGGATGTATGGTGGTTATATTTTCAATAGAGTAGACGTCTACAGTCGCTGACCACCCTACACAGTTTTGTTGGTGTTTGATATCCCTCATTAGGATTAGGACTGACTCCAGTCTCCCTGTACACCATCTATATCATCTACGGTATATCAACAAGCATGGGCATTGTACCAACATCACCCGGGACCCCCGGGACTCATCAACTCTGCATCTGATCGCATTATATGATGAGCTCGAGCTCAGGATCGACGCCACTGTCACACCGCGGTTCGTCGATCACATAACATGCTTCGAAGACATCGACGTGCTTGGATTGTAGTAGGAGCATTGTCACAGTGTGAGACGGGTCCACCTATATGGTAAAGCCTCATATGACAGATGAAGATTCCCGTCAGCTTCCATAGAAGGTCTTCAGTGGCCAAGGTATATATACCTATCCCGAGGCTGTATATTTTACTCCGTAATGCCCAGAACTCACATATCAAGTCCTGACGAGTTCGAAGTGGATTGATCTAGGACCGCCCCAGCCATCTAGGTAGACACTGGGTGAATCTGCTTTAATAGAGCCAGCAATGCCATTTATAGCCCTCGCCCGGAGAGACCAAGAAAAACCGACTCCGTACTCCGCCCCCGGCGGGTTAGCGGATGTGATTGGCGTCTCCTCCCGGGAAGGATTCACACCGTCTGGGCCAGTGAGAGGCAGAAGATGCAACTTTCATCACATCTGTACGCGCCGTGGAGGGGAGGGTGCACCGGTGTGATTGGGGGACGAGGGCTGCAGTGTGAAGAAACTGCCCGCAGCCAATCCCCGTGCATTCTGCCTACCCGCACCACCATCCAATTCCCTTCCTGAGCAGCCTCGTCTGCTCTTCGCATCTCTCTTCTCCCTCCAACCACGCCTCATCTTACCCCCAAATGCCTGCTTGCTCTGGTCGCGTCTCCACTCCGAGCTGCCATCTTTGTCGCAAAAATGGTACCCGTGCTGGCAGATCCGACGAACGGTCGTCCCGGGGTACGATGGTTGCCTCCCCCTGGTCATCTGCCAGCAAGCGCCCGGTCGACTGAAACCCTCTTGGCGTGATAGACACTCCGATTGCTTGATGGCTGGAGATTTGGATCGTCTGTTCTCGTCGCCTCGAGAGTCCTTTCCCGCCCTTGAGGTCGCTTCGTGCAGCCGAGACGATCCAATGGTCGTGGTGGAGAGGCTGGTCCTCTAGGATTAAGATTAAGACACTTCCACAGAACTCCAAGTCCTGCAAATTACTCGCTACACTCCGGAGAGTAGTGTCGTCCACTAGTGACGAAACGCCAGAGGGACTGTTCGTCGTCTCTCTTGTCGCTCTCCTCTCCCCACTCCCGCCCCCTCCATATCTATCAGATCGACCGCCCCAACGTGATCTCCTTTTCCGCCGAGAGAGCTGTAGCTACTCTGGTCACTGTCCCCTTTCTTAACGGAGCACGACTTCTCATCCTGACTCTGCCCTTGTCCGGTCTGTATCACTATCGTCTCACTTGCGCATGCCTCGGACGTTGCTGCACTCGTATCTCGCAATCACACCGTCGCCGCACATCACCTGTCCTGACCGCTGCCACATTCATTTCCCCCAAATCCATATGTCTCGAGTGGAACGTCTTCCGGCCCCCTGCTAGATTGTGCCACGAATTCCTTGTATCTGATCCACAATCGTACCGACTGCACGGCGAGATTCATATGGAATTGAATGATCTGGCTGTGGGAACACCTGTGAAGTGGCCTGCATCGATTCACTTGATCAGGTGATAGGATTTCGTCAAGGTCTCAGAGAAGACCCGAAAGTTTCAATACACCAACCCATTGTGCTTGAAGAATGGTAGACCTGTCATGGAACGTCAACCCCACCGCTGAACCTCGATCAACAACGGTAAAGTCCATGCTGCCCCCGATGGCTCCACAGAGTCAAGGACTGGCCGCGAGCTTTGTACCCTGCGCATCGACCGCTTCGCTGTTCCTATACGCCCAGGGTTCGATCATTCTCTGCCTCCACCACGACACTTTAGCATTGGAACGCCGGTTTGAGAATCACCACCAAGATATCTCGTTCATATCCGTGGACAATGTTAGCGAACGGGGTGCAGGCCGGCTGGTTGTCAGTTATGATGTGGGGAAGACTGCAATTGTATGGGACTTGTTCACCGGGTCTGTGATAGCGAGATTCGCATCTTTTGAGCAACTTCGGGTAGCTGCCTGGATGCGCGATGGCAATGTGGCATTCGGTATGTCCCGCGTCTTTCGCCTTAAACCCCCCATGCTCATTTACTTTAAGGCAATGAGAAGGGCGATGTGATCCTGTTTGAGCCCTCAACCTCCGAAAATGTCTCCCGGCGCACGATCTTCGACCCGATCACAGCCTTAGCTCCAGGCTCCGATTGTCGAACTTATGCTATTGGGTATGCACGAACAGCAATGCTTCTGTAGGAATATAGCTCACTGACCTGCTAATTAGGTATCAGAATGGATCCATATTGATCGCCACATTGCATCCCACCTTTTCGGTCCTCCATACAATGACCACTTCACGAGGCCCATCGCCGATAGTCTCCATGGCCTGGCATGCGTCTTCGTCAAAACAAAAGTCTGATATGTTGGCCACCTTGTCTTCCGACGGCGACCTGCGAGTATGGAGTGTGTCAAAGCCAGCTGGAAAAGAGCCTCCCCGCGTCATACGAGTCTTGAAGCGATCTGATACGTCTTCATCCTCCGAACCTAAATGGATGGCTTGGTCAAAGAACGGGAGAATTATACAATATCTGGATAGGTGTGCATAGGTTCATTTTCGATAAACTGGCAAAGCTGACCTGTCTTTCCAGCGAGACATGGGCATGGGATGTGAGAACCAAGCATGTGACATCTGAGCCCATCCCTACAATAGAGAACGTCCGCGGCATCGCGAACTATGGTCCGACTGCCACTTTGTTCACTCTTGGGCCCAACTACTCAATTCAGCAATATGACCTCGAAAACCCAGCAATGGTTGCCAATGTACAACATCTCCCTGTGGGGATGTTGTCCGATCCATTGGAGGAGGCCAGAGCCAGAGCTGCATCGTCCCGGACCTTGCAGGATCCCCCGGACATTCGGGAATCGGGCAATGCATTTGGGACTCGGAGAGCGCCTTTCGAGCCACAACGTGCCGACACGAGTAGTCCGGTATCTTCACGAAGCCATGCAAAATCCGTGAGCTCAACTGCCTCGTCCGGGAAATACAGACCTGGGCCTTTCTCTCCACCCAGCCGATCCGCTCACACCGGGACGTCTTTCTCCTTGGCCTCTGCCAGCGAAAGAGATACTCCCCAGCCATCTGCAGGGTCATATGCCTATGCTCCTTCCGTATCGTCGTCTTCTGTCAAGAGCTCCCGAGCCGGGTCACGGTTGAGAAATGAAGTCCAATTTAGTCCTGCCGATAAACCAGTTGATCTGTTCCCCTTCACCCGCGCCCGTCTCAACGACGTCCCATTTAGGAACCACCCACCTTTGGACGAGTCGCGTCTTACCCCTGATGATTTACGTCGTCAAATGCTTAGCGTGGTTTTTGGTTGGGAGGGCGATATTGATGAACTAATTACTGATGAATGTAAGTTACCGTTCTGTGTCACTGAAGTTCTGATTGACAGGCCTTACAGTGAACCGCCACGCCCCGGATTCTCAAAGCGCTATCCTACTAGCCCAGTGGTTGGGAGAATACGACTCGGACCAGATGGCCTCCATGATAAGTTCGAGTACCAGTTCGACCGCCGACTGGATGTTGTTGGCTTTCAGCCAGATGAGCGGAGCTTCCCAAGCCAACAAGGTCGGGGAAGCATTCGTTCAAAAGTTACTGAAAGTGGGCGACGTACATACGGCGGCCACTATCTTGCTCTCTCTGGGGGATAAAAATGACGCAATCGAGGTCTACGTTTCTCAGAACTACTATATGGAGGCGATCCTAATGACGTGTCTGGTGTTGCCTACCGACTGGCAACGTCAGTCATACTTGGTCCGACGGTGGGGAGAACATGTTGTTTCGCACTCTCAGCAACAACTCGCAATTCGATGCTTCATGTGTACTGGGGTTGAGCCATCGGCGCCCTGGGCATCACCATCGGCGCAGCCCCCGTCATCCTTTGCGGAGGTAATGTCTCGAAGATCGCCGTTGGCATCACCAGAACCGCCTTACATGAACCCTGCAAACCTGATGCCTCCTCCACTCCAACAATCGTCTTCTTCGACGGGCAACAGGCAAGCTACCAAAGGTCCAGCTCTCAAGTTGATCACGTCTTTCGATTCCCAACCAAGTAACAAATTCCGTTTTCCCGGTTTGAAGTCGGATGATCGGACACCTACGAATGCACCCGGAGTCACGCCTATCGCTGAATCTGCTGTGGCTGAAACCGCATTGTCTCCCGGAGGGTTCGGGTCATATAGGTTCAATAACTCCCAGAGCCTTAACAATGCAGTGAACTCTCGCACCAATACACCTGCCTTCAACAGACGACGATTGCCTTCTATCGGTGAAACCCCGGTTGATGTACAGCCCCCGAGTTTCCCCCCTAATGGATCGGCCAAATCTGTGGATTATGGATCAACGTCCGAGAATGATGATCAAGATAAGAGCAGTACCCGCCAGAAAGAAGACCAGCTTGGGCTATTGCCATCGGCACGGTATGACCCGGATGAAGCATACAAGCCTAGCCCCCAAACAGCAGTCCAGGCGACAACCGATAAGTTTGTAAACATCAAAGGTCTGCCTTCTCCTGCACCTGGTGTATTTGAGGCTCTGCGAGAGCAGTCGGAGAGCCGAAATGGGTCCAGAGATCGGAAGCCTGGGGGCCTGGAGTTGCAAATACATGAAGTGTTGGAAGCTGATCTGCAGGACCAGTCTGATGTGACGATGGCCAGCTTCAGAAGCCCAGCGTCCGCGAACAGCTTCAGCACTAAGAGCCCAAGCATCAGTGGTCGGAGCATCGACCAGTATATCAGCAGCCTGGACGAGGCCACTTATCACGCGAGAAAATATCAAAACCGGCCTCATGGCCGCGCTAGACGTAATACCGACGACTCCGTCAGCCAGACTTCGACACAACGCGATACTTCGAGAAAAACGACGCAGGAAACGCGAGGTCGGCACGAGAAGCGCTATATCCAACCGGCTAAGCGTTCGCCTTCTTCACCAGTCCCAATGTCTCCGGAGGAAATCGCCCGTTACAACACGAACTCGACGCAGCATGAGGACAGTCGGAAAGATAAGGGATCATCCAAATCGCGCAGCGCCAGCAAAGTGAGAAAACCGCGTTCTAGAAATTCTTCGGAACGCCGTAAGAACCGATCATCAAGCCGCAATACCGCAGGTCGTGTCGGGAACAACCAGTCTAGTCGTGGCCGCAGCACCGACCGGCCTGCCTCGCGAAATAGATCTCCATCCTCTCCATTACCGATGTCGCATACGGATGACGCTTTTAGGTTGGTCTCCAGTGACCGCGAGAGACTCCGCAGCCAGCAGAGAAGCAGCAGTCGGCGGCCGGAGAAAGGTACGACGAAGAGAGACCCGTCTCCTGATAACAGACGACCAAGGGGTCGATCCCATAGCCACAGCCAGCACGAGAGCAGCGACTATCAAGACTATCCGCCAAATGGCGATACCACAAATGGACATTATATCAACACTGATTCCCAGGAGCCGCTGAACATGCTGTCTGAGGATGCCCGCAATCGACACTCGGCAACAGCACCTCCAGCGGGATTGTCAGAACAGAAGAAGAAGGAGCTTGCGGCAGCTGAATTGGAAGCTCGACGTCTGTCGCTTGCCCGTAACCCATCAGCGCCCAATATCCCCTTTCCGGGAGAGTTGCAATACTTCCGGACAGGATTGGAAAGCCCACCTTTTTCCGTCCATTCCTTTGCCCCGCGGACTCCTGGAAGGCGCAGGGCCTCTGCAAGCAAAGCGTCACCAGAATATCCCAGCAGCTCTGACTCCAATTCATCGCGGGCAGGCGGCCCCCTCGGATTACCTGCTACGCCGAAGGCAATGAAGCATCCGAAGTATAATGGATATGAAGAGACTGCACCAGCAGTCCCCGGTGTGCCCGACAACACGATTCTTCTGAGTGACGCAAGATACCATGGAGGTATTGATCAACTCGGACGTTCAATGTCGGTCCCTGTCCCGGAGAATCAACATCCAGGGACCATACCTATGGACCTCCCCATGCATCCCAGATTCAACCCTCGGCTTCCACGGAGCCGTTCGAACAGCCGCAACCGAAACATGGGCCACCGGCGAGAAAGCTCTCGTGAGGTCGGGTCGAACTTTGGTGGCTCCCCAGTGTCTGTCAGTATTGAGGAGACCATTGAGAATGCTATGCAGAGGAACCCAGCTGAGAACCCTCCGATCTTGCCCGAACTGCAGCATTTGAATACGCCGCCGCCGCCTCCTCCGCCATTGGGACTCTCAGGGCCCGCGTCGCCGCGGGAGTCGTCAGGAACGATAGACATTGCGATTGATAATGAGCATATGGCAAGATTGCTTCCACGCGCGATGACGGCTGCTCCGGCGCCGAGTATGGAGATGCGGTCGGGTGTAGAGCGGCGCCGCATGTCATTCGACCACCGACGTGGAAAGAGTGTCAACGAGAGCTTTTCTAGCAAGATCCGCAACTTGGCTCGAATGGGGTCCAACGGCCGAGGAACCGAGCCATGGGCTGCCCCTGATGAGACTCAGATGCCGTACGAAACGGTGTCTGCCACCGACGGGCGCATATAATTCAGAATATCCCTGCGTTGCTGTATTTCCTGATTTCTAGTTTGACCGTGCTTGACTTTACGATTTATGATATGTTTTTCTTTCAAGTTTCTCTGATTGATTCTGAGTCTGGTTCTCAATTTGTCAGCCAGATATGTTGATAAATTATACCCTTTTCTTCTTGACGTACAACGGCCCTTTTTCTATATCACCATCTATCTCTTTGCGTATCTAAATTGGGCTCGCGAGGGCAAAAGTGCCTCATTCATCAACCGATTGGGAGGTGACTCGTCCATATAATGTTTAGTTTCGCCATGTGGAAGTCAGCATTTTGATAACAGTTCGAACGTAGGTTAAAATATAACAATTGAAAGAATTCCTAAACTCCACACGCAATGCACTCGTATGGTACAGAATATAGAACAAGACGTAGTACTACCATTTGCCCCAACCTTTGCGACCAGAGCTTCCCGAGGACTCATTGCCCAGACTGCGCTCGGCCTCGATCAACCGATCAAACTCCGCCTGTGCTTGCTCACGTTGTCTCGAGGCGTCCGGGTTCGAGTAGTCCGAGGAATTCCACACGTCCTTAGGCGGCTGACCTATGTTCTCTCTGGTCTTCTGTGCAGGTTCAGACATCGATTGTTGTCGGATGCGCTCCCAGGAGTTAGCCTGCAACGCACCCGCGTCCTGCAGGCTGGTGTTTCTGTGCTCCGGCGCCACGGGACTAGCATCATCATCGTCGAAGAAATACGACCCCTTCGACTGACTTTCAGAGCTGTCGACGACCGGCCTGCGATCCTGCACCGCCTGATACACTCGACCCGCCGTCGCAGTCTGAGGCGAGTCGGTTTCCACGCCCCCGGACGCATATCCCTGCTCCTTCTCCAGACCACCCTGCCCATCACCAACAGCAGGAACCTCCTCCAGCCGCCGCTGGTGCATCTGTCTCCTCCGACTCTCAATCGCAGCGGCCTTCCGCTTCTGCACCTCCTCGGGATTCTGATTCCGCAGATCCGCCATAAACTGCGCAAGTCGCGGATCCGACACCGTATTCTTCGTCTCCGTATACACCCCCATCACCCCCGACACCGACGCCCCCGCAATCATCGAGAACATCAACTTGAACACGGCCAGCATAGTCCGCTGGCGCGCCACCAGCGGCTCCGCCTTATTGAACGCCTTGAACCCGGCCGCCAGCCGCTGCACCATCGACCCGGTGGGCGGCACGTACGTGCGCCAGCGCTCCGTCCTCGCCCACCGCGGCAGCGAAATACCCGCGTAGATGAGCGCCCCGATCCAAATCCCCTTGCGCTCGTAGGCGACGCTGCGCGAGCTGTGCGTCACCATCGCGTCGAGCTCGTCCTGCGTCGGGAGGCGCTGGATCAGCACGCGGGCGTTCTCGATGCGACGCGCGACGGTTTCTTCGACTTTTTGGTGGAAGCCTCGCGTGCCGAAGAAGCAGAATGTGCGGGTGATCGGGTCCACGGGGAAGATGTTCTCGGGGTTGATGTGGAGGGGGTAGTATTTTCCGAATGGGGACGATGGCGCGGGGCGGGGGAGGTCGCTTTGGGAGCCGCCGGGAGGATTGTCGTCGAGGGTCATTTCGGCAGGTGATCGGATTGAGGGAGTGTTGGTGGAGATGTTGGTGGTGGTGGTGGTGATGGTGGTGTGGTGTGGTGAAATTGGAGATGCGGAGAGTAGGAGGCCTCAGGCAGGCACATAAATGACGTAGGGGCTTAGTCATTTCAATATGCTAGCTAAGTATGCAGTTACTATATGTTATGCGCTGTCTATTCTTATCCTCACACTACATTGAAGCATCTTCTCCATTGCACTTCAGATCTGCTCGAACGAGAGATTCCGCACGCGGTAATACGTGTCTGCTTATCTGTTAGTGGTCTATGATTTTGTTTTGCGTCCATGCAAAGTACTAACCTGTGGTCGGGCCAGGCGAGCCAGAAGACCCCTCCATCTGGAGGTTGATAATCCTGATGCCGATGAGTATTTGAACTTCTAAATATGCAATGAAGTATAGGCAAACTCACAAGTTCAATGGCTTGCCTACATACTCCGCCCCATACTGGGTGGTGACCTCGGTCCCATCTAGAAAGAACTTAACGGAGATGTTCGAGCCGTCTTCATCGCGAATCTCTGCTTTCACGGTATGGAAATTATCGGGCGAGGGGTATTCAATATCGTGTGCTTGCACCTCCGACGAGGTCTGCTTCGTTAGACTTCATCTATGCTTGGAACAAAGGGGGCTTACATTGAAAGTGTTGAAGCTGATATCACCAGTTCCTATACCCATGAGCCTTAATCCTTCAAAGTTCAGCGGATACATACCCTTCCACTCAGCTATATCGATCTCGGGCGGCCAGGTGTCGGCCCCGTTCAACCAGAACGCAGGCCATGTGCCCGTCGCCGTTGGCGCCTGGAATTCGGCCTGGATATCGAACCCCGATCCGGCCTCAACCGTGAAGCTGGTAGCCGAGTGTATCGCGCCCGAGAGATAGTTGATCTCTTGGCCTCCACTGGTCGGAGGCTGGCCACTGACGGGCTTCGCGACTATGGTGAGCGTCCCTGAATCGACCGAGATGTATTCATGGTCGGACGAGTTGCCCACCATCCGGGCGGAGCCGTTGTGGTCGGAGCCCCAGGGGTACAGGTAGGCAAAGTATTCCTCGAGCGAGGAGTAGTCGTCAAAACATGTCGTAGGGATGAGCGTTGTGGCCCCGTAGGTCAGCGGGGAGAGGGCGAGAAGTGTGAGCAGGTACATGGCGAGTGATGCTGGTTGCTCTATTATCCTGTTCGACTACCGGAGGGCTCTTATATGGAGCTCTATCTACACTGCGAGCTTCTAAGCGGGGGATCTTGATTCTGCTAGCGTTTTGCACTGAAACAGATGCTGCAACCTCCCGCACTGTGATGCAAGCTGAACTAACTGAACTAGGCTCGCAACCCGCCGGAGCGCTCTCCAAACTGCATGATCGGCGGTGCTGCCGGAGTTTCCCCTTCTGCTACGGATTCTCCATGTCATGTACAAGGCTGTACAAGGCTGATCAGCATCCACTCGTTACTAAAAAGCCAATACATTACTATAAGCGCTACCTAAGCTACCACTTTTCCACATAGGGCCGCAGATCCAGCTCAAACCCAAACGTCGTGCGTGGCTGCGTATGCAGATGCCAATACGACTCCGCAATCTACCATGGCATATTAGCATCGAAGAATCTCTCTGCGACATCGTGCATTACTCACAGCCTCTGGATCCAGCTTGGCATCTTCATGCTCAAACTTCCACGCCTTAGTCCGCGGGATATCGATGACCCCATCGATGATAACGTGCGAGACATGTACACCCTGCGGCCCGAACTCGCGCGCCAGCGACTGAGCCAACGCCCTCAGAGCAAACTTGCCCGAGGCAAAGGACGAGAAATTCGCCGACCCTTTCAGACTGGCGGTTGCGCCGGTGAAAATCAGCGTAGGCGGATGCGGGAGGCCTTTCGCCTCAAGAAGCAGAGGCAGCGCGCCTTTGGCGAAAAGGTACCCTCCTTTTCTGTTCCATCATTTACTGCGTTACTTAGACTGTTCTCTTTGCTATCACGGCGATACTTCTACTTACCCTTGACTTTCATAACCCTGGGTGAACTCTTCTTCCGTCAACTCCAGGAACGGCTTGCGCACAAACCCGCCACCGGGATTGAAGACCGCCGCGGCGAGGGCCGAGCCGGCATATTGCTTTGAGATCTTGTCGAATGCGGACCGGACGCTCGCCGAGTCTGAGAGATCGGTGCTGATCCCGACGGCTTGGCCGCCACTGGTGTTGATCTCGTTCACGACCGGCTCGAAGCTTGCCGGGTTGCGTGCCAGAAGCACGACAGAGTATGCCTTGGCAAAGCGTCTGGCTATGGAGGCGCCCTGATTCTATCAGTTGCATTCTAGGATGTAGATGCTGCGGACAAAGTACATACCGTGCCGGGACCGACACCGGCGATGATTGCAAAGGGTTTGGTCATTTTGGAGATGGATACAGTTGGATTTTTCTGACTTACAGAAGGCAGTTATCGGGCTATTTATCAGTTAGTTCTCTTGCGAGCTTATGCAATGTCGTGATGTGCTCGGGGGTTGTTGATGCCGTGCTTAGAAATCGAGCGGGGCGGGCTGATGATATCATCAGATTCATTCGGAGTAGCTCTGCTATGCTATACTAATCAGTCAGAGGAAGGCGAAGTTTGCGTCTGAGAACATATGGCGTGTTGCGCTAGATCTCTGACGTGGCAGAGAATGACGCGATGGCCAGTTCGACTTGCTAATTGCGATACCCTCTGCTCGTTGATGAGGTACTGTCATTCTGATTGAACTAAAGCAATGAACTCGCTATAAACGCTGCCCCTAAACAGACCATTCCCGACGCAAGATGATTACCTGAACCATGGGTATGAAATCAATATCACCCGCCAGATTCGCTCGGAACATGCTGTGGCTGACAATTTGCAGAATAATATGTACAATACATGATCCTCCGTTCCACAGAGGCCAGCTATTAGTCGACCGACGTCAATGCGATGATGCTATCCAGGGCAGAATGCATGAACCCGCAGCAATTCTCCCTGTTTCTCATCTGGCACTGGTCTGCCTATTCCTGGTTGGCAGAACACGAAACAGAACGTGCCTGGGGCACATAGCTCGACTTTCCCGTGGACTCGTCGAAGATGTGATATCCATAGTCGGCTGCGTTGGGTGGCGTATATACTAATATTCTGTCAGCATTGATTCAAGAAAACACACGAAACCCCAGCAGCACATACGATGAAGAGAAACAGCGACCTGGTCACTACTCGGATTGTGCACGCGATGCAGCCCAATATCATCCGAGATATAAGTCACTTCATTCATAGAGTGCTCCTTCTCAGACATTATCTCAAGCGGTCCGGAAGAGCCCGATTGGCCCGGAGCACGGTACACAGTTTCGCGCAACTGCCCAGCAAGAACCTTCATGATGCAATGGGCGTTGGCGTGGTCGTGGATGGGCGACCCTTTCCCGGGGTTCCATACAAGCAGCAACTGCGCCGGTTAGCAACGGCAACTGAGCTCGACATAGGTAGGCAGTGTACTAACAATATTCGCCTTGTGATTGATATTCTCGATCGCGTTGCGCGTATAGTTCTTGCTCTCGTCGTTGTAGTAATACCGCCCCCAGTCCGCCGGGTTGGTCTTGTACTTCCGCACCAGGGAGATCAGGTACTCCGAGTCGACGTCGGTCGAGGAGATTCCGCCGGATGTGCCTAGGTGCGCCTTGATATCGCGGATGAGGTCATTGAGGTCGTATCGCTCCGGCAGGCGTTGGTAGCACGGGGCGAACTTTTCGTTCAGTTGGACTTGTGAGGCTGATAGGACGGACATTTTGGAGCGTGGATGCGGGCTTGGTAGGCGTAGATATTGCGTATCACAATTGCAATGTGTTGAGAGGTAGTTTTATATGGTCTTGTCCCTTGTTCGTTGCCATCGTTGGGTCGGCGAATGGTCGGTCGGCGAACGGATGGAAGTAGAAACCGGGCCACTGAGCATGATGTATGGGATGGAGATAGGGATCGACCGCCTGCATCTTATCACTTGCATTGAGCATGCGCGTTATATGTGGCCAATGCTGGCGTGCGATATGCGCCGGTTTGATAGACCGCCAGGAAGTATCTCACTGGAACATAGAATTGGATATCTTCATGAGGGAGCTTCCTTGGGCAGGTTGTTACAAAAATAGTTAGAGCGGCATCGTATAGCTATCTACGTCCTAATCTAGAAATCTGCCAGAAGTTATAGAGACGACTTGCAATGCTATCCTGGCATGAAACTACTGACACACTCATCCATTCCTGCTAGGGGACAAAACATCGTCCACAAGACCTTCAATTAGGTTCTAGCGATATGATTGAAGGGTCACCGTCTCCTTTCAATGGATAATGAAGTCCTCATACTGAAGTCCTCTTACGCAATAGTTCCGGACGCGCAATCGGCGATCCAGACAGTCGGCGATTGAACCACCGCAGATAACCGCATGCAGGGGAGTGAACTTCTACAGGTTTATGACTTCTCCTGACCAGACCGCTTTTTTAAGGTTGTATTGTCCATTGCCTTGGTATTAATTATTGATTGGAGATATGTTCTTCTCATTGCTCGCCCCTCAGACAATCGAAACCCAACGCCGATAAGACCGCAGAACAACGCCTTGCTTTGTAAACATACACAACACCTCCAAGCCCGAAAGACTCCATTAGTGCATTAACTAGGTATCATGCAATATTAAAATCTGGAACCGGGCTGAAAAAAGATGTGTTGTAACACGTAGGGTCTAGAAAAGCCGGTAACAAGTCAGGCCCGGGAAAGTCTTGTCCGTCGGAAAACCGTGTCATTGCACCGGAAGAATGTGTAGGTCGCTCCTGATCAGTCAGGACAGGTTCCGAAGGCACAAACCGGTTCAACGGGGTGGCATTCCATCGTTCGATTGACGCGGACATGATTTCGGCTGCGCACGATCGGAGGTACTGATAAGCGGACTCGCCCAGCTCCCACGTCCGCCGGGTACTTTTCAAACAGCCCAGGACCAGCGTTACACGGTTGCAGTGATGGTCGAAGCAGTCTTCGGAGTGGCTGGTGCAGGTCGCCAGTTGGATCATCCCGCACAAAGCCAGGGCGGGGATGATGAAGGGCGTGTGTTTGAGGACGTTGGGACAGACGGAGATGGAGTCGGACACCCGCCGCGAGGCCTCGGTGGCCTTGATGCTGTGTACCATCCGCGTGAACGTAGAGGAGAGCTGATTCGACGCCGCCGGCCAGAACCGGTCGCTGTTCAGCTGCGCCAGGACCGGCTGCATCTCGCTTCTGGGTAGATGCAGAAGCATGGCGGCGTAGCCTATCGTCACGTGTGCCTGGAAGATCATCTCATCGATGTTTCCGTACGAGTCGACAATGTCTAGTTTCTTTGGCGGGAGATGGTTGATCCAGCTGACGAGTGCGTTCTCGACCGCCTGGAGATGATCGCGGTGGCAGTCTTGGAGGTGGTTCAGCATGAGCACTCGGCAGAGGATCATCATCGCCTCGATGCGATAGCTAAACGAGGAATAGACTGGGTCATCGGCCGCGAAGATCCGCCTCCTAAAATCGAGGATCATGTGTGGTTTCGGGACCTCACGAGTCCCCGTGTAGCGGGACTCTTCACAGGGAAGCGCGACCTCTGGGGCCACAGTGCTACAGCGGAACGTGACAGACTTGAGCGAGACAGCCATGTAGATCTCGGTGATGTATAGTTCCCACCACGTGCGGCGCATACTCTCGGCCTCGACGGAGCATTCCGGGTGGGCGGAGGCGGCAAAATCGCGTCGGTTCATCCCTAGCTCCAGGGCCATGTCGATGGCTCGCGTCAGCGCCTCTCGGGCTTCGTAGCATTCCCCGCGAGCTGTCAGCACGATCGCATAGATCAGCCACGCCTGGACCATGCAGGGAGAGCGTTCAGGGTTGGATGAGAGCTCGGCTGCCACTTTGGTCTTGAGTTCGCCACTGGGACTGGAGCTGACGTAGTGGGACCCGACAAAGTACACGACCAACTGGAGAAAGAGAGGGTAATTTCGCTCGTTGAAGCAACTGCTCGGCACTAGAATGGGATGTGCTGGATGGAAGAATTCATAGTAAAGCCGGGGAAGACGGTCATCCCCTGGGAGCCAGGATTTATCTCCCAGGCTGGAACGGTTAGGATGGCTCCCGGAAAGCATGGTCGGCCATGATGTCCGCTCGTCGTCGACGCCTGGGAGATCAGCTGATGGTAATCCCTGTGACGAAGAAGTGTTGGTGGGAGTTGGTGGCTGCGCAGAAGCCGCGGCCATGGGAGCGGAGAGTGAATATCCCGTCTCCATGTCGTGCACGGGGGTTGGACGTTGGGGAGTTGAAGACGCCGCGGGATCATGGCGCGTGCTTTTGCGACGGCCTCCCCGCCGAGACGGCATGTATTGGCAGAGCAGTCCGCCTTGTTGACAGCGGGAGCACGAGGGCCGCTTTGCATCGCACTTGAGATGCTGCTTCCTGCATTCCGTGCAGGCCAGCGCGGTCAGGCCATTTTCCTTGGTCAGCCGGACCGGCGGCATATTCAGAGGGGTAATTAAATTGACGATCTTGATGAGGGTGGTGGCTGATGTGGAGGTTTAAGAGTGCAAGTTAGGTAGAGAACGGATGGATGCAGAATGAAGATATTCCGAGGATCGATTGAATCATCCCCCGCCACAGCCAATCAGAAGCGACATTTCCGCTCGCATTCAACATGGATCTATAGAACTACTACTGTAGATGGATTAGATGTTAGACCGAGAGTAGTATTACGATGGATATATTGTATTTCATCCTACATCGTTGAAATTTGCAATTCGCATGGTCCTCATCCAGTCGGCGATCGTCGGGATTCGATCTTGGCTGTGTATCTCCACCAGACCGCACAATATCCATACGCTCTAAAGAAGAAAAGAACTGGAAGTAGATATATCATCGACTGGTCTCTTGAAGACTATATTCATGCGCGAAGTGGCCTATTTCTCTGCAGATTCACAACACAATGCGTCGGTTGGAGTCACTACATCAGATGCCGCAAAGGGGAAATGTGCTATCAGTCACTATGGAATGCGGATTCATATCTGATAATGCTATTTAAAGGCGTTATACTTCACGTTGATGGACAACACTGCACTCAATCATAGCGTCTACGTTTATCAATGTGCACGCCCTTCGGCTGACAGAGGCCCCGCATCTAGGCGGTGCTCCCGAAGATAAACGCTGTGTTGTGAAGTGACTCATGCGCTGCACCCAGCAATATCAGAGAAGCTCTATCTACAAGACCCAAGACTCACTCCTACTCGCAATAGCTCAGGATCGAATATCACCACTCAGTACCATCAGACAATATGTCAGCTCAAACCCCCTTCGGAGCCCCCATGAGGAAACATTTCCTCGTGGATCCTGGGTTCTTGAATCTCAACCATGGTAGGCACAGCAATACACAGCTCGATAGCCTCACACTAACAACCTAGGCTCCTTTGGAACACACCCAGAAGCGGTTCGAACTGTTCTGCGCCAGTACCAAGATGAGATTGAAGCCCGCCCAGACCCATTCATTCGGTATCGCACACCAGAACTGCTTGATGCATCCCGCGCAGCCGTCGCAAAGATGCTCAATGTCTCCCGCAAAGAGTGTGTGTTCGTCAAGAACGCCACTACTGGGGTGAACACTATCCTCCGGAACATTCCCTTCCAGCCGGGCGATGTTATAGTCTACTTTGACACCGTTTACGGCGCTGTTGAAAAGGGAATTATCTCCCTCATGGAGTCGACGCCCCTCCAGGCCCGGAAGGTTGAGTATGAGTGCCCCATAAGCCATGATGACCTGGTATCGCGGTTCCAGGATGTTGTGCGCGCGACAAGGGCCGAGGGATTGAATGTGAAAATTGCACTGTTCGACGTGATCACCAGCATGCCGGCAATGCGATTTCCGTTTGAACGACTGACTGAGATATGCCGGGAAGAAGGCATCCTCAGTCTCATTGACGGTGCTCATGGGGTTGGCCAAATCCCTCTGGATCTTGGGAAACTGCAGCCTGATTTCTTTGCCAGCAACTGCCACAAGTGAGTATGCTCCATGCTACGTTAGCTGCACTATCTCTCTAACACTTTGTAGGTGGCTTTTTGTCCCTCGAAGCTGTTGCGTCCTCTACGTCGCCAAACGCAGCCAACATCTTATCCGGACTACTATCCCCACGTCCTGGGGGTTCATCCCTCCTCCGGATGCCCCCGAGACTGCTCCGTCGGTGATTAAAGACGAGGACCCAACCAAAACTGCATTCGAGAGCCTATTTGAATTCGTCGCCACAAATGACGATACGCCGTATTTCTGTGTCCCAGCGGCATTGAAGTTTCGCAACGAAGTCTGCGGTGGGGAAGACCGTATCTATACTTACCTGGAAACTTTGGCGAATGAGGCGGGAGACGTCGTGGCTGGTATCCTAGGGACAGATGTCTTGCAGGAACCCAACCTGGCACCAGGGACACAAAGCCAACTTCGACGATGCGCCATGTCCACTGTCCGGCTGCCTATTGCTGTTGGACAATCGGAAACGAGCGAGAAGGCCTGTGCCGTGGTGCAGGAAGACCAAGTTGGCTCGGTAGTGAGCTGGTTCCAGACTACTCTCACCAACAAGTATAGCACGTTCGTGCCGGTCTTTGCGCATGGAGGCTGGATGTGGACGAGACTTAGTGCACAAGTGTACCTGGACAGGCAGGATTTTGAGTGGCTTGCTGGGGTTTTGAAGGACATGTGCGGTGATATTAAGGAAACGGGGCTGGTGATAAGCAATTGAGATTCATGTCTCAGTTGCACGGTGTGAACGCTGTAGCTTTCCTGCAACCACGCGTTTCTGATTCAATTCTGATCATGAACACCGCGCCATGTAAACGTCTGCCTCGTCAATAAGAAGAATGGCATTCCAGTTTTGGGTCTTTTGAATTGTTTAGTTAGATTTTCTTGAACACCTTTGGGTCAGTTCCAATGTCGCTGCATGTCAAAGTCATGAGCTGTCTTCTGATGTATTCGGCGATGCATTTTAGATTCCAGGAAATTTTCAGATGACAGAAGACTTAAAAACGTGCGTAGGATGACTTTAAAGAAAGTACTCCCCGACAGTGCATGTCTTACCAACCCCACGGCGACTATGCAGAAGCACATCATCCCATGTGCCTAATCCACCCAACGCAGCATTGCAGCCATTCGTGACGCTATAACAGAGATGATTGGACACTGTTCCGGTCTCCATATCTCTTTCTAGTATTTCCTCGCGTGTCTCGGGTTTTTGATGGTCGTTCACAGGAGTGCAGCAGACTGCGGGACGTAAGACACCGCAGTAAAAGACTATAGTAATACAGTGGAGGTCGAAAATTCGTAGCTGACAAGCTGAAGGACCTTGGCCCAGTATGCCAATGCCTGAAAAATTGATATCTTCTATTAATCGAGTCCTATTCATACATGACGCTCAGATATACAGCGGTCTATCTAGAGCAGACCATCGCGTTCATCTCAAGTCCGACGTCTTGATGGCTGAAGATGCACTTAAAAGGGCACGGGCAGCGGGCGCTGAAGATAACCCCGCCACTCGGGGAGAGTACGCTGCCATTTGGTACCAGAAGTCTTCTGGAGATCCTCAATAGCGCTGGCATACTTGATCAGAGTGGGCTCCGAAAAGGCGGTGTTCATGATCGCCAGGCCGTATGGCATGCCCGATTCCTCGTCGGTACCGGCGGGGAGAGTGATGACGGGGTAACCCGCCTGAGCCGCGATCTGGATGCTCTGCGCAACAGCTGGAGGGACTAGGAGGCCGTCCAGTGTGCGGTTACCGTGCTTTAGAGCGGCATCAATGCCCTCCTCGCGGGTGGTGCGTTGGCAGTACGCCAGCGCGGAGAAGTAGGTGTCGTCCATGATACCTTTGCTCTCTAGAGAGGCGATGAAGCCGTCCTGGCCGGAGCCGAAGGCAGGGTGAATGCCGGGGAAGCCACCCTCGGAGCCGTAGTTGTCTTTGTTATACTGGACGAGATCCTCCAGGGACTTGATGTTGGTGTTGTTAACCTCGGAGAGATAGTCGCGCAGGTTGTTATAAAAGTCAACCTTGATGTACGAGTACTCCGACTCATTGGCGTAGCCCCGGGAAGACCCGTAGTCCCAGTTCCAACCATCAGGCGATACGATGTCCTTATAGTGTGGGAGCTCGGTACCGTTGATAATAGTAGCGCCGGCCGACTCGATCAGGTCGAGCAACTCCTCTAGTTGAGCAACCTGCGCAGGATCACCGAGGGCCCAAAAAGACTCCCAGGGCAGGCCGAAGACGGCGCCCTTTAGAGCGTCCTTGTTGGTCAGGAATTGGGTGTAGCCACCCTTAGGGGTCAGACCCTTCTGGGCGAGAGTGTAGTTATCACGAGGATCAACACCGTAAATAGCATCAAGGGAATAGACCGCATCGCGGACCGTCTTACCAAAGGTGCCGACGGTGTCCTGGTGCAGAGACTCGGGGATGACACCGGCACGAGAAGTCAGACCGACAGTGGGCTTGATACCCACAATGGCGTTTCTCTGAGCCGGGTTGATAACTGAAAAGAAAGTCAGTGATTGTGATCCAATGGAAGATGTAACGGATCGTGTCACATACCGCTCCCGTCAGTTTCCGTGCCAAGGGCGATGGGAACCAGGTTGGCACCAACAGCCACACCGGGTCCTGTGCTGGAACCACCGGGGTTGACGGTGAAGTTGTACGCGCTGCGGCATTGGCCACCACGGGCAGAGAAGCCTTCAGAGTAGTTGTTGGAGCGCATATCGGCCCACTCACTCAGCGCAGCTTTACCCAGCAGGAGAGCACCGGCCTTACGCATGCCGTGGACCACAAAAGAATCGCGGGGCACGACGCTACCGATCAGCGCCCAACAGCCCGCAGTAGTCTCCATACGGTCCTTGGTGGCAATATTATCCTTCACAATGAAGGGAATCCCATGCAGAGGACCACGGATGTGGCCTTTGGCACGCTCCTTGTCCAACCTGTGGGCAATGGCATGGGCATCCGGGTTGAGCTGCAAGATGGCGCTAGAAACATGGTCAGTGCATATCGAGTAGTTTGGGGAGGGGGGATCACACTTCAGATAGGGCTGAGTCTGGTAGATCCGGTCGAGATAGCAATCCAACAGCTGGACGCTGGTGAGAGAACCATTGCTCATGCGCTGTTGCAGATCATCCACACTGGCCTCTTCGAGCTTGAACCCCTGGCAGAGACGCATGGGGAACAGCGAGGCACCAGGGGCACCCAAACGAGGGAAGTCGTAGGCATAGGGGTCGGTCAAGATCTGGGACGCAACGAGGGGGTCGGCATCCTGTGCACCGGACACGGCAATGGCCGAGCCGGCAAGGGCCAGACCGCTCAGTAGAGCCTGTAGCATCGGCACGGTGACTTTTTGGATTAACAGATGAATCCAATAGAGAAACCCGGCCAACAAATGATGTGGCGAAGAGAATGCGGCGCAAGGGAGCTTGGCCTCATATACCAGACAGACATAGTGAGATCGTGAAGTCGTGACTAATCGACGAATGCTGGCCCACTCGGCCAAAATCAATCGGCTAGTCTAGTCCGTGACTGCCTGGGCGCCCACGAGAGATCTAAAATCAATAGTGCATCTTCCTCATGGAACCGCCCAGTGCCACTCTGTCGGAGTTGATATCCGGGCGGAATCCTCGGAATAGATGCTGATGGGTCGTGAGGGCGTTGAAGTGACTAGTAGTATGGAGTACTACTGGGTCCAGCCTGTGCAATCTACGCCCGTCGGCGCCATCTTCTACTCCGTGCCCCGAGTTGCTCTCGATTATCTGCTTCGTTTGTTTCCAGAAGATATTAGCTGAATCCACCGGCGAAACCTTAGGGAAAAGTCTGACCTGCCTAGACGGTCCATAGTGGTCCACCTTGGCCGATTTCTTCCTGCCAAGTACCTACTTACGTTATTAATATGCTTCGGCCATACTTTGAGATACGAGAATCCTCTCGCTTGACGGAGCCCAGTGGTTCAGATGCCATAATGTGCTGCAGTACCTGCAGCTCGATAGGAGTTAGACATCCCATTGGCGAGGTAACTAAGAGTCATGATATAAGCACCTCGTGCCTGGGAAATATGGGAGATCTTCGAGAACCATAGACCAGACCGAATCTGCGTGGCCCTTGGGGTTTGGTTCATCTGAAAAACTATCGGTCACCACCTTCTCGACCAAGTGGGTTGTTTGCTGGAGAGAAAGTCGGAAGCCCATACTTGTATCCGTTCTTCCTCGAACCAGTCGACCATGGCCTGTTGACCGGTCAGCATGGCGATTCCCGCAGACATCCTCGTTGCGAATGCGACGGGGAGGATCCCCGAGAGCATTACCTTGTCGTATCTGGCAGAGTCGCGGGATCACTCGGCAATTGTGGGAATCATTTTCATGGTCTGCTTTGCCGGCTTGCTCATGCTTTTGCGCCTGTATGCCCGACTGTTTCTGGTTAAGAAACTTGGTCTGGACGATGCACTGGCCGTTCTCACCATGGTATGTTCACGGCCATCAACTGGAGAAGATGGAGGAGCATCGCTCCGCACCTAGACCTATAAGCCCTGCCATCAGAATGCGCCACTGACATTCTCACCAATTCGCAGACTGTTTATATCGTCTTTGTCGTTCTTTCCATCATTTTGATCAATATGGGCAGTGGCCGTCATATCGAATACATCCAATATGTGCTTCCCCTGCCCACCGTCCGCGAAACCGAAGTCGTCGACTTCGTCGCTCACATTCTCTACACGACCGCCCTGTTCCTTTGCCGACTATCCGGTCTCGCATTCTACTTCCGCATTAGTGCGCGCTCAAGCAAGCTCAGAATAGGCATTATATCGGTGGCCGGCCTCATCACCGCCGCCTACCTACCCCAGATCTTCCTTTTGATCCTGCACTGCAACCCCGTCACCGGCCTCTGGCCCTATCCCTGGCAAGTCGAGCCAATAAATTACCAGTGTCTCTCGTGGGGACTGGTCTACTCGGTGAACTCGGGCGTCTCGCTCGCCTGTGATGTGATGATGTTTATCATCCCGGGGATTTTGATCAAAGAACTCCACGTCCCCTTAGAAAAGAAGATCAAACTCTCCATCGTCATGTTCCCTGGTGTCTTGTGAGTATATCCAAATCACCCACCCCACGACCCAATCCGCTTACTTTTGCCTAGCGTCATCGTCATCTCTGCCGTCCGCGTCTGGCTTGTCGTCGTCGGGCAATGGGCGGCGGACGGGAGCTGGGCCTACAATCCCATGCTGTGTGTCGAAAACGCCGAAATCTCCAGCACTTTGATCGCCCTTTCCGTCCCAGCCCTGAAGCCCCTGTTCGGAAACCTCTTCAGCCGTCTGACCGAGTACACCTCCAGCCATACTCATTCACAATCCGTGCGCGGTCGATTGCGCAGCCGATCGATGGCGATGAGTGGTGTCGGTTCAAAGACGCGGAATGATAAGCGGCTTCTGAGCTGGTCGAAACTCGGCCACGACGACTATGAGATGATGTCCTCGGATATTTCGGTGACACGCGAAGGACACCGCTCGTAAGCGGATGCACAAGCCGTGTCTAGTGGAATAGAAAGATGCCCCGGACAGAGAATCAATTCCAGATTAATACACAGTTCCCGTGGCGACTCTCAGTCCCATGTTGCACAGTATTGTCGGTCTTTGAATGTCCATAATGCCTGCGTACGCGTCCACATATAAATAGGACTGGTGAACTAGAAATCATCGATTCATGACCAAAATACGGCGAGCTATGTCTGGACTGCAGGCCCCTGCGCATATATAATGACGGTTTATCATTTACTGTCCAACTAGGAACTGTATATAGGGCTAGCACGCAATTTCCGGTGCAGGTCACTGGGACTGCGTATTCCTCAGGCTTCCTATACTACGCTAAATCCTGCTCGGATGACCTCGGTAGGAGGTCGGTATATAAAACACTGAGAGACTTTTTTTTTTTTTTTTTTTTTTTTTTTTTTTTTTTTTTTTTCATATTCACCCCACAAGCTACTAAAATCCTACAAGGGCAGAGCTAGGATCTGCTCTGGCACATGGTATCTGAGTAATAAAACCGCCCCACGTTACTATTATTGACTTGCTCAAAGGGCTCTCCTTACGAGCAATCTAACTTCGAGAGCCGCTTATACCGACTGGCCGAGGGATAATGATGCCGATTCCCTGGGAATCCTGTTACCATGCGTCCTGCAAAGGACTGCGAAGCTATCCCAGCCGGCCTCGCAGCCATATCTCACACAACAAGCCAAACATTCATCCCGTTGAATGAGCGGCTCCCAGCAATAGAATAAGGCAAGCAGACGACTGATAACATCATCGCGAAACAAGTATACTTGCCGATTGTCGGCAACAATCGTTCGGAGAAGTGGCCCACGCTCCTCACTCCGGTCTAGAAGTTTTCTCGCTTCTTCTGATCTATTGCAGCCATCGTTTTGGCATTGGACCATTCCAATGCCACGGGGAATATTCTGGACTATCTTGCAGGGGCCCACGCGCGCTGTTGCCTGACCATCCCTGAGGATCTCAAAGTAGACCTCCAGTGCCGGCTGTCGATCATAAGTCATAGTCTCCGTCACGTTCAGCATGGCGGTACCTCCTATGCAACTTTGGACAGCCCGGACCACTCTTTCAGGGATGCAGACCTGTGGCCGTTTGTTATACGCCCCCTTCTTGGAAAGGAGCGTTGCCTTCTCCCCCACGCGACTGTAGAGCCGATTTTCGAATATTATGTGGCCTGGTATGATATTGACGCGGCACATCTCCATCGCATCCACTGCAGTGAAGTCTCGAAGGATATCAAGATAGAAGCAAAGCCCATTGCTTGCGGTAGCAGAAACCCCAGACTCTTCGGGCTCGTCTGCAAATGGCCTCCCATTGAAGACGTATTCAGCAAATCGGAGTTGAGATGCTTCCGTCCACTGCAAGTCAGAGATAGCATACTCAATGATCGCGTCCACGATGGACGCCCCCCCTGAGCCCCCAATCACCCGTGACACTCGCATTTGTTGCAGTCGATAGATGTACTCGAGACCTTTTCTACTGGGACATAGCCCCTCGGTGGCAATAATGCCTGAAAGACCTCGGACCAGCCTAATGATGGCTGTGGTGAGAACTACCAGACAGAATGAGGTTGACCGAGGGGTTGTTCCCTGGGGAGGGGTTGGAACGCAGATTTTGCACCTGCAATGGTGTGCTAAGATGCCAATGGATTCTTTAAATATGTCGCACGCATGTCTGTAAGACAACGCAGTGTTGAATGTATTGAACATTGCGGCATGTAAATCTTTGTCGCTTAGTTCCGGGAATCGAAATCCGGAGAAATTGATGAAATCATGGCCATAACTGACAGGGAAGTACGCGGTGCTCCTGTGCAACCACTCACGTGGCACATTGCTGTCTGCTTTCTCCAACGCGTAGAAGATGCGCGCAGCACTGCCCATGGCAGAGCCGAAAGGAGCGTGCATACTGAGAAGGAGGTGCGATTGATCCCCAAACGTTCTATACAAAGCTTGTGTCCACGAGACTCGTCCGCTGACAACAAAATCATGGTTTGGCTTCAATTCAGCGTGTGATCTGAATAGGGACGTTGCATCAGGTAGCTGAATCGTACGGTCTCGCTGGATCAAGCTTGATGTCGGGCGCGGATTTCTGGAGTAGATGACAGTGAGATGGGGTTCTTCGTCGTCGGAAAAGTTGCGAAACCAGACGTCGTCTTCTTGTTGCCGATCACTGGTGTATAAGATCACCTTCAAGTCCAATAGCCAATTGGCAATTGCTGCAATCAGAGCGGCATCCGCGACGCCGACGAGAGTTAGATGGCGCGTGGACCCCGAGCGAAGCCCCATAATGGCGTACAGGGCTTTGGCAATGTCCGTAGCACTCGCCACGCCGCGGGTTCGTCGCGTTTTGTTGGAACCATGTCGCCATGCGTGTTGTCCTACAATCGACTCGTGATCAAAAGCCATGTACTGCTCGGCCCAGAGAGGGAAGCTGGTCGCAGAGAGTATCCCAGCACATTTCTCCACGAGCAAGGTCATCTGCATTTGAGACGGGAGTTTGATTTGCTGTTCGTCCGGCACGTTTTCGAACACTTTGCGGCTGAAGGCAAGCATGATTTGGCCGGCCATGCTGGTGGAATACACCTCAGAAAGACAGGCGCTTAGAGCAGTGAATCTACACCCAGACTCCGTTTCGAGAAGGATCTGGATGGGACTTTTGTGACCAAAACCAAACCAAAGCAACTTTTGAAAACCTGCTTGGACCGGTGCCCTCTCCAGCGCTTGGTGGAATCTTTCCATCCCCACTGGACTGTAGGATATTGCATGGCCGACCAAAACACATACCCCATAGGCAAAGTGGTCGAGCCCTGCGTGAGATATTCGGGCCAACGCATTGATGGAAAAGTTGATCAATCCGGATGAGGCTGCCCCCGCATCAATTGTGACCTGGAAGGGAACTGCAGTAGTAGATTGGGGTGTAAGCTCATGGGAAGGTCCAGAAGTATGCGACATTTTTGGCCGTGGTCTGGGTGTTTGATAGATGTATCTTGTTAAGACGAAAGGGCAGGGGTTGGGATCATATACGGTGAAATAAAGGTGGGCTAACTTGTCCTTCTCCTCATTTTAGCACCCAAGTACATCAAAGCCTTGCCAAGGTAGTCGGAGCTGAACTCTGACAACTCTCATTGAGCGTCTACTGCACCTTGATAAGGACCTCATCTACCTCGACCGCAGGCAAACAGGCAAGAAGACAGTTGGCGCTCAGCCCCCCGCACGTAATCTGTCGTGCTGTCCAGTAAAAGAGGTCAACGTGGAGAGAGAGAGAGCCTTGTCGGCATTGTTAGTTGTATCATCTGGTCTCTGAGTTGGCACGAGTCCGGCGCTTAGGGAAGACAGCCTTGTTTCTCTGATTTGCACAGAGCCTCAATCCCCTGCGAACTACCTATAAGTACGGTTGTCACTCGAGTAAATCACATAGAGACAGGTCCTCTCTTTCTATTGCTCAGCCTGTGACAAATCTGCAAATCCTACGCACTGCGATACGGCAATTGACTGTGATATGGCAGATAATACCAGCACCTTGGCAGATGCGTGCGCTCAAATCTTTCCAAATAGGCAACGTTCCGAACTCCTTGACGCTATTGATACTCTTCGCCACTTTAAACAGAAAGGCCTTTACCTCCCAGTGCCGCAAATTGTCGTGCTGGGAGACCAGAGTAGCGGCAAGAGCTCTGTGCTGGAATCTCTGGCACGTATTTCGCTCCCCGTCGGCACCGGCTTATGCACCCGTTTCCCAATCGAACTTGTCCTCCGAAATGGCTCGTCCGATTCCATGGAAATGGAAATCCTGCCCAGTCGCACCCATGAACAGAGCGACATGTCGACGCATGAGCTGAAGAAATTCAGGAAGTCGGCTACCAATCTTGGAAATGTGGATGTCTCAAGGTGGATTCAAGAAGCAGCGGAAACAATCGGGGTCGTTCCTAAGCATGGTTCTTCGGAGGAAAAAGGTTCTCGGGGTTACAGTGATGATGTCGTCCGAATCATTCGACGCGGTCCCCAAATGGTCGACCTGACGCTTATAGATCTCCCGGGCCTGTTCCAGAGCCCTACCGAGACCCAATCAGAAGAGGACAAGTCGAAAGTCGAGAAGATAATTCTGGAGTACGCTGAAAATCAAAATAGCTTGATACTGCTCGTTTGCTCAGCCCACAACGACTTTTCGGTTAATGGAACACCGAGAGTTCTCAATGGCCAGTTTTGTGATTGAACGATGGGTATCCTTACCCGCTCCGATTCCGAGAATGGGAAAGAAAGAATCATGAAGCTCATCCAAGGAGAAGAAAAAACGCATGCCGAGCTTGGCTGGCACTTTCTTATCAGTCGGTCCGAAGAGCAGCGTCGGAATCAGCTTTCTTTTGAGCAGAGAGACCAAAATGAACGTGCTATCTTCGACGCCCAGCTTGCCGATATACCAGAAGGAATGCGTGGGATTGGTGCGCTACGAAAAAGACTCAGATCTTACTTGGCTGGATATATAAGGAGGCATCTTCCAGAATTGATCAGCAGCGCCAGGGACGCTGAAGAAACACGCCGGATTGACCTGGAGAAGATGCCACCTCCACGGGGAACAGAACTGGACCAAAGAAACTACTTGCGCATCGAGGCTGTCAAGTTCGTCAATCTAGCGAACGCGGCCACCTATGCGCATTACTGCGAACCTTTAAGTTTCTTTGGGGACTTTGACGACCAGACTGGGGCGCATCTCGGCGCGGACTGGAACAAAGCAACTAAGCGAAGGCTGCAGTCCACGATTAGGGAACTGAACCGCATTTTTGCGATGGAAATGAAAGACCAGGGCCCTCGCATTCGCACGAGTGCCACGGGGATGCCTGACAACAGAGACAACTTGAGCGAAGCAAGGGACAGTTCCTCCGGTGAAAGTAGACGGAGCGCACAAGATGGCAGCGATAAGAGTGCTGTTCAGTCAGGAGCCGACCGGCCTGCAGATAAAGACAATCGAAAAGTGTCGGAGCAAGCGGAAACTACGCCCTGGGACACCTATCTACCGAAGGAGTTGCGGCCAACATATAAGGCCCCAGCTGCCCAGCATATGACAATGGCTGAGTATGAGAAATTGATCATGGAAAAACAAAGGCAATGGTTAGGCCAAGGTCCACGGAGCGAAATCAGCACCGACCTTTTTCTGGCCATAATTTACAAGCAAACGGCGGAATGGCACCAAATTTCTGAGACTCATCTTGAAAACGTTCTCCAGGCAACCCGTCACTTCATTGAAGAGGCACTAGAACATAACCTGCCTAAAAATATTCGTCTGAAGGTGATGAGATATATCATCACTCCACGGCTACATAGTCTTCAAAAGTCTGCAAGACAACGCCTGGAGGAGCTCCTTGACTGTCACAGGAAGGAAGCCCATGCATTTTTGGATGCATTACCAACCTTTGGCTCCTCTGAAGAGCCTACTGTGTCAATTCCGATCAGCGTTATTTCCAACGGTGTATCAAGACTGAGTCATTTAATACAGTCAGACAAATTGCGTGGTTTGTGGGCTACACTGAAAGATGGAAGATATCTAAGCGACAAGCCAGAAAACGGAAGGTTTGCCTGGCAAATACTCGCACTTGTTGACACTCAGATACCGCAGCCCCTGCGTCATGTTCTCAATTCCCTTTGGGATGAGGCGCAAAGCAGCCAAAGGAGGAGATCCGAATGCCATGCCCCGAGCAGGAGGCCGCACGGCGCCTCATTGACCATACAGATAGATTCTATAAGGTAAGCTGCGCTCTGTTTTCGCTCCCATATTTCGCTTGCCTGACGAAATTATATCCAGATGACGGTTTTCAGTTTCGTCGGGTATGTCAATGCGATGATCGTGAGAGGTCAGATCATGAGGGGCCTAAGGGAACAAATCTTCACCATGGGAATTGTCGACGGCATGTGCTCGAATGATCTTCAATTGGTAGCTGGGGAATCTCCCAAAGTTATTGAGGAACGTCGCAGTCTTGAGACTGATATAGAGAGGCTTCAGCACGCGAGGCAAGTCCTTGAACATCATAGCACTCAGACTGCACTGGATGCATTCTAAATGTTGGGTGGTGAAAGTTGATAAAGATTATACTATGAACAGTATAGTCCAGCCTTTTCCTCTAATACCATTTATGTTCGATTTAATTTTCGGGCCTAATATCTAGCCAGCTTAGCGATCTAGACAATAAAGACATTGCACCAGCCAAACCTGCTGTGATTCAATGCCTGGTTACGGCAAAAATGTGGCCGTTTACGGGCCACAGTTATTGTCATTTCGGCGTCTGTTCCACAGATCCTCATATTCCAGCTGTAGGTCACTTGGAAAAAAGTAATATCTTTATATTTTCTATATCTCCATCGCCTCAGAAGCTATTTCCCAGCGTAGTACTGGCAAGGACGAGAAATGAGATCAATTCAGTTCGAATACTATATGCAAAAGTATAGTCCTCCTGAATACCTTAGTCTCATGTGGCTTAGTGCACTGCCCAAACACTAGAAGATCTACCTGTTTGTGCGACGGAGTATCACAACTGGATATGGTCGAGGCGGATGTTGGCGAGTGCGAAGATACGGCACTCGAGGATGGACTTAATAGCTCCAAGATAGCCTGCACGCATTGGCCATCTGCCAACATATTCAATGACGTTGTATGTCCTAGATAGTATAGAATGCTCCCCTCCACATCCATCATCAATGTAAAATGAGTCACTTCGGACTTACGACTGGCTCTGATGGCGATAACCGGCGTCATGGTTTGGCTGGCATGAAATTGATTAGTGCTGACAGGGAGAAGCATAACGCACACCTCCGTTGACAGGGAGAAGCATAACGCACACCTCCGTTGACAGGGAGAGTGCCCGCGCGAAGGAACGGGCCCAGTCCCTTCGTATTTTACCTCCCACTCCACAGCTCTCGTATCCGTGTCGGTTTCATACCTGGTTATCCCTCCGGCCTTACGACTAGCTCGGGTGGCGATAATCGGCTTCATGGCTGGGCTAGCATGGAATGGATTACTGCTGACAGGGAGGGCCGTAGTCCCTGCATATTTAAGATCCAGACATGGCCGACTGTTATTCCTCGTATTCAATTCCACAACTCTGCGTTTTTGAGAATGCCTCGCGTCTGGTTCATCACTGGTTGTTCGTCCGGTCTCGGACGCCAATTGGCCATCACAGCGGCCAAACACCAAGACCGAGTCGTTGCGACATCGCGCGACCCATCTAAGCTATCCGATTTGGTGGATCTCGGAATTATCGTGAAGAGACTGGACTTGCGCAGCAACGATGAGGAAATCCGCGCTGTAGTGGATGAAGTCGCTTCCACCGTTGGGCCAATCGATATCCTCGTCAACAACGCCGGTTACGTCCTCGAAGGAGCCGTCGAAGAATGCAGGTGCGTTCATTTATTCCCCAGCGACAGGAGCATAGACTAACGACAGCACAGCGACCAAGAAATCAAGGACGAGTTCGACACAAACGTCTTCTCTCAGATACGGGTATTGCGCGCTGTCCTGCCATCCATGCGTGCGCGACGATCTGGGGTCGTGGCCAATCTGGGGTCCATCGGGGGATGGAGAGGGCCCCCAGCAGTTGGTATGTACTGCGCCAGTAAAGCCGCCATAGCCATCTACACCGAGTCCCTGCGGGCCGAGCTTGCGCCATTCAACATCGACGTGACCTGTGTCGAGCCGGGGTATTTCCGCACGAACGTCTTGACAGGAGGGCATAAAGTCACCGCTAAGAACCGGATCCCGGAGTTGGACGCGGGAACACAGGCGACCCGTGATGCGTTGGCTGCATACAGTCTACGACAGCCTGGGGACCCGGTGAAAGGGGCGCAGGTGCTGTTCGAGGCGTTGACGAAGACGGGTCGATGTGCGTCTCGTCAACTACCTGGGAGATTGGCACTGGGCCGTGACTCCATCGATGCGATTGGAGCAAGCATGGCAAAAGAGCAGGCCATGCTGGATAGTTGGAGGGATATCATTGAGTCGACAGATTGTGACGATGTTCGGGCTAGTTGACCTGCTGCAGTATCGAACAATAGCCGACGATAAAGGTTGGCCGGAGAAATAGCAAGCGTTCACAACGCCTATCAGGGCAATTCTTCTCAAATCCTTGCAGTCGTAATTTCTCCGGAGGCTTGAAACCCCGCATGAATCGCATCAATGCACCCCGAGCCTCCTTGGCGCTGGCAGTTAGATCCAGATAAACACAGCATGTAGCTCATAGAATCTGCGTCGACGACATGTTATCATCGAAATGTACCTGCTCCAGACAATTACTCTGCTCCCGGCACTTCTAGCCCTCATCGGGATAACACAGGCATTCCAATGCAAGGCCGACGAGGACTGCAGTTTGACAGGCATCTGCTCGCCACGTACCAAATCCTGCATCTGCGATCCTGGCTGGCGCGCCGCAGATTGCAGCGAACTCGACCTCCAGCCCGTAGAAAGATGGACAGGCTACAACCACACGAACATCACGCTCCCCGATTTCTACAAAGAAGGGGCCGGGAACTCGTCCTGGGGCGGCCACATCATCCAAGACCCGCAAGACAAAGGCCTCTTCCACCTCATCATCTCGCAAATGGACCACGGCTGCGGACTATCCGGATGGCGACCATTCAGCACCGTCATCCGCGCCGAGTCTCGCACCGGGCCTCGCGGGCCATACACCTGGGCGCAGGAGCTCTTCAGCACCTTCCATCACAATCCCACGGTAGTCTGGAGCCCCGCGGACAGGCGCTACCTGATGCACTTCATCGGATACGACTGGGACGCGCCGGACCACTGCACGTCGATCAAGCGAAACAACTCCATCTCCGTGTCGAGCTCACCCGACCTCCGCAGCTGGAGCGACCCGACCACCCTCCTCGTCAACGTCACGAACCCAGCCGCCTGGCCGCTCTGGACGCCCCAGCATCGCACGCCGGAGATGCTCCTCGCGACGGAGAAGAATAACATCTACCACGCGAGGCGGTACACGGGACCGTATACGCTCTGCGTGGAGCCTGGGTTCATCGAGATCGACACGTCCCTGCGGAGCGAGGATCCGTTTCTCTGGCGGGATAAGCGAGGGCATTGGCACTTTCTGGTGCATCATATGGTGGATATTGCGCTTGGGAAGAAGGGCCCGCGTGTAGGCGCGCATGTGTTTGCGAGGCGCTGGGAAGGCCCGTGGCATTACAACAATGTCACACTGGCGTATAACACTACCGTTGAGTTTACTGATGGGACCACGATGGAGTATTATCGCAGAGAGCGGCCGAAGCTCTACTTCAGCGATGATGGCGAGATGACGCCGCTGTATCTGGTAAATGGAGTGCAGGAGTTCGACAGTCCGGCCAGCTATACTCTGCTCCAGCCGATCGGACAGAAGTACAAGGAGTATGAGAAGGACTTGGGCTTCTAATGCACTCAAACAAAGGAACTTGACGGTGTTTGCGAGAGTAGAAGTAGACTGAGATGCCACGGCAGCCTAAGGCACCAACGATAAGATAAGCTAGCTCCGATAAGCTCCAAACTTTTCCCCAATTTGACTTCATTTTCTCTCTCTTTTCTCTCACATCCACCCACTCACTCCTCATATTCTTATCCACAACATGTCATCCGAAGACTCCCTCCTCTCCGAACTCTGCACAATATGGTACGCCTCAAGTTCAACCCTCTCCCTCACTCACCCCACCACTAACAGCAACAGCCACATCAACGCCCCCAAATACCGCTGTCCGCGCTGCTCAACCCGCACCTGTTCCCTCCCCTGCTCGCGCCGGCACAAGCTCTGGTCGCAGTGTTCCGGCATCCGCGATCCGGCCGCCTACCTCCGCCGCAGCGAACTCGCCACCGAGTCCGCCTTTGACCGCGACTTCAACTTCATCACGGGGATCGAGCGCGGGCTGGAGCGCGCCGAGCGCGACGTCGAGAATCGCGGGATTCGCGGACGCTCCGGGGTGCTGGACCCCGCTGCCGTGGGGTTGGAGCATGAGGTAGAGAGCTACGAGTCGGGGCCAGGGGATAAAAAGCGGAAACGTGGCCCGGGTGCGGAGGGTCCTGGGCTGGTGAAAGGGGAAGCTGGGTTTCTGCGCGGGGCTGAGAATGCCGGCGTGAGGGTTGTTCGGGCGCCTAGGGGTATGAGTCGGAATAAGGCGAATGCGACACGGTGGCATCCGAAGTATGTGGTTTGATTTTGGTTTTTGCTTGTTTAGGGGGTGTGGCTGACGGGTTCTTTACAGACACAAATGCTTGAATTGGACGGTGGAGTGGATTGGCCCTGGTGGGGAGAGGAGGAACAGATCTTGTTTGGAATCATGCTCTATTGCAGAGGCCTACGACCGCGCCTTTCCTCTGCCGAAGCAGGAGCGCGAGCAAACTGTGTCCGAGACAGAACCCCAGGTCCAAGACGAGTCCGCGCCTCCGTCTACGGCGACCAACGTCCAGAATACCGCACCCGATGCAGAGGATGCCCAACCAGACCGCACGTCTACGCCGCCTGACAAGATCTCGTCCCATCGCGATCTCTACTTCTATCTCCATCGACCCCGCACTGCCACGAAACAGCCGGTACTCATCCCCGTGGATCCCCGAGCCACCCTAGCCTCCGCTCTTCGGGACCGCACTGTGCTCGAGTTCCCCTCGATTTATGTACTTGCAGACTCACCTGAGACACTACGCACGACAACAGAAAATCCCTCGTTCCTCCTCGAAGAGGTGTATCTACAGTCGCAACCACAGGCCGAGCAAGAACAGGACGACACGACGGCTGAGGAGACGGTCGAGGGTGCACATGCACTGGGCTCGGTGGATATTACAAACGTGGATGAGAACAAAGTCTTGGAGGTGTTGAAGAAGGACCTCTTCGAACCTGTTTCTGCGGCAGCAACACCATGACCTTGGATATGATTTGGTTACTTTGGATTTAAGGGGATGTATGGGTTACCTTTTGTTGGGCGTTTTGCATATAGCCTCCAGTTGCATGGAACATCTAAACGCTCGTTCGGTTATGCGCCTCTTGGAGCCGAAGAACCGGCAGTTAGTCTATGGCAGCGTTTCTAGAATCAATATTGGGTAGAACTTGTCGGTTCGAGCAACGAGCAGATATTCGCCATTACTGGTGCACTCAAGGTGCCGGTACGTCAGGATCCGGCAGAACAGGCGACTCGATCGTCGACCCGAGACTGGCTTTGTAAGGTAGTCAATATCACTGCTCGATTGCTCACTAATAGATAGCCAAATCAACTCCTATGCGGTCCCAACCAAAAGGGTATCTTGAAGAATATAATAACCAAAACCAAGAAAATCAAAACGCCTTGAATGCAAATGCTAGAAGGTGCAACCCACGAGAACTCATCGTGGGATGTACTACTCACTGTCAACTCACTTGACAAGGTAGTAACTCTTAAGGATCCCTCGTCGATCTATTTGACCATCGTCTCTCCGTCAAAGTGCACAGGCCATAAAATATGGACCTAGCTGGACCGGAGGCGATGAGCAATCAGTCGCTTTAACCTAAAAGGCGACTGGAGCAGTGTAGGTCTAGGTGAACTGCCTATCAACTGATGGACAGAACCCTCAAAAATTGAGGCCACCGGTCACTACATGATCCGGTGAACTCTGACACAGAAATGAAGCGATTATCTTCCATCTGCGTCCCGAGAAAAGATCTCGATCTGAATGGCCCTAGGCTCAATCCCAGCATCATGGCGGGACAAGTCTATTGAGCTCACCAGAAGCAAGTCAGATGGTCCAAGGCCTGTGTGCCCAATGGCTGGAACGGCTGATAAAACGCCAATTAAAGGCTTATCTGGCTGATTCGAATGGTCCATAATCCAAAATAGACTTGCTGATCAAGTCAATGGACCAGTAGACTCGGAGGCAGTATCAGGGAGATCATGGTCCTCCAAATGCGTCGTCATCTTCTCCGACATAGACAAGATCTCTGTGGGAATAGTGTTTGGCTGTGTCGGGACCTCATCGTCCTGCGCCAGGGTACCGCCGACCTTGCGGCTCAGGCTCGCCTTCGACTCTGTCGGCGACATGTTCAGGCGCTCAGCCCGACTGGGCTTGAGCTTGAGACGGCCCCTTTCCAACGCTCGCAACAGCGTGCTAATCTCTTCCGAGACGATCCCGCGCAACTTGCTCATAGCCTCGTCGGAGGCTTCGGAGTGCGCGTTCCATCCCAGTTTATCCGATTCCTCGGAGACCATCGACTTGGACTCCAAGGACGGTCCAGTGATCAGCTTGTGCAGCGTGGTGGGAGAGACATTCTTGGGGGACACATGGGTAGGCGACGCATTGGGCCGACGGGCCATCTTCACGGGCTTTTGCTTTGAGCCCGTGGAGACGGAGGCAGCCTCCTCCGGCAGCCTTTTCGGCGGCCGTTGGATGGGCATATTAGGGCCTTCGCCCACCTCGTTACGGATTTTGTAGTACACCAACCCCAGCGTAGCAGCCAGGGCCTGATGCGCAGCCTCCGGGTACATGCGGACGGCCTCTGCTCGCGTCAGGTTCGAGGGAGATTCGCTGGAATCACTCGAATCACTGTCAGTGAAAGCATCAGTCTGATGCATGCGACTCCAGTACTGATAACCACCCAGTCGGTAGAATTCAGCCAGCTGTACAAGCCGATTGACTAGGGGCTGTGTTAGTGTGTGTGGGTGGATCATCTACTTCGTACGCCACTTACTGCGACTGCGCTTCTTCAAACACCAGAACCACCAAACGGTGCGAGGGAAGTATTCGGGCCACTGCAGGGAACCGTCTTCCTCGACGTAGGGAACCGGGGTGATTGGGGCGTGTGTTGTGTGGGCGAGTGAGTTGAAACGGACACGCTCGGAATGCTTCATCCGAGACTCGATCAGGGTGAACCGATCGAAAACCGAGTTGAGATGACGCGATGTCTCGTGTTGGAGGGTGATGAGATCAGTCCTCAACTGACTGATGGTGGTGTGCAACTTGCTGATCTCCATCCGACATCCGAAGACATCGGTTTGCAAATGCTCGAGATCCGCCTGGATCTGGTCGACATTCTTGGAGAGACGATCGATATCACTGCGAAGAAAAACAGTCTCGTTGTTGGAGATACTGGACTTGAGCTGAAAGACGCCGGTCTTGAGTTGGTCGACATCGGTGCGAAGGGCGACGACGTTCAGATCGATCCGGTTGGAGATGGAACGATGGGCCTCAAACTCTCGTCTGAGGTGTTCGTCTTCGCGGTTTCTCCGGTCGACATAGCCGTCCTTGGTGAGAACGGTCGAGCGAAGCTCTAGGAGGTGAGAGTCGAGGATAGTGAGGCGGTCGTGAAGGTGAGAGATAGACGGGTTGGTGATGGATGGATCGGACGAAAGGCTTGGGGAGGTAGTTTCATGGCGGAGAGAGAGCCGGGGACTAGAGATGGGGATGGACATGCTCGACGCGCGCGAGAGGCTCCGGTCGAGAGTCGCGGTCATGGTGGAGGACTCCGACATTTGGAGGGCGGTGACGGGGGTCACTTAGGGGGTATGGTCCTTAGAGGGTAGTGACTGGTTCAGTGAAGTCCGAGGAGCATTTTGGTGGTAAATCTGTGATGGTAGTGATAAGAATGGTGGTGGTGGTGATGGTCAGGATTTGGGTGAAGAGGTGATGATGATGGCAAGTGACGACGAGGAGGTGAGAAAGAAACGAAGGGGGGCGGACGGGAACGGGATCTCTCCCTCATTCTGTTGCCCCCTCCCATCCTTGTGCTGTAGTAACACGACTACATCTTTCTTTTCTTTTCCCTCTTCCTTATCTTTTCATCCTTAAGCGGTTTATTTACTTGTTGTTTGTATTTTGATGATTTTCATCTTCCCTTCACTTTATCCTCGTTTCATTGACCTCCTATACAGAAACCCCCACAGCCAGAGAAAGGCGAGATGGATGGGAGTGATGTATTTTGGTATGGTGAATACGCGCTCGACCCTCTCAGCAGATGGTTATTTTCATCGCCCAATCACGATGGGAAGAGGGGGACGAGAGGGAGGGCGACCGTGCCCCATGGTTGGTCCAACGCAGTCAGCTGGTACCGTGCAGGTTGGTATTGTGACGGTATTGTTATTTTCAACATTGGGCGCTCTACAGAGTTACTTCAGGATGGGGCCACCAGTTGATAGACCCTCGCCTTCGACTTGGACAAGATGCCCATAAGTCATCGTCCACACCCCCATATACTATCCGACCCTTTTTGGTCTCTATTCTAGTGTGCAATCGTTCTGGTGTCCCAAAGTCGTTCGGGGGGAACTTTCTTCGCATACAAAGTGGGCCATTCCGGACTTGAGCATACAGAGTATCTCACATCATCACCACTCCAGAGTCAATGCCCAAAGAGCCTCATCTCTTTATCACCCCAGTTTCAGTATCTCATCTTATCAGTGATACCTAATCAACATAGCTGAGGAGAGAAAATAATATCACATCTCAATAAATCCGCCTGGTTTCACGATGCAATGTATACTACTAAGGTATATCTTACACGCCGAAGGCTAACTAGGTGACAACAGAGTAGAGTGAACAATCTAGAGTAAGGCAGACATCACTCACATCCATGCGAAGAACACCCAATCATACCTAAATGCATGTAGCAAACATCACTTGCACAGCCTCGGGGTTTTTCAGCCTCGGGGCAGCTGGATAACTATCGAATATATAAATTTAACTAATCTTCTGTTCTTGGAGCTTTCTACCATCGACAAAATGAACCCCCCTAGCCCTCCCCCCAGTGCGTTGCTACCAAGACAAGGAGCTATGGATTCCGAATCTCAAGTTGAAACACATCTTTCTACATTAGACAGCGATCATGAACGACAACAGCGTCTCTATTTCATATATTCCATACAGCAATTGTTGACCAGCTTCTCCAGACTTTCCACCTCGCTCCTTCGTGATGATCAATCGCTGCCTATTTCAAATGATCCTCCAGGCCCAAGTCCTCAAGTCGCGGATACAACCCGCCACCGCAAAAAAGGCAACGGTTCGCTAGCTAGACGTCGTTCTAAACCACAGGGAGCGCCTGATGCGGCGAAGCAGAAACACAAAAACCGGATAAGCGATTTAGAAGCGAAGTTAGAGGCAATGTATCCAGAAGATGGATCACCCGTGGTGTTATTGTGCTGGGGTGAAGAGTCCGCCAGCTCCATTTTACCAGTTCCTGTTTCGAGTTCCGGAGATGAAGTGGCCATATGGGAAGCGTTGAACAAAGCATGGTATACACGCAGAGGGTATTGGAGAAAGCTCCTTCCCGGGTTTTGCGTCACACGCGTTGACGTTGCCGAGGTTTGTTGTGGCACATTTACCTTTATTTTGATGAGCAATAACTGATCAGCACATCAAGATATCGATTCTGGGGTTGAAAATGACCCCAAAAAACCGTGAAGAAAATGAATACATTGGAATGTATACAGCTATCGACATACCCAGTGAGCGAAGAAGACTGCAAAATACTATAGACATCAATACTCCGGTCGAGCCCTGTTCCTATGATCTTTACACAGGAGAAGTTGACTGTGGCCCCGAGTGCTATTGCTCTGATTGCTTCAAAGATCATGATAATCTTGAGAGATGCAAAGTCAGAATACACACAGATGCCCAACGGGAACTCTCACACTTACACACCCTCAATCTGATGAAACATGTCTTTTGCAACCCTAACCTCGCTGCTTCCAATGACTTCCTCGAGAAGGGCAGGCTCGTGTATAGCCAACAGTGAGTGATACAGAGCGCTGGGAACGAGAAGTCTTCAGAAAACAACGCGCTAATTCATATGGAAGAAAAATATCTAGTCAAATACACAGTTGCCAGACGTGGCTCTGCCCAGCATTGAGAGAAGTCAAGTTCAGAGGCATAGTGATCAGCGACGGCTGGGCATTGAACACCCGTTGGATAACTTTGCAACTTGTCGTAATCACGTCTCTAGGAGTCGTGGTTGCTGCTAAATCCCTTTTCAGTTGGGATACAGCGTGGACTGTTGGCACTTTCTTTGTTGAGTTGATGGCGCTTCTATTCGCAACAGTCCTCACTCAGGCACATGAAAGTATATAGAAAGGCGACCCAGGAGAATTTGGAGAGCCACTGGAAAACTACTATTTGCGTCCTCGGGTCATTATCAGAACCCTCTTTGTAACCCTTGGACTTCTTGATATAGTGTATAGAATTTGTCGAGATCATGGAGTGGATCAGCTTCAATGACTTTAGAATGTCGGGCTTATAAAGTGTATTCATTGGGCTGGGCGTCTTTGTCCACGCCAAATACTCTTCATATCTACATCAAACAACGACACTGACATCATCAACAGCCAAGTATGGGACAATCAAGGCCCACGGCTATGCAAATCCAACGGCATAACGTGTCAGGAGCTGGAGCTTCCACTGACGGGGTATCACAAACAAAAACGCCATGCTGATGCTCTCATACTCATACACCCTCCTCCTCCTCCAACGCCAGAAACACCAATACTTTTTTTTTCTTTTCCAAATGAAAAACCCAAAAACAAACAAAAAAACAAAAAAACTAAAGCAACACCTCCCCGCTAGAGGCGGGATCGAAATCCCCCTCCAGCCCCCCGGCCATCAGCTCGGCCACTATCTTACGGCGCAGCAGCGGGATGTCTGCCGCGCCGTAGGATAGCGGCTCGATGCCGATGGCCACGGCCTTTGCCGTCGACAAAAGGAAGGCCCCGCAGTCGCTACCGTTGTCTTGTTGGGGGGATACGGAGGGGAGGACGGCCCACTCCTCCTCCACGTATCGCCCCCCCCAGCTCATTCTTCAGCCAGTCTTTGATCAATTTCACATGGCGCGGGGAGAGCGACCCCAGGGAGTCAAAGTGCTCGATCGTGCGTTCCGACGGCTTGACCACAATCAGCGTCCAGTGCGCGCTGTTGTGGACCGGAACGAACACCACATCCACATTCAACAGATTCTCGCCGCCAATCTTGGCCCGCGAAGCCCAGCGACGCACCCCCTGGTAGCCCTTATCGCGGAGGCTCGAGAAGAAGAAGGAGTTGAATGCGTGGAACCGAGGCTTGTCATGACGTCCAGCGTTACCATGGGTCCGTCGCAGGTAGTCCACAATCAGAGCCATATACGCGTTGATCACTTCATCGTTGAGCCAGGCCATCGGAGTATAGCAGGTCGCAAGATCTCTCTTCGTCAGAGGATCGCCTGCAAGTGTGGTCGCAATCTGTCGGTTGCTCGGTTGAGCCATCGCATCGGCAACGCGCCTGGCCCAGTTCCTAGGGAGAGGGCGGACCGCAGGGCCCTCGGGGCGAATTCGAGCGGGGCGCTGCTCCTTCTTGATCTCCTCTTCGATCTTCTTCCATTCTTTGGCATAGATCGACTCGGTGCGGCCCGGCGGCAGAGGCTTCGGGGCGGCGAAAAGACGCACAGCCGAGACCGGTCGTCCAAGGGGAAGGAAGTCAGGATTCAGCCACGGGTAGACTGTAGAGGCGTCCTCAGGTTCAATTTCGACTTTGATCTCCGCAGGAGGTACATTTTCTTTTTGTTCAGTTGATACATCGGAAGGTTTCTGTTCATCGCCCGCATGTTTCGAGTCTGGAGATGGGTGTAGGAACGGAGCGATTTCCGGAACCAGATCCGATTCAGGAATAATCCGAACGAGAGGAGAGTCAAACTGGACCTTCTTGCGCTTCGGCGCTTTCTGTTCGACCTGGACAGGAGTAGGTTGGGCAACCTGTTCCAGGGGCTCAGAGGCAGGAGGGCGAGCGGGCGATTCCTTTTGAAGGGCAGACGCAGCAATAGCTCTGGTGCGCAGGGTCGTCGAAGGGTCGAATTTGCTGGTGCGAAGAGCTTTCTGCAGCATAATCGCACGTCGTGCTTGCTCAGGGTTTCTTCTATTGATCAACCCGATGCGACGTTTGAGGTTCGGGCTGACTTTGGGATTGACATTGGGGCTCTTCTTCTTCGGGCTCACTGGGCCGAGAACTGACAATTTCTGTTCACAACGGCTGGATTGCTTACGTTGGCCATGTTTCATCACGCCGGTACGTGTGGTGCCCCGAGGTTGGCGACGCTCCTTGGAAAATCCGGTAGAAATGTGGCGATGAGAAGGTGGAGTGACGGAAGGCGAGGACGGCCTGGCCGCAGTAGTCGAAGATGGGCCACCAACAGGGAATGTAGGAAAGTCGATCGTTAGGTCCGGGAAGGGGAACTCTTCGGCCGCTGGGGAGCCTCTCTCTCGACGCCTCTGGTTATCGCGGATCTGGCGACGCTGTCCAGCCGGCAAAGCATGAAGATTCACGCGGGTGGGAGAAGCACGGGGTGAGCGACGGGCCGGACGAGGGACACGGCGTTGAAAGAGGCCGGCGGCACGGCGGCCAACCGAGCCAGCATATGTAGAGACAGTTTCGGTAACTGATTTGAAATGGTTGACAATGGCCATGGAGTATTTCTCGCAGGCGCTGAAGAACTTTGCCAATGTAGAAGTTGTGGTAGAGGGAACTTCGGCATCATTGTGCGCAGCAGGCACAAAAGCAGGTGAAGTACTATGCGCAAGTGCATTAGACGTATGGGCCGAATCTCCAGGATTCGCCGTGGAGGTGAGATGACTATTCAAAGGCATGGGAGACTGTTCCGGCCACATGCCCGGGATATTGCCATAGGCCACATGACCTGGCGAATGCAAAGTGACAGGTGCAACAAATTGTAAGTTCGACGATGGGGCGGCGGCAGAAAGATCGGTGGAGGGAGGAGAGACATGAACTGGCAATGCAGGTTCGGCGGGACGAGACTCGACGACTTTAGTCGACTGAGCTAGGATAGCTGATTCGGGGAACTGGTTGATGCTAACACGACGGTATTTTGTGGATAGTCTATTGTCTTCTTCCGAGGTAGGGCTTCTGATCTGGATGTCTTCATCGATCGATCTCTTGCGCGAAGTTGTGTCGGCAGTGCCGAATGTGGTGAAGGAATCGAAGCTGAAAGATTTGCGATCAAAGGTAGAGTGATTTGTATTGAGACTGGTAAAAGACGAGTCGCGAGTGGACGGAAGGCGAGTATTCAAGATCGCAGGCTTAGCCCACGAGTTCGTCTGGTTATTGAGGCCAAAATGGCCGGTGGTGGTGCGCGCGCGCGAGTTGGGAGAGAAGCGCTGGAGCGGTTTGATGAAGGTACTGCGGATGGGAGGGACTGGGGCGCGCGGGGCACCTAGTTGGTGGGAGGAGCGAGCGGCGAAACCGACGCGAGAGAGGGGAGCAGGTGCATTAATCGAGCTGGAGGCAAATCCGAATCGAGGGCTAATGCGAGTGCGAGGTTGAGTGGGAATGGGACTGATGTCCATGGGATCGTAAACGTAGCTGGAGTCGTCCATCCCAGCGCGAGGAGTGTCGGCGGACAGCAGGCTCGCATCCTGCATGATCACGTCCTCCATCTCTGGCTGCCGGGTCGCAAAGACACCAGCCATGATGGAAGGTGGGGTCGAAGTGGAATCACGACGCTTCGAGAAGTTCAGAGGCGTAGAACTGGAGAGGCGTTGTGGGGATGGAGAGTTCGAGGATGAGGTTGCGCAATACAAAGAAGGGTGTTTGGTGGAACGGGAAGAGAGGAGAAAGTAGAGTGGTAGGAGAGAGATGGTGAGGAAGAAAACAAAGAGGGAAACAAGAGGGTGGAAGGAGAAGAAAGTAGAGGTGAAAGACGCGACTTCAAAGGCCATGGGTGGTTGCCATGGCGCAGCCGGTGATTGTTGTGGTAAACTGTGTTGCCGAGAGTGGTGGTCGCAGGAGTGAGGAAGGTCTCCATGGACAGAGAAAAGCGAACCGACAGAGAGAATGCCTTCCCCGACCACAGAGGCGATGGTGAGAGAGGAACAGAAGAAGTTGATAAGATGAAGATTGACGGAGGTTTGGTGATGCCGAATGCGGAATTGGAACGGGACGCGCCGACCACGTGATCTCCACGCACCACCGCATGTATACAATTCACCTAAGAGTGCAATGAAGAAACTATATTGTTTAAAACATCACTATGTACAAGAAAGCTAGTTATGGTACAAAAATGCTTAATGGCAGCCCAGCCTGCTGAACCTCAAACAACATCATAGAAGTCAAAGAAAATGCTGGAGCAACAAGAAAGAAAACTACAAAGGGTCCTCCACATGTACATCCATACATCCATCAACTTTATTGTCTACCGTGGCACAAGTCCAACCATATCGAAGAGAATCGGCGCCCCCTCCACTACAATCCACGCGATGCCTACTTCTTGTCAGTAAAGTCATAGACCGGAATCCATCCGAATATCAATGCAAGACTCACCAGAATATACAACCAGTTTTGTAATCACTTCCACATCATATCGCACACGGGGCCGTTTGATCTGCGCAAACACCTCTTCCTCACCTGGTTCCTCCGGTTCTAATGCCGGGAACGGTTCGGTCAACAACGGAGCCCCTGCTCCCGCATCCACCGCTGTTGCAATCCGTGGGCTGCCTGTCCCCATCATATGCTCGTACTCGTGCAGCTTGGATTGTTTGCGCGACAGCTTCTGTGTCGGACCTTCTGACGGCGAACCGTGATTCACGTCCGGAGACGCGGAATTACTGGATATGCTCTCACGACGGCGCTTTTCGCGATAGGCAAGGGTTTCGTAGGCGTCCGCTTCTGACTGTGGTCCAACGGAGATGGCGCGCCGACGGGGGTGTCGGATTCCCGTGAGGATCGAGGGGATGTCGGAGAAGCTGGGCAGGATTTCCTTATCTTTGAGGTGCGCGGGTACTTTGGTGTATTGCCTGTCCACAGGATGGTCGGTCAGTCGTCGTTGAACAGTCATCTTCGGCGGATGAACGTGAGAACTTACGAAGCTTTGGTGAAAAACCGCCGCGGCAGAATCAGGCCGACCTTCTCCAACCCACGAAACACCGGGGGAAGCATGCGCAGAAGGAACGGCTTTGAGATCGCTCTCCACACGAAAAGTAATAGCACTCCCGAGATCAGACGCAAAGACATCTTGAAAAGCCCCAGGTGCTCCAATCGATAATTCAGGTTCACCCGATAATCTCCCACCGCCTCCCTCTGAGACGCGTGCCAGTACCCCACTTGCGCCCCCAGAAGCACCCCGGCAAAGGCGACGCTATCATCGAAGCAGGGACAGTCGTCCGCAGGTTCGGGATGAATGCGAACCAGAGCCACGATGATCAACACCATCACCATCACTTGCATCCCCGTACCAGAATGGGCAAATTCGTGGATTTCGGCGTCATTGAGGTAATGGACAGCCGCGATTACAGTGCCCAGAAAGCATCCAACGATGACGTCGAAGAAACCATGCATTCCACAGTACAACCGGCCCAGAACGATAGACCCCACGTAGAGGTAGGTGATCCCTTGCAGCAAAACATTGACGCCGGAGGTGAAGGTCGAATCGGGGGCATTCAGCAGAGCGAGGACGTACACGGCGACGGACACGGCGTTGGTGGAGTGGGTGGACGGGAAGCCATATTCCAAGGCGGCCGAACCGGACATGGTGATGCGCTGTAACGGTGGGGACAGGGGACGTGGGAGACACAGCAGATCCTTGATGAAACCACTGAAGAACACCCCGGACGCCAGAAGATCGACCATTCTATGGTAATGCGACACCCCGTCAGCTGGGCCACGGTGGATGCATGTGGGACGAACGGGGTGCGGCGACCTACCCGCGACCTAGATTGGGATATCCACACCAGAACAGAATGGGCAAGAAGACCATGAAGAAGGTATGGGTACCGAGATTGGCAGTAAAGGCGAAGTAGGAGTCGAGGGCCGGGGTGCGGACCTTCTCCTGACACCAGGCCAGATAAGGGGTCTCATAGCGAATCAGCGGGAGAAGTTTCTGTCGTGGCCAATACCGCCAGCTGGGGAGTTGGTTGCGGTCTGCGCGGGGAGGGACGAGTCAGTCTCGAAGATGGACATGGTCAATGGAGAGAGGGAGAAAGAAAGAGGTCATCGAAGACGTACAATGGTTGAGGCTCCGGAGCCCAGCATCGGGGGTGCCATTTGCGCCTTTAACCATTGTAGGCGCTTGCGATGATGGGAGCGAGGGGGTAGGATTTCCCCATGAGAGAATTGGCACCGAACGAGGAGAGTTGACTGAGAGGAGAGTTGAGGTGTCGAAGGGAATCAATCCATGAAGGTATTCGGAGGATCCGGGAGGGCAGTCCGAGGATTTGAAGTTCGCCTGTCAACCCGAGTTTAACAGGAATGGAAGAGGTGTGCTCGCACCGCGCGTCCGTTTGGTGCCGGCACAGCCTGTTAGCCCTGCAGCCAATCGGGAGGGGGATTCGGAGTCTTGGCGAGGAGTCGACAGTCTTGGTCCAAAGTAAAAGATAGGTGCAAAGTCCATGGTTCTTATGGGATATTACTGATATTGGAGTATAAATAATTGCGTATTGTATAGTTATATCGAGTATAAGAGATACCTAGGCTGACTAGCGACAACTATCCTGGTGTAATTCAAGATGTATATAGCACTTCATCCACGTGCGCGATGAACAAAATATATTTGTGCCTCGGCTAAGTATTAGGTATAACAAACATGGGCGTCGAAGAGTTGACATGCTAAGGTAGGTAGAGTGATGGTATCCATACTAACTAGCCATTAACATACTATGATATAGATCCAAATGTCATATAGTCAGCCAAAGAGGCTAGTTGAGACTCCATGACATGATCCTTACATACTCCGTAGTGTTAGAAAGATAGAGGGCATAGAACGATACTCCACTCCGCTTGATCCCTTGAAGAGCACTCCAGACCCGGAGAAGACCGACGGAGGGAGCACGATCCACCAGCCAAGGCAATGGGATCGATCGAGGATCGGATCTCATACAGGGTAGAACACTAGGAATTGGGGGAATAAGTGGATTACCTAATATATGCAGCATCAAGCAAGGATGCAAAGCGCCTATAAATAACCCGGCCAATCAACACCCGGCGGACGTCATCGCGGCGGGGGTTGCCATGGCAGCCACGGGGGGTACCTTCCTTGTAAACAATGATGCGCACCATCTTCACGCAAGCCCGTCAGACGCCCTCTCAGGTACCAGACAGGCTGAATCCACGCTAGTAAGGCAGAGCAAGAGGTGATCAGCTGAAGGAGGCTGGTATCCTCGTCAACAGCAACCCAGACCCTCTCAGCCGCAAAAGACTCATCCATCCCTCCCCTTCTTCCACCCATCCATTCATCCATCCACCTTCCTCACTCTACCCATCTCCACGTTGACTTCTCGACAACCTCGTTTACCAGCTCATTTCTTTTTTCGCATCCCTCGCTCTGTCAACTTCGTGCTCTCAACATCATCTGCAGGCGCTCTGCACGTTAACTCTCCGGTGCTATTGACCCGTCGGTGGATCTATATCCAATAATTCCCATTAAATCTCCATCCGTCTCGCCAACACGTTCTCCTCTTCCGACTCATCAGACTCATCAGACGCCCTCACCCCATCGATTATGTCAGGTTCGATGTACGATGATCAGCTTTATGCGGCCACACGCCGCCATTCCCTTGTCACGCCGCCCCCTTCGATGACTCCTCGGCATTCTCGAGGACGCAGTCACAGCGTGCGAGTCAGCAATGGAACCATCAGCACAAACACGAGCATCTCCAGTGGCCGCATGTCCGAGGCCACCAACATCACACAGCCGCCAGCATATTCGAAAAAGTTCGTCGTGGTGGGCGACGGCGGATGTGGAAAAACGTGTCTGTTGATCAGCTATTCCCAAGGATACTTCCCCGAGGTGAGTCGTCTTCTTTGCAGCCGGAGCCCTTGATTTCTTCCAATTTCAAGGGCCGTCTGACGCAAGATTATTAGAAATACGTCCCTACTGTCTTTGAAAACTACATCACACAAACCGTCCACCGAGCCTCGGGGAAAACGGTCGAACTCGCCCTCTGGGATACTGCTGGTCAGGAAGAATACGATCGATTGCGCCCCCTTTCATATCCAGAGACCGATTTGCTGTTTGTGTGTTTCGCTATCGATTGCCCCGCCTCCCTAGAAAATGTCATGGACAAGGTAAGAGTCCCCCTCCTAGATTCTCGAGTCGAGTGCTGACGGATATTGGCAGTGGTACCCCGAAGTTTTGCATTTTTGTCCCACGACCCCCCTCATTCTGGTCGGATTGAAGTCGGATCTGCGCAATAAGAGAACGTGTATCGAGCTGCTTAAAACGCAAGGTCTCACGCCGGTTACACCAGAACAAGGGGAGACCGTGGCTCGACGGATGAATGCCGCTTATGTCGAATGCAGCAGCAAAGAGATGCGCGGCGTCGATGAGGTCTTCCAGATGGCCGTCGATACCGTCGTCGGATTTGAAGAACAGACCACCTGGAGCGTCCCGAGTACGAGCGCTAGCGGGAAGCCGACCGGCGGTGGTGGACGCAGTGGTCCGAAGAAGGTGAAGAAGCGTACTTGCAAGATCCTGTAAAGCATTATTCCCCTCTTGGACCTTGCGCTTGTTTTGATGTCTCTCCGACCTAAGCCTGGCTGCTTTGGCGGAGCTCAGCGTCTCCTTGTATATGACCTTCGACCGGAGCTGGATAGCTTGGGCAGCTATGGTCTTTCCCCCAAGCTTTGATTGCTTCAGACCATGCTCGTGCGGCGCCCCTCCCGACTTGTGTAACGGCGGCTTTTTGATTTATCCTCTTTGATGTTGTTATGCCTGTTTAGCCTGATGATTGTCCTCATAAATGACTATTATCTTCCCTTCTTCTTTGCCGCCTTTGATCTCTGTTTGGCTTTCTTGGTATGTTCTTGATGTCCTTGACGACCCGGTCTGAGGCCACCTCGCATGCATGGAGTGGGGTGTTTACTGGCGCAAGTGAAGATCCATGTATCTGGATACAGAGATTGCCATCCTGTCCAACGCAGACTGAATTGAATCAAACTAAATTCTGGTATCAATGCCCGCGATATAAATAGAACCAAAGAAAATAATGCAAGCACAGCGTAGAATACGACAATCCAAAGTCCCATGAACGTCTATATCATTTACCGTCATATCTCGCTCCACAAGCTTATAATTCATGCTCGTGCTGATCGCCGGCATCGTCCGCCTGAGGACTTTCCTTGGCCTTGCCCCCAACAGCTGGATCCTCCTCTTCGGAGCGGCCCATGAAGTTTTCAAATTGGGACCAGAGAGCTTCGACGGAGCTGAATTCATTGCCAACCTGGGATTGTCAGTCCGCTAGATGGAAGGAAGTGGGGATAGTCTACCCACCGAAATGATACTTTCGAGATTCCGGTTCAGCCGGTTGATGTTTTGGAGGACTTGTTCCATGCCCTTTACGCCGATTAGGTCACGATTGGTTGCATGTTGGAGCGGGACGGGGATGGGGACTCACGACTGCGATCTCTCGGACCAGCTCCTCGCGTTGCTGTTCAAAGACCGTGGGGGTGCCTGAGCGAGATTTGGGACCGGGTGTGACCGACATTTTAGGAGCAGATGGTAGCTTGATCCGCCTTGTGGAAAACGTCAGGTAGAGATGTCCAAGCAGGTGTATGGTACGCGTGGGAGGCTATCGATAACGGTTGTTTGTGTGGGCGCACGTGGCATTCTGCTGGACTTTGTCTGACCGCACTGTAGACCGCCTGTGGAGTCCGTCCGGCCCAACAGGATGTACTTCTTGTTCTTGTTATATTCAGATTCTTGTTTGATTTGCCTTCTACACATGTGTCTGTGTTGGGGAGTTGTTGTGGCTCGTTTCTTGACTCGGATGCTTACAAGAGATCACCTAAATCAAAGTGAAGACATGGCCTATCCATGAGAACAAGGTCAATGTTTTTCAGTCCTAGCTCCAGAAGGTATGGCAAGCCACGACTGAAACGACAAGGCCGAAGGGGAAGAGATGGCAGGGCACGCACGATATTGTATCCAATCTGAGCGCAGCTAACTAACTAAAGAATATGTTGTGCTTTTTTTCTTTTTTTACGCTACTATGTCGCGAGCAAGGTTGACACCAGGTCATTCTGGGAGCGACACAAGCGCACAATATTATCCACCAGCATCCGATGCAGCTTCTGAGCATAAGACAACTCAATAACGTTCGGGTTTGCGCAGAATTGCACACTGAGGATATCACCGTCGGGCTCGGTGAAAATAAAAACTTCTCTCCCCGGCCTGAAATACCCGTTAAGGCTGAAGTGGGTTTTCAGGCCCTCCAGGGGCATCAAATGGTGCAACGGGATATTCTGGTGCTGCACAATCGAATTCAGATACGTGCCGCGAGGCCAATCGGTCGATGCGTCCACGATGTTTTGGAAGCCGACATCGTCGTGTGCAACGGTCTTCTGGTACTGGGTCTGCGTGTGGTGCAGCAGATCGTATATGGTCATTTCGTCGCGGAGCCGGATGCGGACGGGTATGAAATTGAGACAACAACCAAAGATGCGCTCGATGTTGGGCAGCGCGGAACTCCGCCCGTTGACGGTCTGGCCGAAGACAATATCTCGACAGCCCCGACCCTGTTCCTGAGCGATCACCAGCGCCCACGCGGCCTTGACCACACTTGCCATGGTAATCCCCGAGGGGGGCTCGGGGGCAGGCTGGAGATTGGTGTTCTCCCAGATGGTGGTTCCAGGGCTGAGGTCTGTTGTTTCAGATGCAGGGGGGATGAGCGAAGTCATTGTGGAGCCCTGAAGATAGTCCCTCCAAAACGACAGGGATTGGGTTTTGTCGCGCATCAGGCGATGATAGACAACCGTGGTAAGCTGCGTCGTGGGTGGGATTGCACGATCATGATAGGCGTTCCCAAAGGCGCTGAACAGTTCTGCTAGGGACAGTCCATCCCACTGGGCGTGCGACAAGCGGAAGGTGAGTTCATGCTGTGTGCCACTACGGTCAGAGATCAGTATGAACGCGCAAGGAGGCTGCTCATCCAGCACAGAAGCCACTCTGCGATCTAGATCTCGCAACTCGCGATGGGCTTCAGCAGGATCAGAATCGGTCACGATGTGATGGAAAGGAACGTCGATATTATCAAGCACAAGCTGCAGAATTTGACCACGCCAGTGGATGAACATTGTCCGCAGAATCGCAAAGAACCGATACACTGTCTCACAAGCGTGACGGAGACGTTCAACGTCTAGCTTCCCTTCAATCGCAAAGGAGAAATGGTGAAGAGTAACTCGTGTGAGGAAGAAGCCCTGGCCATCCGAGACGGGCAAGATGTCAGTTATTGTCGTCTTGGGATGAAGCATGTTTCGAGCCCTTAACAGAGTAGGTAGGAGCACTGTAGCGTCTGGCGGGCAGAGCGCAAATGGCGTGGGCTCGAAGCCTGGATCAGAAACATCCTTATTGCTGGATGTGGCCGCCAGAGCAGAGAGCCTTGGATGAGCGAAGATATCCGCAACGGAGATATCGAGTCCCTGTTGCCGGGCCACCGCAGCAACCTTCATGGCACTCACAGAGTCTCCGCCGACCTGGAAGAAATTATCGTCTGCTCCTATCAGCTTTTCATCAAGGCCCAGGGTCGTAGACCAAATGTGATGCAACAACCGTTCTTCTGCCGACGAGGGCGCGCGCTGCTGTCGTTTGCTCAAGGGTCGGTATTGGTGCAATTGCTCGGCAGGTATATCTAGCAAGGACTTCAGATACCTTCGGTCGGCTTTTCCGGATGGATTTATCGGTAGATTGGCGAGTGGAAGGAAATAAGAAGGCACCATATACGCTGGCAGACGTTCAAACAGCGCTGAGGAAGCCGAGGCCGCTTCTGCGACAAAGTCCTCATCTGCGGCTCGGAGCACTTGGCTGCCCACATCCGAAGAGGATACAGGGCCCCCAAAGCAGATAAAGGCGAAAAGGGCAAGGTTCCCATCATCCAGGCCGGTAGGTGCCACGTCCACGACAATGCCCCCCGCCGCTGACGGGAAACAAGACTGGACCTGAAACTCCACTTCGCCCAGCTCGATCCTTTGGCCGCGGATTTTGATCTGCGAGTCCTTCCTGCCACGGATATCTAGCCGTCCATCGGGGAAGTAGCGTGCAAGATCCCCGGTCTTATAGAGTTTGGTGGTCGGGTCAAAATCGGGGCGCACGGCAAGAAGCCAAGCTGGAGGCTTTATGAAAGATGACTCGGTAGCCTGTGGATTGTTGATATACCCTCTGCCGACGATAGGGCCTTCGATCAATATCTCTCCTAGACTACCGACAGGCACAAGACGTTCGGTATCACTAGGATCCACCAGCCACACGACACACCCAACAGGACGACCGATGTCACTCGGTCGTGAGGTACGGGTTAGAGAGGGATGGGAGACACTGAAGACGGTGCATTCTGCTGGGCCATATCCATCTACCAAGCGGACATTGGCGGCCCATTGATGGAGATCCTGGTGCCTAAGAGGCTCGCCGCCGCAGACCAGGACCTGAAGATCGGGGACTGCTGCTGGCGAGAGCTGGCGGGCTACAGACGGGGTCAGAAAAGCATGTGTGACCTGCAAACGCTTCATAGTCACATCGAGATAATCACGTCTCTCCACCTCATCCAGAATGCATGTGCAGGCGCCACACATCAGCGGGAACAGGATCTCAAACACACTGGCGTCAAAGGCGTAGGAGGCAAATTGCATTACCCGTGCGGCCGGACTCATTCTCCACACCGAGACCTGATAGTGAACGAGGGCGCAAAAAGATCGATGCTCAATCACAACCCCTTTTGGCTTTCCGGTTGATCCAGACGTATAAACGACGAAGAGTGGAGTCCTCGTACCACTCACTGGCAGCTGGGGCGTCAGGGTACCGACATCATCCTTCTTCCAGCCGTTGTTATGCTCCCCCACAACGATTGCTTTCTCCGCAATCATTTTGCACCGTGATTCCTGACCTGGCGAGCACAGAATGATTGTTCTTTGAAGATCTTGACAGATCGATCGCAGTCGTGAGTCCGGATGAGTGACGTCGCAAAGGGCAAAAGCTGCACCGCTCTTGATAACCGCCAGAACAGCAACTACGGTCCAGGGGCTCTTATCAAAGCACAGTGGAACGAGAGCTCCTGGGGCAAGGCCCTGTCGCCTTAAATGGAGGGCTAGCTGGTCCGATAAGAAGCCTAACTCGCGGTATGTAAATAAGCCCTTGGTCCAGCGCACTGCCGGGGCATCCGGAGTTTCCCGCACAGATTGCTGGATGGTTTCATGGATAGGTGCATCATAAAATGGTGGTAATTCATGGTTTCAGCGATGCAGAAGGCGTTTGTGCTCCGGCGAAACCAGATCGAGCTGAGCCGGATGGAGGTGATCGTTTGTGATGATTTGATGAACTGCTTGTTCAAACGAAGACGCTATGAGCGAGGCCTGTTCGCTAGAAAGTGATGACCGCCAGTAGCGCAGATACACGGCGATACGGCTTGGTTCCATGTCGATATTGACTGCAATCGCATACTCGACTGGGTCGCGGCGATGAACAAGATTCAAAGAAGTCGATGTTGGAGCGGATGCCATGAGCCGCTGTATCGACAACACTGTATTAAAGAGGGCCGCATCGCCCTTCTGGTGAGAGATGTCCGCCAGAGAATAGGTCTGGTGATGCAGGTAGCGAAGGTAATTGTTATGTACCTGCTGCAGGCATTCGCCGACAGACAAGTCATGATCCAAACGGTTGCGAAAGGTGAGGACGTTGATAAGAGGCCCAACAACGTCTTGCGCACCAGCAAACGGCAGTTCCCGGCCAGAAGCAAGAACGCCAAAGCAAATATCATCTGAACCCACGTACGATCGAAGTACAAGGGACCATGCCAGACAAAATATGTTGGCGGGGGTGACACTCTGTGCGCGGCAATAGGCGAAGATCTCTTCGCTGTGTTGGAGCTGGACGGTCAAGGACGAACACTCGTCCACGTCTCCAGGCTGGTAATCTGTGAGTGATGGGAAGAGGCATGGATAGATGCCTTTTAGTTCCTCTTCACAGAAAAGGCGATCTTCCTCCCCGTTTCGAGACTGCAAGTAGGCTATGAAGCTCGCGTACGGCGGCCCTGGGGAAATATCGAGCCGCCATTCGTAGGCAAGACAGAGGTCGCGCTGAATCAGGCTAAATGACGTGGCATCCACTAGTGCATGCGTCGCATCCAGACGAATGTATACCTTATGGTTCTGGTCCACGTATATCGTAAACCGACTTGGACAGTCTGGCGTCAAAGGAGATACCTGCGCCGAGGGGAGACCTTGTGAGCCCTTGCCTGGACTGTGCACAACCTCAATCTGCGGGCTCGCATTGCGGACAACCACTTGGTCGTAAAGCGCGCGTTCTGAGAAGGACCTAACAAAAGACGTTCGCAGACATGGGTGGTAAGCGATTACTTGATGTACAGCATCCTTCGCTCGTGGCACCGATGGCGTCCCGCTCTCCGCAGTTTGGAGTTCCCACACCATGGTGACATGGTAGAGAGACCGGTCCTTCTCCTGGCTGAGCAGGTTTCCACGCTGGATGGGGGCGCAGGGGTAGATGTCTTCTATCTCTGAGGCCGGGGCTACCCACGACAGTGAGGACAGAAGGCGCTGCAGCTGGGCGTTGTCCGACTTCAACAACGGAAAATCCATAGGGGTGTAGATCCTGGCTGCGGAAGCGAAGTCTGAGGCCAAGGTTTTCAGCGTTCTTAATAATTGCAGAGTCCATGCCGAGATGATGCGTGCCTGACTAGACCCCCGGGGATGAGTAAATGTAAATATCAGTTGGCCGTCCTGGACGAAGCTGTTGATATCTACTACCGACCAGCGCCGCACGTCAGCCGCCGCGTCAAAAATATTCAGAGTCTGAAAGGACTGGACTTCAAACAAGGCGCCTGGCTTCTGAATCTGTTGACTATAGCGCCCTCCGTAGTTGAAGACGATTTCCATGAGGCCTGCCTGCTGCCGACTGCTGAAGGCGTCTAGCCCTTTCCGGGTCAGGCGGCGGCGAGCGTCCTTGACCTGCCCAACCACTGCTGGGATATCGGACGCGCTATCAAGTTGCAACAGGATTGGGGCCAGTGTTGTAAACCAACCTACTGTGCGCGTCAGGTCAATGGTGGCGTCATATGGCTCCCGGCCATGAGCTTCGGCATAGGTTATCGGAGGAGCACGTGTCGGAAACGCTTGAATGAAGGCGAACAACAGAGCCGCACGGAGGACTTCGACAGGCTGTGTTCCAAATGTCTTGTTGACATCTCCTAACAGGAGATCAGTTGTCTCGGGCTCGATCCGTACCGTCGTCTCCTCACAGCTGCCATATGTCATTTGCTTCTGGGAAACACCCCAGAAGTCTTCTAACCCGTCCCAGGGCTGGACATCAGGAAGTCTGGCCGCACGGAATTGACTCCGAATATGCTCATCCAGCAAACGGGACCAGGTCTGAAAAGACGTCGACTGTTGGCCAGAAATGGGCCCGCCGCGCAACAGTTCGTCCAGGTCGTTGAGAATGACAATCCAGGACACCAGGTCCACAACCAGATGATGCGCAACTAGAAGTATGGACTGTCTCGCCCCAGTTTCAATCAGGTCTGCTGAAAACACTGGACCCGCGGTAATGCTGAGGCTGCGTTGAGCATCTGCAAGAATATGAGCCACGCTACCATCGACATGGTGTTCGCATCGGAAGGACCCCTCGACATTCCCCGCGATCTGTTGCTTCCAGTCCAGGCCGGCTGTCCCGGGAACGAATCGTGCCCGGAGCATAGGATGTGTCGTAACGATGATTTTCATGGCAGACTCCAGCCGATGGTATGAAGTACGCTGCGTGAGCTGCAGGAGTAGGTTGTGATTGAACCGGTGCCGTGCTTGCTGGCCCTGGGTGCGGAAGAACAGCTGTTGAATAGGAGTTAGCTTGAATGGCACATCCACCACCTCACCTGAGAATAGCTGCTGCACTGTTGCCGCTCTTGTTGCAACCTGCGCCGCGATCTGCTCAATCGTGCGGAAGCGGAAGATGTCCTCGACGGTCACGTCGAGCCCGACTCGGTCACCTCTTGCTTGTGCCACGACAAGCATCGCTGTGATCGAGTCATCTCCCAGTGCGAAGAAGCTCTGGCGAAGACCGACGGCATCCACGGGAAGGCCGAGGACTTTGGCCCATATATCTTGGAGACTCCGCTCTGTATCCAGAGGAGCGCGGTCCGTGGGACTCTCCTCGACGCTTCCATACAGACTCAACTCCTTCCAGGTTCTGCTTGTAATCTCATCTTCCAAGGCGCGTCGATGCAGTTTCCCAGCAGCCGACTTGGGTAATGACGCTACGGGAATCATGAGTGTCGGCACCATGTACCCCGGCAGATTCTGTAGCATCTGGACACGAGCAGTAGCCACACGATTGGCAAAATCTTTTGTAGGTACGGCAAGAAAATGGGTGTTTGTATCCGCATCTCGCTTGCTGCCCACTGCGACAAACGCTGCTAGTGTAGGGCGGTCGCCCGCATTTCTAGGGCACGCAACAACCACTGCAACTTCCACGGCTCCAGGGAAGCACTGGACGAGCTGGTGTTCAATGTGGGAGGTGTCAAGCCGCTGACCGCGAAGCTTCACCTGACTGCCGATTCTTCCAAGATAACGCAGAGGGCCGTCTTCAGTGTAGCAGACCAAGTCGCCAGACCGATAGGCTCGCACACCAGCCATTCCACGAAGAGTCTGGAGCCACCGGGGCTGAACAAACGCGGCATCTGTCTTTGCAGCGTCCTTGAAATAGCCCAGGCCAAGGTTTGGGCCCTCCAGTAAGAGTTCTCCGGCAGCGCCAACAGGCTTCAGGACTTCAGGGTCTCGCGGGTCGCAAACCCAAGCAACACAACCAACTGGGTGCCCAATATCCCGCATGTCAACGTTTGAGCAGCCATCAATATGTTGTATTGCGGAAGCCGGCGCGCATTCAGCAGGGCCGTAACCATTGAGCAACCGCACCCGGGGTGCCCAGTATGCCGCGTCGGAAGGGAGCATTGCTTCTCCCACCAGGGCAAGCACCCGCGGGAGAGCAATGTCGGTGCCGGATATGGTGTCTGTGATAGTCATAGAGCTGGTGGAGACGCCTGGTATAGCGTAACTATCTTATTTCCTTTCTCTGGGCTTTCTCCGCCTTCTACGTATTCCCCTACATCTATCGCAGACTAAGCCTGTGGTTCTCGCATATGCACTTGGCTTGGGACAGTATAGATGGCAGTCCAACCTCCCGTTGGAGAAAACATCTCTCGCCAGCTGTCAACCAAAATGGGTTACCAACTTAGTGGTATGTAAGGTGTACGTAATATATGGCTATGATCGTAGTTTGACAGATACCTATACTAGGTACGTTCCGGCCCGTCCTCTATTGAGACACCAAGACGCAAGGGTGCACTGTAGGCCCTGCTGTCTGCGATCCTTACTCGAACGTCTTACAAGTCCGACCATGCTCCTCTTGGTTTGGCGTGGGTGAAGAACTAGTCACTCAATTTCTATTCTTCCACTGAAGGGGTACGACCGTTCGGACTCAGCAATCATCTCCAGCTCTTTCTCCGTCGGAACAAGCCCAGCCTTCTTGCTCGATGCTCCCTAACCAGACTCACGTTTGCTTCAGTCGGCCTCAGCCGCTGCCCTGAGGGCAGCAACAGCCGGATCAATTCCTGCCAATGCCCAAGCATAGCGGTGCAGCCCAGGACGAGGGCTTCAGCGCCATTCTGGCACGGCCAGCCTTTCCCCACGTGGCCAGCTCCTCGCGCATACTCTCGATGTCCACGGGCATCAGATCATCGTTGAACGCCACTTCGACAACCGGATGCGCGATCGCGGTGCGCGTGTCTGCCACAACGCGTTGAATCAAGGGGTCCGGCGAGCTCTCCAAGTTGTACAGTACGACAAGAGCACCGCACGCTTCGAGCCGATCTTCAAGGCCTTCTGAAGCGCTACCTGCCTCACATCGAGAACAGCACTTTGGAGAGAGGCACCTATGCGTTCGCCTGCGGTTTCCTGGTCCATTCGTACCAGTGCTATGAATCCCATGAAGGCTCGAGTTCCGGTCAAGATGACCCTACGGCTCGATACTTGGTACTCCAGTTCTCTTCAAGCGCTGTTAGATTGGACCATATCCACGCTATAACAAATTATCTTAATTCAACATATTCATTTGCTCCCTATACCTGCACGAAGTGATCTCTATTGACTGGAGCCCTTCACCCGTGTAACTGATGCCTCTGCATGTGTCAATCAAAATGACCATTACACTACCAAAAAGGGGCAACCCATTTAGTGGTATTATATATGGCCGTAAATGTGGTTTGACAGCATTTAGTGAGGGTTTGAATAATACCAAACCCTGTATTGCTCCGTCAAACTGACACAGTGGTGAAGCAGCGGATGGAGAGTCGTCCGAAAATTCTACTCACCGTCTTGAAAATATGAGCTGACTGCTGCTGAACCCCCTGAGTCTGGAGGCAAGGAGGTGGCCTAGAGCAGCCATTACTGAGTTGCGACACCCGATCAAGCCTCCTCATTCCAGTTCTAAGAATCCTGCATTGTATGCTTGCTAGTGTCTCCCTTGCATGATGCATGAGGTGGAATTTGCATACTTGACATGTGTACATAATGTTGATCCTTATCGGTCCCCCGGTACTTAAGGAGCTCCTTTTATCCTTCATAGTACAGGACCGTATGCACTTAAACAAAATCCAATCATTCCGTCTTCATTTAGGAGATACGTTATCTCTTGGTCACCTATCTACACGCTTCGTGGTGTCTATGTCTGAGCTCAGCAAACAAATCAATCGAACGAGTAGAATCCTCATCCGATATGAAGCCGACTGATTCCGACCATCTCTGCGCGGACAGACCTCGGTCCCGCAAGGACTTTCGCGTGATCATTGTGGGCGGTTCGATTGCCGGACTCACACTGGCGCATTCGCTGCGAAAATACAACATCGACTACCGCGTCCTAGAGGCGTACCATGATATCGCACCGCAAGTAGGGGCTTCCATTGGGCTGGCTCCGTCTGGCTGTGGCATTCTCGATCAGCTCGGGATCTTTGACGCCGTATTGAAGGAGATCGAGCCACTGAGACTATCGCAGTACTGGACAGCCACGGGAAGGAAGATCGCCGAAAATAAAGCCCCGACTCTTCTACAAGAAAGGTATGTCGGTATGTCTTTGGGCACATTGGATGCCGTCGCTAATGATCCAAAGAAATGGTTACCCACTCTCTTTCTTGGATCGGCATAAGGTGCTGGCGATTCTCTATGATCATCTCGCGGAGGATCAATCCAAGGTATTCTTGAACAAAAGAGTGGTGCGCGTCGAAGACGTTCCGGGAGGAGTTGTCGTTCATTGCAAGGATGGCAGTCAATGGACTGGCGATATAGCTGTTGGAGCTGATGGCGTTCACAGCACGATCCGGAACGAAATCTGGAATCGTCTCGACAAACAACAGCTCGGCCATGATATGATTCGAGAAAAGAAAGGTAAGAGGGCCACTCTTGTTTAGTTCTAAGCTCGATTCCTGACCAGATAGAAATGATCTCGGAGTATTCGTGCATCTTCGGCATTTCGGCAGATATGAAGGAGCTTGAACCCGGACATATACATCGCACTCATGGGAAGGGCTTCACCACGGTTATCATGGTTGGGAAAAACCACCGCACCTTTTGGTTTTTATTCGCCAAAATGGACCGGAAGTATACGATGAGGGACCTTCCTCGATTTACCGTCGAAGACCGGGAAAGACATGTGGCTCAATACTTCGATGTCCGCATTTCTTCGGAGGTTACCTTCGAAGACCTCTATAAAAGGGGGGTTTACAAGACTTACGTGCCCCTTGAGGAAGCTTTCTTTGAGTATTGGGTAGTGGATCGCCTCGTCTGTATTGGGGACTCGGTCCACAAGGTGCGTAATGGACCTAATTATGACGATCGATGCTTGCTGACTTCTGAAGATGACTCCAAACACGGCCCAGGGCGGGAACTGCGCAATAGAGAGCGCAGCGAGCCTAGCAAACTGCCTGAAGCGATTCATCGATATGCCCGATCCGTGTTACCATATGGAGGATCTGCGCGCAGCTTTATCTGCGTGGTCGAGGGCACGACAGCCCCGAGCACGGAAGCTTTGCCGTAGTGCGAATTATATGACACGGGTCGAGGCATGGTCGAAGGTGATACACAAACTGATCATATGCTATGGACTGCCGTATATGAGCGGGTTTGCCATTGATGCGATCTGTCTGTCGATGGTGGGCTCGGAATTCCTCGAGTACCTTCCGAGGGGAAAAGCCTCCCGAGGGTGTCCAATGCCTCCGGATACAGGATATAGGCGTCTCCAACAGGATCCCTCTCTGAAAAGGCTTCTTCGGTCGACCCCATTGGGTTTATGTTTTGTCGGGGCTTGTTGCATGCTGAAACTGAAGACGGACAATGCATACGACGTGCTTGAAGGGTCCGTCACTCGGTTGCAGAAGCTTCCCTTCCTGACAGATCTTGGTTTACTCTACGGTATCTGCTTATTGGAAAGCTACCGTCGTTCCCACAGTTCAGCAGGCATCCTTCTGTAAGTCTTCTGCCCAACGCACAAGTAGTCCGTGAAATAATGTGTGACTTCAGTCCCATGTTGATGGCCTTTGGATGCCAGTCGCTCGGGATTGGAACAGCCGTCCCCCTTTACTTCCTTCTAGACTACCTTCAATCGCCGCTAGAGCAAATTCTGGTATCAAACTACGCTTCTGTTCGACTTCCCGCCGCGAAGACCTTGCTGCCAGCGCTCTTGCTGGGTTATTATCTGCCTCTATGGGCAGGTTTCAGCCCCCTGTTACCTGCCGATAGGCGCATGGCCTCTCTCATGTGGTCCTTTTTTGGCGTTCTGGTCCCGAGTCTCCAGTTCCCCCTCGCTGCTATCTCTTCGACCACACCGGCCAAAGAAAAGAGACCGGATATGTCCTACATTCGTTGGACTATCATGGCGCTAATCGGAATCTCGGGTATTTCATTCCAATATGCACGGTTACACGTTCCAGCGATTCCGTTGAGTGACCTCGGGTTCCTGCAATATGACCAGCTATTCGCCATGCTGAGTTGTATGATTTGGACTTTCCTATCATTCCATGACCTCCAGGTCTATGGGGTCCAGATTTCCCTGTTGAAAGTGTCGGCTGTCTTGGCTGGAGCTACAGTTCTGGGTGGGCCTGGCGTCGCGTTTGCAGTTGGCTGGCAATGGAGAGAGGAGTACATCGCCAGTATTCGCGGATAATGTTGCTCCAGATGGCGGGTAATGCCGAATTGTGGACGGGAAAACGCGGCCCGATATACATGACCTGCTTAGTGTGGTGATTCGGGGCTAAGGGGGTCGATCAAATCGTGTAGTACGTGGTAGTTCATTTAGAAATAGGATTTTTCTGTATCAACGGTGAGACTTATGCCTATGGCTTTAAATATAGTCCGTTTCAGGCAAGTCAAAGACCTCCCAAGTCAACCGACCCCCAGAATGCGAATCTTCAGCCCCTTCCTGTCGCACTTCTGGGTCTCGAACGCTTCCATGTCGAACTGTGAAAATACAATGGAGACGTACGAGTACATCTGTTGGTAGGCGAGGGTCTGCCGATGCAGGACCTTGCGTCCCCTTGCCACATAATCACCATAGCTGTTAGCAAAGAAGCTGACCGCTCCTTATTGCTGCTTAAGGGAGATAATTTTCTATCTATTTCCCTCTGTGAATATAGCGAGTGCTTACAAACAGACTGCAATGCTTTGCTAGGCAGATCTTGTTCATACCTACTAAACCAACAGTAACTATCCGCTGTGAACCCCGTTTTGAGAATACCGATGGGCATCCTTTCATGTACGTGTCCGTATCCTCTGGGTCGAATAGACCGCCTCCTTGATGCATGGTGCAGGTCGGTGCGTTATACAACATATGTCTTCGGGCAACTGTCTTGGTCAAGGTAGGGCGAAGACGTCAGGTGTTGAATGTGCAGGGGCATCCAAATACCCCCTTACGCATGCTACCTGACTTGTATATACCCGCGGTTCCAATTTGGCAATGCGGTGCATCTTGTCAGTCCCCGGTCACACCCGATGCACCTCCATGGCCTCCTTGCATTGACTGAGGACTCTGGCCCAGTACGCTCTCTTTGGATGTTTAGGAGTCGCGGGATTCCGGCCCTTCCTTGTGTGAGAAGAATAGTAGACTGCAAATCTAGGGTGCCAGATAAGCATATAAAGCTTGTCCTTGCCATACCTTCCCTTTGTATATGGACCCATCCGCAGGCTCTGCTTCTCTTCTGCCGCTGCCATTTCCATCTTCGACCTCAGTTCACGCAATGACCCTCTCCTCACAAGCTCCCACGGACCAAGTTGCTCTGAGGTCGTGGAGAGTGCTAGCCCAGTCGCTGAATTCCCATCGGAGCAACAAAAGAAATGGTGGCTCCATACGGCTCCGTTTCTCAACAGCCTCCTGGAACAAGCCGAGTACAGCATTCACCATCAATACAGATTCCTTAGCTTTTTCCAGCAGTACCTCCTCCCTGCAGTAGGCAGTTTTGATGATTCGGCCAGCGCATTCCGCAGCATCTCCCCGGACATCTATCCGTTGGAGATGAGCACCAACCACAGCGATAATGGGAGATTGGTTCGCATCGGCATGGAACCGCTCAGTATCCACGCTGGTACATCTGCCGACCCCCTAACCCAAGCCTTCCTCCGACTGTTCCTCGGCGAACTCGCCATCCACTTCCCCCACGTCGACCTGCTCTTGGCGAATCACTTTGAGTCATGCCTCAATCTCTCCCCTGAAGAGTATAAGGTTGCCGTCTCCATGCCCGTGACCGAAGCCAATATGCAAGCGCGATTCGCCGGGTTCAACCTCCAGCGAACGGGAGACATTGTCGCGAAGGCGTACTATTCCTTTGGTGCGAAAGCGGCCATTCAAGGCGTCTCCAAGACGACTCTCGCCTTGAAGACCCTGCGCAGCATCGACTCCTACAGCAGTGACCCGAAATATTCTGCTGCCGTCTCGGACCTCGAGGGTTTCTTCGCGTCAACCGGTATCGAGCCCTTTCTCATGGGGACGGACTGCATCGAATCCACCAAGTCCCGGATCAAAGTTTACGTCAGGGCACCTTGGTTTACCTCCGCAGGCCTGCGGGATCTCTGGACCCTCGGAGGCAGGGTGAATACCCCGTTGTCCGCCAAGGGCTTGGAAATCGCCGAATACTTCATGAGCTTGCTGAACTATACCCCGGAGCAAACGAACGTGGACTCGAGCTTTGCCGCTCTACTCGCCAACTATGAGCTCAGGATCGGCTCTCCGCATCCAAAGCCACAGATCTATTTCCCGCTGCACAGGATAGACGACGAGACGGCAGCGAATATCCTGACACGGTTCTTTGACTATCTGGGGTGGCAGGGTATCGCCTCCAACTTCAAGGATTCCATGCTTTCAAATATGTAAGTGATCCGCTTTTTTCCCGGCTATATATTATGGATTGGCTGACCGCGAGTAGGCCATGCCCATCGTGGAAGGACAACAAGAAATTCACAAAGTGGGCTGCATACGCTTATTCCGAGGCGGGCGTGTATTTGACGGTCTACTACAATTCAGCCTCAGCCAAGGCTGGAAGTCTGTAAATCAGCAGACTGAGCGAGGAAGAAGGATTAGGATAAGGGACAGCTACAAGTATGTTCATCTGAAATGACCTGGAAGCTCTTGCCCGCCCAACATTTCATAAAGTGGTGTTATACTGGAGCCACTGCGTCTGGGAGAGAAGCAGCTTAGCTTAATCGAATAGACGTTTGGATCCATACGCATAAAAACAATAACTTTTCATTGGTTTTTAGATGAATCCAAATGCCTACTGTAGTCTAGAAGACGATATTAAATTATAGAGGTCTATCTCCTTAGTAGTCTATCCATTACGCCTTATTCATATTCCATCAGTAATAATCCCTCCCGCAAACATTGTAGGTGTGTCCCAATAGAGGTAACAACCCGTACATCAACCTAGAGCCTATTCAATTTCAGGTCCATCAAGACGTGACATTCGCCGCTGTCAGAGGAGCAACGCGGAATACGAGGTAGGACTGTCTCCAGCATGTCCTGTTACTCAATGAGCTGCGGATTTCGCGGTCACCGGTTCACCGTCCTGTTTCCCCGGCGTTCATGGACTACTGACTTGCCTCAGAGTCCGGTGGTCCCTTCGGAGGCTGCCGCACAGATTTTGGACAGTTGGGACATCGCACAGCTCGGTCATGGCTTCTTCATCGATGTCGCACCCATCCAACTTGTAGAATGTCCATTGGGATGAACGTGCAAAGACACTCTATGGGAGACGGAGAGTCGAATTCTCGCCCAGGGATAGGAGGGTTACCTCAGAGAATTTCTTGCGGCCCCGACCGCACCATAGGGAAGTTCCAGGTGCTTGATATAAACAGAGCTTGCGAGCTCGGACAAGGTGAGTGTCATACACTGCGATAATACTATCACGTTGCCGCAAGCTCAACGCTTACGGACCTTCTGCGGCTTCGAGATGGCCAACAACGGCCATAAGAGAAGCCAGCGATGCGCGGCCACGTATAGTGAGCTCCTTTGCCGCATAGACAATAACGCATTAGCCCTGGTGAACAGCGGCCTGACGAGAGGAGCGCCTATCGCTGTGTGCCAGGAACCATCCATCGAGTCTGTCGCTTCTTTCCTCGCGATTCTCCAAGTTGGTGGAGTATACGTGCCGCTGTAGCTGTCGATTTCCGGGGCATGGTGCAACTTTAAACGGGGCGGCGAGACGAACTACGACTTTAAGCGTCAGTTGCAGAGATCGTCCATTGTATCAGTCGACGTCTATCCGAGGGAACTGTATAAACTGAAAGTAGAAGTACAACCGGGCACAGTGCAGGGGGGGTATCAAGGAAAGACAAAAGATGGCATCATGAATATATATATCCACATCAGTAAATCAATACACAGGCCGTACATATCGCGATGCAATCGGAAAAAGGCACCCGCTTCGAAAACGCACGCATTCACCGTAAATCGTACCCAGCATCGCTCATAGTCGTCGCAACATAACCGTTCGTATTCGCGGCGCCGTCCGTGTTCTCAGCTCCGTCTGGCGGTCACGACGACCGCCGCGTAGCGACCAGTATATTGCTAAGCCGCTTCCAGCGCTGCTGCGCCGGCGACGCGGTATCCCGCTCGAGGCGGTCTTTGTCCATGGTGGTCTTGCAGGAGGACTGGGTGGAGGAGCGCGGTCGGCTGCCGAGGGCCTCGTGGTCGGCTAGGACGTCTTCGAGGCGGACGTCCGACTCGGACATGCGCAGGGGGGAGTCTTTTGTGTCTAGGATTTCGATGAACCTGGAGGGCATGTCGCGCATATTCGGTGGCTTGGTTGATCAGACAATGGTAGAAGTAAAAGTGTAGTAGAAGACGCAAGTAACAGTGTAGCGTGAGGCGTCCCAAGGGACGGCGAGAAAGCAGTGAACGTCCCGAGTGGAGAAGTCGGACAGGTAATAAATCATCGAGTCGGATGACGGACGAGGGGCGATCCCGGATATAATTTCCGTAGGCCAGTGTCCGGAAAAGTATGGAGAGCGAGGACGATGGGCCGAAGGACTAGATACGAAGGCCGGACTAGGATCGGGAAGCGGCGCGCGGATCGAGGTCTCCACGACGAGGTCAGCGGCGTTGGAGGATGCAGTAGCGGCCGCACCAGGAGCTAGACGGTTTCAGGTGCCGAACAGATGACGGAGACAGTCACTGGGGTTGCAATATAAGTTCGTGGGGAGTAAATGGCGTAGAGCGAAGGGATAGACGGCGAGATGGAGATATTTATGATTCTTTGACAGACTTCTGCATGCGCACAGCAGCATGACAGAGTTTAATACCCTCAGTCGACTGGGTCACGACCGAAATAGAACAGCGCAATCATCCGAATCGAGAAAGGAAAAAGTAATGCGCCAGGATGGGCATCCTGGCCGTGCACCGGAATGGATCACCTGTAGGGTCAGGCCTCTAGACCCGCCACTTGCACGACTCGGTTCGTATGTATGGAGTTACTCCATACGGAGTCTCTCCATCGTGAGTTCGCAAGCTCGACTCCGATCGGCTCTGATTGATGGAGAGGGCTCACCCAGGACCGCCAGGGAGGACGGGGCCCGACGATGGTTCGTCCGTGGTCAGCCGGAGAGGGGCGAGTGTGAGCGCGGATCCGTGGGGTGCCTGTATGTACGTATTCAAGGTCTTCAGGGATCACTCTGAGGAAACTGGCGATACACTGTCTTCCCTGATTTGGTCTGTTCGTGATGCTGGATCGGTGGAGTAGGATCTACTAAGCAGTTAGTAGGTTCAGCCAAACAATAGTATGGAGATAGGGCTGGGCCAATCTCCACTCACTCCACCATCTCCATTCCCAAACGAGCTGACGTTGCAGTGGAAGCTCGATCATGTCTTGTCGCGAATGAGCCTGTCGAGGCGGTGTGTATCGTGGGGATGATGGAGCAGAAGCAGTTCGTCAGGGCGTGCATGGGCCTCCCAAGACGACTAATGTAGGTGACTGCGGCGAAGAATGTGATATCATACCGAGGGTACAGCCACCACCGGTGAATACCTTCAGGCATGTCAAGACGAATCGCATGATAGTGTATAAGGAGGAAATCGAGAGAATACTGCTCTGTATAATGGAGGTGGTGTAAACAGAGGCGTAGAGGACTGATGGTTGCCACGAGCTGACGTCATAGCCCTAAGGGTCTCCGCCGATGACGAGCATCTCGCATCTCATCTCCATTGCGTTGCGCTCCTCCCTCTTCTCTTCCATTTCCAACGCACTTGTCGCGATACACGCGGTCATCTGTGACTGACACAATCATGCCCCGCAGTCGTCGATCTAAAAATACCTCGGCCGTCGACAATCCACCGTCTCCTCCTTGGTCCGAGAAGAACGGATCGGTCGCCGACCAGCAGCAGCATGGACCACCGCCAGTGACGACTTCTCCAGCCAGCTCTTCGGCCAGTCCTCATCCTGCCGACCCCATTCAGCCGTCGCCGGGTTGGGACGAGGACGAGGAGATGCCAGAAGAGACGACGCATACTGTTGACAGCGAGAAACCCTTGCCGCGTGCAGGCTACGCCGCAGGGGCTGGCGGCTACAACAGTCTCAAATCGTACAAAGGCCAGGTCTACTCTGGAATGGCGGTCGGCGGCTCCCACACGTGGAATTACGATCCGGGCGTCTGGAAGGAGACGAAAGAAGAGCCGGATCTGTGGAGGATCAACTACCGGACGAACAAGCGGCGGGCGAAGAATGCCCCCGATGGAAGTGGTGCGCCCGTCGGGACAGAGTACCACTGGCTGATTGTCGGTCATCAGGTAGGTTGGCAGACTCTGTCCGAGGTGTAGTCAGGGTGGTTGGCTGGGACCGATGCAGGTCCCTCCACACACATGCTCACGCGCTCGACAGTTCGTTAAGAAGATCGACGCCAATACCTACGAGACCAACCTTACGGGCTCCAAATACAAACTGGCGTACAAGTCCGCCTCGTCGAACGCATGGTCGATCCCGACGGTGAAGAAGCAACGCGACCGAGAAATCGAGCTGCTGGAGGACGCCCGACAGCGGGTGCAAGGGCTGCCGCCTGTGTTGGCATCCGAGAAGGTCAAGGTCGAGAAGCACGAAAAGGGCCAGCAGAAGCTCGATCGCATGTTCTCCAAACAGGGATCAACAGGCACGGGAAGTAAAAAAAGAAAGATCGACGACGATGAGGGCGTATGATTCCCTGCATACATGGTGCGTGGAGCGTTGAATGTGAGGTATACCATCGATGTATCACCGCGATGAGGGCTACAAATTGCTTGTGCTGCAGAGGTAGAGCAAGGAGTGTCCAAGTAATGACACCAATGGTATCAGACAGTTGAAGCTGAAACACCGAGCAACTACCGTTCGGCATTCTCCAGGCCTGCAAGTCCATCCCCGCATTGATGAAATTAAGCCAAGGTCAACGGGAATTGATGGCATGCCTCGGAAGCTTGAAGAACGCTCGTAGGGATCGATCTCTTGGAATCTTGATTTAGACTGGCTTTCAAGACTAGGGTTCCTGCACCTACAACGCCTGCCGAGGTCTCTGAAAGGCCACTCCATGGACTATTGGATGAGGAAGCGTTACAATCGGCACTTGAATGCTTGAATGAATGCTGTTGGCTAATTCGGACCTGAACAGCGAGACAGCGTCGTATAGCAGAAACTGTTTTTGTCGCGGATGTTCCATGTTTGATTGAGATCTATCACCCTAGGTCTTGATGGCGTACGAGAAGCCATTCGATTTCGGGCTATGAAGCTTGAGTAATACAAGCAGCCTTCTCATCGCGATGCTCGGCTTTTGATGACCTTCGACGGTCGTCCGGTTGATGAGGTTTGCTACCGCGGCTGCAGTATCCTCCATTATAAAGATGCCCATCTCCTCTGTAGGACTGAGGGTATCAGGTTCATAGTATCTCTACAGTCTCCAAAATGTACCGAATTATTGCCTTCTACTCTATCGTATACTTGGGCTTTTTGTCATGGTCGACCGCCGATGCCTTCCTGGTGGGAGGCCCGGTCAACACCACGAGCGGCACAGTGAGAGGAAAAGCATCCTCTTTGCGTCCTGATGTCTCGGAGTATCTGGGAATCCCTTATGCAAAGGCACCCAAGGGCGATTTGCGCTTTGCTGCTCCTGTGCCTGCCGACAAGTCTCCTACGGTCTTGAATGCAACGTCTTATGTGTGTTCCAGCTCCCTCTTCTGTATGCGCAATTGCTGATTGATGCCACAGAGCCCGTAAGCAACCCCTCGTTTTCATCTGGTTCCTAACTCACTGGCCAGTGACTGTCCCTGCAACCGTATTCCCATGCGTCAAGCCGCGCTCGGGGGCCCTGTGGGTGAAAAGATCACACGAGCTCTATCTCAGGAGGACAGTATCCTAGACGAGGACTGCCTAACCATCAACGTCTGGTCCAAGCCCCAGCAAGGCGAACAGAAGAAAGCCGTCTTGTTCTGGATCTACGGCGGAGGTAAGATGACCCGAATTACACAGGCCTTTCTAACCTCCAACAGGCTTCGCCATCGGCAGTGCATCAAGCGCCGTTTACGACGGCTCAATCCTCGCAGACGAGAACGATGTCGTCGTCGTCTCATTCAACTACCGACTGAACATCTTCGGGTTCTCCGGCGCACCGGGCCAGCCATGGAACGTGGGCTTGCTGGATCAACGTCTCGCGCTGGAATGGACCAGAGACAACATCGCTCGGTTTGGTGGCGATCCAGCACGCATCACTGTCTTCGGCCAGTCGGCCGGCGGCCTCTCCACCGACTTCATGGCCTACAGCTACCCCGACGACCCGATTGCGCATGCACTGATCGCCCACTCGGGCGTCGCAAGCTCCTCGCTGAGTATCGCCCCGAAGAAATCCGACCTCCAGGAGACATGGTACAACGTCTCGAGCAGCCTCGGCTGCGGCGGTGCCGAAGCAGGCGAACAAACAGTGGCCTGCATGCGGTCCAAAAGCCAGGACGAACTTCTGGCCGCCATCGAGCCCCTCACCACAGGCGGCATGGTCGGCGGCTTCACGCCCGTCGGCGACGGCCAGGTGATACCCGAAGACATCGCCGGTGCCGGTGACGCTGGGAACTTTGCCCGGATCCCGTTCATGACCGGCAACACCGACAACGAAGCCGGGTTCTTCCTCATCACCGCGTTGGCCTACACGAACCTCACCGCGGAGCAGGTGGCCGCCATCCCCATGAACCTGATCCGGCCGCTGGGCAACATCCTAACGCTCGCGGGGTTCACCTGTCCTGCCGCTGAGGCGGCGGGATACCGCCTCGAGCATCGCGTGCCGGCCTGGCGGTATCGGTACTACGGGGGGAACTATAGCAATACGTACATAGTGCCCGTTGGATCCGCATATCATACGTCTGAGTTGCTTCCGCTGTTCGGTACGGCGCCGACTGTCACCGGCGTGAAGGATACCTGGTACGAGGCGGAGGCGGCCGCGTATATGCGGAACGCGTGGGCGACATTTGCGAAGAACCCAGCTACCGGGCTCAGCAGTGAGTTCCGGTGGCCGAAGTTCAATCCTCTGAGTAGGTGGATCTTCTATGGTTGATTGTGTCTAGACTGACAGGTTTGGAACAGCACGGTCAGAAGTGCAGCTCTCGCTGGACAAACAGACCGAAGCGACTTTCATCTTCAACGAGGAGACAGATGTATTCTGTCCGATTCTGAAGTTTTACGCGGGTATCTTTGAGGATATCATGAGGATCTTCTCGCGTTTGGGGGGTGGTGATAACGCGCTGAGTGGCGACTTGCTAGGTATGTTGGTTCCGCCTCTGTCAATTCGGATACTAATGCTCGCCTTGTATAGGCATCCTCAAGAATCCCCTGCAGAATGGAAATACCCTCAGGGATGCTCTGGACCGCCTCTCTGCTCTGGCGTCGGGATTTTGAACGGACGCTCCCACACCTTTTGACATGTCTTGTACTTTGCTTTCGTTATTATGCTGTGCGTTTGAACCGTTCTACCATCATGGACGGAAGATTGCGGGCCTAGAAATAACATTGGCTGTTTGAATCTATCTTTCTCTTAGAGAATGAATCGCCAAGCGTAGGCTAGAAAATACCCGACATTGTGCCCGTACACCTCGCGTAAATAGCACAAGGCCTCATGCAATTGACCATGATCCGGGCCCGGTCAATGCGATGCCCCAAGCCCAATCCTCCGGACACTAACCATTGCCAGCCACATAACAAGATGACAGACGGAAAAATAGAAGACAGCTTCATTTCGCGACCCCGCAATCTCGGCATAGTATCGACCGACAAGTCTTGGCCGGACGTCGATTGCCGGCAATATAAATCACGACAGAGTGCCACGAACATTGCGCCCGGGTGCCATTGAAGTCTCTCAACGCAGCTGTCTTTACCATGCTCGGCATCAAAGCCCTGTCAACTATCGTCCTGGCCCTGACCGCGCAGGGGAAGTACATTGTCCCCGGGGGCCGATGGCGCGACACGGACGGCAACCTGGTCAACGCGCACGCCGGCGGAATCCTCTTCGACGAGAAGTCGGAGAAGTTCTGGTGGTTTGGCGAGTACAAGACCGAGGGCCAGGAAGAGGGCGGCGGCGTGTCGGTGTATAGTTCGGAGGATCTGGCGACGTGGGAGGCACACGGGAAAGCTCTCGGTATGTCGCTACATTCCCTTTCTACGATGTGACCAACGGCTTATAACGATGCAGAGCCCATCGAGGGCCACCCCTACATCTCCCCGGAACATATCATCCAACGGCCCAAGGTGGTCTACAGCGAAGAGGCGGGCCAATACCACGTATGTCACCGATTGAGTGTCATGGCCTTTTCGCCCGCTAACCGCAGTAGATGTGGTGGCACGCAGACAACTCTACCTACGGCTGGCTTCTCCAGGGATTCGCCACGGCCGATACCCCAGCTGGTCCGTACACGTTTGTCGACGCCACCGCGCCGCTGGGCAACTGGTCGCAGGACTTTGGGCTGTTCACGGACTACAAGGACGGGCGGTCGTACGCGTTGTACTCCAACGGCGATAGGGTCGAGGGCCGCGACGTCTACCTGACCGCGTATAATGAGAACGTCACGGCGCTGGATGAGGTTGTTTACCGGTTCCCCAAGTTCGATCTCGAGGCGCCCACCATCATCCAGACGGAGAAGAGCTACTGGGCGTTGATGAGTCACAAGACGGGCTACAGACCGAACAGTAAGTCATGGAGATGGCGCTATTGGCACGAATAGGAATCTGACGGCAGCAGATGTGGTTGCGTTCCGGGCAGACTCTCTAAGTGGCCCCTGGTCTCAGCCGTTTATCGTTGCGCCGTTGAACACACGTACGTTTAACTCGCAGTCTGGGTTCTCGCTGCGCATCAAGGGGAGCAAGAAGACGACGTATTTGTACATTGGCGATCAGGTATGGTTTCCAGCCGGTTGGGGATGCACTGCTAACCCGATCAGTGGGATATGAACTCCCTGTGGGAGAGCCGGTATATCTGGCTTCCGATGGAGATTGACGAGAGGAAAAAGACGCTGGAGCTGGTCTGGCACGACGTCTATGATCTGAATGTGTGAGTAGACCCTGTCGATGAAAGGTCCTTTCTGATCGGCGTAGAAAAACCGGGGAGTGGAAACCAATCCAGGGCAAGACGTACTCGGCCAAGAGTGCAAAGACCAACGGCGCCGCATACAAGCAAGAAGCTGTGAGTGCGGTGGACCCTATCGTGTATGCAGCGTACTGATTGTGTCAGAACTTCGCGACGGACGGGGTGATCCTGACAGGCATCTATGGCAACGACAGCACAGTCACGTTTGAGGGAGTCGAGGGAACTGGAAAGCCGCAATGGGTGTCTTTCTATTATCAAAGTATATTCCATGTTTCCGATTAGTGATCTGATACTAACCAGTATACGGCAGACATCGATGACATGGGATTCGGTGACCAGCGTAAGTCGACACATCTCTTATACTACCGACTGTTCTAACCATGCACAGCTGAAGGCAAGCCAGATCGGATCGGGGGCTCCTGGCAGCTCCGTCGCATCAGCAGCGTGGTCGTCAATGGCAAGACCGAGAACGTCGAGACGCTCTACCAGCGCGACACGCATAAAGGAATCATCCTGTCGACACCTCTGCAGCTGACTCTGGAGAGAGGAAGACACAATACGATCACGGTTGGGGGGCTGTACAACGGGGTTGACTATAAGGGAGCGGACTTGGATCGCATTGTGGTGTATCCGCCTGAGAAGTGATCCTTAAGCAACAGCATATAGAAGCGAATCTATACTAAAATGTAGGCCAATGTATGTATACACATATGCATGAAATGTCGACTGTAGCTATGCGTACACGTTGCTAGGGGTATTGTCCCGTGCTTAAGCTGATGATGCTTCGGACAACGCAGAATAGAGCCTCATGTAGAGAATTTATATAGTTGGATCAGGACTAATCCGACGTCCCTCTATACTGTATAGTAGATATCAAACCCTCCAGGCTATGATTATCATAACTAATCAATGCTACGTCCTAATTTTCGAACCTTATTCATTTACTTGGTAATGTTGATAAACCTTCAGCGAGGAAAGATTGGCATATTATTCTACCCGTAGAATAGTTGTTTTGCGTTCTGAGGATTCATAGCTTTTAGGATATCCAGATCTGCTCCTATAAATATCTAAATTTATGCTGTCTTTTGACTGAAGTTATAGAGAAAACCCATATTCTTTGAATTTTAAGCCCTATACAGAGTCAGCTAATAACCTATGTTTGCCTGTATATGCTAGATCTCAATATCACCACTATCCTTACTGCCCTTACGAGGAAAGGCAAGGTGATGAACCAGCATGAAAGTGTGTTTCCTCCTGGACCAAGACCAGGAACGTATTTATACGGATTTATCTAATTAATGATAGCTACTGCACCGTACCAATTATCCCTCTATATGTCCGAAGCCATATAACCATGCGGTGCAGTCATGGGAACTCCGCCTGCTCTTCGATGAGCTCTACTTGAATGAGCTCCAGAGGGCTCTTAAGGAGCAGACTACGGAGTAAAACAACTTCCTCAGTTTCGGCACCGGTCTGGGAGGAAGCACACTTTTAGCGATAGTAAGAGGCGTGGGCCTACACCTTCTCATCCCCCGGGGCAGACTTTGGAGGATCCCCCCATGTAAAAACCTTCTTGACCTCGCTTTTTAAGTGCTCCCATATATCTGTGAAATGCTGCTTGAGTGAATACGCCTTGAACGCAATTGACAAAAAGAAGGCTGACACGACTGTGGAGACCCCGACTGCGTAACGCATAAAAAGGCGATTAGCTGGGATAACAGAAACGGGAAAGACGCTGCTACTCACAAATGATTGGAAATATCCACCACCCTTGATAGGAAACCTCGCCCCCCTCGTGCGGAAAGCTGCTGACATTCAAGGCGAATAAGCTTGTAAGGAAGGAAAGGGGGAGCTATATACATCGCCACCTGCTGTCAGCATCCTCTCTGACCGCGAACATGTCAAGGCCAGAGCAACTCACAAAAATGATAGTGACAACAGTAAACCAGACAACAGTATCAGTCTGCTTCGCCGTGTCTTGTGCCTGCCGCCTCGTCCACTGGGCTTCCGTCAGATTGGCTTGCTTCTGCTTTAGATCTAGCAGGGTGTCGATGGATTTTTGGACGACTTCGGCATCGTGAATCATTCCCGTAATCGTCTTCTTGACCTCTGTGGGTGCGTTGTTCGAGAAGGTAGGCTTGTTATCGCCCAGGGCTTCCGAGGCCTGCCTCCAAACATGTTCCTGATCCTCAGCTAATGTCTTTAATATATTTAGCTCGTCGCATATATCCTTAACCTCTTGAAGAAGATCTGTTTCTGTCGCGATGTTGTGATATTCGTCTAGATCGGTGGTCTTTACTCCTGGCTTAGCCATCGCTTCTGCTTTGTTTTCGTCTTCGAGTGATGCCTGAAACTTCCTAAAAAGATCTGCTTCGGAATTGCGCTTTATGATGTTAGCATGAGACTTCATCACGCACAAGTGGTCCACAGCCATACTTACCACATATCCAATAGAAGCTCGGAATACCTCGAGTGGCGATACTTTGTTTCCCAGAATCGGGATGTGCTTTTCATTCAAAAGCTCGACGGCTGTACTAGCAATGAGCTCAGCCATAGATTTTGCTGACATGGCCGATTCGTTGTTGCGAATGTCCAGCCTGTCGAGCACGCGTTTCAGGAAGCTTTTGTCGGCCCCATGTGGCTCTTTGGATGTGCAAGTGATCATTGTGTCTGCACCCGAGGAGTCGGTTAGAACCTGCTAGAACCAAGGACACCTCGCTTGAAAGAGTACATACTACCGTCAAGGATCCAGAGCCAAAGTTGGCCGACCGACAGAATCGGATGGGGTGTCTCGGGTCGGGGCAGGTCCAGACGATGCGTTTGCTTGCTTGCAACCTTTTTAGGCGATACCAAATTCGCTTTGCTAGGACCCTTGGAGTCGCTAGGGAGGCCGCTTGGTTTCGGATTCTCAGCGCGCCCCTCTTCCCTTCGTATATATCTTCCCAACACTTGCGTCTTGTCGCGATCCTCGGTATCGTCGAGTGAGACATAGTAGTATTGGTCGAGAGTCAGGGGCTCATGGTGTATTGGGTCTACTGATACCTCATGTCTTTGGTCCGAAGTTGAGTCGAGAGTCGACTGAGATTGTCTCGGTTGCCATTCCATCCACGACAGGTACGGTATCTAAAGGGTACGATCAGTATCGTTGACAAAAGACGGAATTAGAACACAAACGTAAAGAGAAACTATCCCTTTCTCATCATTAATTCCTCTCGGTTCCTGCCTTTGCGCCCACAATCTCTTTTTGGGGACCGCTATGGGTTCTTCTGTTGCTGACATCCACTGGGGAAAGGCTCCTGATGACCCTTTTTGTGATATACTATGCTCTCCCAACTTGGTCTATACGGCAACAGTTAGAAGTAGGCGTCAATGCAAGTTAGATAATCTCCAACGTACCACACACTGCGGCTTCACATAGAACTTCTTGCCTCCGGCAGGTAGTTGGATACAACTATCCCGTACAAACTGAGCCAGGGGACGGTGGTCTCTGGCTTTTAGGCCTTGGTCTCGAGTGAGTCTCACCATTAGTTCCTGATAGAGGGTCAGCCAAGCTAGGCTATTAGGCGACAAATTATATACCTCGGCGCATCGTAGCTGGGCGAACTATAGTCAGAGGATTTGAATTGATTATACTGCTGACAAGGAACTCACATCGTTATCGGGAAAGTGAAACCATCTCAGGTGATGCATCCTTGGTTCTGAAATTTGAGTCGCCTCTGTCAGCAGATAACTTCTCATAAAGTGACCCCGGTGCCGGAACATTTTCTGGTCTGGTCTTACGACACGGAGCCTGGCCTTTATTGTGGAGATGTCGCGATATTTGGTGTGGTGCATGATTTCCTGAGGTCCTACTTCATATATGATGTCTCGAATCTGACGTCGCTTAGGCTGGAAGGTGAATCGATCTTTAACCTGGTAAAAGTCCGTGATAACCGCCTGAGCATTGCCATATTCCTTGGGCTCGGACCTGAACGCGGGAGCGTTGTTATCACCACGTAGCACCGGATGGTTTGGAATAGGAGGAGAGTCAGAAAGCAGTTCCTGGATCATAGTATTCACTTCAGGGGCCACTGGAGTGAAACCATGTTTTTTAGCGTGCAAAGCATGTTCTTTCGCGCGCTCATTGATAGTGATACCAAGGTTGATATCACTGTCATTGAGGTAGGCTCCATTGGCAAGCAGCCACCAAACTAACGTGGGCTCTTGATAAGCAATTGCCCAGTGCAAGGCATTTCGGCCCGGTTCTAGGCCAAGCTCTGAGATATAGAACTGCCGGAAATGTGGCAAGATCATGTTGAAAAATCGATGCAAGTTGTCCTCTTTTCCTGGAGTCTCACATCTGGCTGCTAGCTCCAAGACCTTAGTCGCCATCTCAGGCTGCCCACGGAAGAATCCGTGCTTCTCGCGTTTGTCTTGCTCCGAAATGAGCCGATGCACCTCACTCCAGAGGAGCCGTTCCACCTCGTCCTGACGTCCTGTACCCCCCAAAGCGGCGAATTCAACTGCCGTAATTTCGCCCTCGGCGGGTAGAAGAAGCATCTCTAGAGAATGATAGAAATTCTTCTCGCATCTGGAGTAAAGGGAAGGCAGCAATACCTCTTTCACTAGAGCATAGTGCCCATGCGCTGCAGCCAGATGAAGGGGCCTTATTCCAGCCCTGCCGGAGGCCAGTATGTCTCCCCCTTCCTTGAGAAACCGTTGCATGATGGGCACACTGCCTGCAATCGCAGCGACATGCACCCAGGATGCGTCTTCTCTGTTGGGAGACACTCTGTGGCAGAGGGCGAGAAAGTCTAGATGTTCAAGTAGAATGGCCCAGTAGCAGACCGCTGCACCGTGCCGCAAGATCTCAGCTTCGTCTGCAGTGTCCAGCCATTTCTTAAGCAGGATATGACCCGAGTACTCTTCCTCATAGGACGTATTTGCGCGAATTACTTCATCTGTGAAAAAGGTGCGAGGGAAATACACCTGTGTTTCGAGGAGCTGCAATGCGATTCCGGTGTGGCCACAATGCACCGCCTTGTCTAATGCAGTATGATTCTTGTAATCTCTGGCGGTTATCACTGCCTTTGCCACCGCGCCCCCGTTGGGTTCGTCGCTGCGCAATATGCCTTTCAGAAGGGCCTGGCACACTTCCGCATGGCCGCGGGTGCACACCTCATGCAATGCAGTCTGTTTGAAAAGCTGTGTTGCTGCAGGGTCCGCCCCCATTTCAAGTAGATATGTAATGGCACTGACACTCCCTCCCTGCGCTGCTAGGAAGAGAGCTGTTTCACCATCTGCCGTTCGAAGTTCCAAGAATTCCGGATTGTGGTCTAGAAGAATGTGCAGTATGCCAGCGTGTCCGTTCATGGCTGCCAGATGAAAAGCAGAGACGGGGGGGGTCCGTTCGCTTTCTGCTAAGCCGATTGCAGCCTTTGCTGTCAACACATCCGCTCCTCGTTGCAAAAGACTCTCAACGATCCTCTCACTGCCCATCGCAGACGCCCAAACAACGGCAGTGCAACGACAGATAACCAATCCCTCTTCCGCTGCAAGTGGCAATAGTCGCGACTTAACATCAAAGATTTCATCGATATATTTGATAGGCAGCAGATCCTCGAGCTCTGAGGCGTTATCATCCTTGATTGCCTGTCCTATTTTATCTAGCCACGAAACCATGTTCGGTGTTGAGTGGGTGGGCTCCGCGTCACGGATGGCCTCGCTGACTTCCTCGTGGATGGTCTCCTCACGCTCGGTCACTGTCGGCTCCGACAGCGATGAAAATGATCCATTTTCACTTACGGGGTGTTCCTCATCCTTGGACATAGCACAACGTATGGCAAAGCCTGGGGTTCGTTGATGGGTTTGGATCAAGTCAATGGTTTAGAAGAAACAAGAAGAGGGGCACAGTGAAGTCAGAATAGGGCAAACATGTGCGAGATAAACCCAGCAAGCGCCATCGCCGACGAACACTGGATTCTACCGGGGTCATGCATGGCCAAAGGCGTTCAAAGCGCCTGTCAGATTTCCGTCAAGTCGCGCCTTTTCCGCGGATTCGCCCGTTGTTATTGGTGGCCTGCTTGGGTCGTGGTCTTTTGAAATCATTCGAATAGGTGGAGAGTGCAACCAATGCGAGAACGAGAGAATGGATATCAGGATCCAAGATGTGAAGCGGAGGTTTACGGAGTATCTTTACGGTGCTCTTAGGGATCAATCACCCCGGAGAGCCAATCTTGGCCCAGTTAGATTGCTTAGAAATGATCGCAACCCTCATAGTGGAGTATGAGCTGCAGATACAACTCAGTGTGGATTCTGATTACTACTTATATTCGTTCGTATGTGAATGAATGAAAAGGAAGAGGCAAAAAAAAAACTTATGTGGAGAAACTGGGAATCGAACCCAGCACCTTTCCAATGCAAATGGAACGTCATACCACTAGACCATATCCCCATAAGATCGTAGGTTACATAGTCTATTTTGAATACATGAAATAGGGTCTGCTTTTAAGAACATGGCTATACTTGTTGATAGATGCCAAATATATCAAAAACACAGGATGAACGGCGGACTCTCACATAACAACTCTATAGAACTTTAGTCCATATCACTACCCGCATGCGTCATCCGCCACGCACACCTGCCCTGCTATAAATCATGCCACGAATGCAGCAAATCCCCACTGCAATAACATAACCTTCCTCTTCCTCCCCTCAAATCCGGAGTACTCCCATTCTACTTCTTGGCAACGCTCCATAGCAGTATTCGTTCCCGCGGCAAGCATTCATTTCGGGCAGCAGGATGACTTGGCCGCCCCTGACAGCGGGAAACCGGCCGCATCTCGAGCAGATCCCACCATTTATATTCGTGCTGTTGGTGCCAAGTAGTCCCAGGCGGAGGGGCCCGTGGAAGGGACGGCTGGGCGAATTCTGGTGCTTGGCGTGGGGGCAATGTTGGCGGCAGTAGACTGAGGGACAGTGTTTCGGTCCCTATCGTATCCTTTGATGGCGAGTCTACCGTCGCTCAGAGATATGAGCAAATTATTAGGTGCACTAATGTCGGAAGGAAGATTTGTAGCATCATTCAAAGCGGACTGTCTGTACAAAATCTATAAACTTGTATGTACATTGTGCCGCAGATACGGCTTCTAATCATCTATCTGCAACATGCATCGGCACTTGCCCAAATCAGTGCGAGAAGCGGGAGGCCCTCAGAGCGTCCGCCTCATGCATAAGAAGGTTCTCGCCGCCAGGCTGGTTCTGTGTATACCGCGCATTGAACTTGATCACCTTTTTGAGGATGTTGTAGCTGCGCACGTCGAGCGGAAGGTATCCCGCACTGACGTACCAGTTCACGCCTTCAGTACAGGGAGGCGTGGTAAGTGAGCCCAGATACTGGTAGACGGGGTGGCACTCGAAAAAGCCCGCTAATGCGGTAAAGTCCATCGGCCCGGTGGTGGTCGACGAGCCGGGGCAGGCGATTTTGGAGACGTGGCTGAAGAGGGAGTGGAATAGAGGGGAGGATTCGTTGGACTCGGAGAGCTCGAAGAGGAAGCCAACAACGGCTGTGTTGCCGGCTACAGATGGTTAGTATGTGTTTGAGCTTGAATTCATGAGGACGGGCTCGCTACATACCGTTGTTCTGGAAGACAAAGTGGACCTCCAGCGGGAAGTACTGCGAGTCGACTCGGTGCTCGCTGGGGGTGTGGAAGTGGAATTGACTGAGTGTGTAGCAGGTATTGCCAGCGGTCAGAGAGCCCTGGGGCAAGTCCACTTCCAGAGTTTTTCCCTTATTCTTGAAGATAGTGCCGTTGGTCTCTGGGATGTCTATCTCCAGGAAGCCTTCCGGGACGTAGCCGATATGGCGCGTTTCGATGTTGATGGGGGATTGGAAGTGACTGTGGACGCAGGCAGCGTTGTTGTCCTTATCGAGACTGTACCAGTTCAATGGTCCCTTCAGCTCATTGTAGCTGAAGTCTGAGCCTGAGGCGGCCACCACAGAGGTGGTAAGAAGGGAATAGATGGCACCAATTGTGAATTTCATGGTAATGGATGCTCTAGATGTAGACTTGAGAAGTAGATACCACAAGTCCCTATGACACCGACTGCCCATGGGTCTTAAGCCGCTTTATACCCTTGCCGAGTCTTCTGTGCCTCACGAAATGGATTAGACCATGGTCTTTATGTTCCGGAGCGTCTGTTCGTTTCAACTGTGGACAGCCAAGCCATCGCCGGCCGCCTCCGTCCTGCGGAGACGTCGTGTATCTATGTGAGGGCGTCTGGCGGACTCGGAGTGACATTTCACACAGATGATGTTAAAGTTCTTGGGAAAGTCATGCTACCGGTATGTATAGATAGAGCACCGGTGAAGACATGCAAATAGTAATATCCTATAACATCTGCCTCGAAGAAGTCTCCTTGTTGCTGTGTACTCGTATATGTGAACCAGCATCAACACCTGCCAAGGACCCGCTGACTCTTGACTGACGTATCGAGCGGTGCTACTGTCGGTAGTTGAGTATGTTCAGTGCGGAGTTTGGTTGCTAGACACGCTCATGTCTCGGCGCTGCAAGTGACAACATTGATCGTGGGGCACAGTTATCATCCTCTAGGCCAATGCTCCATGAGATATGGGGAATCGACAAGAGTCTTGAGAAAAGCTCAGACCTGGTTGACCCCACCAAGCCTGACGACAACATGGTTGAGTGGGCTACACGGCCCAGCCACCCCAGCTTACAATTAATCTGGGGCATTCCAGTGGGAACAAACCTGAATATTGTTGACATAGTCCACCGTGCTCTTGGCTTCGCCTCCTGCTTGGCATGTCATACATGTCATGCAGCACCGTTGGGCTAGGGCTGCTTGTTATACGCCACAGTAGGAGCTGAAGAGGATGGGAGATGTGACAAATTGAGTATCTAACAGGCTGTTCATTACAAGTGTCTGAATCTAAGTAGTTGAACAGGTAGATAATACACGAGCAGTACAAGTTTGTAGACGTGCAAGGGAGGAGGATATATCGTTGAGGGAGCATCACCTGATTGACGTGCCCTAACTTCCCTACGAACAACAACTCAAATCAAGATCTCGCAGTACAACATCAACCCGTAGCAAGCTTCTAAATAGTTATCTTCAAGGATATCCAAGCTTATGCTCTCGCCGGATAAAAAATACCCGACATTGCCAAGCCCGAGGTCCACAAAGTGGCGTTTTCCAGATTCTTCTCATGATTCAAGTAAACGAGGACTGCCACCATGCAACTCTCGAGCGCTCTAAAGTGCATTCTCACTTGAACCCTCCCTCTAGAAGGCATCTACTCGATACAGAAGAAAAGCAACTCGGATGGTATCATAAATGAAGATCTCTTGCAAGATTTTCACCAAAGCTTGGTCTCGTATCCCTGAACCCTGAAAATTAGCCCGTGGCACGGATAAGTAGCCGGCCACATAACCTCCTCCACTCCGTATAACAAGTGCATAAACACCCGCATAACGCCTCATGGCCCTGAGAAACGGCCTTCGGTCTTCCGTTATGCCGACTCGGTGGAGATGGCAAATACTCGGCTACTGGGCATGATTGGCGGTAGGGTCCGGGCATGGACTTTGGCCTCAATTTAGCCAGCCTGGGTGGATGCTACTAGCCTGAGAACGATGTCGGAGTCACCCGTATATAACTAGTACTATCCCCGGCATGGCTGCCCCTTCCTTTAACTGGCCGTTTCTGCCATCTCGATCGAGAACTGCGCGATACGGAATTCCTCCCCATGGCCGAACCGACCCCAAGCGCCCTCGAAAAAGGGCCGAAAGAGGAGGAGCGTTCGCAGGATGATGAGAAGGAGCGGGACCCTGATATTGTCGACTTTGAGGGCCCCGATGACCCGGAAAATGCGATGAACTGGCCCACCCGCAAGAAGATGCGCCAACTGGTGCTGATGGCGTTTAACACGTTCATAACGTAGGTCACATCCGATGGAGACGGCCGTAGGCTGATTAGTGAACAAACACCCGAGACTGATCATGTGCGGATTAGGCCACTGGCGTCGTCGATGTTTGCGCCTGGAGTCGGCGATGTGATGCGCGACTTTCACTCGACCGACCAGATGCTGGCCTCGTTTGTGGTGTCTGTCTTTGTCTTGGGATACATGGTCGGGCCGTTTATCATTGCGCCGTTGTCCGAGCTGTATGGTCGAGTCCCGCTGTACCACGCGTGCAATGTGCTCTTCCTGATCTTCACCATCGCCTGCGCAGTGGCACAAACGCTGCCCCAGCTGATCGTGTTCCGTCTGCTCGCGGGCATCGCTGGTGTCTGTCCGCTCACCATCGGATCCGGCACCGTCGCCGACATGGTGCCCAAGGAGAAGCGAGCCGGTATCATGGCCATCTGGGCTCTGGGGCCTATCATGGGACCGGTCATCGGACCTGTCTGCGGTGGGTTTCTGGCGGAAAATGAGGGCTGGCGCTGGGTGTTCTGGGTGATTGCAATTGCAGTAAGTGTCAGGGACATGGGGAAAGCAAAGAGCCACGCTAATCGCATCATAGACCGCCGTCATGACCATCGGGTGCGTTCTGGCCTACCGCGAATCGTACGCTCCTGTCATCCTGGAGCGCAAGGTGGCGCGTCTGCGCAAAGAGACCGGCAATGAAAACCTGCGCTCCATCTACGACCGGGGTTTATCGACTAAAGAGCTCTTCTGGTTCACGCTGGCGCGCCCTGTGAAACTGCTCTTTCTGTCGCCGATTGTGTTCATGATGGCCATGTTTGCGGCCGTCACGTACGGCTACCTGTATTTGATGTTCACCACTCTCACGCCGATCTTCGAGAACAACTACGGCTTCTCCCCGGGAATCGCCGGCCTTGCATATCTGGGATTCGGCATCGGGTCAGTGATCGGACTGGTCGTGTGTGGCGCCGTTGCGAATCACATCGCCGTCACACACTCAGCCAAGGGCTGCTTCCGGCCGGAGTCCCGTCTGCCTCCTATGATAGTGGGCTGCTGGTTGATTCCGATCGGACTGTTCTGGTATGGCTGGTCAGCCAAGGCCCAGACCCATTGGATTGTGCCTATTCTCGGCACCGGCGTGTTCGCCGTGGGATTGATGACTGTCTTCATGGCGGCAAACACGTACCTGGTCGACTCGTATCTGCGGTATGCTGCCTCCGTGACGGCGGCCAACACCGCCATCCGGTCGTTAGTCGGGGCAGTGCTGCCTCTCGCGGGACCGGCCATGTACGACTCGCTGGGACTGGGCTGGGGCAATTCCTTGCTGGCGTTTATTGCGCTGGCGATGTGTGCCTGTCCGTTGTTGTTCTGGAAGTACGGCGAGAAGATCCGGACGAATCCGCGGTTCCAGATTAATCTGTGATGGGAACAACTTGCATAACCGGACTAATACACTTGCATGCGTCATGGTGGATCTAAAAGGAGACTTGTTTCGGACTTGGAGTTTCATTGAGCGTTGCATTGACATAGCATACATACATAATAGAGCGAATGAGCACTACATTGCATGAAACAAAGTGACAACTTCCACCATGAAAACAGTAATGACCATCACTACTCCGCTGATAAGCAATTTTCCAAGCTCTTCGTTCACGGGGCGTCACTAGTATTCACCGCTTCAGACCGAGTTCCGAGATACCGCTAGTCGCTGTTAGAGCTGCTAACTAACAGCTGGCGTGCCGGCTAGTGTCTTAGCTTGTCAGCGGGGTCGACGTGGCTCGATTCTTTACTTATTTGCTTCAGACCCGGTCAGTCCGGTTTCTTTATCTTGCATTCCTCTGCAGAGCCTTCAGCATGATCTTCGAACCTGCGTCTCGGGTGCCGGTGCCCACCACCGATGTGCTCTCATACATCTTCTCCAATCCGGAGTATGACCATGACGAGCCGGTATGAACTATGAACTCTGAATTGAAAATAGCATGGGAACACTAACACGGTACAGATCTATGTCGACGTGCACAAACCTTCGCGCTCCATCTCCTACAACCAGGCGCAGAGCATCGTGCGCAGACTGGTGGGCGGTCTTCGCGCCTGGGGAGTAAAGAAGGGCGATTGCGTCGCAATCCATTCCTTCAACGATGTACGCATTCCTGTAGTTCTCAATCCACAGTTCTAACATGCAGGAATAGATCTACTACTGCATGCTGGTCCTCGCCATCGTCGGCGCAGGCGGCGTCTTCACCGGCACCAACCCGGCTTACACCACAATGGAGCTCGCCCACCACTTCAAGGCTTCGCAGACGCGCTTCGTAATTGCAGAACCCGAACTCCTGGGTCCGCTTGGCGCCGCGCTGAAGGAAGCAAAAATCCCCGAGACCAACCTGCGCATCTTCAACACCCAGCCGGACCAAAAGGTGGCCACTGGCATGCGCTCGTGGACGGATCTGCTCGCCGCGGGCGAAGAGGACTGGGTGCGGTTTGACGACCTGAAAATGTCGAGTGAGACAACTGCTGCCAGACTATTCAGCAGTGGGACGACCGGATTGCCCAAGGCCGTGTCTATCACGCATCGCAATCTGATCGCGCAGCACCATTTGGTCTTTGAGATCCACCCGCGACCTCATCAGGTGAGTTGAGTCCAGCTGTGCTTGACTTAAGCGAAAAGTATTACAAGAGTTATTACTGAAACGTCTTGAAGGTATCTCGCATCGTCGCCATCCCCATCTTCCACGCCGCCGCCGCGCCGTCCACGCATTTCAGCGCCCTCAAAGCCGGCCACCGCATCTACATGATGCGCCGCTTCGACCTGCCACTTTTCCTGAGCACGACGCAAGAGTACCAAATTACGGACCTCGCCGTGGTGCCGCCAATCGTCATCGCCATCCTGATGACCCCCATCTCGCACAAGCAGCCCTGGTTGAAATCCATCCGAGCGGCATCCGTCGGCGCCGCCCCTCTCGACAAAGACGCGCAGGCAAAATTCCGGGCCCTCATGGGCGACGGCGCGCCCTGCACGCAGGTCTGGGGCATGACCGAGACATGCTGTATCGCGACAATGTTCCCCTACCCCGAGCAGGACGATACCGGGAGTGTTGGGCGACTGATTCCCAATCTCGAGGCGAAGTTCGTCCCACCAGCCCGCCCCAGAGTACCCAATCGAACGGAACATACTAACTGAATGCTAGGCTGGTTGACGACGCAGGGAACAACATCTCCGCCTTCGGCATCCGCGGCGAGCTGTGCGTGCGTGGTCCCACCGTTACACCGGGCTACTTCAACAACCCGCAGGCAAACGCGGAGTCCTTCGACCGTGATGGCTGGTTCCACACCGGTGACATAGCGTACTGTGACGAGGCTACCAAGAAGTGGTACATTGTCGACCGCAAGAAGGAACTGATCAAGGTACGCGGGTTCCAGGTCGCGCCGCCGGAGCTCGAGGCGGTCCTGCTGGCGCACCCGCAGATCATCGACGCCGCGGTCATCGGCCTGCGCGGCGTGCTGCCGGACAGCGAGCTGCCGCGGGCGTATGTGGTTCGGCGGCCGGGCTCGGGCGACGGCTTGACTGAGAAGGAGGTGCAGCAGTACATGGGCGAGCGGCTGGCCAAGTACAAGGCGCTGACGGGGGGTGTGAAGTTTGTGTCTGCGATACCGAAGAATGCTAGTGGGAAGATCCTTAAGAGGGTGCTGAGGGAGGAGAGCCAGAAAGAGATTGAGGCAAGTATGAGACCGAAGCTGTGACTGCACTTATGCTCTTATATCTCCGGTATACTTGAAATCTAGGAAGACAACAGCTATGGTGGGGCACTGGTGCTGCAACAGATATGGCCTGAGTCTTGTCCATGTTCAGCAGCTCTTTAGTCCGTCCATATTGTCCTGACAAGATAGATTTACATATCTACATGGTTTGCTTCTCTGCGGTGGTACATCAATTACGTCCTTCGTCCTAGGTTTGGGTCATCAGCCAGCTGGACAGGCATATCTCCACATCACGATAAGTATCAACTCAGGCTAGAACAATCAGTCCCTCGTGCGCGGTAACTACACGGGCAACTCGGCAAACCCTGAATCACACAGTGCGATGAACCCACTTAGGCGCAGCTTACAAGGATCCTCGGCTTCTTCCTTCACATATTTAAGTCCTAGAACTGACTGGCGGGATGTACCGGCCTGTTTGGAAGTTATGTGACCGAACACGAATGCGGCGTTGTTTGGCTGCGCTTACACACGCCACTGAGCTCGAATACGAGATGCCATCCTCACAAATCATATCAGGGTCGAATCCATGAGACTATCTCACTCATGCTCCGAGTAGCCTTGGGTGAGCTAGTGGACCTGGATTCAACTTCAAAACTACATTACACATCTGCAGATGACTGGCGCTCAGAGAGAAGAATAATGGCCCCTGAGGTACGTTGGTAAGTATTATGCTGTCTCACCTGCTTGCCCCTATGTGGGAACGTCGCTACACATCGCCTCATCTGACGCTTGGCTCTGTGAATGGGTCTGACGCCGTGACCTGGCCCTTCAGCCTTCTCCCTTGGCAGCCTTCGTAGGCAAATTGTGTCGAATGGAGGAGATGTGAGATACTTGTAAATCAAATAAGGCGTAATATGTATAAATCTGTTCGGTCCTAGCCGGGCATCGCGCCTGCGTACAAACCCTCTCTGTTGCTGTTAATTATCATCCCAAAGCATCATGGAAGTGAATTCCAACAACAGTGAGTATATCTACACTGGAGTTTGGACCGATTGGTCGCATGGCCGCATCCATGGAGCAACCATCACCCTCAGTGCCCAGAACGCCGGGTTTTTGACGGCCTTCCTGGCCTTGTTCGTGAGCATCTCGGCTGGCCATCTGTGGCGGATTATCAGCTTCGTCGTACACCAGCTTCACTCATCTCAGAAGCCTAAAGACGCATTGCACCACCAGCAACAAGTTGTCTTCAAGAACACCACCTCTCCAGCCTCGCTGATTTGGGAGTTTACCCTTCTCGCATGGGCATGGCGCGGGAGGGCCCAGCAACCTATTCTTCGCAATCTCCTCTACATTGTCCTGGCTATCATCTGGCTAGTGATCACTGGCAGCGCCGCTATCCTCTCTGCTAAAATTACCAAGCCAGCCGGCTCGCACTGCCTGATAATGAGTCCTCATTGCGGGATCTATATGGCTGGCGGCGCACAATCCAACACCAGTGACCCCAATCAACTAGACACATTTGACGCCACCCAGCTACTAGAAACGAACACCGCGACGTCCTATGCACGAGACTGCTACGAGCCTGATGCCGACAGACTCCCACAGTGTAACAGCTACGCCCAGCCTCGTCTCGCCTTGCACACCACAACCAACGCCTCCTGCCCGTTCCAGAGTGGCATGTGTCTGGAAGGAGACACCGCGGCATTTGCGATGGATACAGGTCTTCTCGATAGTCGAGACGACCTCGGCATTAACACCCCGGACGACGATCGATTGTTCTTCCGCAAATTCGTGAGCTGTGCGCCCTTGACCAGGGCCGGATATGTCACTGTTCATAATGAAACGAACCCATTGCCCGGCCTCCCATACTCAGACTACTTAGACTACTGGGTGGCTGCATACCATTATGGACCGGCATTTACCGGCAACGGGACCCAGAACTACACTTACTACTATGACACCGTGACGTGGCGCGCCCAGCTGGGGTATAAAGTCGAGTGAGTACCGAGTCCTAGTCCGCTGCTTTCCCGCTCATCTATCGGACGCGATCTAAATCCGTGACTTTCTCAGGGCTTCCTGGGCCACCGCAGGATCGGCGGGGCTCTGGACGCCGCGCGAAGAGCTCAACCGCACCGACGCAGACGTTTCCATCTTCTTCCTCAATTCCAACAGCGTTACGTACGAGTATCCCACCGATGACCCGATGTTTAGCGCGCACCAGTCGGCACTCAGCGATCTCACCACGTACGGGGGCAACACATCCATCGCCGAATTTGACAACTGGTACACCGCAGACGCCGTCACGACCGTCCTCGGATGCACAGACCAGTTCCAGTTCTGCAATGCGCGGACAGAGGGCTGCTCCGAGCTGCAGGGTATCCAAGCATACGTTGGTGTGGACAAATTGCTGGCCTTCGCTGAAACCTACAACCTCAGCCTGTTACAGACCGACATCTTCGGACTGCTCATAAACTACCTTTCGGTGAACAATATACACAACAGTATCTACGGGCGGCCGTCGTACGCGTTGCGCGCCCAAGAGACCCTGTCTGGACTGAGCCAGACTGCACAGCTGCCGAGCAATCAGTGGCAAATCGAGGTGCAATCGTGGGTCGAGACCAACCTGGCCAGCCTGCAGGAGCGCAGCGTGCAGTTTGCTACTGGGCCTCGCGGCTCCCGTGAGGGAAAACATCGACTGGCGCTGACGGACCAGACGCCCCTGTGTAAGGCGCAGAAGGTGCGCTGCCCCGCCGGGAGGGCATCTTTCTCTGTCCTGGGAATTGCCTGTCTTCTTGCAGTGGGCGGCTTCATTGTCCTGTTTAATGTGGCACTGGAACCTATCATGGCCCGTGTTGGTTCCAAGTGGTTCCCAGGTAGTGCATACCGGCGCCTGAGCTGGGCGCTGGACGATAAGCTGCAGCTTCAGCGCATGGCGTTTGAAGGGGCTCGAGTCGGCCATTGGCATGGGTATACTGCAGCTGTGCCGGTTACCGATAAGGGAGAAATGTTTCGTGCGTGGGCTGATGCTCCTGATGAATATCCAGCGGTGGAGAAGAGGAATAATCTCGACACATCGGACGACCGCGCTAGTCCTTTAATGGGCGAAGAAGTTTGATGTCTGTGCTGTGTCAGAATACTTGCCATAGTATACTTTATGTTGCTCCTATGTTCACTGTAATGTTGGGACCTGTGAATTTTCTTTTCGAGTTAGTTTTGCCGCTTTCGGTATGCAGACTTATCTGACGAGGGGTAGAAGGAGACGTCTGTGATAGAAGATGGCCTTGATGTGGTGCGGCAAAGAAGCCTAGTATATGGAAACTTGGCTACCAAGCTCAAGATTGGGATGTACATCCATTGTACCGGGGTCGAGAGAAGAAAGGGGAGTATTAGTATATGAATCGCTGAAGCTGAGCATCCTAGAGGGGGTGATTAGCTTATGCGTGGCGGGTGCAGAATAGTGGTGCGGAATACGTGCAAGCGTTAGGCGGCCGCCCGCTGCTTAGAAATTACGGGTGGAAATGCGGCGGTTTATGGCCTTAAAAGCTGTCATTTTCGGCGCTGATTTCACAGGTCCTCACATTCTAGGTCTAATGCTCATTGTTGCTCCTTTCCGCCTTTTCTAGATCCTACAAACAGCTCCAATAGCTCAACAATTATGGTCCCGAACAGACAAAAGGATAAGCAAGCACGTGTGAGTGTTGACAAATTCCAAGTCAATAGAATGTTCACGTAGAAACTTGAAGCTCCTTCAAACTAAGTGTCTCCTCCTCGGCCTTTTTCAGATATCCATCTCCCAGATGCTTGCTCAGGAACGGCGTATAGTCGAAGATAAAATCGCGAATAGCGGTAAGGGGCCAAGGCAGCGAGTGAAACATTCTCCCCATGAAGCGAGCAAACTCCATGTTGTGATTGACATAGTCGACACGCTGTTTCTCATAGATTTCACATCCGGCTTTGAGCGCGTGCAAGTCCCGCAAGTCGACGCCATCCAATGCTCTGGCAAGGTAATATCCGTCCTCGATTGCCATGCCCATGCCGTAGGCAGCGTACGGCGACACCGGGTGCACAGCGTCGCCCACGCACACCACCCGCCGCGTGGACCACTTTTTCATTGAAGGCCGATTGTAGATCTCCCAGCGATACACCTGGGTGTCGAAGTCGGTGGCGTCCAAGAAGCGAGGCATCGGCTGTGCCCAATCTCGGAGGATTTCAGTAAGATGCGCTTTAGGGTCCTCCGGGACAGGTTTCCCCTCCCACGACGGTTCGACGACCCACCACTCGAATCCGGGCTTGCCGTCGTGGAGCATTGGGAAGAAGCTCGCTTGGTGTTGCCAGTCGTGTGAAAGGACGCCGTAGTTCGGAGGGATGTCGGGGATGTGATCGCACCAGGCGAGCCAGAGACGAAGGCCAGTGTGGAACAGGTGCGGATCACCAAAGGCCTGTTGAGACACCTTGGAGCGAATGCCATCTGCGCCTACAAGGATATCGGCGGTGACTTGGTGTCCGTTTGCAAAATGGAGTTCGATCCCGTCGTCCATCTCGGTGTAAGAGGTAAACTCATGGCCGGCGTAGATCACGCCCTCGGGAACAAGGTCGAGCATCTTTTTGAATATGGACGAGCGAAGGACTCCATAGTGCCAGCCTTTGATCCCCATGCGCTTTTCGACTACAGGATTGAACGGTAATTTGACGCGCTCTCTCCCCGCCTTGTTCTTGAAATAGGTGACGGTGTATGAGCCCACGTTGTCCAGGCTCAAGCCGTAAGACCGAAGGATTGACAATACCGGTGTTGACAAGAGGACACCGCCTCCGATGGCCTTGCATTCGGGCTGTCGCTCAAAGATGCGCACGTCGAAGCCACGTTGGATGAAAGCTAGGCCAGCCGAGATGGATCCAGGACCTCCTCCGACGATCGCCACTCGTCTACCAGGGCGCCATTGTGGAGAAGCCATGGTATATCAGTATACTCAGTACAGGGATTTACTGAGACTTGCGTAGCAAAAGATGGAAGATGAAGCGGTGCTAGGGGGACTTTAAATAGACAAGACACTTCAATACGAAGATTCGATTGCATTATTGGAAAAAACTATAGGATGTCCACATCCCGACTTTATAGTTCGTAGCGAAAAGTCTGCGGAATCCCGTTCCGGGGGTAGTACCAACAGTCCAACCTTCTATACTAAAAGATAGAGATATAAAGCAGGCTATAAGAAGTATTCCCTATTTAATTCATCTCCGTAGACTCTTTTAGCCTCTAAATTAATTACAAAGATGCCTATGTTTAGTAGAACCAGAGATGTTTTATCAAATCTAAGTAAGGCGAATATGGCCGTTATTCCATCATTTTAAATCACGATTTTTAGACTACCTCTTAATGAAACTAGCTATATAAAGACTAGGGTTGCCTTATATCCATTTGGATCCAGTAGAAGGGTGAAATGCATCCGATTCTATCTGAACAGCTTCTTCAGGAATCCTTTCTTTGCCGGAGGCTCCGAATCCACCACTCCGATTAGCAGTCGTTCTTTGTATCGTCGCAGGATGGCATCGCGGTGGTATTTCTGGAACTCTCTTGTGGCATCTTTGCCGGCGACCTTGAGCAGTACTGCTCAATCGATTAATTCCTGACGCTTGCGCTGGTTGTGGATATCTACCAACGTACTCTTGCCTCCCCCTGGATGCTCTGATTCAAATCCACTCACATCGTACACCTCCTGGTTGATGATCATCCAGAAGTCGCCATCCTTGTTATGCTCGGCGACTTGCTCGCGAGAGTAAACGGTCAGAGGCTTTTCGGGGGCCGCAGTCGACATGACAATGAGAGGTGAGGCATGCAGCAATTAGCACGTCCCTGCACTGAATCCCTCGTGATAGCGCTGGTCTTATAGTTCCTTAAGCGGGGTTCGGCTCTACAAGCCGTGCCGTGGCAGATCAGCAGTGGAACCAACATAATCCTTTCGCATGTTAGTCTAGGTACTAGTCTACTGCGTAGTCGGTTGAGATACTAAACACGGATTCGTATATGTCTTTAGGGGTATCTAGGCACTGTTACGACGTCGAGTTTCCTAATATGTCCGTAATGTTCGATAAGTCGTTGCCCATGGAGCCAATGTTGGATAGCAACGACGACCCGCTTCCTGACAGGAACCCCTGAACAGTATCGAGCAACAGCTTCATAATGGGCACACGGGTCGTCAGCGTCAGGTTGTTCAACACCCGCTCAAAGTAGGGGATGTGCTGTCCGTTGTAGATGGTCTGGTTTCCCGTGGCGGAGAGTTCAATACTTCCTTCTCTGATAGCCTCGGCGCTGTTCTCCAGGATCTGGCCTAGATTGCTCAGGACAGTAGAAATCTCCAGTCGACCAGACAGGTCCACGGTGTTGTTACCGGGCCTGAGGACGACATTTTGGATGAGGGCGTGGCCGAGCACCAAGTCTTTGCTCTGCAGATTGAGCGTGACGTTGCCCAGGGCAAAGGTCACCACCGAGTGGTTCGGCAGGACAGCCGTGCCGCGCAGATTCGTGCCATCATCCTCAGCAGGGATGACAAGACGGGCACTGGGGATGGAAAAACCGCTTAGTCGGTCAAGTCCTGTGCAGAATTAGCACGATCCTCGTCTCTGCGATCGAGTCGATGCACCCACCTGCTAGCGTGATGTCCTTGTCGAGGGTGAGATCCGCCTTCAACGCCCCCAGATGCGCAACCGTAGTCCCCTTGGCTGACAGGGTGAAGTTCTTGTTATACACGGCAGTGTTCAGCGTGTCTATCCATTGGTCCATGTCTTGAATTTTAGTGTCGGCCTGCGTAACATGCATCTTGGTGTGTCCATCCAGCGTGTAGCTCGGCAGATTCACGGTGAGATAGGTCACCATCGGCTTCACCGCGCGGTTAAACAGGTTCAGTGCAATGGGCTGCGTCTTGACTTTCAGACCAGCGGGCACCGTCAATGCGGTGTCGATGCTGAAGGTGACTGTTTCCGGCGTCGGATCGATGATATTGGCCGAGTAGACGGGCAGGGAGGTGTCGTCAACGATTCGCTGTGCGATTGCCGGAATGGCGTAAATGAAACTAGATTGTCAGCCATAAAATCCTTCCATTCCGAACACCGTCAATGGAATGGTAGCGTACAAGAGTGGCAGGAAGATGGCCAAAAAGACAATGCCTCCGATGAGATAGCAGCACCAGAATCGCCGTATATGTCGCTTCACCTTCTGGTTCGTGGCTCGAATTCGCCCTGGCTTCTCGTCCACGCTCACAGACTCAAGATGCTCGACATCGACCCCTGCAGAGCTGGCTATCCCCTTGCTCTTCTTCTCCTCGGACGGGTCCATAGCACCTCTGTTGGAGCCGAGGGCCCGCTGGGAGGCCTTGTAGAGATCCCCTACCGCCATGGAGTAGCTCTGATAGAAGTCAAGAGGAATTGGCAAATAATTGGAGTATGATTCTATCTAAAAAATGGCCCGAGAATGACCAGAGGGTACCGACAAGCCCCTTCCTTCCCTCCCCCCTACATTCCCTTGCTCCCTTCTTATACAGAGCTGGCCCGGACGACAAGCAACATCCTCTTCGCTAAGATAAATTAAGTTCCCTCAACGGGCTCCTCTGGAGTAGCATCGACGAAGATCAGGCTATCAAAATGCGGAGGATCTGCCAAACCCCGCCATCCCCTCGATTCTATCATCATGGGCAAACGCATGGCGCGACGATCCAACTTGCGGGCTTAATGTTATTCGCCAGATACGGCGGCTTTGGCCTTGCGCCGTCCGGTCCGCGGCTCGTTCGTCGCTAAACATATGATTGTGGCATCCTGTGAATCTGACCCGGGGGCAACTGGGACAGTCGCCGTTGGACGCCGTCAGGGCATATGCAGTAGTTGGTATAATAACCTCGCTCTGGAGATGCAAATGATCTCGAGCATGAGATCCCCACCCACAGAGCTGCTAAGATAACCGCCTGATTGAGTCCCGTTTTGTCGACCTATTCACGTCTAATCTATCACAAGTCACCATGGTGTCAGCCTCCACATCCTCGGTGCAGGAGAAAGCTACGACTGTGGCCACTCCCCAGCTTCAGCACCCAGAGCTGATCCAGAAGATTGTCCAGGAGGGTGTTCTCCTCGGCGGCGGCGCAACAGCCATTCTCCTCCAGGTCGCCAACCCAGGCGTAGGCAAAGGCGTGGACAACCACAGCAACTTTGCCTACCGGCCACTTGACCGGCTGCGCACCACCATGACATTCGTCTACTGCATGACGTTTGGCACGCCCGAAGAAAAGCGCCAGGTCGTCGAGATGGTGCACCGCGCCCACGCCGCCGTCAAGGGCGCCGACTACGACGCCAACGACCCAGACCTACAACTGTGGGTCGCCGCCACGCTCTACGCGGTGGCCATCGAGATGTACGAGGAGATTTTTGGCGAGATGGACGCCGCCACGGCGGAACGTATCTACCGCGAGTACGCCGTGCTCGCGGTCGCGCTGCGCGTGCGCCCGGAGCAGTGGCCGGCGGATCGCAAGGCATTCTGGGTGTACTGGGACCAGAAGATCGCGACGATGGAGATCACCGACAGCGCGAAGCGCGTCGCCGCCGAGCTCCTGAACAACAAACACTTGCCTCTGTACTTCCGCGTCCTCATGCCCTGGGTGCGCCTCATCACGGCAGAGCTCCTGCCGGCTCGTATCCGCGACGCCTACGGGTTGAAAACGAACAAGACCCGGCGCGCCGCCTACAAGGCCACGGTGAGTTTTGCGCGTGCAACGTATCCATTCATGCCCAAGTTTGTGCGCACGTTCCCCAAGCGGTACTATCTCAAGGACATGCGCCGTCGGCTGCAGAGCATGGAAAAGGTGATATAGACGCATGAACCTGTCACCTACCCCGGCTGGATGGTCGTCTGGTATTGGATCGGGCTGGATACCGCTTTTGTATGCTTAGGCTTTGTTAATTAGATACCCCGGACTGCTGGTGGCGCAATTCCACCTACCACAATACGACTGATTATCTCTTTGGCTTCATCGGACTAGCACCATGTCTCCACACGACAACCGAGTTACCGCGGGAGCCAAGCTTCCTCTCCACAGCATCTGCGCGGGGTTGGGATGATCATGGTGGAACGTGGCCAGCACTAGCCCAGTGCTGAGTTTGGACCGAGAGAGCCTGAAATGGGCGAGCAGTCTAGGAAACGGAATCTGCATGTTCCACCAACAAGCAGACCAGAGTCGATCAGAGCCGACCAGAAGCATCCAACCAACCCATTCCATGTTGAAAGCATCTGAATACTCCCTCTGAACGAGTCCCTGTAACAAGGACCATCTCGGAAATACCAAGCCGGGACACATTCTAGCCCGAAGCAGTAGAGCTTGGAACTGTAGCAGCGTTGATCCCCCCTAACGGCCTATCACACTCACTTAAGAGCAGAGAACCAGGGCTCCTTCACTCCTGGGCCGGCTCTAGTGGGGACTCGTCACGAGTCGAGAGGACCGTCCTAGCCCAGCATTGACAGGCACATCCATTCCCATCCCCGCAGCTGGGTTGCATCTCCTGGCCTCATCCAAGCCAGTCCACTATCGTCGATCGATCCCGCACGACTGCGATTCTGCCGACTGACATCCGATCTGTTTGCGCTCATGCTGCGACGCACACGGAGAGCCCCCAAGGCATGCTCGTGGTGTCATCACCGCAAAGTGCGCTGTGATGCCTCCATCCGCGGGTGTCCCTGCACGCGGTGTCGACAGGATGGACGGCCGGAATGTGTGCTGAGGGGGAAGTTGCCGCGGAAGTAAGTCGTAACCCGTATCATTTAGGATGGAGGTAGCGCAAATGGAGGCAGGCTAGGGGAATACAAGCAAGGCGCATATCGAGATACGGTAGTATCAGACAAGTCTGACATGTTTGCGATCATAGTTTTGGCGGCTTCGTCCCACAGAACCCCGACGACGACGGCAATGTCACACGAGGCCGCCTCGAATCCATCACCACCAACTCGCACTCCCAAATCGAACACATCCGCTCTCTCTTTCCAGACCTCGACCTTCGCGATGCGCCGGCGCTGCCGCGCGGACATGTAAACCACACGCTGTACAAGTTCATCGAGTTCAAGGGCGCGTCGACGCTGCCGCGCGATGATGTCGCCTTCCTCAGTTCCAAGGGCTCACTGGCGGTGCCGGAGAAGAGGCTGCTCACCGAGTTCATTCGGCAATACTTCCTACAGATACATCCATCGATGCCGGTGCTGAACGAGGCGGAGGTCTGGGATATCTACGAGCAACGGGACGGGGAGACTGACGCAGGGCGCATCTCGCTGTTTGTCTTCCAGGCCGTGCTATTCGCCAGCTGTCCGGTAGGTGGCATCGTCACTTAGGTTGGAGCTTTGCTGACAGTGCATAGTATGTATCCCAAGAGACGCTACAGAAATGTGGATTTGAAGATAAGCGGAACGCGCGAAACACGCTGTACAAGCGGACCAAGGTTAGTGAGCGCCGCGACAGTATAGCAGGCGATCTCGCTAATTATAATATCAGTACCTGTTTGATCTGCAAGGCGAAGACCGTCCGTTTTTCCTGGCGCAAGGCGCGGCCCTCCTCTCGCTTCATACGACTGCAGAAGAGCCCCAGGCGGGCAGCCTCTGGCTGACGCGAGCAATTCAGAACGCCATGATTGTCGGCTGTCAGCCAGGGCCCTGCGAAGACGTCGAGCCCTCGCGGAAGAAGAGGCTCTGGTGGTCCATCATCCTGCGCGACCGTAGTCTCTGTCTGGGTCTGCGACGCCGTCCGCAAGTGACCTCCACCCATTTCGGCATGGCCGCGGATCTCCTGGAGGAGGCCGAAATGGAAGACGAGATTCAGTTCTCACGGGTGTACGACCCGGAGACGAAGCGCATGCTACTGAAAGTCTTCCAGGAGCAGTGTCGGTTGGCGGTGATGTTGACCGAGATGATCTCCTTTGTGTTTGCGTCTCACGGCTTGTCTGCGCCGACACTCTCCTTGGAGCAATTTCACAAGTCCCTAGCCACAGTGAGTCGGATTCGAGCGTCGCTCAAGCAATGGGAGACGTGTTCACCGTTGGGAACGCTACTGGAGGGCAGCGTTCCTGAGGCCGTGACGCTGTTCACGAACTTTACCTATATGTATTACCAGTAAGTCCTAGTCACGGTCACCTAGTTGATCCACAAGTAACCAGATGGGTAGCACGGCGCGGATCGACCTGGCTCACTATGAAGCCCTGCTGGTCGAGAACCATCTAATGTTCGCGGGCGAAAACTACATCAAGCAGGTGTGGGAGATAGGCAACACCCTTCGCGATGCGATGGACCGTTTGACAGACATCATGGAATACTTCAGCCGCGAAGGCCGGGCTCAGAACCTCCCCCTAAGCATGTAAGTCTTCACATCACATTCGTCGCGGTCTGCCCCTAATGTGAACGCTAGACTTGCCTACGTCGGCATGCCCCTCGTCCTCACAGCAATCGACCTCAAGCTGTCGCCATCAAGCTCCGAGATGGACGTCCGTCGCCGACGTCTCGACGCACTGGGCGAGATCGTCCGCCATTCGGGACGAGTATACGACGTCACGGACTTCGTGAGCGCAGGCACAAATCAGATCCTGCAGCTGGCATACATGACAGCCCAGCACCTCTTCATGCGCTGGGACCAGGACCCCGCGTCTCCGGCACCGGCACGCTCTGGCTCCGCCTCCAGCCAGGCTGGATACAAACCCAGCACTGGCGAAGTAGTCCCCGCGCAGACGGGCACCGTGGCCGGCCGCGCGAACTGCTGGCTTGACGCGTTCCTACGCTACCCGCGCGCGTATCTTCTCATCTCCACCTCGGTGGACTATAGCCTGGCCGTGGGCCGGTTGCCGTACGACAGCGCGTTGCCGGAGCTGGTCCGGTGTATTCCGCCGATTGGCATGGGCATCCGGCTGCCGTGGACGATTGATGCCGTCGAGGCGCCGAAACGGCGGCCCCGGCTGGGGTCGCGGGTTCGACGGAACACGGAGAATGAAGCAGACGGGCGCTCGCCCGCCGTGAAGACGCTTACCCCGTCCAGCTCGACGGGCGTTGAGCAGGGTTTCCTGGACGCTCGGCCGGTGCAGCATGATGTGCCGGTGCCAGGCGACGCGAGCAACACGGGGATGACTGATTTCGACAACTCCTATGGGAATACTGCCCGCGGCAACGCCCAGGCACATCCTCCTCCGAATGATCAGGTTAACCTCGACTACCTATACCTGGACGCTATCCCCGTGGACTCTCCCGCGCCCCCAGGGGCAGGTGAGTACGGCGAGTATGCGTCCCCTGGCAACGAGGCGTTGTCGTATGGACCGGTGCATGAAACTGAGGCGGAGAAATGGCAATTGAGGGAGACGACAGCGTCGTTCGATCCGTTGATCAATTCGTGGGTGCAGGAATTCTTTGGCGAAGGACATGGCAGTCCGGGGCATACGGGCATGGATATGGACGGGGCGGTTATTTTGGACAGCTAAAAGATGTATTTAAACTAGGCAGGAGAGCTGGCGGGGCATGCGGAGTCTTGGAACTCTCAGCTAGCTCGTTCGTGTGGATAGTCTACTTGATGAAGTCGTCAATGCCGTATCTCAACTGCCGATCCTCTGATCCTCTTGTGTTCGTAGATCAGTCGTGATGGGATCGCATAGTACATAATAGGGTCATGGATAGTAGCACCAGCTCATTGGAGCTTTTCCAAGCGTTCGTGGAGATGCATCAAGTCTATCTGCCCTCGTCCTCACATGCCCGCGTTGTCCGAGATCCGAACGGCTCGGTACTTGACGGACCTAGATCCCATCAATCGCAGAGCACCAGCAGGATCAGACCCTTGATAAAGACACCAAGGACCTGCCGGTAGCGGTCGATCTTCCCCGCAAGGACACCGTCCAGGGATGGAGATGTAGATCAGACAGCACGATGAGGGCTGGTTAAGGGTACGCAACTCGCAGGAGCAACCCGCCCAGCGAGACGGGATCATGGGTCCTGGCTGACCATAACATCGCCAATATGCTGCTCTACCGGATCGTCTTTGTCCATGTCCTTCTGTCCGTCTGGTTCTTCAGCCCGGTAGTCGCCACAACAGAGGAGCAGTTGAACGGACAAACTGCCCAGATTCTCACCCAACTAAGCAGTCTCCAGCACACGGCCGTGCTACGAGCCGGAAACCATGGTGCCCCCGAGCGGAGGGCCTTCAAAATAGACCCTATCGGGGGTGTTACGAGAAACCCGCTGACAGACCTGGGAAGCTTGCTACAGGGTGTGACGGGGACGCTGTCGCCAACGCTCATTGAGGACGCCCTGTCCGTCATCCACCACATGGCGTACCTGGGCGCGCAGCCGACGAGTCCGCAGACCAAGCACCTGATCGAGGTTGGGTTTGACCTGCGCAAGCAAGGGCTCCTCGATGAGGTGATGGGGTTGTTGGATAATGCGTCGGAGCTGCTGACTCCGGGGGTTGTCGACGACGCCAACGTGCTGCTTGATAGGATTGGACCGTTGGTAACGGAAGCCAACATGAAGAAGATTACGGGTCTTGTGGAGACTGCAAATACGCTTCTCACACCCGAGTTCAACAAGGAGGTCAAGGTGCTGATTGGAAGCGTCGAGGAAGCGTTGCCGGCCGACAAGATAGACGATCTTAAGGCACTGGTCCATGCTACTAACGAGGCGCTTCTTCCCGACGGAATGAAACAGATTAGCGCTTTGCTGGAGAATGCAAAGGAGCTCCTGACGCACGATATGCTGCAGGAGATCCAGTGCCTCATCAGCAGAGCTGGGAAATTGGTCACGAACGACAACCTGGACAAGATCGAGAGTCTCTTGACAGGGGCTGGACAGCTCCTCACAGCCCAGACGGTTCGACAGCTGAAGACTGCGCTGGATGACGTGGGCGATCTAGATATAGATCAACTAAAGACACTCCCCGACCTCATCGATATCGGCATCTCTCTGCTGACCGAGGACGCGGTGGACCAAATCCGCGGTTTGGTAAACAACGTGGGTATCCTGGTTCAAGACGGCTCTTTGCCAAATATCAAGCCTCTGGTGCAGAATGGATACGCTCTGTTAACGCCAGAGTTCAGCAAGGACGTCGAGGCATTGATTAACGCGGCTGGGTCACTGGTCAAGGACATGCCCGAGCTGATGGACCAGGTACAAGACATGTTCAAGAATGCGGCCCCGATCCTGGAGTCAGAGTTGCGGAAGGAAATCACGAATCTGATTGTGAATGGCAAAGTGCTTTTGACACCGGCAGGCGCCCGCGACATCCGCCGTCTGATGCACACCGTCTCGAACGGCCTGAGTCCTTACATGTTGGGGCGCGTGAAGACGCTGCTGACGATGGTCGAGGGTTTGCTAACGGAAAATCGTATCAAACAGCTTGGCAATCTGATAGACGGCGTCGCTACCAACTTGACCCCGAAGCTGCGAACACTTCCATCGCTGTTGGACAATGCCGGCGGTCTCCTGACAGAGGCGGGCGTGCAGCATATTAGCGACTTGTTGGAGGCCGTAGCGCCGATGGTTACGCCCGAGCTTCTGCAGGAGGTCCAGGCACTGCTCAAGTATGCCAGCGGGCTGCTCACGGAGGAGAGGGTTGATCTCACACGAAACCTGATCAGCAATGCGTCCAAGGTAGGATCTCGCATAGATGGTGAGATGCCATGCTAATTGGTGACAGTTGGTTTCGATGTTGGTCGACTTTTTGAAGAACATCCCAGTGATTGATATCGATATTCACATTTCCGATATGAAGTAGGGTGGATGAAGATTTCGAGTGGATTCTATGCAAAATGTAATAACGCATGGTCGTGATATGGAGAAGCACATTGAATATGCTTCTCAGTAGAGCCAGTTTATTTGTGGATATATGTCTCCCACTAGACATGATACTATCACAGCAATGATATCCTGGAGAGAAAATACTGTCGGCTCGCAGGCTATCTGCTGCGAATGCAACGAACCCAGCCTCAGTCCGTGATAAAAGGTATATATACACGTGGTGGAGGTCTAGTCAGTCCCAACTTCCACCATCTCTCCTCGATCCTGATTCCACCGATAGACCGGCCCCTTCCCAACATTATAATTATAGTAATTGTTAGTACCTTCTGGCACGATGGCCTTACGAAACGTAATGTTGATACGACCCTGAGGTGCATGGCTGCCTTTGCGCTTGGGGATGCTATGCAGCCAATTTGCCTGCGTCTCGCCTCTCATGACCATCAGATCCCCGGCAGCCAGGTTGAACTTCAGCGGTGTTGTATCCACCTTTTCTTTGCCCTCCCCTGCGACAGGCTTATGCTTCAGCAGGAAATCGCGCGAAGCGCCCAGCGACAACGACGCGATTGTGGGTTGCGGGCCGAGGAAACGCTCATCGTCCGAGTGATACGAGATACTGTCGTCGCCCGACGCATAGTAATTCACCAAGCAGAAATTATACGTTGTTCCATCGGCTGTTGCTGCTTCCACGCATTGTCGCAGGACATCCAGACAGGCGGGCAGCGGGCGCGGCGCATACTGGTACTTGTCGCTGGGGACGGGTTTGTCGGACTTGCGATCGACCAAAAGCATAGACGCTGCGTCGCCGGGTAACGCTCCAGGATCAGGGACAAAATATGCCGTCTCATCGACGCCGAAAACAGTTGTAAATCGTGGAGTGGTGATTTGCGACTCGGTTGGACCGCGGCGGATGGCGTATTGCACGCGGTAAAAGGGCAATTCATTTCGGAGAAAGCAAAACAAGTCGCGCGCGAGAGGAGAAGAGATCAATGGCTGGAAATAGAGCAGATCGAGGTGAGGTCTGTTGTCGATCTTCTTGGGAGGCGTTTGGGAGGCCAGATTCGACAGTGGTTTTGCGATGTGCGACGGCAGATTGCGGATGGGAAAGGGATACGTCGCATGCTGACTCGTCGGAAGGCTATCTGCTTCATACTTTGGTCTTTTTGTGGCAGTGTCTACCGGGAAGAACGACTGGATCCGTTTCGACATGGTGACGGTCCGAGCAGAGAGGTTGGGGCATCGAGAATGTTGTTTTGCGACGCATTCCTGCGATGCGCCGGGTATTTAGCGGTGAGTGGCAATGATGTCACTGCGTTCTGCATGGTTCAGCTCCGTGAGCAGGACGTATCTGCTTTCCAATTGAGGTCTGATTTGTGAGTAGTCAAACCTGGTGTATGCTGTGGGTGCGTTGCGTCTTGTTGAAGCACGAGGAATTAGTCTAGCATCATGTGCAAAGAGTCGATCAGCTTAGTGGCAGCCACATGCTAGCAACGTAGACATAGCGTCGCATCAGGTATGCTCTGATATTAGTACTTTAGCAAGACTTCTCTTTGTTCAAGATGATGTGATGCTGATACCACAGCAAGATGGATCATATATCACAGCCAACTTAAGACAGCCATCATCAACCTAATAAACCAGGCCAGTCAAATATGACTCTTGTAGCATGCAACGCAGCGACAACCGAGGAAGCGCATCCTGGTCATGGTGGCATCGGTGCATCTCCTCCGAGGGCTAGCCTGGCTACACAGCAGCAACCAGTCAGATCTCCAACCTCAAGGCCTCACTGGATGTAGGATTCCCGATGTAACTTCAGGTTTCATCAGGGATCTTCCGCCTATCAACCCCCCGGTCAGTGCTAATGCCTGCTTATGGCCTTGAGGCGACAGGGGGCAGTCGACTGGCTGGACTAGCTGCACTATCCTGAATCTGACAGGGACCCTGTCACAAGATGAGGATAGATCGTCGCACGGAGTAGACTTCTTGCGGCTTCTTGTCGTTTGCTAAGATTTCTCCGAGCTCACCTTGTCCTACCCCTATCGCCATTCACTGTTCTATCAGGATGCTCACCACGTGGAGGCACTCCAGCTCACCATCCTCACAGATGCATACCGGATCCATCACATATCACAAAACTCTGGCCCGAGTCATGTCAATAAACCCCAAGCCACATTGCGGGGAAGCTTTGTGGACACTCCCCATGATCCGGAAGGAATACGAGGGCTTGGCTAGGCTTCACGTTTCTTGGTACCAAGACGGCTTCGAGGTTGGTGGCGTCGACGATGCCCTCGCTGGATCCAATCAGGCCCAGGGACGGCGCAAGAGGAATGGCATCAGGTGGTCGTACAGTCGAATCTGTTGGATGTTTTCATTGTGAGCTGCCGTGCGACTGACCAGTGGACAAAAGTAATAGGAGACACATGCTGCGGTGTAGATAGCCCCCGCAGACTGCTTCTATTTAAACCGTAATCAGGATACCCTTGGCGGCCTCTTCTTTTGCTCCTTCTCTGTTCTCTGCTTTGCTTGACATGGTCGTTTCTGGGGTGGTCTCATCTCTTTGGCCGTCAAGATGAATCTTCCCAAGAACTACAATGTCTACTTCCTGTGCTCCTTCATCACCCTTGGTGAGACCGGCAGCCCGTCTAGCTAGAATGTGTCTAATCTATCGTGCAGGTGGTGGCTTGTTTGGTTTCGATATCTCGTCCATGAGTGGTATGCTCTATCCCTCTATCCCTCTATTGAATACCGGTTATCAATGCTAACATGCTCCAGGCGTGCTCGGTACCCAAGCCTATACCAACTACTTCCAGGTCGGAGGCGGCAACTACAAACAGGTCAGTCATATATCTCGGAATGTACATCTTGATACACTGACACTTCCCAGGGCGCCATCACCTGTGCCATGCCCTTTGGGTCTCTCGTCGGTGCGCTGTGCTCTAGTTTTCTGGCCGACAAATACTCGCGTGTATCTGCCATCCAGTTCTCAACCATCCTGTGGATTATCGGTTCTATGTATGTCCTCCGCCGTTGATGTTGCGACCTGTCTCATCCTGTTAGCTTTATGACCGCCTCAAATGGAATCGCTCTGCTCGTCGTCGGTCGTGTCGTTGCCGGCCTGTGTGTTGGTATCGCGTCGGCCATGGTGCCCGTCTACCAGGCAGAGGTTGCGCCCAAGGAGATCCGTGGCCGTGTCATTTCGCTCCAGCAGTGGGCAATTACCTGGGGTATCCTAATCCAGTACTTTATCGTGAGTGCCCACCAACACTGCGGGTCATAACACAGCCCTATCACTCCTGGACCATACCACAACCCAGGACTGTCCTCCATCACGATACTAACAAATGCAGCAATACGGCGCCAGTAACGTCGACGGCGGCCCTAACAACCCCACCCAGAGCACGGCAGCCTTTCGTATCCCCTGGGGTATCCAGATGGTGCCCGGCTTCATTCTCTTCTTTGGTCTGTTCTTCTTCCCAAAATCGCCGCGTTGGCTGGCAAGCAAGGACCGCTGGGACGAGGCCATGCTTGTCCTGGCCAACCTACATGGCAAAGGCGACCCGAATCACCCCAAGGTGCTGGCGCAGTACCGCGAAATCGAAGAGGCGCTCGCCCTCGAACGGGAACAGGCCTCGACCTCCTACCAGGAGCTGATCAAGCCACGCATCGCCAAACGCGTCATTCTGGGCATGAGCTTGCAGATGTGGTCACAGCTCTGCGGTATGAATGTAATGATGTATTACATAGTATATATAATGCAGAGTACCGGAACCGGCTCCCCTCTCCTCACGGCATCGATCCAATACATCCTCAACACGGCCCTGACCCTCCCGGCCATCATCTACCTGGACCGCTTCGGCCGGCGCCCCGCGATCCTGATCGGCTTCGCCTGCCAGGCCGTGTTCCTCTACATCGAGGGGGGTCTGCAGGCTGGCTACGGCGAGCCCAACCCGCACACTGATCCGGCGCTGGACGCCATTTCCTGGACAGTGGCCTCGCACCCGGCGGTGGGCAAGGCGATCATCGCGATGTCCTACCTGTTCGTGTGCTCGTTTGCGACGACCATCGGTCCGACCAGCTGGACGTACCCGGCCGAAATCTACCCGGCTAAGGTGCGTGCGAAGGCTGTGTCGCTGGCCACAGCGTCCAACTGGATCTGGAACTGTCTGCTGGCGCTGTTTGTGCCGCCGCTGTTGTGGTCGATCAACTGGAAGATGTACATGATTGTAAGTTATGATGTCTGTTTTTGAGGATCAAGGCTAACTGTCGGGTTAGTTTGCGGCCTTTAACACGGCGGCGTTCATCCACATGTTCCTCACGGCGCCCGAGACCAAGGGCTACACGCTCGAGGAGATGGATGAGGTCTTTGACAGCGGCCTGCCGGCCTGGCGTAAGCTCAAGAAGCGCAGCCGTCTGGAGGAGCTGGAGGAGGAGATTGCGCAGGGCAATTTGAAGGTGACGGCGGCGAAGGAGGAGGCTCCTGTGACGCCGGAGAAGCAGGTGTGAAATGTTCCGTCGACACCGAGTATGAGCAGTGTGTATGTCCGGATGGGATTGTCGTGCGAATGACTATCTTTCTGTTAGTTGTTCATCACTCTATTCTATTAATATCAACCCGACGTGGAGTAGCATCCTAATCCTACTCCGTCCTCCATAGTAAAGACTTACGGAGTCCCCCGTCCTCGTAATTACCCACAGCGGGCCCGGCGGTGGCGACGCGATGGGCCCCGCCGCCGCCAGGAGAAGTCGACAGGAGTCACAGATCCACGGCTGTGGGAGTTGGGATCGTCCTGGAGAAGACGGTATACTCGGTATAATACTCCGTGGTATTGCTGCTGAGTGGAGTGTATCCATGGATACGAGCTCTATTGACAGAATGTTGCAGAGAGAATTCCCATAGACCGGACTGTGGAGATGTCCCTCAGATGTCTCGATCATCCCATGGAATAGCGCCCTTTGACGCCCTATGATAGGAGATGTCTATGCCCATTAGTCAACAGATGCTGCTAGCCTGAAGAGCCAGCGTGGTGTGCTTCAAGCCATCCCCGATTCTGCGTGTGCTGGAGAACGGCGGAATTCGGCGGAGTTTTTGCCTGCAAGGGTTCATCAGTTCATTTGCAGCTGAAACAGCCAGGCGAACTCTATTGCCGAGGTAGAACCTAATTTATTCCGGTTTGCCGATGTCGAGCTGTGGTTGTACTGTATACCTTCATGGTTTACCAGGCAGACAGGTCAAGCAGACACCCGAATCGGGATTCTTTCTCGTCCGCTGAGCAGCATATGAAGCTTTAAATACGTTCATTCGAAACGCAGAGAACATGTGGAAATCAGAGGGTAGTGGTATAAATAGTAAAGAAAAGAAACGATCGACAGAAACCCCCCCGGCCACCCATGATATCTATGTAAGCATCCATTATGTATGTAAACCAATCCCCATTAAAACCGTTGTCTATGTTCGTCTAACATCTCCACGGTCTGCGACACATCCACTGTCTTATGAATCCCGATGCCGTCGCTAGTCGAGGACATGTCCACAGCGCCGGCGTACGTGATGAGATGGCTCTGGTCGTTGGCAAAGTCGGCCTCGCGGTCCGTCCGGCTGCCCGACGCCGAGAACCCTTTGGCGCTGGCGCCCTTCATCTTGCTCAGGTGCACCGACGAGTCCTGCTGGTAGTACTTGTTGGAGCTGTAGGCCTTGTCGCGGACCTTGCGGATGACGATGTTGAGGGTGGGCAGGCAGGCGCAGATCAGTCCGATGCCGCCTTCGGCGTTTCTACGTTCATTAGAATGCGAGATACAGCGGGAACTGGGGGACAGGCACATACCCAGACAGAATGACGCAGGTAAAGACCATGGTCTGGTCGGGCGAGGACCCGTCGCGGAGCACCAGCACCAGCCGGTACACGCTGAACCCGGTGGCAATGCCGCCAGCGGACAGCATGCCCGCGACGCGCAGCTTCTTGTTGCGCGACATCTGCAGCGACCACGTCAGTGGCAGCGGCAGGATCAGAATGATCAGGTCGCTGACGACGCTGATGACCGAGTCGGCGATCAGCGCGGCGCGCTGGTCGAGACATGACGCCCCCTTCTCCATGGTCCAGTATGCCGGGACCGGATCGCACATGCGGATCTTGACGATTTCGGCGATGGTGTAGTAGACGGTGAGGCAGCCGAGGAAGACGTAGATGAAGATGATCTTAGACTTGTAGGGCGAGAAGATGCGGATGAGGATGGAGAGCAGGGCGACCTTGGTCAGGAGGGCCATGGGGCAGTACAGCACGGTGGCGATGTAGCAGAATTTCCGGAAGAGGACCTGATGCGCTTCAGAGACGTCCTTGAGGTGGTATCCTCCGCCATATTTTCCGACTGAGAATCTAGGAGTTAGTGGAAGTCGGGATGGGGGATTGACGAGCCATACCGACTATCGCGATGCCGCAGTAGCCCATGAACAGCGCCTGCTCGCAATGTTAGTGTCGATACGTTTGTCTATAGTACAGACGTTACTTGCCCATGCGGCGAGACATGATGCTGTTACAATTAGCCCTGTTCAACAGATCTATATGGCGGACGTACAATCTTCCACACCAATAAACTGCTTATAGTACCCGCGAATGCCGAATCGCAGGGCGACAAAAATCGTACAAATCGGAATACATAGACATTGCGTAACGAGGTTGACCGTATTCAACACATCTTCGGGGTGCTCAACAGTCATCGTGAGGGATCAGCGTAGCATGGCGGTTCGACAAGCGAGCGAAGGATGGAAGGTCGACGTCCCGGAGGGCCAAGTGGGCAGCAGGAGGCTGACGCAGAATTATATACATAGAAACCGGGCATGGATCGCCTCGATATTTATTACAATTTCTAATCTGCCCGCAATTCTAGCGTCGTACGGAGTACGGAGTACATCGCGAGCCCCTACTTCTTCGAGGGCTTTGTCAACCGTTGGCCCCGTCGTTCCCTTCCTTCTCCAGTCAAGCATCGTGTCCCAGACCGTGGGTTCGGCCTGGTGCGATCGTCTCGACCTGCATGCGGCCAGACAAAACTAATGATCCTGGGAGGAGCAGCCGTCTACGAAATGAGCCCAAGACCACACTGGATCCGCTTGGATGATAACAGAAAACTTTAAACGCAGACCCATACGGTCCGATCTAGTGCATTCTGAGCTTTCTGGAGACATAGAGACAGCAGCCAAGCATGGAAAGGGCGAGACGCCGCAATGAATGAACCGGGGTGGACGGAGACGGCTTGCATAGATCATGATAGGCGCAGGACCTTGTGTACCAGACACCTCGAGCGGATGTTTCAGGCCGAGAACCGCGTTTCCCTGCTCGATGGAGAAGGTCATTGGTGCATTGGTGAGCCGGGGCTGTCAAGATATCCATCAGCCCAGAGCCGGTGGGGGTGTCTCCTGATGGCCGTGACAGGTTTCTGCCGTCCGTCTGGAAGACATACTCGTTTCGTCATAAGTCCGACATGGTCTGGAATACAACGAGTTGCCTTCTCCGAGCGTACTCCGTATGCATGTGATTGGCACTGCCAGTACTATACTTCAGGCAACTCGACTCCGGTCTTATTGCAAGGGCATGCCATACTATGCCATCCTGCACACCCTACGCTTGTCCAGCACGAGCGTCCGATCTCTATTCCACACCCTATTGCGCCACCCGCTCCTAGATATTCTGTGGAATCCTTCGCCCCAGCTTGACGGAGAACGAGCAGGCGGAGGATCCGGCCAGGAACGCGATCATCGTGCGGTCCCCAAAAGGGTCGAATCGAGAAAAGGGGCTGCTACGGTTCATCCTCGGGATTGGACTGCAGAAAGACCTATTCAGACAAATGACTATTCCCGAAGGATTCGCTTAAGGGCAATGGCGTTCCCTCGGCAAGCCCATGCGCCACCGAAATTTGATCTGGTGGATCCGACAGATTAGCTTGACTCCACCACCCTGGATTTTTCATGACTAAACTCGGTTTTTGTGCGTTGCTCCGAGGCGGACAGGCTCGTATTCGAAGATCGTACGAGAAGACGTGCAGACATCGTGGTAATCCTCGTGAGGGGAGGTGATTGTCCAACGGTCTGCTGGTCTATCATAATCCCCCCATGTACATCCGCCTCTGTAATCCTGGGCTCGAAGCAGCCGTCCTCTCCACCTCTGCTCGATCGACGGTGGACAGTCATGTTCCTGGACCGTATCGTCGCGAGGAGAATGGCTTCGAGGCCCGCCGGACTGTATTCCGCCTCCACTTGAGAGTCGCCTTCCTCGGTTCACCACCATCCTACTGGATGCACCTCTTGGTCGGGCTCCATCTGTCACGTTGGCGGCAGATATTATTGATCCGTGGCTCCGCGCGTCGACCTAGGGGGGGCCGCCAGTAGATCGACGGGTCAAGGGAGGCGACTTCGAGGACAATGTAACCGCGGGCTGGATAGGTGGCATCAAAATTGAGTCTTCTTGTAGATGTGATGTATCCATGTTTGAGATGGACGGATAGAATTGGTGCCTGTGGTTTCAGTCTCCTGCTCGTTTATGGCATCTTCTCTACGCAAGATAGCCCTTTGATAATGCTTTCATCCTCTTCAGAGTATACTTCCGTGTCTCGACGTTAGTCTCTTGCTTCATTATCAGGAACGTGCTGAAAGGGGCGCTAGGCACTGTGCATTCTATCTAGTTACTCCGTAGATCTAAGCCATCCTCGATAGTCGATTATCCTCATCTTAACGGCTCGGATCTTCGGATGGTCCCGCCGTCACCCAATATTGAACCTGAACATCTGGCCTCTAAGGAGCGGCGACAGTGGAAGCTTCCCGCATGATGAATTGATATGCCTAACCCCTATATCTTTGTCCATTATACCGCCGCCACAGATAGCATCTACCGAGTTGCCGGAATCGCATACCCCGAGCACCCGGGATTATAGCGTCGCCTAAGTGCGATACTAGTCGCAATCCCCGTGGATCGACAAGAGTCCGGTCGTCAAGTCGAGCATTGCGTGATGCAGATCGGCTGGGCGGAGGCGTCGACGGCGCAATAGCCACCTTGTACTCCGTACAGACTACTGTTTTATTACGTATCGCCCTATATTTGTCATGAGTCTAGAATGGAAAGATACAGAATGGGTGTAGCTATTATTTGCCCATACTGTCATCTAGCTGTATTGAATTGGTTGTCCAGTGTTCAGCGATATGGAGTACAACTACCTGAGCTCTGCACAAGTCCATCAAAGAAATCCAGTTCAATAGTCTTTAATCAGGTAAAAATAAGCATGACTTGATAGCCCAACAATCAACTCTAGCAAAGTTCTTTCCATGGTTGTAGACATGTTGACATGGGTATATATATATATATATATATATATATATCTCAACACCAGAGGATGAGCCCGATAAGCATCGCCACCGTAGAAGCCACATAGCATCAACCAGAGGATGGAATATCCGACTATTTTGGGCCAGATGAACGGGTAGCCAGTAATAGCTAACTCCAATCGATATTATAAGGCTGCGTCTCGGCCCCGTCGTTCAGACGAGCATCAGCTCATCTCCAGCCAAGTCTCCAATATAACGACGCACCCGGTGATACAGAGTAGTCCGCTTGAGCCCGTTGTTACAAGATATTTTCCTCCATCTCTCTTGCTCTTTGTCTTTCCCCTACAATAGACTGTGGCCGGATTCGGTTGGGCCGACGTCGCTTTATACCGCGATATCCTGGAGCTACTACGATCTTCACGAATTACTTCAATATCGTAATCGAACGGGGATCTTCTGGTAAATGATAGCCAGAGCTTGAACAATTTGTCGCCCATGGGACCGTTTTGCATCCATCAATCACCTCTCTTGACCAGGGCCAATAAAGAGAAGGGACTGTTAACCTGACTGTCTGTATACTCTCGAATCACAGCAAACGCGGTCTCTGTCCACAGAGTTCCGTTTAGCTCGCCTTTGCAAACGGGACCGTCCTTCTCACCGTCCAGCAAATATAGTCGGCCAGAGTGCTCCACAAGCGATATGAAGTGATGGTCGACTTCGGCTTCGGCAGGCGGAGTCTCAGTCCCGCCAGCTGTTGCGGCTACTTCGTAGAGATGTTCGATTTGTTCATTGTCCTCCAGGTGCTTGAAAGGGTTGGTTGACTTGATAAGTTGGTCCAGTATGGACTCGTTCTCTGCTTCGGTCAATACCTAGTATACAGTAGGCCTCGATGATGATGGACTGCGATACCTATAATATCGGGTATGTTGCATACACAATGTAGGATGGCGTAAAGACCACACGCATTGTCGATTGCCTGCTTGAGCCACAGAGGACCATCCTCGCTGTCGCCTTCGTGACTGCCTGGGCGTTCTTTCTGATAAACGGGGTTGTCTGGCAGGACGAGGATGAGCGCGAGTGCATCGCCGCACCCCTCATCAAGCGAATAAACGTCAACAAATTGCAGACTTTTGGAAACCCCTAAGCTGTGCATCAAAGGGGTGAAAATGTCGGGGTCGGACTCCAATGGAATAAATAATTTATGATAACGTGTCCCCATTTCCATGGCTCTTGACCTTTTCGCGAGTCGACAGGACCGAACGAAGAAAAGACCATTATTCTTTCAGCTCGAGATGATGTGGCCGATCACGTAGCATCACATACAGTATTAAGCCATAGTAACGCTCTAAACGTGCCCTGCTCCGAGCGGCTACTGATGCTATATTGTAGACATACATTTGGAATCTTGCCACGCACGGGAGCAGTGGAGAAGACCGGCTCCTTCCGTCCATCCTACGAGATTTCTAAATCTAGCCCCAACTCCCTCCCACTGAACAGCACGATGCCTCCCAGCAGACCGCGCACCAAGACCTTTACCGGCTGCTGGACCTGTCGCAAGCGCCACGTGAAATGCGATGAGCAGCGGCCGGAGTGTGCGCGTTGTCGCCGTGGTGGTCGAGTGTGTCAGGGGTACGGCGTGCGGTTGGGATGGACGAATACAGACGTGACGATGGCGCAGCAGCGTCGACAATTGCGTTCGTCTATTAGAACCCCCCCGGAGCTCTCTACAGACGTTCTGGAAGGGCTATTGGCGGACCTGGATCAATGCTCCAACCCGACGGGGTCTTTGCAGCGAGGCCCATTCTCAGTCTTTGCTGTGTCGCTTCCTCACAAGTCTGGGGGTTGTGACCTGAGAGAGGAAATCTCGAGTGATATACAAGGTCAGAACGATAGAGAGGAAGAAAGTTTGTCTGCGGCCTCAATATCAGACACAGAGACTGTGTTGGGCATGCCAGAGTCGTCAACATCTTGCGCTGCCTCTTCAGATCTCCCCATTGCTGTACCCTCATATCCCTCTCTCCCTTGTGCTGACAGTCTCAACCGGCCACTATTGAATACGGCCCCTTCGGAGCGAACCGAGCCGAACGACTCTGCTCTGTCGATTCCCCAAATGCTCAATCCGAGCCCCATCCCAGCCCCAGAGATTGAGCTGATCCACCACTGGGTCGTCTTCCTAAGCGGCAACATGCTCCTCATCGATACTCCCGACAATGCCTGCCGGACTGTATTCATGCCGTTGGCACTGGAAGGTCTGAACGCACCTCCCCAGTCCGCAAACATGCACCGGGCTGTCTTCCACGCCATCTGCGCCGCGTCCGCATTCAGCTTATACCACCTGGCTGGCCAACCTCGCTTCCAGTCTCTCGCAGTCAGCCACGACCAACAGGCCCTGCGGCATCTACGCGAGACGCTTCACCCAGGTCGCCGTCTAGATGAGACAACCCTGACCGCGGTATTGTCCTGCATCACGGCCGAGGCCATGTCCGGTCGGCGCGGACGATGGCGGGCGCATGTCGCCGGCGGCCTGGGACTGCTCGAGGATGCCGTCAGGGTGGGCTGGACACAAACCGCCACGACAATGCGTCTGCTACAAAGCTACCTGTCGCTATCCTCCCTCTGTAACCTCCGTCTCTCGTCGCGGCTGGCCTCACTGCTCAACGGACCCCCCGAGTGCCGCTACTATCTCGAACGCTCGCACGGAGTCACTGTTTCGCTGGTGCAGTTCCTAGCGCACATCTCGGCCCTGCGAGACTCGATCGATACGGTCAGCTCCGCGGAGCTCGACCACCTCGAGCTGCAGCTGTACTTGAAGTTTCCCAGCGCACCCGTGTCGGAGAACGTCGAGGCGACAGTGATCCAGCACGCGCTCAACTCCTTCTACTACGCCACGGTGATCTACTTCCGGCGCACCCTGCGCCGCGCGACGCTGGCCGACGTGCAAGATCTTGTGGAAAAAGCTGTGCAGGACCTCGAAGCGGCAGAGGCGCTCACGCACCACCACGGCGGGTGTGCGTATAACTGGGCTAGTTTCGTGGTCGCGGCCGAGTGCGAGAGCCCAGACCTACAGGCGCGGACGCTGGCCTTGTTTGAGAGCAAACGGCGCCACGGGATCAAGAATATACAGGCTCTGGGTGAGATCGTGCGGACGTTATGGCAGCGACGACAGGCTGCAGGGCCGCAGGTTGATATCCACTGGGAGGATGTGGCCCGCGAGGCTGATTTTGACATCATGCTTGTGTAGAAGCTTGCAGTTAATGTCGTATTGCTCTATGTACCTACGGCTTGTATGATACAGCCAGCGATATACCCACGATGTCACGCCGTGAATCCCCCGTCCACCACCAAGGCCGTGCCACACATGTAGCTGCTCATCGGCGACACCATGAACAGGATGGAGTCGGCGATCTCCTCGACAGTCGCTGGGCGGCTGATCGGGGTGTTCTGGAACACGGCGTCCATGGCGCCGGACTCGATGCCCTTGCGGATCATGGGAGTGTTGACCCAGCTGGAGTCCGGTTAGCTGTGAAGCGATGTATAGATATGGGATACTCACCCCGGGCAGATGGCGTTGATGCGGATGCCTTCTTTAGCGTACGTTTTGGCGTCCTGTGTCTGTCAGCTCATTATCAGGGCTGTAGTTGACGTCGCACTGACCAGCTTGGTGATGGCCACAACGGCTACCCATTTGTTAGTATTGTTAACGTCAAAGATGATAGACGGAGTCTCTTACCATGCTTTGCTGCTGTATACGGCGCAATGCCAAACGCAGCAGGTGGAACAGCGACCCCAAACATCGAGGAGAGATTCACAATAACGCCCTTTCCGATACGAGTGCCTCGAGACCTACAACATAAGATCGGTGCTCTTGCCAGACATCTTCAAGCTGTTATGCTCACTCCTGCTTCATCATCTGGCGGATCACAGCGCGCTGGCACAACCAAACCCCCGTCTGATTGATATCAATGACCTTCTGCCACTCGGCCAGACCGTGTTCATGCGTGAACGCAGGCGTTCCGCTGATGCCCGCCGCATGCACAGCAATATCAATGCGGCCAAACTTCTCTGCGACCCTCTGTACGGCCTCATCAACGGCCGCTTCCTTCGTCACGTCGACTTCCAGGATCTCAACAGCGACAGAGGGAAACTGCTCGAGCAGCTCGGCGCGCGTGGCCTCCAGCTGAGCGAACTGCACATCCAGGAGAGCCAAGGCCGAGACACCATTCTTGGCCAGCACGAAAGCTGTTCCTTTTCCGATGCCTGTCGAGTCTGTGTTAACCGTCGATACAGCCACGTCGACGTGCATATCGGTACGTTACCTGAACCACCGCCAGTGATAAAAGCCGTTCCGGTTACCTGACACGCCATGGTGTATTTCTGCTCTTTCTCTGTCTCGAACGAAGCCAGCTCGTGCTCTCAACGTCTACAACAATAAATAGGCCTGCCGAGGGAAGCGGGGTCTTGGATGATTCCCTCGGATATGGAGAGAGTCAGCGGCCGACGATTGCCCGCCATTAAACGAGCCGTCAGGAGTCAATCCTCACGGGCCATCCTATTGCCGTTGACAGTAGCCCCTATCTTCTGTGCTCCGTGCGACACGGAATTGCCGGACCTCCTGGCTGCCAAGGACGAGGCCGTGGGGCGTCAGCGTCGATCCTGTCAATGTATGCCGAAAGTGGATGCTCGCCGTTGACTGCTTTTTTGGGAATATACTCATGCATCGCAGATTGCCATTCCGTTGAGCTGAGGGCCAAAATATCATGAAGAGTGGTCAGTCGGTCAACATGAAGACATAAATGGACGCATCTCCAAGAGGAAGTACTCATGCTAGTACACGCTTGTCAGCCCATTCTGCAATTAAAGACCCTCCTCCATCCATCGCAATGACTGTTGAAGATCTCCATGTCGATGCCATCGTCATCGGCGGCGGATTCGGTGGCTGCTATGCCCTCTACCGTCTGCGCCAGCTCGGTCTCACCACTAAGCTGCTCGAGGCTGGCGGCGGATTCGGCGGCGTCTGGTACTGGAATCGATACCCCGGTGCTCGCGTCGACTCCGAGATGCCCAACTACCAGTTCAACATCCCCGCCGTGTGGAAAGACTGGAACTGGAGCCAGCGGTTTCCCGGCGATGACGAACTGCGCCGGTATTTTGAGCACGTCGACCGCGTTCTCCGTCTCAGCAAGGACTCCCTCTTCCACACCGTGGTGTCAGAGTGTCGCTATGACAGCAGCACGCAGCGGTGGATGGTGCTGAGCGCAGACGGCCGCCGCGCAAGCTGCAAGTATCTGATCGCCGCGACCGGCTCCTCGCACAAGAAATACTTCCCCGAGTACGCAGGCCTGGCAGAATACAAGGGCCAGCTGGTGCACTCGGCCGCCTACCCAGAGCATCTGAACGTGACCGGCAAGAAAGTCGGAGTCGTGGGCAACGGGGCATCCGGGCTGCAAATTGTGCAAGAACTCGCCAAACAAGACTGCCAGCTCCACGTCTACATCCGCACGCCGTGCTTCGCCATCCCCATGAAACAGCGCGCCGTGCCCCAGGACGAGTCGGAAATGCTCAAGGGCTACTACGACGCCATCTTCGACAAGTGCTACAAGTCCAACACCGGCTTCCCACACAACACCCTGCCGCAGTCGGTGCATGCCGCCATGCCCGAGGAGCGCAAGGCGCTATTCGACGAGCTCTGGAAGCGCGGCGGGTACAGCTTTCTCGTCTCCAACTACTACGACTTCCTCCTGGACGAGAAAGCCAATTCCATCTTCTACGACTTCTGGGTGCAGCAGGTCCGGAAGCGGATGAGCGACCCGGCCAAGATGGACCTGGTGGCGCCGCTGAAGCAGGGCTTTTGGATCGGCACGAAGCGGCCCAGTCTAGAGCAAGACTACTACGAGATGATTGACCGGCCGAATGTGATCCTGCACGATCTGAAGAAGGCACCGATTGTGAGGTTCACCCCAGACGGCACGGAGTGCGCAGACGGCAGCCACCAAGACCTGGACGTGGTCATCTTCGCCACGGGGTACGATGCCGTCACGGGCAGTCTGCAGGACCTGGGCATCACCGATAAAAATGGCATCACGCTGCGGAAGAAATGGGAGACTGGCATCGCGACGCACCTGGGCCTGATGACACCGGACGCCCCCAATCTCTTCTTTGTCTATGGCCCGCAGGCACCGACGTCGCTGGCTAATGGACCGCCGTTTATCGAAATGGAGGTGGACTGGATATGCCGGGCGATTTCCAAAATGCGCGAGCAGGGCCTGTCTACGATGGAGCCCACCTGGGAGGCGGCGGAGCAGTGGAAGGAAGAGGTGCGTGTGGTCAGCGAGCACACGCTGTACCCCAAGACCGACTCGTGGTACATGGGTGCCAATATCCCAGGGAAGAGGCGAGAGCCGTTGATCTACCTGGGAGGGATGCAGAGATGGTGGGCTAAGTGCAACGAGACGCTGGAGAACTGGAACGGGTTTGCGACGGCCTAGCTAGCAAGTCTGAAGCAATAGAATGAGGCAAATATATTCTTTCTTCATTCCAAATGACAAAGTAATGATAACCCACCAAGACTACAGAATGGCTATAGCGTTCGGTGGACTCCCAACAGCCCCCGGCACATTCAAAGGCGACGAAGTAAGGAAAAAGCTATACTTCTGGGCCTTCTTGCACTCCTCCGCCAGCACCTTGAGATCCCACAGCTCCCCCAGTGGCATTCCCATCAGACTCAAGCACCAGGGATGAAGGACTGAGACGTTAGTTCAGTACGACTACCGAGCACCTCGGAATACGCAGTAGTAGAACACATACCAAGCTCAAACGGCGGCCTCTCCTCACCATTGATGATAGGCGGAATAGCTTCGACGGCCATATTGTCGCAGGCGATGGCCGCAAAGCGTCGATTCCACAACCACCGAGCCATCTCAACGGTACCTTCCACACCGCAGACGGCATGGGAGGAGCCCATGGCCTGGGCCTGTTCCTCACCCGTCATAGCACCCATTGCTTCCGTGAAGCCAAACCGGATGATCAAGATGTCGCCATGCTGGAAGGTCGTTCCCTGGTACTCTGCGACGGCCTCGATTTCTTTAGGGCTGATTCGGAAACCGGAGAACGGAGAGTATTGGATTCCTTTGGCATCGGCGTAGCCTTTGAAGTCGATTAACACTCCTCTTCCGGTGATGCATCCGCGTTTGTGCCAGTCTGGACTGTCAGTGCGTTCTTTTAGATTACAGAGGGAGCAGCGTACGATTCAATGTCGGCAGTGGATCGGATTCCTGTGGGTTCTGGAGCCCTTCGACGGTGGCTTTGAAGCCATTGTAGGTTGATTCCGTTGGGAGATGCTGGATGTGGCCTGCTGGGGTTACTAAGTGACTGGTATGGTGATCGGAAGTACGCACATAAACTGTCCCACTGGCTACTGGCCTGGGTATTGAAGTGCACCTGTACATCCCCTGTCAATATGTCTGTCTGAAAGTAGATGCTGGCATACCTCGTCATCAAATGCAAATATCTTCCCAGTTCGAGGATCATCCATCTTGGTGACCTGGCGGTCAAGGCTCTTCCGGAAGAACCCCGGTATCCTTACACTCCCAATCGGCCAGCTGGAGGAGTTAGCTTGATCAGACTAGAAGCACATTGGAGGCCATACTTTAGCGAAACGGAGACCCCATGACAGATTTCAGATGCGGCTGCTTTCACCACCTCCGGAGTCAACAGGTTCAACGTGCCATACATGTCCTTCTTGCCATCCTGGTCAAATATCCCCCATGTACAGCCCTGGGGCATGCCAGGAACCGGCGGGAGGTCGTCAAAATCCGGTAGATTCGCCATTAGGTCGTTAACTTGATTCCTGACAGTGAGTAGTCGAGGTCCTGCGCGTGCCACTCTAGCATAGAATTATGCCGTCTCTAAACAGATGGATAGACGGCTAACACAACCCCACAGTACCCTCGCGGTGGCCTTCCTAATCCACCGCCGGCTTGTCTTGGCTGCGGATCCCGTGCCGTTCAGCAGCAACATCCGAGTAACCAGCTAACCTTTATACACTCTATCATTTACATACCGTTCGTTCCATCGTCACAAGCCTAACATCGGATGGCATGTATTCCGTGCCGTGAGCGGGGCAAGCCCCAAACGGCCCCTGTTGTCACACACTGATGCATCGACAAGAACCAGACATGGGTATAAGTATGCGGGGTTTTCGTATAGCACGTGTAGCACGGGGTATAACAGACCCCGCTACATTTCACCATGGCTCTTCAATACGACCCTGAGTTCCTTGCAGCCGCCGGGCCCCTGCTGAGCCAGCTAAGTCAGTACCCACGGCCCGCTGCTCACGACATCAGCAGCCGAAGGGCGGCACTGGAGGCGTTTGTAGCTCAGAATGGGCAGGAACAGACTCTCCCAGACGGCATCGAAAAGCTTGTCCATCAAGTGCAGACGGGCGACAACGAGCCCTTGACGATCTACCATTATCGCAAGGAGCGGACACCCGCTAAGGCCCCAGCCATTATACACCTGCACGGTGGCGGCTACATATCCCTCAGCGCTGAGCAGCATGAAACGGCTGTCACCAACCTGGTGTTGGCTTCCGGCGTCCAGATGCTCTCCGTCGAGTACCGTCTAGCCCCGGAGCATCCGTACCCAGCAGCCCTGGACGATGCATGGGCCGCGCTTACATGGCTGCAGGCGCACGCAGACGAGCTGTCTATCGACCCCAGTCGTATCGCAGTGTATGGCGAAAGCGCCGGTGGCGGTCTCGCGGCTAGCCTGGCCATCCTCGCACGAGACCGAGGGCTCTCCCCGCCGTTAGCGAAGCAAATCCTCGTTTACCCGATGCTAGACGACCGCACGGTGGTGAACCATGCCGGGAAGCTGGCGTTCTGGGACGCTGATGACAATGTCACCGGCTGGACAGCGTATTTGGGCAAGGATGTGCGTGGCACGGAAGAAGTGTCTCCATATGCGGCGGCAGCGAGGGTTGAGAGCGTGGAAGGATTGCCATCGCTGTATCTGGATGTGCCGCAGCTAGATATGTTTGTGCACGAGGGTACTGAATATGCGCGGCGGTTCTTGGTTGCAAACATCCCTACCGAGTTGCATGTTTATCCTGGGCTGCCGCATGGGTTCGAGGGACTGGCTCCAACGAGTGGTGTTACACGACGGGCAGTGGAAAATAGGCTGCGTGCAATGACTTGTTTCTAGATTAGAAAATGAAGTGTGTGTTGTTATATGATCCGGAGAGAATGGGGGCGAGGAGTGCGCCTCAGTGTTCATGGAATAAGCCCTTGCACAGAGTAGCACAATCATCCGGCACTGGCCGAAACGGATCATCAGACCAGTGGAGATTGCGGGCCTAAGCATACTGCAGGGAGTAGATATATAAAGCGCTTCCCCAGGGTCGGCTTGTCGTTCTCTTCATCACCTATCCCGACATCACCGCATCCGTCTTCACCATGACCACCATTACCAGACCATCCGCAGAGACGCTCGCCTCCACCGTGAGCAACAAACTCGCCATCGTCACCGGTGCTGCAAGAGGCATCGGATACGCGACGGCCTCCTTACTCGCTCAACATGGGACCCGCGTTGTCCTCGTCGATCTGCACGAAGACGCGCTGCAAAAAGCATGCACGATTATCGGACCCCAGGCGACGTACAAGACGTGCGACGTAAGCGACTGGGACCAGCAAGTCGCTCTGTTTAACTGGGTTGTGAAAAACATCGGTCCTATCGACCTCGTCGTCTGCAACGCCGCCATCAACCCTGAAATTGCCCTCCTGGCAACGGATGACGATGAGGAGCGCAAGAAGATGAACAACCACGTCCGATACAACTACCTCGCTGATGAGCGGAACGATGGCAACGCCTCGTCTTTGAAACGCCCTTCTACGCAGGTGCTCGACGTGAACATCAACTCGGTGATCTTTGGCCTGAAGCTGAGCATCCACCACATGAAACCGACAGGCGGCCGCATCGTGGTTGTTGCCTCGGCCGCGTCCTACGTCCCTGTCCCCTCGCAGACCCTGTATACCGCTAGCAAACACGCAGTTCTAGGTTTGGTCCGCAGCACCGCTATGATGCAGGAGGTTGCGCAATCCGGCATTGCAATCTCGTGGGTTGCGCCGTGGTTGACGCTTACTTCGATGGTTGAAGGTATCGCTGCGACGACGCAGGAAAATACCCTCAAAAGCTCGCCCACGGATGTCGCCTGGGCGATTGTTGCGGCAGCCGCGGCGTCGAAGGAGAATGCGAGTGGAAAGGGGTTCTGGGTGCAGGGGAGTACTATTACCGAAGTCGAGGGAGCGTACGGGGAAGTGGCTGGGCGTTTGATACTGCCGGAAAATAGGTTCTAAGTGTACCTTGAGTTTGGTTTCGTCCGTATATATAGTGGAAGTCTGTAGGTAACAAGTGCGTCGTGTCGAGTCCTGTCATGCTTGACAATGATACTGTGTTGTCCACATGACCAGCAAGGTAGTGCCACTCGATAAAGGATTTTGCAGGCTCTACTGCGTCCAGTGTCATTAGCCGAAGGGTACCTTTAAGGGGGAGATCTGCCTTGGCCTCTAATGTTGTGCTCTCTTCCGGCATCCGAGCACAGCAGACCACGCATGGAGAGTCTCGATTTGGCTGCAATATCGGTTCTGAAAATGGGAACCGACAGCGATAGGTCCCACGCGGCATTTCTAGTCCCGATCAACCGATTTCTGGCCGATGAATGTGGGATATTGCGTCGACTTCCGTGGGTGGCGAGGCGTCCGTGGAGACCGCGGAGACCGCGGCATTCCCAATTAGGAAATCTTCCATATCCGCGATCTGTAGATTTGGTTGATAAAACAGCCCCTTTCGCAGTGGTTCGGAGCAAATCACCATTAAAAGGCTCAAGCATATTGCGCCTCCGATTCGCTTGGCCGATCGAATTGCCAGTTGAGCGTGACATCCCCTAAGCATTCGGAGCTGACCTAGTCAACAGCATTGCGAAAAGCGAACATGTCTCAACACCGCCGTCCCAACAAACCGGGGGATGTCTCCATTAACAAACCGGAGACCTCAGATGAGGATACAACTATGGAGTTTGGCGGACCGCTGGGGGTGACTGCGCTGATGGTGGGATTCCCGCTGCTAATGTACTACATGTACCTTGGCGCCACGTTCTATGACGGAAAACCACCCATGCCGGGTCCTGGCGAAAGCATCCCACAGTTCATCCAGCACCTGGCAAATCTTGCATACACCTCTGCCTTCCCCCACCGGAAAGCGTGGGTGATATACTGGACGTTCCTCATCCTGGAGGGAGCCGGATATCTCTATATGCCTGGGGTGTACGGCAAAGGCAAGAGACTACCCCATCTGAACGGAAAGCAGCTGGACTACTATTGCTCGGCGGTGTCCTCGTGGTATCTGACGATCGTTGCGGCGCTCGTCCTGCATTTCTCGGGGCTCTTTCGACTGGATACCCTCATCACTGAGTTCGGCCCGCTGATGTCCGTCGCCATATGCTCCGGCTTCGCAGTCTCCGTGCTGGCCTATATCTCTGCCCTGATGCGAGGTGCTCAACACCGCATGACCGGGTCCCATGTGTATGACTTTTTCATGGGCGCAGAGCTCAATCCGCGGCTTTTCCGCTGGATAGATATGAAGATGTTTTTCGAGGTCCGCATCCCATGGTTTATTCTGTTCCTTTTGACATTGGGGGCGGCCTTGAAGCAGTGGGAAGACTTTGGGTTCGTGTCGGGAGAGGTAGCCTTCTTGTTGATGGCACACTTCCTCTACGCCAATGCATGTGCGAAGGGCGAGGAGCTGATCATCACCAGTTGGTATGTTTAGCTGGAATGGTGATTGTCGAATATTGACTAACAAGCACCAGGGATATGTATTATGAGAAATGGGGATTCATGTTGATTTTCTGGAATCTGGCTGGAGTTCCCATGAGTTACTGCCACTGCACCCTGTATCTTGCTTCCCACCATCCGTCCACATACAGATGGAGCCCGGTCGCGCTGTTGGCGTGGGCAATCGCATATCTCTTCGTCTACTGGGTCTGGGATACATGCAACAGCCAGAAGAACTTCTTCAGGGCGCAAGAGCGGGGTGTGTCGGTCGACCGCAAGTCGTTTCCTCAGTTGCCATGGAAGTTCGTCAAGGATCCCGAGGTCATTCGCACCAAAACTGGGGATTCCATTTTGTGTAGTGGTTGGTGTAAGTTGTTTTCATTCCTTGAGTTTCTGTACCCATGTTGACGACCAATAGATGGCATGGCCCGTAAGGTCCACTATACCTGCGACTGGTTCTTCGCCATGTCCTGGGGCCTGGTCACAGGATTTCAATCACCGTTCCCTTGGTTCTATCCTGTGTTTTTCACGGTCATGATCATCCATCGGGCTAGGAGGGATATTGAGCGATGCCGCGAGAGGTACGGGGACGCTTGGACGGAATACGAGCGACGGGTCCCATATTTGTTCATTCCGGTAAGTCGCCTCCACCATTGAGTGACAAAAAGCTAACTGCGGTATAAGTATGTTATCTGAGTGGTACTGTGGTTATCAGTAGGGCTTGTGAACAAATAGACGTGCGAATAGACTGTCAATAAAAAACCGTGCTATCCATCTGGTTTTCCTTAGGGCGGAAGATCATTCATGTAATTTGAATTTAATATATCCATGACCGACCGGTTTGTACCAATGAAGTTGTTCAAGAAAAGAGATATCTCCTCTTGATTCATGCTCGAGTCGAACATATCTTCCGGCCAGGAGACATCCGGTAGCGCGATGTTAGTAGAACCATCAAAACCAGGCGGCATGATGAGTGAGCCATCTGGATCCTTCTCCAGCCCGGTCAGTGTCTGCTGTGTACCAACAAGAACCTCCGCTGTTTTTGCAAAGGCTTCGCATATACTGTAGAGGTGCATCGAACCACGCGACAACCCCTTCACCAGATCTAGAGATCTGACTGTATCTTGGAGAAGAGCCAAGTCGCTAGAACTGGAACTAGTAATAGCGTGGGTGAAGACAACGACGAACGGTGCGAAAGATGGATATAATAGAATCCTGATGACATTTAGTAGATGCAGATGATGGTGGTATGGTTACCTACCAGTTAACATATTCTGTCTGTTTGTGCGTTTGGCGGTCACGGAAATATGTGAAGCACTTTAGGTGACTATGTAGAGCCAGCGCTGCGGCTTCATAGCATTGGGAAGAGATCGCTGTTGCATCACGAGGGCGAGTCTGCGCCCGGTAGATGACGGTTAACACAGAGTAGGCAATGAAATCGGCGCATGCAGCCATGCCATGCAAGGATTCCGCATAGTAGCCTTGACTGACATCGATCTACAACTGGGTTAGCACTAAACAGGGAGGCATGAAAGAAGGAACATACAGCCAGTAACTTGTCACGAACAGTGATCAGATCGGAAGAGAGCTTATCAATAGCGGCCCACCGCTGCTCGTCGGATGCTTTTGATGCGGCTGCGGAGTATAACTCATCATACACACGGCCTTGAATTGATGCGAACTCAACAATGACGAGGCTCATCAGATCCCAGGGGCGACGTTTGGGATCGTCGGAGGGAGTAATGAGATCCGCGTCAATATCATGGTCGGGAAAGTGGGATGTCAGCCCCATGTTCAGCGAAACGTTTTTATCGATAGTATACAGAGACCAGAACGCATGCCGCTTTGACTCTGCAATGGCAGATTTGTCATTCGCCAAGGTGTAGGACCGATGAAGACCCATTGATTGACACATGTTGGATGCTAGGGACAGATAGGTCCAGCAATGCTGTAAGTCTGATTCTTCCTGAGCTTTAATGACCTGAGACTGTCAGTCCAGCTTCGGCAAGGCATTGGAACAAACCTACCCCAATTAACAAAGCTTGGACCTTTTCGATAGTTGGATTGACCATCATGTCATGGTTTTGCAAGGCGGAGGAAAATTGCCTTTCGCAAAACGCTGCACTTGACGATAGATCATAGTGGGCGAGGTCGGCAGGTTGTTCATGCAGATAGTCCCGGATGATATGATACAGCAAGCCGTGTAGTAGGGCCAACGCTCCAGCGGTGACTGGTTCGAGTGGAAAGTAGACCGACTGACAGAGTGTCTCCAGCTGCTGTGGGTTTCTCCAGGTCTGACTAACCAGGAAGAACGGGGGTTGGACTGTCTCTATTAGAATATTCGTGAGCACGCGCCGTACGAAACATACCTTTTACTTTCTTTACTATCGCAACAACCAGATCCACTGGTAACAGTGGTTCCTTGGAAAGTGAGGGTGGCAATTCCGGGGTTCGCTGGGATTGGCGTGGCTCTTGATGGCGGTCGAGACGGTCTTTTAACGATGATAGAGCCGCCGAGACATTCTCATCGAGGCAGACATTCTGCGAGCCATTCACCGCAGAGAGTACGGCATCTTTTGCGAGGAGACTTTGGTGGTGGAAGGAAGACTGTCCTTCGAACGTCGGTCCGGTCTGGGGCGACGATACAGGCTGCGCGACGGCAGGTGCAATGTTAGTTGATGTTGACGGTCGTGTGAGTTGATCCAGTGTTCTTTGAATCACCGTCAACTGCTCTTGTAGAGTGTCTAGTCTTCGATCCCTGTAGTAAATACTGAGTAATTGCCATTGACGCGTCCATTGGGATCCTCACTGTGGCGTTGATTGACTTCCTGAGGGCTCGGGGGCGGGAGAGGATACCCCAGCCAGTTTGCACGAAATCCCAAGAGCTGTACAGCTGGAGCAGGGAGTCGCTTTGTCACATTTTATCTAGCATCATCCGTCAATGGAGGGCTCCAGGCCAAGACACAGATCGGTCCTCCGTACCTTGCGTAATCGGCAGTTGTCACACTAGACGACGGTCAATCAACCACTGTCAAAGAGGAATTGGTTACGTACAGCGCGAACACGAAACGAGCCTCGCCCTGGTAAGGACGGCGTATGAGGCATTGTAGTTGAAGCCACGGAATGGGATGAAGAGGCGACACGATGTTGACTTGCCTGATTCGGATGCCGCCGGTTTCACGCAGACATCACGTGATCGATCGGAGCCAACTCCTATAGCACTGCCGCTTTTGTATACAAGAACTCTGTAATAGAGCTTCAGCCAGCCAGTATCGAAGTACCCTGCCCGACGTCGACGGAATGCATGATAACTGGTCCTTGTAGCCGCCATGCGGAGATTACGTACACCCTGGGCAAAGCACGAGGCTGTCTCTGCTAAGCGCCGGGGGCGGAGCCATGGCGAGGCGGTCATTCTGTTGATCATAAGGAGCTGCTTTCCTTCATGGACGCCTCGCGCTTCTTTGTATCCGTTCCTCACGCCTTCCCTTCCACATTGCTTTGTATATTCAGTACTGGCCTCTTTCCCGTGTTGATTCCAGGTTATACATGATGTCTGGCCCTCTGAACACACAGGTCGACATCGGGAACCTCTCTCTTGCCAGCTTGGGTTCATTCTCAACAATGTTGACGGCACTCTCGGCTGATGACGTCCAGCCCATCGCAATGATCCAGATGCAAAATCTGGGTGCCGCCTTTCCTGTCAGTGGACCGATCCCCACCAAAGCGCCGGATTATCTCCAGCGTTGTCACAGCACTCGACTCGAACGTGTGGGGATAGTTGTGGGCTGGCGCAAAGGCGATGCTGCATCGTATATGGCTCAGTCCACCGGCGGTCAGGCGATTGCTTTGTTGGCAGTCTATCTGCAGAATATCGGCGTGAAATCACCGGGAGACGTCTTATACTCCATTTCACGCGGTCTTTTACCACTATCTGCATGTCCCAGCAGTCCACAGATGCTCGAGAGAGTGACACAAGTGCTCGCTGAGAAACTGGCTGTGGTCAAATTTGGAACGATCCTTGCTGAACAAGTCTGTCGGATCCACAAGGCATATCAACAGCTACAGCAAGACGTGCCGGTCAATCTCTTGGAACCGATGAATGATGACTGGTTATCAGAAGTGCTGGTAATGCTATCCCATGCTTTGCGTGAAGACAAAAGGATGATTCGGATCCGCGGGTGTTGTTGGATGGGGTATATTCTCTCCCTTGTCGTCACCTTGTTCGCTCACGATTGTTTGGTGACGGTTGAAGGTGTCATTATCCATCAGGGCCATCGTTCATCCTCCATCATTGTAGAGATCACGTCTACATTACAAGAGAAGCCTCCCGAGGTTCATTCCATGCATGATATCGATTCCATAACTGAACTGTTGGACTCTTCCCGGTTCCATGTTGGCCGTGACCCGTTGCCGATAAAGGCTGACTTTGCATGGAACGGACTAGTGTCAGACATGCTCTATACCCTCTTTCAGCAATGGGATCTGGTGTGTTCACAGGAGGTGATTCTATCTGTGGGATTATGTGCCCTGTCTGCTGCCGATGTTACATATACGTATTTAGGTACGTATACAGGACAAGCTCCTGTAAAATGCCTCCTAGGCGAGCACCACAGCGCTCTTCACAAACGCTGCCAGGTCGTTCTCAGAACACAGCTTCCAAAGACGTGGCCGTCATACCCTGAATCATTCAAAAGGCTCGAAGAGGCAATAACATCATCAATCCAGACGCGCCCTCAAAACTCAATGTTTATCTCCAAATGGAATCCTTCCGATGCAATTGGTTTGGACTTTAGAGACCAAATCGTTGATGCCATATGGTTGGCGTTTGCGACGTTGTTCTTGAAAGTGCATGAGGATGCCACCTGGCGAAACTTTGATTTTGGAGATAATGAAGGAATCAGCACTCGCCCTGAGGGATGGGGAGATCCCGCACAACCGTCGTTCATAATTTCGTCGGATTCGATTTGGAAACAACTATTGCCAGGGTGGGATGGATGCACCGTGCTGGCGGTGTCGGATGGGAGAAGGACTCTTGTCCCCTCACCTTGCCTTGCCCTTGGGCATGGAGGCATCCTACACTACCGAGGCATGGAACTTCTGGATGGGCGGCTCATACACAATAATAGGTATCATGAAGTTCTCATGGATGGGGGCTTGCTTACAGAGCGGGGGGACGTGTCACTGGCGCTATCTGCACCTTTGAAGCCCTCCTTCCTGTCAACAGTGCCGAGCGCAGAGTGGTTCCATTCCGATCTTTCACTAGCAGTATCGGAGAGATTCAACGGGCTTATTCTCCAATCCGCAGTCACTATTTCTGGGCAGCGCTTCGGCGTAAATCTTGTGAAATCCTTGCGCAACATACTCCTGGCGATAAGGACCAGCCCATGTGAACACCCCAGAAACTCCTCCCTGAACGCGGAATATGCCTCGTTGGTATCGAACACTTCCATGCAACTTTCAAGGGCTGTGGACGACCACCACGTGTCTATTGTCCATACGGGGGGTAATGCTGCCGCGCAGCTCCTATCGTCATCCCTATCCAGAGGGCCACTGATCATCTGCCATCGCTGTTGTCTTAATTGCGCCTTCGAGCAGGCACGTTCTCAAGGCATCCGGGATATTATACTTCCATAAGGGCACAGAAGCTCTACTTATACCACCAGGATTTTAGCTGATTAGCCCTCTCTCGGGAGCCGCTGCCCTTAACATGAGGCACCTGCACGATCCGCCGATGAATCATGACGGTGACTCAATATTTTCTAGTAGATGGTACGATGGTGCCCATACGCACAGATCGCTCCATGGTACTGAGGTGGCAGAAGGCAGAAGGCAGTGCGGTTGAGTGGCTGAGCCGGTCTACCTAAGGTGTGGCTGGCGCCAGTTGCCGTGTTTGCGGGTAAATCCTTCATCGCCGATTCTCCGCATCTCCACATTGTCCTTGTCGTTGCGCACTGAGAAGCAATATACAGCTTGAGGGTCTCAAGAGACTCGTTCTTGTATATACACGATCCCAGGTCCCGATATACTCCGGAATACTGTGTTAGTATACATCATCCGACGCTTATGGACGGCACCATGGATCAAAAAATACTGCTCGCGTCCCGCCTCAACATCGCGAATCCTCCACAATTTCTCCGAAACCCCGCATGAACGCCAATGCGGGATGATTAGTATAGCCTGAATTGCATTTAGCATGAAGAAAATCAGTCGAAAGCCACGGGCTCGTATTTCGTCACGGTTATATAGCTCTTGTTGCTGGCCATTGCACCCTGAGCAAGAGAGCTTTCCACGCATCTGTACGCCAACATGCTCCGATTGCCCCTGGTGCTGGTTTGGTCCCTATGGGCCAGCCTGACTGTGGCCGAAAATGGCCTCAATGGCTGGCTGCGTTACGCTCCTATCCCGTGTGATGGGCGCTGTCACAAGGCACTACCCTCGCGCATTGTCGCCTTGAACAGCACGCAAGGAAGCCCGTTGGAGACTGCCATTGAGGAACTCCAGACTGGTGTCCGTGGGATGACAGGGAAACGTCTCTCCGTCGCCAAAGAAAACAATTGCAATCTCCATGCTACCGCCCTTATTGCAACCGTCGAAGAGTACCGCCGAACATGCCGGAACAGCTCTGATATCCCTGATCTCGATGTGGATGGCTTCTGGCTGCGTACGGAAGGAAACAACGTTCAGATTCTGGGACAGAGCGAACGGGGAGCTCTCTACGGGGCGTTTGAATACCTTTCAATGCTGGCGCAGGGCGACTTCTCTTCGGTGGACTACTCTACAAGCCCCCATGCGCCCGTCCGCTGGGTCAACCAGTGGGACAACATGGATGGCAGCATTGAGCGTGGCTATGCAGGACCGTCCATTTTCTTCGCACAAGGCCAAATCGTCCCAGACCTCTCGCGCGCAAAGCAGTATGCTCGACTCCTCGCCTCCGTTCGCATCAACGGCATTATCGTGAACAATGTGAACGCCAACGCAACGCTGCTGACGCCCCAGAACATGGATGGACTGGCTCGTATTGCAAATGTGTTCCGACCCTACGGTATTCGGATCGGTATCGCATTGAATTTTGCATCGCCGGATACACTCGGTGGTCTGGGCACCTATGACCCTCTCGATCCGTCAGTCATCAGCTGGTGGGGGAATATCACGGACAGCCTGTACGAGCGCATCCCTGATATGGCCGGATATCTGGTCAAGGCCAGCTCGGAAGGCCAGCCTGGTCCCGATACATACAACCGGACTCTCGCTGACGGAGCCAATCTGTTTGCCCGCGCGCTCAAACCCCACGGAGGCGTGATGATGTTCCGGGCCTTTGTCTACGATCACCACATTAATGAGTCTATCTGGACCAACGACCGGGCCAATGCGCAGGTGGACTTCTTCAAAAAATTGGACGGCCAGTTCGAGGACAATGTCATCGTGCAGATTAAATATGGACCTATCGACTTCCAAGTGCGCGAACCAGTGTCACCCTTGTTCGCCAATCTCTATCACACCAACACCGCCATCGAGCTGCAGGTCACTCAAGAGTACCTGGGTCAACAGTGCCATCTGGTCTATCTGCCTCCTCTGTGGAAGACGATCACAGACTTTGATCTGCGAGTTGACCACAGTCCCTCCGTGGTTCGCGACATCATCTCTGGAGAACGATTCAACCGTCCTCTCGGAGGCTGGGCTGCTGTGGTGAATGTGGGCACGAACGACACCTGGCTTGGCAGCCATCTCTCTATGTCGAATCTTTACGCCTATGGCCGCATGGCGTGGAGTCCCACGGACGACTCGGTCGAGATCCTCCAGGACTGGATCCGGCTGACATTCGGACGGGACCAGCATGTGCTGGACACCATCACTGACATGTCCATGGCCTCATGGCCCGCATACGAGAACTACACCGGGAACCTCGGGATTCAAACGCTGACCGACATCCTCTACACGCACTACGGACCCAACCCTGCCTCGCAGGATGGCAACGGATGGGGACAATGGACGCGTGCCGACCACGACTCGATCGGCATGGACCGCACCGTGAAGAATGGAACTGGAAATGCGGGCCAGTATCCAGCAGAAATCGCCGAGATATACGAGGACATTGACAAAACACCCGACGACCTGCTTCTGTGGTTCCATCATGTCCCTTACACCCACCGCCTGGACTCGGGCAAGACGGTCATCCAGCACTTCTATGACGCTCATTATGCCGGGGCCGAGACCGCGCAGGGATTCGTGCCCCAGTGGGAAAGCCTTCGCGGACGCATTGACCCGGAACGATACGACGCGATGCGAACCCGACTAGTCTACCAGGCTGGACATTCCATTGTGTGGCGTGACGCCATCAACAACTTCTACTGGAACCTGTCGGGGATTGCAGATACCAATGGGCGGGTAGGCCACCACCCCTGGCGTGTCGAGGCGGAGTCCATGCAGCTCCAGGGATACCAGCCATATGCAGTCAGCCCCTTCGAGACCGCTTCGAATTACACTGCCGTCGTCACGACATCGAATTCCACCACCGGGACTGCATCCACTACGCTGGACTTCCCGTCGGGTACTTACGATGTCGGCGTGAACTATTTCGACATGTACGGCGGAAAGTCGCGGTGGAGTTTGTATCTGAACGACAAGGTTGTCGGCAAGTGGGAAGGGAACAGCGAGGATGTCTTGGGCCACACTCCGTCCATCTATTTGGATGGACACTCGGCCATCCGCATTACCTTCAACGGGGTTAAGGTACGCAAGGGCGACAGGCTGAAGATTGTGGGTGTCCCTGACGGTGTTGAGCCGGCGCCGTTGGACTATGTGGTGTTTCTGCCACAGGGGGTTATCGATTAATAGCCAGTTCAGTTCTGTTGTAGCCGAATGCTAGAAACGGTTGATATTGTTTGTTACAGCTTTTCATACCTAACTACCTACATTCTCCGAGAAAAGAGACTATCTGTGGCCCTAAACTATCTATTACCTTGAATAATTGTAACATTCTTCTATCCACGAGGGGAACTATACAACACATTCACCGACCGTCTTGTGGCGCACCAACGGATCGTTCTTGGATATTTACTGAATGATTGCTCGTTCCCTGCCGCGATACCGATGGGTGTGAACAGGAGCCACGGCGTATTTTGTGCAGTTGAGTATTGCGTGCTGGCTGTTGTCGGCGCTGAACTTCCCCCGTCGAACTAATTCAAAGTCGGTAAACCAATTTTCTCCTGAATACACCGAGGAGCCTTTGATGCGATTGTGTAGATCAGTGCACCAAGCTAATAGATTAACGAAGTGCAGCACTTACGATTTCATTCGGCACTGTTGTTGACATTGTCACAGATATCGTGCGCAACAAGCTCCTGTCCGCTAACTGCCCAAGTTATGAGTATCGGCTTGCACGTCACCTGGGAATGAACGTCACCGCGCGACAGAAAATTGGAATTGGCATTATCTTCTGCTTTGGTGTCTTTATCATCGTCGCCGCCATCTTCCGCGCTGTCGAACTCAGCAACAAGGCGTGTTCGGGGATTGTAGGGGTCGGTGTCTAGAGCGTTGCCGAGTGCCCGATATGTGCGTGACAAAATGTCCAAGAGACGTAGATACAGGGTGCTGACGGCGGTCTCTAATTATGATTCTTGGATATCTACCGCCATTTAAAAAGCTCGTGTCACATTTAGCAGCTCGTCAAGGGATCCTGCGAGCCGGGAGGACACATCTAGTCGTGCGGGAGGCTTCACCTGTATCAAGGACGCATCCGGGAGCCAGGCCCCCCTGCCGCCCGACGAACATGGATTAGGTCGCCCTACGGGGTACGAGATACATATGCGAAACGTCGATGGCCGGGGACTTTCAGGGTCAAGAGAAAACGTTTCTGAAGACGACCGGCCAGGTGCTATCCAGGATGCTCATGAGTCTGTAGGCCATCCCTATCCTACGAACTTCTCTCAGGGTTAGCATCGCCCCAATGACCACTGGACACAGTTCATGAACCAGTATGATTCCTTGTCTTTAGATCAACCCCGCATTTACATCGTGGCGGCCAGGTAAGCTGCATTATTCGCCGATCCTACCGAGGAACCTCGGAGCTTTGGACATACCCCCCTAATATCCCCCCTTTGGAGCAGTGAACGCGCTTATGCACGACACAAAAGACACTGTCGAACTCATAATTGTTTGATAAAGCAACCTCCTCGTATAAAACTGTGGTCGGCGCCGTAGGTAGTCGTCTTTGTTGTCAGTTCTCTCATAGACATAGAGTCAGATATATCTCCCCCCACCACGATGATTTACCTCCCCGAGAAAGACTATGACATCCCCAACATTGACCTCCTAACCCTCCTGTTCGGTATGCGCTTTCGTAATTAATCTACCCATCCTATCAATTAACTCCTCCAAATCCAGAGTCCCCCCTTCCGCGCAGTGATGAAAGCACTGTGATGCATGCAGAGGCGGCGGACCCCTCCAATTCCATCACCAAAGCCCAAGCCCGCCAGTACACCCGCCAGATCGCATACGTCCTGAGACATCACTTCGGGGTCGGTAGCAACGGCGCCGGAAAGGACGTCATTCTGGGAGTCTCACCCGGACAGATCCTCTTGCCGACGGTCTTCTACGGTGTTATCGCCGCGGGTGGCGTGTGGAGCGCCGCATCATACACGGCATCCCCAGCGGAGCTGGAGCGACAGATCCGCCAGGGGAACAGTCGGCTGGTCATTACCGGTGCCAGCTGTCAGGATGTTGCGGTCAAGGCCGCCCAGGCGGCGGGTGTGCCCATGGACCGGGTGCTAATCTTGAAGAGCATGGGCCACCAGCGCGTGCTGGAGAACTACAGCACAGGCCAGAACTACCTTGCTGCTCTGAGAGAGACCGATGTGCTGGATTGGGAGCGCATAACTGACCCGGAGGCGTTGAAGAACTCCCTCATCTGCCTGCTCTACAGCAGCGGCACCACGGGCGTGCCGAAGGGTGTCAACATCTCCCATCTCAACGTTGTTGCTGAAGCGCTGATCCCCTACTTCATGGATCAGGAGCATACGGCCAGGAAAAAGGCAGAGGATCCCAACTACGAGAACCCGTACCGCACTTTGGCTCACCTCCCGACGGCTCATATCGCTGGTTGCCAGGGGTACTTCATCAACCCTGGTGTGGTGGGTGGCACTGTCTACTGGATGGAGCGGTTCGACTTTGAAAAGTTCCTGGAGTACTGCAAGAAACTGGAGATAACCTTCTTCTTCACTGTCCCGCCTATATACCTGCTCATCAGCTTGAGCCCGCTGGTCACGGATCAGTTCAAGACGATGCGGCGCGCCTACTCCGGTGCAGCTCCGATGGGAGCTGACCTCCAGCAGAAGGCCCAGAAGAAACTGGGCTGTCTTATCAACCAGACCTGGGGCCTGAGCGAGACGACCGGCAGCACAACCGGCATGCCGGCGGACGTGGAGGAGCTCACGGGCAGCGTGAGCCGACTACTGCCGAACATGCGCCTCCGCATCGTGGACGACGATGGAAAAGACGTTGAAGAAGGCAAGGAGGGCGAATTCCTCGTCAAGGGCCCGGTCGTCACGACCGGGTACTACAACAACCCTGAGGCAACCAAGGATGCTTTCACTGCGGATGGGTGGTTCAAGACTGGAGATATTGGACTTCGTAAGAACGGGCTTTTCTATATCGTTGACCGGAAGAAGGTACGATACCACACTCACAATACATACCCTGTCTTTGGACCACCTCTAACCTTCGCCAGGAACTGATCAAGTACAAGGGTCTTCAAGTTGCCCCCGCCGAGCTGGAAGCACTGCTCCTTTCCCACCCGCAGATCATGGATGCCGCTGTAATTGGAGTGGCGGCGCCGGACGGCTCTGGTAACGAGGTGCCACGGGCGTACATTGTTGCGGACCAGAAGAAGATCACCGAAGACGAGGTGAAGGAGTTTGTCAAGGCCAACTTGGCGCATTATAAGCAGCTCCGCGGCGGTGTCATCTTCCTCCCTGCCATCCCCAAGAGTCCCAGTGGGAAGATCCTGCGCCGCGAGTTGCGCGAGCAGCTGAAGAAGGAGGCGAAGACTGCGAAGTTGTAGATAAACTGGACTCTTCGATAGAGTGCTGCAACGTATAGTGACCAGCAATTGACTCAACCATATTGCACATAAAGCAAAGCCTCAACTGCCAGTATATTGAAAAGAGTAAGGAAAAGGCTCTACATATTAGCTACCCGCCCGTGGTTCCAACCAAGAGACGTTCATGGGCGCAGGCTTGGAGTACACTAGATCATGACATCAGCAGAAAAGACGAAGAGAGGCGGTTCTCCTTAGTCTACTCTAAGAAAATGCAATCAATCTTGCAAATAGGAGGTATGGTTTTACCAGCTCAGAACAGTTATAAATTAGAATGGAGAGAAGCAAAGCTATCAACAGAGACGAACTATACAAAACTACCCTGCTAAAAGAACATCCAAGCTTCCGAAATACAATATTTGTCAAGCAAGAAGCATACAACACCTATTTGCCCTTCAGAAGACCAATCAAATTGTTAAAAGCATTCAGCAGACCAAGTCGGCCCTGCAGCTTCGAATCAACCAGTCCTAGGGTAATGATCACCACTAGCAGTTTTAGGACGCGACTCGCTGACTTCCAGATAACGCCCTTGCTGCACTCGCGTCTCTCATCCTCTAAGGTCCAGTTGCGTTTGATCCCAAGACTGTTGCGAACCGCAAACCATTTGACCCGGTCAGGTGAGTAAGGGGGAAGCAGGAACGAGGAGACCTTGGAGAAGACCGACGTCGGCCGGGCAATAACACGCATATGCGAGAAGCTACGGAATCCGTAGTCACCGTGATAGGATCCATGGCCGGAATCCCCAACACCGCCGAACGGGGCGCCGGGGACAGCGGCATGGATCAGCACGCCGTTGACGGTGACGCCGCCGGAGATGGTGGACGAGATAACTACAACGTTGTTAGTTGCTGTGATGTTCAGGGATAAGGGACTTGCCTTTGTCAATCTCCTTTTGGTCCTTGCTGAAAATGTAGATGGCGAGGGGACGAGACAGGCTGCAACGACATGTCAGTCCTGAGAAGTATACACTGGAGATATACTAACCTGTTGATCGACTCGATTGCCTCATCAGTAGAGGATCTAAGAACCGGGCAGATGGTTCCAAATAGCTCCTCAGAAAGAAGCGAGTCTGCCTTGGTCAGCTCACTGTACAACATACTGAGGTGCTCCTCTGCGACATACCTTTCATGGTCACGTTGCTGACGACAGACGGATTAATACACCGAGTCGACGCATCTAACTCGCCGCCACACTCGACCTTCCCGTCAGTCTTCTCTAGAAGCGCCTTCAACCGTTCAAAGTTCTTGTCGTTCACGATATGCGTCATCTCCGACGTCTTGCCCTTCTTGAACTCATTGAAGTAGAAGGTCATCCGCTCGATGAGCTTCTTCTCGACATCCGGATGCGCAAAGACATGGTTAACAGTCAGACAAATCTGTCCCGAGTTCAAAAACTTCGCCCAGGCGATCTGCCGAGCAGCTGTCTCAACATCGGCCGTCTTGGTGACGATGGCCGGACACTGGCCTCCGAGCTCCAGTACCGTGGGCGTCAGGTTCTTCGCAGCCGCGGCAGCCACATACCGCGCAACATTTACCGACCCCGTGAAGAAGATATGATCCCATTTGCGCGCAATCAGGCTCCCGGTCTCTGCCGGGCCGCCGGTGACAATGCGGATGGCGCTGGGATCCATGTACTTCGGGATGAGGTCCACCAGGAGCGCCTGGGCCGCCTGGGTGACCTCGGACGGCTTCAGCATGACGGCACAGCCGGCAGTGATGGCCGCGATCATAGGCTGCAGCACGAGCGAGATGGGAAAGTTCCAGGGCCCGATGATGAGCGCGACGCCTAGAGGCTCCGGACGGATAGTTGGGCGCAACACGGCCTTCATAGCCAGGGGCGTGTCGGTCGGCCGTTCGGCGGTCCATTTGTCGATATTTTTGAGATGCTCGACGATGTCGGTTTTGATGGTCATCGACTCGGTAAAGGTCGTCTCGAAGACGGGCTTGTTCATGTCCTTGTGCAGCGCCTCGACAATCCGCTGCTCGTTCTCCTCGATCATCCACCAGACCTGCTTCAGCTGCCATTTTCTCCAGGCGATCTCCTTGGTCTTGCCCGACCGGAAGGTTGCCTGCAGGGTGTTGTAGGCGGCCTCGACCTCGGCCTCAGGGGTGTACTCGGCCATTTTTAATAACTGCTGGGATGTTGCTGCTTATATCACTAACTAGGATTGATGGAAAATGGCAGATGAGGTCGAGAAGAGAAGCAGGACGACCAGAGGAACAAAATGTCATCTATCCAGCTGCACGAACCTTCATTTCCGAGCTTGCGGAGATTCATGTGCCTCAGTCTGGACCCCGCAGGACTCGTGGCGATCAAGCCAGTCGACCGCCTTCCTCCCGGCTATCTGCTAGTGGTTCAGCAGTGAATGAGCCAAGGGATTGTTGGTGACACCGCCGGGCCGAGTCGCCTCGGTTGTGCTGCCACAGCACGGTGGAGTCGTAGTGCTGCATTATCATGAGCATTAGAAGGGGGACGTCCGTAAGGTGCTTCTTAAAGTGCAATGGAACAAACAAGTAGAGTATATTATATGCCAATGTCCTGGTCCTTACTGCCTCGTCAAAACAAACAATGTGGTGCATGGAAACACGCCCCAATGCCCCTGTGCAGCCAGGATATTATGCAGAATCCAGCATGGTGGTCTGCCCAAGGTCCGTGCACTTCGATCTCCTATACAGTCATCTTAGCTGAGCAGATCTTGCAGTGACGTGCGCCCGTGGTGTTTTCTCATACACTTCAAGCTTGTGAAGTCCTGTGCAGGTTAAGATTACCAAGCGCTGTCATTCACAGAGACGCGCCTCGCCACCGACCTATGATGAAACCCCCTGGACATCTTTTCAGTCAATAGAGATGTCTGAGTCCTTTGGTTATTTTTCCCTCCGTCATATACATCAACGATGGTAGAAAGCCTGCTGTCTTGGTCACTGACTGACAAACGGCTAGCAAACCCTCCAATAACTTCATCAACCACCATCTACAAAATTGTCTGCAGGTTTCAAGGAGGTACGTACTCCACATCGGCGAGTTGACATTGTTATTAAGTGTTGCGACCTGATTCAAGATCAAGTTCGACTCTAGCACCTGCGGATGAAAACCCCCCAATAGTAGACACCAACATGTCTTCACGGAGATCGCAAGACAGTACCAGTATACACTACGTCGGGTTGCGCCGACCTGCACAGGGGCAAGTTGTCATGCAATCGGGGAAGATCTGAAGTCGTGTAAGGATTTTTCACATTCGCGGATCGAAGAGTACAGATCGCGCATTGTCTCATCATTCTGTAGGTGGCCCTTTTGATCCAATAGCGACATATGGTATCAATTAAATACTTGCTAGTAGGTGCTGATCTAGCTCCTTCAGAAGCCGTCCGGAGGCCAAAGGTGCTCATTGCCACATGGCAGCAGACGACACGTTGGCCCCGTGCAATATCTTGGAAGTGGCTTATGGCCATCTTAGATCCATGGTTTTGTTTTCCGTTAGCATGTCTCTCTCCAGACTAGTGGAAAAGTGCGTCCCACTCTCAATTGGTATCAACTAGCATTGATGTTCAACGCAGTCATACAATAGGACGTATCAGAAGCCCTACTTTGTCTATGGCATATTGCTGTTTCGTAGAGCTGCAACCGATGGGCCACTAGTGTATCCACAAAAAGTGTGAATGTATGATCCATGGACTCCAGGACTACATCAAGGTTCACTCCATCCTGGCCATCAGAAAGTCTGACATTCATCGCAGTCGTCACGGCCGCCATGATTGAGCGGTTTGATGGAATCCCCACATATTCATTCGAACTGGGTGGCAGGCAATATCCAGTTCCTCCAGGTCAGAGTAAGTATATGTCGCATCCAGACCGTCCATTGATGTCTTTCCTGGAAAGTATACTGTAGGATTATATATGAAGAACTCCAGTACTTTCGAACAAACTTTGATAGACCAAACATTCCGTCTGTCAATTGTCGTCACGACCATCAGCATTCCGAGGATCAAGTCCAGGCTAGCATTTGGTCTACAGTGCTGGACACAAGCGTTATATCCAGTACGGCAGATATGTTTAATGTACGACATCAGTAGGACCCTGCTGGGAGATTGATACCACTCATACGAGGAATATGATGGAATGTTGGCACAAAACACTCGGTTCCTGTCTTCATCTCCTCCACTCTTGCAAAGTTTATCCCAACCTATTATGCCAATGGTATATCAGCAGTTCCCATGGCCAAGAATCTACTTTCAAGATTTTCATTGTGATCCCCGAAACCTAAACCGGCCAAAGTACCATGGCTAGAACATTGATCTGGTAAGTATAGACAACTCCCTCGGAGCTACATCGGTATGGCCGGCGGAATGCTTACTACACGAGCCTGTGGCAGCGCCTGACCGAGTCGCCTCTGACTTCATTATCGGGAACAACAGCACAAGTCCACCGTTTCTGAGATCAGGCCTAGCTCGATTTGCGACAGACTGACGTGGGAATACGCCAGCCACGTCACATGGGCGAAGGCGCAAGGGGCGGAAGCCTCATATATAAGATGGCCGCTGCAGGTGCCTCTGGATGCTGCATGTCATAGAACAAAAATCAGACCAGCAAGTTTCTATCGAACATGCCAGCAACGAACGAGAACTCGAGCCTTAAGCTCCTCCAACAGGATCTATACCAGAGACACTACGATGACTCGGCGCGTACTGAGTCTCTGGAAAGGTCCTATTTGCGTGCCAGGCAACTGGCACGGCATCATGGTAAGATGCCGTCTCCGATCTGGACGCCTCGGCTAACATCAACTAGCCCTCACCTTGGATGATGTCCTCTCCCTGACTCCAAAGTTTTGGGATGCGCACATGGACGGAATCATCGTCCGAGACGTCACCGCGCAGATTCTGTGGTCCATTCAGTTCAACTTGGTCGCGGGAACCGTAGCCCCCTTCGCTCTTCAGCGGCCTGACCTGCACCCCTTCATGGAAAAGCTACTTAATTTTGATATCACGTATGTCTACAGTCCTGTGGCCAAAGTGCAATACTGATACATACCCTACAGGACTCCATTCATGCTCAATGAGCTTGACCATGGGTGCGATGCAAAGAACCTGGAGACCACCGCGACATGGCAGCCCGATGGTAGCTTCATGGTACACAGCCCTTCCCCGGGAGCAGCCAAGTACGTCTCGCCGCACAACTAATACCAAGGCCAAAGACTGACAAGGCAGGTTCATGCCTCCTTCCATGCCCGTCGCCGGCATCCCTCGTGTTGCGGTAGTGTTCTGTCGTCTTATGGTCGAGGGAGACGATAGAGGAATTCGTCCGTTCCTTGTTCCCTTGAACGACGGGAGACAGATGTGCACCGGGGTCATGTCCCAGTAAGTCACTCAGAGCTTGCAGACCACACCCAGCTAACCAGCTAGGATGCTTCCTCCTATCGCGAGTGGCCGCGTCTTGGATCACGCCCTCACCTCGTTCAACCAAGTACAGGTTCCATCAACCGCCCTGTTGGGAGAGCTGGAGAAACCCGACAACATGCGCGACAGGTTCCTCTCAGCAATCCAGCGGGTCGGCTTCGGCACCCTGGCCCTGAGCTTGTGGACCATCCCTTTCATGAAATGTGCCACGTACTTGGGAGGCAAGTACAGTCTGCGGCGTATGGTCGTAGGCTCGGATGGCAAGCCGATGCCCATCATTTCGTTCCGCACCCAGCAAGTGCCTATCCTGCATTCGTTGGCGCAGGTCACGATCATGATGCCTTTCGCCAACTGGATCACTTCGCACTTCAGCGATACGTCTCTTGATTTTAGGGTCCGACATGGGTTGGGAGTCATCCTGAAGGCAACGTTCCTTCAGTTCGGACAAGGCAGTATTGCGGGGATTCTTGAGCGCTGTGGTGCTCAGGGAGTCTTTATTCACAACCAGCTAGTTGAGCTTGAGGTGAGATGGTTCCTTATATATTCCTGGTGCTTCCACTGATTACGGACAGGCTCTAACCCGAGGAAATGGTATCGCAGAAGGCGATTGTCTGGTTCTGTGCATTCGTACGTTCCCTGACGATATTCTCATACAATCTTCCTTCAACAACCCCCCTTCAGTATACTCACAAGTTACAGGCCTCGCAACGGAACTCCTCATCGGCCGATACGCCGTACCAAAGCCCGCACGCCCGGACTCTCTCCTAGCTCAACATGAAGCAGGCTACGTTCGGGAGCTACAGGCCGCACTCAAGAGTATCAAGAAGGCGCATCGTAGCGACGAATACAACAGCTTGATTATCCCCCGATGTCGCCCGTTGATCATTGCGATTGGCCACCGGATGGCGTACGAGGCCGCCTTGGATGCTGGCATTGACGCCGACCTCCTGGCGCTGGCCGAGGCAGGCATGGTCAACCAGGATCTCAGCTGGTACAGTGAGAACCTCGGCTTCAAGCGGTTCACCCAGTACCAGATGGAACGGCGTGCGATGGACCGCATCCTCCCGCGGCTGGACCAGTTGCTAGACGAGCTGGAGATTGGCCCTTACTGTGTCGCCCCATTCCAGACGGCCGAGCGGTTCGCGGCTTTTGTCCGGGCCGCGCCGGCATACACTGGGGAAGGAGTGGTGGATTTGAGCGAGGAAAAGGAGACTTTTGCTCCGGTTCAGGCGAGACTTTAGTGAGAATGGCCATGGTGGGATGCTGATAGACTGAATTGAGGTGATTTGCACATGCTTATGCGCGCGGTTACTTGAACATAGGGACTCCATAACTATATGTTTTTCAGTTACCTAAGAATATCTACTAGGTAGTCAGCATTGCATTAAAGGGGACAACACGCTCATTATCCACAGTGATCGGGCATCTGGTTTTCCGATTAAGTAATCCCACTTTGCTCTTCTCGAAACATCTTGAACGGGAGCGATGGAGTAGACGTGGCGGTGGAATAGACCCAGGGGGTCGAAACAAGTCCACATGGCGCTTCTGGCAGCCATTGAGGATTCTTGTTAAAAGGCTTATGAGCAAGTTGCTATTCTTGGCGAATCGTCCTCGCCCACATACGTATACTCCACGTACTTGTGTGTGCCGGCCCGTATCAGATAGACGCCTCCACATCAGCCCTAATCCAACAGCCGGGTCTTCCCAGCCAAGCTCACCGCGCCGGGCACTTTCCGTGGGCCTGAATGATAATGAACCGAACATGATTCGTCCCGCGGGACGATCCCTTCTGCTCTTTGCCATCGCAGCGGCGCAGCGGAGCAACGTACGCGGCGCCAAGACGCCGGCCAGCAGTCCAGAGCATACTGCGACGGCCTTGGGCCTCAAGATAGTGCAAAACCAGCATAGTTCAGCACGGGGTAGACCAAGGAGTGTCCACAGAAGCCGCTCAGCCTTAGGCGATTACGCATCTCCTATTCCGGGTCATTTTATTCAGGATACGCACGAGCAAAGACTCAGGAGCGATGACGCGGCAGAATCTCGGCAAGTCGACAGGTGCTGTCTATAAAGATGGGGCGCCGCGGCGACAATAGCAGGTAGTTGTTCATCAGTCCAAAGTCCAATATCAAACTCCTGCAAGATGCATTTCTCCAAGCTCGTTGCTCTGACGGCCGCCACCTTGGCCCTCGCCCACCCCGGCGAGAAGCATGACCCGCAAGCCGTCCGGCGCGAAATCCATGCTCGCGACATCATGGCGAACCAGGCTAAGCGCTCTCTTGATGCTTGCGCCAGTACCGAGCATGCGAGACAGCTGCAGCAGCGTAACGTTGCCCGTCGTGCTCGCACTGCGCGCGAGCTGCGCAAGGCCCGCGGCATCACGGCCAGTATGATTACCTCAACCCCTCGCAACCGCTATACCTGTCTAACCTAACGATAAAATAGACTCCCAGAAGTGGCGTCGCGACCTGGCTGCTCTGGAGAAATGGGAAGCAATCGACCACAACCGCACCGACATCCTCGACTACTCGCCCAACACTCCCGAGTCGGTCATCTTTGGCGGCAACACCAGTGCCATCCTGACCCCCACCATCACCGACGGACCGTACTACATCTGGGGTGAGGTCATCCGCCAGAATGTGAAGGAGGATAAATACTCGGACGGTGTGGATATGACCATCGAAGTCCAGTACATCGATGTCAACACCTGCCGTCCTGTCGAAGGCGCCTTGGTGGACATCTGGCAGGCCAACGCCACTGGCGTGTACAGGTGAGACTCACCAGTCATTGCATGTAGAATCGCAACTAACAAGCTTCCTACAGCGGTATCTCGACCTCTGGCAACTACGCCGCCGACGGCTGGGACTCGACCTACCTGCGCGGCATCCAGTACACCGACGAAGACGGCGTGGTCACCTTCGACACCATTTTCCCCGGCCACTACGACGGACGCGCTACCCACACCCATCTCCTGACCCACTTGAACGCTACCGTCAACGAGAACAACGGCACCTTGGTCGTGGGTACCGGCAGCGTCGCCCATATCGGACAGCTGTTCTGGAACGAGGTGCTTCGCTCTGCCGTGGAGGACACCTACCCGTACAACACCAACACGAAGGATGTCACCTCCAACGCCGAAGACATGTGGAGTATCCAGCAGGCGTCCAGTGCCTACGACCCCTTCCCGGAATACCTGTATCTCGGCAACGGGCTGGACGACGGATTGTTTGCGTGGATCCAGATCGGCATCAACACTACTGCGGACTACACCGACAACTCTTACTACAACATTGCTGGTTACTATGACGAGAATGGTGGACATCAGAACACCGAGAGCGCGGCGTTTGGTGGTGGCTCTGGCGGGGATTCGAATGGCACTATGCCCTCTGGTGCTGCGCCGTCGGGAGCTGCGCCGTCGGGTACTGCTGCGCCCAGTGCTTGATCTCACTAATAGTGAGCTCGCTGATTGTATCGAATATTGTTTCTGTACTCTATAGACTGTGTCTAGATTGTTGTTGCAATAGAATCATCTTGCATAAGTGCATATCCACCTCCCATTGATCTACATGCTTGTACTATCCACGGGCAGCCTGCCACGGCGGTAGCCAAGGATTCATGGCTTCTAAAACCGCTGCCCAGCGCTTTCTTCTCTTAACAGCTGATTGCTAGCAAGGCAACAGCCGCATAACATTATTTGAGTCCCTCCGGCAGCTGCCGTAGTGCAAGGCAGAATCACACGCAACAGAAACTTTGAGGCGTTCATGATAGTGCCAAAACATGAGCTTGGCTAGTACTAAAGAGGGCAATCTAAGGCACGGACTGCCCTCAATACGAGGTACGTCACGAATCATGTCGATCCAGCTCGGGTTGAGCCGCAAGATGTGCGGTACGAGCCCTGCCTGCTGGACAACATCCCATGAGAATACGAGCCCGCAATCCGCACCATTCCACGCATGGCTAGCTACCTGGGTAGTGGAGGGTGCGCAAAGGAGGACTACCTGCTGGCTGGCTCGTTTTGCTATCCGAGCACGCCACGAAACACCAAATACGATGCCTTAGGCCTTCATTCCCATTCTCGGCTTTAGCCTGGAAGAGGGTCATAAATCACACCGCAACCTTCGTCCAACGTACATATTCACTGCTCTCCGTATCTCACGCAGGATATCCCACACCTTGACAAACCCTCCCATATTGACCTACCACAGCTCACAGCACAATGTGGTCCAGCCTGGGGACCGCCGTTCTGCTCCTCCTCGTCTCCTCCGTCGTGGCCGAAGATTCGCAGCGACTCACGCCCATTCCAGCAGGGCCTCCAATCCGAAACGAACAGCCCAGCACGGCACAAAACGACAGCCTGGTTATTCGTCGCGACGCAAAACTCGAGCTCGATGAGCTCTTCGGCCGGGACTTGTCGAAGAGAAATAATTGCCCCTACGGCTGCAGCATTTGCTGCCAGGACGGGACCTGCGTCAGTTCTCTGAGCGACGTCTGCTGCGGCGGATACTACTGCTATTCGGGGAACACTTGTAGCAACGACGGGGGGTGCTGCTCTCCCGGCACTAAACCGTGTCACAATGGGTGCATTCCCGACGGGGGCGAATGCTGTCGGAGCGGCGGGTACTGCGATCCGGGGCGTTACTGCTACCTAGTCGATAGTGTGCCGAAATGCTGCCCTGCCGGAGGCTGTTTGGGGGGCGGTGGTGGCGGTGGTGTCGACTATACGTATACGTATACGTCGACGGACTACTCGACATCGACGAACTATTACACCACGACATATGCTACTATCTGGGAATATTACTCTTGGACTGTTACATGGTAGGTTGTTTGGCTTCCCTGATGAGATCCCAGCTGACGGATAAGGTCTTATTGGGTCACGTTCTACACATACTATACCCCGTCGTCGACGAATATCCTGACTTCTACAACCACCATCACAACCACCATCGTCAGTGTCAGGGCTACCAACAGCGCCGATGCGTCTTCGTCGTTCGAAGACATGTCTGCGACATTGACGTACTCTATCCCGGCTACTGCCACCAATCCGCCAACCCCAACGCAGACGAGCGAGTCTGCGACTGGGTCTGAGTCTGGGTCTGGGTTTGGGTCAGATGGAGGCAGTGGGAATGCCAACATCGGGGGAGGTTCCAGCTCAGGAGGCAGCCTGAATGCTGGCGACGCTCCTGGCGGCGCTGGTTCACTACGACCGCTCTTTGTAGCCTCTTGGTATGACATGATTCTGATCTGTGGGCTGATGCTGCCGGCTATCCTGGCGGTTTATTTGTAATGAAGGCGGGATGAGTTTCATCCATAGCTAAGCTGTTATTAAGTGGACTCGAGATGACCCCTAATTATAATGATATATTCTATTTCAGTACGTATGTGTATTTCTCCTCAAGTCTACTCAAGCTGCTTCTAGTTCGCCCGGTCCATTCAAGTAGTACAAACGTATATGGATGGTTTTGCCTCTAGTGATTTCCCAATAACTGGAATAGTGACAACGTCTGTTCAGCCTGAATCAGGAGTCAGACACCAGTGTAATCAGCACACCAGTCCTCAGCCTGGCCCAGAATGGAAGTCTAGGTTCGTCGGTGCGCCAACAAGACCGACTTCTCCTGAGATCTCGTGAGACAATTCGACTTCTAGTTCTGTTCACTTCAGGATTATCTCCAATGAATCTACCCCGTGCAACACGAGTCAGTCAGATATTGATCCCTTATCCTGGGTATGATCGAAAGTCAAACGCCTCTCAGATAACTCTAAGCTTCGTATTGAAGCCGATCACTGTCTTTACTGTGTGTACTCCCACTCTGGTATTCTGTGTAGTCTAAGTCCAAGAACAAACTTCGAGTGATAACAGGTAGAAGTCTACATCAGGGCAATTAATCTCCTATCCCTAGATAGAGCCTAGGAGCTACTTTGCTCAGTATCTACCTGGGTCTATGAGAACCAGAAGGCCAGAGCCCAGAGACAAGTCTGCAGATTTCATTCAGTTATAACAATGACCATCCAGTCTATATGTTGATGTTCACTCCAACACGTGCATGCACCCTAAACAGTACTCCGTTTTTCAGTTACAAAGGACGAACTTGCTTTTCTCCATGCCCTAATCACAAACTTTTACAGCTTCCCAAGAGTGTTTCCCAGCTCTGCCGCGCGAGACGTGGCCGCCTTGACGGCCTTGTCCACGATCTCGTCGAACTTAAGCCCCTCGAACGTCTGCAGCGCCGCATGGGTGGTGCCATTCGGGCTGGTAACATTCTTGCGCAGCTGGGAAGGGCTATCCTCCGACTCGACCAGCATCTTCCCGGCTCCAAGACAAGTCTGCGCCGCCAGTCTCGTAGCCTGCTCCTGGGAGAGCCCCAGGCCCATTGCCGACGCGACCAAGTGCTCGACCATGGCGAAGAAGTACGCGGGGCCGGATCCTGCTCAACATTAACACCAGTTCTATCGCATACATCTACTCAACAGCGCAACTCACCCGACAAACCCGTCACAACATCCAGCAGCTCCTCCCGATCCACCCACTCGGTCGCCTTGCTAACCGTCGCAAGCAGCGCATTGATCAGCTCCTTCTCCTCGGCCGTGACATCCGCGCTGGCAAGCGCACCCGACGCGCCCTCCTTCACGAGCGCCGGCGTGTTGGGCATAACGCGCACCACATGCGCCGGGCGTCCGTCGCCCGTCTGCAGCCACTCCTTCAGGCTGCCCAGGGTGATGCCGGCCGCGATGCTGACCACTACGGGCAGGGTCGTGCGCTGCGACCAGGCGGCCGCGAGGTCTTGGCAGACCGCCTTGGTGACCTGCGGCTTAACGGCGATGACGACCACGTCGGCGGCGGCGGCGGCCTCGCCGTTGTCGGTCGTCGTCTGCACGCCCAGGGCGGCGACCTTCTCCCGGTTGGGGGCCCAAGGCTCGGAGACGATGATGTTGGCGGGGTTAATGTCCTGGCTCACGAGGCCGCCGATGATGGCGGAGGCCATGTTACCTCCGCCGATGAAGGCGAGTCTGCTCTGCTGGAGGGAGGGCATTGTGATGGGTGGGTTGGAGAGTGCAATCGAGGGTAGGGGTAGTAGGAGTAGGAGTAGTAAAAGTAGGAGTAGTAGAAGGGAATGGATGCGGGGTGTTCCGCAGATGCCCCGCGTTGTATCGATATCGGAGAGGAGATGGTCCGATTGCGTCCGAGATGCATAACAAGCGAGCGCTGTCGGAATCACGTAATCCAGCATAGATGTGTACATCAAGACAACATTAGCGTATAGATTGCAAGTGCTTGACAGAATAGCATCACTTCAAGTGAATGGTGATTCAAGAGTATAGTCAGATTCTTACAATTATCATAGCGGAACTATCCTAAGCCCATATAAACTAGAGTACATAGCTGCGATTCACAGTCATTAGTAGTATATATCCTGCACCTATACATTCTCCCTCGCTTTTTCATCTTCGCTTCCCACCATTCGCCCAAATCTTCGTCTCAAAAGTCTGCAAATGATCTACCGCAAACGGCGATACAAATCGCGGTGTCGTATGGGTATACTCGGACACGGGCTGACCACTCGCGATAGACACATTATCCGACGATACATCGGACGACACCGCCGTATCCCTGTTCGAACCGACATGGCTCCAGCTGTCCGCCGAGACATGCGTCCTTCCCGCGGCAGAACTCGGTGAGGATTGCGTGAGACCCGGCACAGACCGATCAGGACTGTCCTCCTGTTCTGGCATGGAGGACGCAGTCTCGGCGGCGGACGCGCTGTCAGGGTCTGGCGTCGCAGGGGCCGCTTTGCTCTCCGGGTGTGGGGCATTGAGAAACTCCTGATCTTCAGGGATGTAACACCGCGCTATGAGATCGTTTTGGACGCAGAGAATCTTGCTGACGGCGCGGATAAAGGCGAACTTGAATTGAATCGACATGTCCGGGTGGAGAGATATCGTCTCGAGGAGCATCTGTTTCAGATACCCGATGCAGGCGTTCATGTGGACGTACTCAATTGTCAATGGGTGCATGAGGATCTTGCCAGTGTGCATTCTCCTGTACTGCATGAGTCGATATCCAGACAGGGAAAGATGCAGACTCACCCCACTTTGTCTAGATATTCCCAGTATTCGAGCTGGCTGGGGTCTGAGCAGAACCGCGTTAGGTACCATTTCCAGAAGATCTTCCTGCGCTGGACCTGCGGACTGTCGATGGTGAAGAGGTCATCGACAGGGCTATCGGACATTGTAGTTCGCGTCCGAAGTGCACGCGCTGTGATGTCGAACTCCAGCATTCTTTCGTAGAGTCGATGCGCAAGGGTTGGGATGGCGGCTTTGATATATTTTGCGCCTTTATTGAATGTGATGGCGTCGTCTGCGGCAGGCCATAAGCTAAGAGGGACCTCTGTATCTGTCTGCTCTGCGTACCGTCCGTGAAGCCGACAAAGGCTTTGATGTATTCCATACGCTTCCCGAAACTGGTGTACAGTTCCTTCCGCGTCACTTGTCTAATGCTCTGGCGCTGGGAATCCATCTCTGCGGGCGTCAGCGCTAGTTCAAGCTTCAATGATGTCTGCAGCAGTAGCGTCAGGGGCAGCTGGGAAGACCAAGTAGTTATATTTCGTGCTCAGCTCGAGGTGGGTCTCAGATCTGTGAACATGGAGGCTACAGCTTCTTCGACTTCTACCTCAGCGGCAAGTGTGGCATGATTGATGGGGCGTTTGTATCTAATCTTACTCGATATACAGCACGGCCGTCAGCAAGAACGTCTGGAACAATAACCGAAGTTCGACATCACGGGGTGCAGAGCATACTGCAGGATATTATGCAAGCATAGGACTCGGGCTAGAATCTAGCCTCATCGGCTACAATCGGAACCAACAGCACAAAACAAACCGTGACACGCTGTGCTGACGGACCTCTACCCAAACCTACAAACTGCACACAACCCCCCTGCCAACGTTGGTCGATGACCGGAAGATTATCAATCAAATCTGACGCCCATGCGTCGACTAGTGGCTCGACAAGTGGATCCGCTGTCAAGTCCACTGCACACGTTGCTTGCGACTCATTCATAGGGCTGCGGCCTGAGGATGTGCGCAGAGGAGTGACCAAGCAGCAATAGGATTGCAGTGGAGTGACGCTCTGTTCATGGCAAACAAACTGCCAGTAAATGCCCCATTGGGAGCAATCAATCATGTGTGCAATATAACGCTGCCATGTTAGACTAACTGTGAACTTTTCAGGAGCAGCATTCCAATGATTTTTGGTCAAGCAGGAGAAATGCCATCTCCTTTTCTTCTCGGTTCATGCCCTGGCTCGATGTATGTATGTACTGCGAGATCTCCCGGGAAGACTACGCTCTCCGGATGAACGGAGATCCTTTGATCGACCTTAGCATGCAGCGTGCATCGGGCCGAAACGCCGGTCGATCAATCGGGAAAAATTGCGATCAGCCGTTCTGTAACTGTCAGTGTTTCAGAACCGGCCAGAAGCAGACCGATATGCACAGTGCTCTATATATCACGTAGTATTGTCGAAAACGCAAGGATCGTGTCTAGGCAGTCACTTATGAGGGAATATATGTACGTTCAAAGTGAAATAGACATCGCGAGACGTTGAGTCACCGCAGGGAGATACTGTACACCCAAGTAACAAATGCGTCTGGAATGATGATGTTGGATCACCCATTTCACACAATAAAGCCCTTGGCTCTTTACTTCCCCCAAACCGCCGGCCCAGGCGGCGTATACTCGGTAGGCACCGGGTAATAGATATCAATCAAGATCCCCGGATCAGTCGGCGAGTACGCCCCCGGGAACGCCACCAAAGGCCCAGGCGTCCCATCCCCACCCCCGGTCACCGTGACCTGGCCACAGGAGATATAAAACTGCGCGCCTCCCTCGGTGTTCGCCGAGTGCAAGCCAATATGCTCCACACGCACGAGGTAGTCACCATCCGGCAGGGCAGCAGGGAGATCAAACGTGACCTGCGTCGCGCCTACACACCATCAGTCAAACACTACAGTACATCACACCACATTATATCGGGGAAGGTGTCGGCGCGGCATACCCTCCGTCGGCCATGTGAGCCCGTCCGCGTTGAATTTCGGCCCGTCCTCATAGATCTTGAACCACGACTCTCCAGAACCGTCAAACGCCGCGGCCGTCGTGGGCGCCTTGGCCATGTACACGAGGAGCGGGCCGGGGTGGCCGATCTCGGTTTTCACGGTGAAGCCGATGGTCGAGCCGGCGGCGACGCCGAGGGTGCTGGTGTTGTTGCCGGTGGTGGCGTCGACGTTGCAGCGGATGTCGAGGGAGTCGACGTCGGTGACGGGGCTGTTCGTGTAGGAGCCTGTCCATTGGCGAACGTACTTCCAGTCGGGTGTTGCCTCGCCGTCTTTGATCAGGGCGGGGAAGACGTCTGAGAAGGTCAGCTGGATGAACTGGTACGTATATGGTGCAGACAGGGCGTACAGTGTGCGTAGGAGGTTGCAGCCAGCATGGCTGAGCCCAACAGATAGGAGCCTTTCATGTTGTGGCGGTTTGGTCAAGGACTAAGATAGAATTTTGGAAGATGATACGGACGCTGCATTGAGACTTCCTACGTTGCTACGTGGGAGCTTTATAAAATATCTTTGACGTGCTGGTGACCGTTTAGGGCGACGGGCGATGCTCCGACGTATAAATTTCGATCGTCGAGATGATGAGGAAGGATGTTTTATGTTCTACAAGGGTGTTTAGCCATCCAATGGGTCGTCCAACTACTGCCTGAGATGCAGATCTCAATGCAGGGTCCACGGTATACAGGCTAAATGTGTTAGATTGAGGGTTTCCAAGAGGCTATATGAACGTCTTTGAATGTTCGCCTGGTTCGTACGGGGTTGGTGATAATTCTAGAAACATTGCGTGTTTCGTTCATGTTAGATTGATATAGTAAGGTATAATTTAGATGTTGAGTGTAAAAGCTTCATTGAGAAACATGTATTTCCTTCCTACCCTGTCTATTGGCACAGATGCATCATGTGGAAGCGGAAGAGTCGAAGAAAACGAGCTTCAAGTCGGATAGCAAAATCCACTGTATAAAAAATCCCAACTGAATCCGAATCCACATTTTAACTGAGAAAATCATTACTTGTAACTCGCCGAGCCAAAATTGGAGGATTGAACACCTCTGGTTCCATACAGCGAGCCCAGGATTGAAGAGAGACTGGAGGCTAACCAGGTAAGAAAGCGTTCTCTAGAAGGCTTCGTGCTAATCCTGGGCGGATCTTTGAAGATATTCGAAGATGCCGAAGCATATGGAGGCAGTAATAGAAGCGAAGGTTGGTATACGGAATAATAGGCGTGAATTTGTTTACGATCACGTCTTGTACAGAAAAAAGCCTCGTCTTATAGTCAGTTCTAGTTAAGTACTCTATATTCAGCTGGCTTGGAGATATATACTTTTACATGGTAGATTGATGGTTTGTATAGCCATGCTATATTTCCTAAGCTACGAGCGTCCATGCATGATCCTGCAAGTTTGTTAACAAAACAGCCAGTGTTGTGTGATGTATCCTCTAGTCCAGCGCAGGACCTCAGCCATGAAAGTAGATATTGACAACTCCCGCATTATCCCGTATCTTGTTCATGCGCCCGTGGTTTTTCGCTTGTGGTCTGGCATGCCTTGATGACTTGACTGGAAGTAAATATGACCCTAGTGTACGTTCGATTTTCTAGTCGTTTGAGCTACATATACAGCGCACTGGTTGGGTTTAGTTTTATACTACTTCCATAGGATCTACACGTGAGAATTCACATGAGCTGGTTAGCAAGCTATTGTACGCGTTTGACTATAATGTGAGTGGACTGGAAGGTATCTTAGTAGAGCAGTCTTTCTGGGAGACATATAGAAACGGTGGCTGGTCGTGGGGGTCTCAGGTGAAATTCTCTCTATCTGTATTTCCCATAGTGTCCTCGTAATTTGCGTGCTTGATGATACTATCTTTCCAGCAGCTCTCTGATAGCATAATGAATCTAACCGGGCAATCGAAGAGTGTCCGAGACGCATGGAGATTGCAAATTGGACCAAGGGGTTGTGAAGAATGCTGCTCTGAAAGAGTGTCCTCATAGGCTGACCGTCAAACAGCTCCATGAAGAACCGTATAGAATGCCGGTCGACCCATACCACCTAGACAGCGCTGATCTGCTCATAGCAAGGCCGTCATCATCTTATCCAGATACTACACCAACGGCATTAACAACCACACGAAGTGCCGGTTGACTGACACCTGTGTCAAGATACGACATGCAGCCAGACAAACCACCCCATAGAGACCACATCATCCGGCACCACACGGAGACACTACACGATAACCGTCGTGGGGCTGTCTGGCTGATCCCGGGGGTGTGTCGGATTGCCCTCCGAGTGCATAGGTGTTCACAGCTGTTCTGTCTCGGTCAGACAACTAACGCTACGTTAATAGATTAGACACGGTGGACCGGTAAAAGGGAGCGACGGATCAGCCGAGATGCGCAATGCAATGTGGAGGTTGATGGAGTGTCTGTGGGGAACAGCTAGAGAACAAGGTTGAATGCTGGGGATCTCCATTATCGACCAGACGATGATCTGGGGCTGGATGGGTAAATGGTCCGGCTGGAATGCAGTATGCGAGGAGGACAGTACAGAGTAGGCGTAGTATTAAGGGATAGGTAGGTGGCCGGATACTCTGCGATGTATATGCTTGTCTGGATTGTCGTATTCTGGAAGCATAGATGCAGAACCGATATTAATAGCACCGTCGACAACCAGTACATCACGATAAGTCCTGGAATATAGTATATCGGCAATACGACCCTCCCCCTTTGCCGTCTGGGGCCCTCCCACACAAAGACACCAGACGGCTCCACCGCACACGGCCCAGCACGAGGGCGGCCGGCGCGGTGGCCGGCGCTCGGCAGATGCAGATGTTCAAACAGCCGATTAGTACGGGACAAGATTGCGTACTCGTATCCTATACCACTGCGAGAAATAATAATGTGAAACAAGTACTGGACTGTCAAACTGTAGATTTCAGTATCAGTATGAATGCCCCGCTGGGTTCTGGCCGGCGCAGTCGGATACCTCCCTACTCCCTCCTCCGTAACGACCGTTGAGAACTGGTCTAGGACCCCCTCTCCACGGCGGTTGGAATGGAGGCTTACACGGTGCACGGTGGAGAAGTTGGATGCTAGCTCGCTGCCGTCATTTCCGGATGATGGGCGATTATATCTAGACATAGGCCCAGCCTACTCTCTATCTTACTACAACTACGACTATACTACTATCTGACGGCTGGAGCAGAAATTGTCAGTGGCAAATGTTATAAACCCGTCCGTCCGCACCGTCAACTGTCACGCAGAATTCATCTTCATTTGCATTCTTTGGCGAGCTTCTCAACGGCAATCGCGTGTGATCCAGGTTGGTGATTGTCACACATTGATATTGATATGGCTGCACACGCAAACACGCCCCTTGAGGTGGTGGTCGTCGGGTAAGTGCAACACCAGCTACACTCTGTCAAGATAAATCTAACATCCATAGTGCCGGTATGCATCATTAACCTCCATGATCCTATCTAATTATTAACATGGCCAACAGGCATCGGTGGCGTGGCCGCCGCCCTCACCCTGGGCCTCCGCGGACACCATGTCACCATCCTCGAATCCGCCCCAAAGGTATGCTATACGCTTCCATTCTCCCTCGCAATCACTCCAATCTAACGACCACCCAGCTCCTGGAAGTCGGCGCTGGCATCCAAGTTTCCCCCAATATGCTGCGACTCTTTGACCGTAAGCTCCAACCCCACCCCGTTCCTCAGACCCCAAACTTACCCCCCTCCCAGGCTGGGGCGTCTCGCCCTCCATCCACGCCCAAGACGTCGCCCTCGAGCACATCCACGTGCGCCGCTGGCAAGACGGCAGTCTGCTGGGCACGATGCCCGTGAACAAGACCTACGGCCAGCAGGTCGTGATCCACCGGGCAGACCTGCACAACGCGCTGCTCGACAAGGCGCTGGCGCTGCCAAACGTGACCCTGCGCACCAACGCGCACGTCACCGACGTCTCCTTCGACCCGGCGGCCGTCACGCTCGCCGACGGCACCACCGTGCGCGGCGACGTCGTCATCGCCGCCGACGGCATCAAATCCACCCTGCGCGCCCGCCTCCTCGGCCCCAGCGAGCCCTCCACCGCCGTGCCCACCGGCGACGCCGCCTACCGCATCATGCTGCCGCGCAGCGCCATGGCCCACGACCCGGCGCTCCGCGCCCTCGTCGACGAGCCCCAGGCTACGCGCTGGCTCGGCCCCTCCCGCCACATCATCGCCTACCCCGTGCGCAACCACCAGCTCTTCAACGTCGTCCTGCTGCACCCGGACCGCCACGGCGTCCAGGAGTCCTGGACCACCCGCGGCTCCAAGCAGGCCATGGTCGATGACTACCGCGGCTGGGACCCCACCGTCACCAAGCTGATCGACCTCGTCGCCGACGACGAGGTGCTCGAGTGGAAGCTGTGTCTGCATGCGCCGCTGAACACCTGGGTGCGGGGGTGTGTGGCGCTCCTCGGCGACGCGTGCCATCCCATGCTGTAAGACACCCCACACCGTCTCCGACGATTGCGTATAAATGCTAATGTAGATGGACAGGCCGTACGTCGCGCAGGGCGCTGCGCAGGCCGTCGAAGACGCCGCCGCGCTGGGCGTGCTCCTCTCGCACATCCGGTCGCGGCGCGACATCCCGCTCGCACTGCGGGCGTACGAAAAGTCGCGCAAGCAGCGCGCCGAGACGGTGCAGCAGTCCGGGTCGACGAACCGGGTCACGCTGCATCTGCCGGACGGGCCGGAGCAGCAAGCGCGCGATGAGCAGTTCCGCGCGTCGATGAACGGCGGCAGCAACCCGGACAAATGGGCGGATCGCGCGACGCAGGATTTCCTGTGGGCGTGGGACGCGGAGAAGGTGGCGCTGGAGGCGTGGAATGGTGAGTTTCACTTTCTGTGTCGCTTGTTGTTGGATACTGGCTAATTGAGGTAGAACTGGTCAAGGGGGAGACGGAGGAAGTGCGGCATCGGTTGTAGATGGCGTTGTGTATATTGTTGTGTTTGTTTTCGAGCGTTCTTTGCATGTGTTGTATATACTAGGTAGGTACTATGTACAGGTGTCGGGTAGACTGTCTATATGATCGCTATCAGAGTTAGTGTGGCCTGCGCAGATGTAGATTTGTAAGAGTGGATGTATTCATCTAACCAATATTCAATAGTCGTATCTACATGCGAACCAAACGCCAATATGCATTGTGATCTACCAGACCACCTCCAGATGTCGAATAAGATAAACAGTCGTAGTCGTATAAACATAGGTCGCGTATAAACATCAATCAAGCCGTCGTTCGGAATCAGTCTGCAGAGTGAAGTGTACAAGGGCGTATAATGGTATGTCAGAACTGTATGTATCAGGTCAAGCCGTAAACATCAGGCGAAGTCGGCTAGAGCGTTTCGTCTTTTCTTTCGGCTTGTCCTCCTTTGATGAATGGCGCGACTCCGCCCGTGGCGGCGCATGCGACGGCACCCTCGACGGGGCCTTCGAAGCGCTCTTAGACGGAGCCCTCGACGGCGCCTGCGAGGGAGCCTTCGACCGACCGAAAAACGACCGCGTCGAGCGCGGCTCATCCACCCGGGTATGAGCCCGCGAGCTGCCCCTCGCCCGGGACCGCCGCGACCGCCGTGACGACGCCATCGAGCGATCGTCGTCAAACTTGAACCGCGGATCGCGGGTCATACGCGCCGTCGTCACATCAATCCCCGACATCGCCGCCGCCGTGGGCGTGATGAACTCGCCGTCGACCGACGTCCCGACGCTCTCCGCTTCGGCGTCGGCCACACCGCGCCGCCACATTTCCACGCCGCTGAGACAGTCAGGGTTGAACTCGATCATGTCATCCATGCTCATGGGCTGACCGCGCTGCGGAGGCTCCATGCTGTCGCCGCCGCCGCCGCCAGCGGACTGGATCTGCTTGATGATCTTGTACCCGCCGAACATGACGACGGTGACGCCGAGCCCGACGCCCGCGGCGATCAGGAACTGGGGACTGGCGAGGAGCGCCCAGACGGTGGGCGCAGCGGTCTTCAAGGCGGACAAGGCAGCTGGGGCCATCTTCGAGGCGAGGTTGCTGATCTCGGCGAGCGTGAGCGCGACCGCCGCCATCGCGTCCGGGTTCTTCTGGAGATGCGCGATGGTCGCGGTCGCCGAGTGCTGCACGCAGTGCGCCTCCTCCAGCAGCCACTGCGCCCGGTCGACCAGTCCATTCAGCTCGGGGTCGTCGAGCTTCTGCAGTTGGCCCGCGGGCGGGTGCGTTGGCTGGCGGGTGAGCACCGACGGGTGGAAGTCTCCGTACGCCAGATCCATGTCGATGTGTGCGTCCGACTTGGACCGGCTGGTTGCTGGTCGACCGTCGGGTTCGCGCACAGTGATATCGTGGTGCGTGTGGCGGCGGACCATATCGCTCGGGCGGCAGTAGTGGGAGTCCGGCCGCGAGACGACCGAGTGCAGGTCCTGCTCGTACTGCGAGGGTGGCCGGCCATGGCGATGGTGGTGGCTGCGGCTGGTGCGGTGGCTGCGATGGCTTCGCCGCGAGGGCGCGAGAGACGGTGAGTCATCGATGGTGTATGTCTGCAGAGCCCTCAGGGCTTGTTCCTCAGCGATTTTTGCATTCCGCTCCGACTGCAGCTGGGCTTTGCGCTCGCGATAGGCGTTCTTTGCTTGACTGAAGACGCCAAAGAGGTGTTTACTCTGTTCGATGGGGTCAGAACCGGCGGCGGTGATGATGTCGCGGTGGGGAGAGCCGACGTACCGTGCTCACGACTTTGCCGGACTTGTCAATCACGGCGATCGTCTCGCCCAGAGGGGCCATGATTAGACGCTCCCAGGCAGCTCACAGGGTGAAGGGGAATGCCGTTGGTGCAGCGCCCGTGGATATAGATCTTGCTCTGGCGGCATTCAAATCTCGACAGACGATAAGCAAGGGATCGTCTTAAAGATAACCAAAAGCCCAGACGAGCGGTGTAGAGCCGTGTATAAATATCGACGCTAAGTTGTCCGGGTGGAGAAAGGCCCCGGGGCCCGTCGACAGCACAGGTGGACAACTGTTCTAGACCGTAACCAGGAGGCACGAGATAGGCGTTGAAGTGGCTTTCCGTGGCTTAAAAGGCCGATCATCGACAGATGGCAAAGAGTCAGAAAGTTGGTGCCTGGATGGCAGAGTTTTCTCTTTCAGCTATGATGGGCGGAGTTTATATGTATACGATAGGGCGGGGGAGGTTCTCCGACAGGGCTTTGCAGGGAATCCCCGTAGCTCCACACCATCAACGATGGATAATATGACGAAACCGGATGCACGGACAAGACCAAGAGTGCACCACGAAAAGATGGTCAAAAAAAGGGGGCTGGGTGGACAGATAATCAGCGCGAGTCCGGCGCCTAATACGGCCCCAGCGGCGAACAGGAGAGCGATCCGACTCGGAAACCAAATAGACGGGTTGGGTTTCAGTGATGCTGAGCGACAAGGCAACAAGACTAGGCGTTTGAATGGCTATCAGCCCTGCAGGCGCTCCGTGAGAGGGTCGTTATTGGTAGATGAAGCCGTTGTGTGCTGGCTCAGTCGGGTACAAGGAATTGGGTAGAACTGCGCCTAGAGGACCTGACAAAGACGGTGATGAAAGGGAATATTGCGATGGGCGCATCCAGGCGATCCTTTGTCCTCTTTGTACATGTCGAAGGAGGACCGGATGTCCACCGGAAGACATCCATATCTTCGTATCAAACTGAAAGAAGCGGTGATGCGGCACCCGCTCATTGGTGGAGAGATGTCACCGCCACTGTGGCTGACACCGCCACATCTAGTATACAGTACAAAGTACCCAGCCAGTGCGATAGGTACTGTTGGAAAGGATTCCAGAATCTGTGCCATATGAAAGCATGTTGATAAGCGTAGCCGTTCCAGGCGTTTGCTTCGACCAGGACAGCCGCTCAACCGACCTTATCAACAGTCGCGTTTGGGCAACGACCAATGGCCCCTTCATGCAAGATCCCACCTCCGAGCAGAAGATCTCCGACGTGCTATAAATGTAGAGCCACCACCTCCGGGAACTTTCGATAGGTCAGCTTTTCCACGCCCGGGCTTTGAAAGATTCGCCGCCATGTCCCAATGCATCGCCCGCCTTCTGTGGGAGTCCAGGTGAGTACAAGTAGTGCGTGGGATGGTGCGTCCTAAACTTAATCAGAAACGAACAACCCACTAATCCTCGCGGTCCACTTACCAGATCAGGGGGATGTTGGAGTTATCCTCCGTCGCACCGTTCCCAAGGTGAGTCGACTTTCCTTGACTATTATGACCGGGAGATATGGACGTTGCACCGCCACAGGGCTGGGTTCTCGAGTACCAACGACAGGACCTGATGTATGGCAGACAGCAGACATGGGTAAGAGTCCCTGGGATGAGAACCGTCTGGTATGCACATAGACAACATTGTATGCGAGGAGATGGATGGTGACGGTGATGCTGACATAAGCACAGTCATGTCGTGATCGTCACGTGGAGGAAATGATGCTTGAACAGGAAAACATCCCAACTTCCAACGTCCAAAAGAACATTGACTGAGTCTTCTGCCATTGCGTCCTCGCAATGGATCACGCAGTCTCCCAAGAGTCCGACAGCACTTCGGAGATGGATGAACAGTCCAAAGCGTGGGAGTCCGATCCGCGCTCGCTCACAGCGCAACTCGCCCATGATGGCACCAGTCGCCCAGCCTCACAGATCGAATGTGGCATTGGCCATCGAGTACAGGCCAGTCGGTCCGTACTAGCCCTCGTCATTGACGACGAATGCGTTTTTGCGGGTCTACAGGGGGGAGACATTGTCGTACGTGGTGACCTCTGCTTGTTTGGACTTCATGACTCATCACGTGTAGGCCTGGTCCCTGGAAACATACGAACTGGTGCTGTCCGTCCATGCCCACCAGGAAAGTGTGCTCGACCTGTATCTGTCGGAGGATAGGGATCTGCTCTTCTCCAGTGGAGGCGACTCCATCATCAACGTACGTGTTCTTACCTTATGTGATCGGCAGCATCTAACATACTATCAGGTCTGGTCGACCCGCACGTTCGACCGGTTATACTCCATCCACTCGCACCACGATGTGGGAGATCTATTTGCCGTCGCATACTCTTCTTCACTAAAGACCATCTACTGCGGTGGCCAAAACACCAGCATTCAAGTATGTCCAAGTTCAACCTGTACTATCCACTTGCCAGTCTAACAGCCCTAGTGGGCCGACATCTCTGAAGCAGACGCAGCTACCGCCCAACTATCAGTCGATCAGCTATCACGGCGCACGCATCGGTTCTTTGACTCTCGAGGGCCTGACGGTTCTCGCGCTCCCAAGCCGGACGCAAATGCCGACGGGACCTACCCCGTCACGCAGGGAGGCCAGGTCCTCACGTTCAAGCGGGACCACCACAAGCTCTTTGCTCACCATGGCTACATCTACACCATGCTCCTGGTGCGTGGACTGGTGGAGTCCGCTCCGTCAGAAGAGGTCCTTCTCACCGGAGCCGGGGACGGGGTCGTCAAGCTCTGGCGCTTGGCCCAGGATCCGCACAACGCCGTGCCATCGCAGATAGCCAAACTGCAGAACGGCGACCCGGTGCTCTCGCTCGCTGTGGATGGATCCTTTCTATACTGTGGTCTGGCCGGAGGGGCGCTGAATATCTGGAATCTCGACTCGCATCAGCTGGTGAAACGCATTACCCGGCATACGGGTGATCTCTGGGCCGTTGACATTATCAATGGAGTTGCCGTGTGTGGTGATTCTAACGGAATAGTCAAGGTACGCTCACGCAGACTCGGCAGAAATGGTCACATCTAACTGTATAGAAATTCAACTCCCGCTTCGAAGAAGTCGGAAGCTGGGTCGCTCACGAAGGAACGATGCTGGCCTCGGCTGCTGGTCAATTCAAGGACCGCTTCATCTATGCAACAGGCGGAAACGACAACACTGTCGGTATCTGGGACTTGACTGAAGTCTCCGCCACCCAGGGGGAGCTACCGCCAATTGATAACGGTGAGGATTTCCCTTCCCTACCTTATTCTATTCCAGTACTGACGGCTCCAGATGAAATGGTCAACTCGCTAGCAAAGTTTGTCGCCTTCAAGACCGTCTCAGCAAGCCCTAAATTCGCTGGAGAGTGCAATCAGGGTGCGGCTTTTCTCCGCAGACACTGCATCTACTTGGGTGCGCAAACCAAACTTCTGCCTACCGGGCAAGACACCAACCCGATCGTCCACGCCCGGTTCAACGCTACCTCTCCCGAGAAACTCGAAAAGACCATTCTATTCTACGGCCACTACGACGTTGTCGGGGCCGATGCCAACGAGGCCAAATGGAAGACTGATCCCTACCAGCTGACGTCCATGGATGGGTTCCTCTACGGCCGCGGCGTGTCCGACAACAAGGGCCCGATCCTCGCAGCCCTGTATGCGGCCGCCGAGCTCGCCCGACAGAAGAAGCTCCGCTGCGACGTCGTGTTCCTCATCGAGGGCGAGGAAGAGTCCGGCTCGCAGGGCTTCCACCAGACGGTTCGCGAGCACAAGTCGCAGATCGGCCCGGTGGACTACATTCTCCTCGCCAACAGCTACTGGCTCGACGACTACAACCCGTGTCTGACATACGGACAGCGCGGTGTCGTCCACGCGAATCTCGTCGTCACCAGCGACCACCCCGATCTACACAGCGGCATCGACGGCAGCGCCCTGCTCGACGAGCCGCTGAAAGACCTCACCATGCTCCTGGGCACCCTGGTCGGACCCAAGGGCCGCATCAACCTCCCCGGGTTCCACGACCCGGTCCTCCCGCTCTCCGAAGCCGAGAAACAACGATACACCACCATCGCTCAGATGCTCCTCCAGCGACACCCGCAAATTGCCGACTGCGACGCGCTAATCAACTCACTGATGCATCGCTGGCGCGAGCCCTCCCTCACCATCCACTCGATCGAGGTCCCCGGCAACAGCAAGAGCACGACGGCGACGATCTCGCGCAAGGCAAAGGCGAGTCTGTCGATCCGTCTGGTGCCGAACCAGGAGGCCGACGACGTGGCCGCCGCTCTGACGCTGTACGTGCAGGAGCAGTTCGACCAGCTCGAGTCGCAGAACGACCTCACGGTCGAAATCACGGGCAAGTCTGATCCCTGGCTGGGCGACCCGGACAACGAGATGTTCGAGACCCTGGCCGAGGCGATCACGGTCGCATGGACGCCCGATCACAAGTCCCAGCGGCATCAGTACCCTCCCGTGGCGAAGACGCCGCTGCACGCGCGCACGTCGGCGACCAAGGAGTCGCGTGGGCTGGGGCGCAAGGACTCCTCGGACAGTCTGGCGTCGCATATCGACCGCATCATCATGTCGTCGACAACATCGTCGGCGGAGAAGGTCGCCGCACGCCAGCGCTCCTCAGCGGGCACGACGGTGCCCACGTCGTCTACCCTAACCAGCAAGACCATCGCGTCCAGCAACGACGCCACGTCTCGCGACCCCTCCCCGGCGTCGTCCAGGTCCCCGGCGGAGCCCATCTCCGGGGCATCCGGCGTGCGGCCGATGTACATTCGCGAGGGCGGGTCCATCCCTACGATTCGGTTTTTGGAGAAGGAATTCTCCGCGCCGGCGGCCAATCTGCCGTGCGGCCAGGCCAGCGACAATGCGCACTTGTATAACGAGCGACTCCGGGTCGAGAATCTGTACAAGAGCCGGGAAATATTTCGCCATGTGTTTTTGCAGTTGCCAGAAAGGGGGCGTCAGTAGATTGCACACTAAAATAATAGATCTGGTTTTCATCATCTGGACCCCTTCCTTACCCTTACCACCGGTCCTCTCGCGGGTTTTTCGGTAAATGAACGATCCACTTCGTCTCCACTGCATGATCAGCGTGCACTTCATCCTGAACACAGTCAGGCCACTTGGGTACCACCAAGGTAAGCCCCCTCTCTATAACGCATCCTATTAATCCCCGGAAGTAGGTAGAACGCCATGCTACAGTTCAGCCCGCCACGCCACCTCATGTGAAGGAAGCATCGCCAGCGAAAGTGAGGGGAAAGGGGGGGTGAAGAAGCCCACTTGGGAGAGACCATTAGCGCCAGAATCAACTTCCTGGGACGCCAGTGGGCCCAGAACGCCTTTCCTGATTCCCCGGCCACTGGGATTTCCGGTCTGATTCCGCCGCTACGGTTCCCAAACGGTCTGGCATGTCGTGTCGATCCACTTCACGGCACGGTTCGTCTCGTCGCCTCGTGGATGGCCGTCTTGGGGGTTGCCTGTCTGAGAGGGCTGCATGCGTCGGGATTAGCTGTTGCTGGGACTTTTGTCAGTCAGTGCAGAGTAGATGGTAGGATTGTCAGGGTGATTTGTCTGGTAAATACCGATTCTACTTGTCTGTCGATATATCTGCTGTCTCTGCACTGCCCCTGTCTCCTCCTCAGGCTCGATCTAAATCGAATTTCATCATGGGCAGCGTCGGTGAAGACCTTTACCTCCTCAACCGCAACCCAGAGGAGTCGGCTCGGTATCTACACCGTCTACCAACCATTTACCCTAACAACCCCCCTACTAACAAAACAGCCTCAACAAACAGCATGGCTTCCTCGTCGACCTCATCGGCGGAACCCCCATCCACCCCTCCATCCCAACAGACAACATCACCGCCGTAGCAGACGTCGGCACCGGCACAGGGTGCGTCCACCAACTCACCCCCAGCAGCATCAGCATCAGCATCAGCATCTAACCTCACCAGCGTCTGGCTCGCCTCGCTACCAGACTCCCTCCCGACCTCCAACACCCCCCTCTACCTCCACGGCTTCGACATCTCCGCCACGCAATTCCCCTTCTACAAGGACATCACGCCGACCCGCGAACTGCACCTCTCCGTGCACGACGCCCGCAACCGCTTCCCCGCGGAACACCACGGCCGCTACGACCTCGTGCACCTGCGCCTGCTGGTAGGCGCGTTCCAGGAAGATGACTACGTGCGGACAATACACAACGTCTACGAGTTACTGAGTGCGTCGCTCCCTGCCTCCATCCAACACCCCCCGTAACGCCAATCTAACACAAGAGATGATTAGAACCAGGCGGCCACCTCCAATGGGACGAATGCTCGAGCTCGGCCTTCGCGACCGCCGAGGACCCGCCGTCCGAAATCGCCCGCGCAATGCAGGAGATCATCGTCGACGCCGTGCACAACCTGCAGCTGGCGGTTGACCCGCCGGCGCTGATCGAGCGGCTGGCCGGCGAGGTCGGGTTCGTCGACGTGGCGCGGACCAGGTACACCACGCTCGACAAGCCGCATCTGCATGGCACGGCGCGGGCGTGGATCCTCAAGCTGATGACGACGTTGTTGCCGAATTCGGTTGCGAGCTGTGCCCGGGGTGCGGAGCGGGAGGCGGCTATGCAGCGGGCGGAACGGTTGCTCAAGGAGTTTGAGGGGCATTGTGAGCGGGTGTTGCCGTTGGTGAATCTGCAGGTTATTGTTGGGAGGAAGCCATTGTCTGCATAATGAGTTTATGTTTTGGTGGATTGTTGGACGGGTCTTTGGTTGTCTAGCACAGTGTACATTGGTATCTCTTACGAACAGATTATTACAACAATAACATCTAACGTACATCACCAAATCCGCTTAGCAACCATCTCGTACCGCTGCACATGGTCCAGATTCAACTCCTCCTTAGCATTGCGGTCTTTCTCCTCTTTCGTCTTCAGCCGCCGCAGTCCGTCCGGGTCGTCCACGTAGATCCACCGGCGCTGGTCGTCGTTGACTTCCACCACGCCCCATCCGCCTACGCGACGACTGCCGTCGACGGAAAACTCGCGGGCTGGCGCCGCTGCCGGCGCGTGGTTGCTGCTGTCCGTCGCAGCAGAGGGGTGGCTCCCCTCACGGCCCTTCATGCCCTTGTATCGAGATCGGGCAAACGTCAACAGGAGCATCCCCAGCAACAGTTTGAAGATTAGCAAGAGCACGAAGCCGGTCAGGAGGAGCACAACGGTGAAGATGTATACTGATTGCGCGGGCGACGGCATCGCGTTGGCGAGGAGCTGGCGGAAGAACGCGTCGGCGTGCGCTATCGACACCGGGACGATCGTGCGCAGGCTGAGCGGCGTTGGGGACGGCAGCGGAGAGGGGACATAGTGGCTGTGGATGGAGGAGAGAGAGGTAGACTCCACCGCTGTCGACGATGGTTGGTGGGGCAGCAGCGCAGCCAGAAACATCTGGTAGGTCTGTACGGAGACGCGGAAGAACAGACAGGATAGCGGGATGACTGGGAGACCGAGCCGGCGGGTGAGGTTTTGGTCACCGAACGCGTTGGTGTAGTAGTCCTTCGCCAGGATGTCTAGGAATCGGCCGTAGATGGCCGGGCGAGTGTTGTTGAATTTGCCGATGTATGCATGCTTCAGCCAGTCCACCAGCATCTCCGACCCTAATACCACGAGGAAGGGGCCAAGAACCTGGGCGAGAGTCGGTAAGAAGGAGTTCACGTTGCTGATGGACGCAATGATGGATGACGGGACGATGGTGAAGGACTGCGGTAGGATCGACGAGGCTGTTCGCGGAGGCGTTGACAACGGCGTGCTATTCGTGCTGGTAGAAGGGTTACTGCTGAAGCTGGTCCCCAGCCGACCAAAGAAGCTGAAAGCGCCGGTCTCTACGATATTGCGCGAGGCAATGATCGTCAGCATCAACCAGAGCTGGAACCGTTCCACGACATCGGCGCATGTCAGCTGGAAGAGGTTCTCTTTCTCGAACTTCTTGAATACCGTGGATTTGATTTCGACAAACTGGTTCGAGAGGAGCAGCGTAATCAGGGCGTTGGAATAGGAGTTGACCGCCACATTCAACGTCATGACTTGGAAGAACAGCGCAGTCGCATGGATCACGGTATATGCCAATGCAAGGAGGAAGAGTCCAAACGGTCTGAAAACCTTGCTCCGGCCATCAGGGCGACGTTCCAGGGCTTCGCGGGAAAACAGACATTCCAAGACATCCTGTCCGATGGCCGCGAACAGCCGATCGCTGACCTCGAGTACGTTGTAGATCACGTACAGCTTGATCGCAGCCTGGCCTCGAATCCAATGGTACATCCGACTGGCGTCAAAATACATCAGAACGCAACACGTCGCAATCATGAGTAGGCCCTTGAGAATGTCGGCCTTGTCATCGGGGAGTAGCGCCGAGGGAATGGATTTTTGTCTGCGATGCTGGCGTTTGTAATGCGTGTCAGAGCGGTGCCTCTTGCGCGGTTCGACAGCTCTGTTCTTGATCTCGCGCTCCACTGGCGCCGAATCTTGCCTTCCGGACGGCGCTCGAGACCGCCCTTCTCGCTCGCCATTCCTTGGTTGATCGTGAGACGATTCCACGGACCGGAACCTGCGCCATACTCTTCCAATGCCCTTGATGATGAACCCGGAGACGAACCGAAACTCAACGCCAAGATTCACCATCCAAGACTCGAGCAGAATGTACAGCGCCTTGACAAATCGCAACGGGAGAATTGTGAAAGAGTACAGCCACGAGTCCAAACAAGCCAAAATACCAAACCAGAGCACCTGCTCTATGGCAGGTGGCAGCATCAAGAAGTTCATCAGCCGCTCCAACTTCACGCGAGACGACTCATATGGGAAATCCGTCATGACGGAACGGTGAATATACAATGGTGAGGGTCGACCAGATGCAAGTTCCAGCTGCAAGTAGGTTGGCACCGACAAAGGGGGCAGAGGGATCGACGGCGGCATGGGAGACGGGAGCGCGGGCTCGCTGAGGTGCGGCGACGGACTGAGATGCTTGGGCTCTGATTCCCGACCCACGGCCAAGCGGTCCTGTTTGGACCGTGACGCCCATGTCTGGGCAAGTCGTTCGTTCGTGCCGGCTAAAGTTTGTCGGCGCGACGAAGTCGGTGTCGAAACCGTCCGCGCGCTTTGAGGGCGACTCCGGGTGGACGACGCGTGCTTGATACCCGGAAGAGCATCGAGCGGCTCCCTGCTTGGGCGACGTTTCGGCATATGTTCCAGCGGAGGCTTCATGTCATTCGACAACAGTGGCGAGTCATCTGCACTCTCCTGGTATTGTAGCGCGTTCGCACCATCCGAGACAACCCGTCGAGTCTGACCAGTCTCAGGCGCAGCCCGGTACGGAATCGACTGTGGCGACGACGTAAGCTCCTGGATCTTTTCTGGCGACAGCTTCAGCACCTGCTCGCGGTCCCCATCCTGGTTCCTGTGTGGTGAATCGTCCCTGGACCACTGGTGTAAGGAGGCCGCGACCTCAGGTCCTTCCAGGACATCCACGAGCGACGTCCGATGTGACGGGGCATTGTCCGCCCCAACCTGGCCCTCGGAATGCTCAAAAATCAGACCAAAGGCCCGGTCGTACGCGGCCGGATACGCACCGCGTTTCCGATCTCCGTTCAACGCTGGTTGTTCATGCCCGTTCTCGTTGTTACCAGATCCATCAGCTGCTGGGTTTGCGTCCAACCATCTCCAATCGGCGGTCCTCTGTGTTGGCCCTGGCGACCTCGCAGGCCCTCGCTGTACCACGTGTTCAGTCGTACCATTCGTCCGTGTGTTCTCGAAGTCTGTCGTGGGTGACGCTACGGTCCGTTGGAGCTTCCGACTTTTGGTTCTCTGAGTGCCGGTTTCGGGGCCAGCCCGGTCGGGACTTACGGGAACGCTGGATACAGTTCCCAGGTCGCTGTCATCTGGGCGCTTCGTGCTGCTGTTTGAGGGCTCGTCGGAGGTCTGGAGGGTAGTACGGGCATTCTCAACGAGAGGAGTCAAGGGACCACTGGCTCTGCGGTCAGTCTTCCCCGACGGGGAGCTCCTCGTGAGCTCGCCCTCGCTGGACGCAGGTGGCGGAGGGCGTGGTGATACCATGTCTGAAGGTAGTGATGCCCATGAGAGATGTAAATGAGACAGCGATCACCAAGGGATCAGAGACATGCTGCAGTCATTGTAATCCGGGGTATATGCGACTGACGGAAGTTCCTCTTGCGGGCGGTGGAGATCCCGTTATCGTGGCCTTTTTGCGGCAGGCGGTCAGGGTGCACGTGATATCATCATGTTCACTTTCTATCGAATAGATCGAAGTCCTGAAAATAAAACACTGATATGCGAATATCTATTGAATCTATCTATTGCCCAAAGACCCGCTGAGCAGAAATAGACAAGGGGCACCAAAAAGAATATGTCCAGCACAGATCGGGTATATGTTACATCATGCAAGAGCTCATCGTGAAAGAGTACCAGCCCCGATTTGTTCATTACACAGAAGATGATCCAGCTCTTCAGTCCGCCGTGTAAATCCTTCGTGAAGGATCTGCATCACGGTCCCTCGGGGTTAGAAGTGGTCTTGACGGTAGCCGTGCTGTGAGTGAGGATAAGGCTGCGGGGTGTAACCTCGCGCCGGAGGCAGGCCAGTACTGTATTCACTGGGCGAGTTGGAGCTCGCAGGATGCCTGCTTGGTGCGGGGGATTCCCGGGCCGAGGAGTTGAAGGCAACGTAACCGCCTCCTGAGGGTGCCGATTGCGACGTGCCGGTACGGTTGATCGGAGAGAATGTTCTTCCCATACTATCGTCCACGGGAGTGAAGCTGGTTTGCGATCGAGTAATGCTCGGGTTGGCAGGAGTAAATGTCCGCAAGGGGTAACCCTCTTCCGGTCGTGGCCCAGGAGTACCGCTGTGAACGGGAGAGAACATCCGAGCCGGTCCATCAGATGTAGCAGTTGCAGGGGTGTAGGAACGGCCTGTCGGATCAGTCATGGGGGTGTATGTGCGGTATGGAGCGTCATTTCCCGGGTACCCATTGCGGGATCCATAGGCTTCGCTTGGATCTCGATATCCGTTGGCAGAGCCCATGCGACTTGGTCCGCGAGTGGGTACGGATGGGGCAGGCGTGTAGGTCGGTCGGGACATGGGAGTCTGAGTGCGCTGCATAAGGTTGTTGGGAAGCGCGGGCACAGGTGGGGCGGGAGAGGGTTGACGGTCGAGGGGGCTGTATCCCGACACCACAGTAGTACCAGATAACGAAGCAGCATCTGAGAAGGCAGATGATTGGGTAACGCTTCGACTCAGTGGCGGCTTCTCGAATGCACCAAGGTCCGGTAGAGTTGGGTTCCGTTCGGGGCCAGCGGTCCCCGGACGAGAAGTATACGGCGGCAGTGTTGTCTGCGTCGTCGAGCGGGATATGCTAGCAACAGCAGGACCCTTGTCATCATCAAAGGTTGGTAACGTCGGTTTCCGGTCGATGCCCATGTTCGGGTTTGTTGGGGTGCGGTCCTGCAACTTCAAGCCCTTCGCTAAGGCTTTGTTGACCCTTCTATGCACAATGCGCTTAAGTCGGTTATTGATCTTGCGCCGGCAGTAGGCTTTCAGTGAACCGTCCTCGGACGGGATATGGTGGAACAAGAAGATCAAATAAAGAATGATGGCAAGCAAAAGCTTCAGAACGGACAAAACCCAGATGACCAACGTGAACAGCATACCGAAGAGGACCAATGCGCGGAGATTGTTCTCTTCGGCTAGAATTTTTACGTTGTCGAAGAATTGGACGACTCCTGGGGTGTCATCGTTGGCTTTATGTGCATGCTCACCGCCAGGGAGCAAGTCCATCCTCATGACGGAGTACAGAGTGATCGCGTTCACGACTTGGCGCGGTCCATCGGCGAAAACCGTGTTCATCCAAGCTAGAGACCAGTTAGCAACTGTCTAGGGACATCGGTCCGGACGCGACTTACATTCAAAAGAGAAGTACGCAAACAGAGCAACGTACTCGGCCCCCTTTTTACTTTTGGTCAGTTCAGCGAAGACGATGAAGCGGCGCCAACCGCGTCCACGCTTTCCTGGACGAATACTCTGGACGCGCACGGCAAGAGAATCCAGATAGCATTGCGCGATGCTTCCGGATCGAATTGCGCGAATGGCATGGAGCCATCGGAGCACCAAGAGCACAAACGAGATAATAATGCAGACGGCGAAGATCCATCGGGAAATGGTAAAGGGGATGGTCGGCTTGATCTGGCCGGCCCATCGAGAGAAGGCGAGTAGATTAACAGCGGTAAAGGTGTCGACGGCATAGACGGCCAAGGAGATGAGCAAGAAGACGTAGATGAAGAAGTAGGAGAATGGAGTCCAACAAGATTCCGACTTGAAATCATTCAGATTCTAGATAAAGGAGCTGTTAGTGGTTTCATCGCAGAGAACGAGGGGATTCAACTTCTTACGATGTAGTCCCATTTCTCCTCCATGGACACCGGGCCCTTTTCTCTATCACCACAACAAGGCATTGTTGCGACGGGGTGGCTCGGAGCGGGAACCAACGACTGACTTGGGTTGGGAGGTCGCAGAAAGAGAGGATGGACTTCGTCGGACCAGCCGGGCGAAGCCTCAATGAGAGACAAAGAGAGTGGAAGGGAGAAAGATGAATGAAGAGCAAAGAGTGGCAGTCCAGGAGAGGCGCCTGGAAGTTATGTTATGTATGATCGGCGGTTACTGAAGTGTTTCAGTGGAGCATGGCGGCTGGAGAAGCGAGAGCGGTTCACAGAAACAGTCGCGACAGGATAAGGCTATGTGACAGCCTATGGATCAAGCACCGCCAGGCTCGTCACACGACGACCATTGACCGGTCTCGTCGCGATGAGACAGCGACAAACGCTGCAGAAAGCACGGCCGATTCTATGGACGGATGGATGGTGATTGCGCAGAGGGGGGCGCCAAGATAGGGGTTGGGCGCGTGCGTGCAGGAGGTGGGAACACAGTGGATCGCAGGACGGAGAATGGAACCGCCTTGCCACACGAGACAGGCGATCAAAGAATGAGGGCGCGATCGATCTGACAGGGACAAAGAATGTAAGAAGTGGTGAAGATGAAGCGAGAGAATGTGTGTGTGGGTGGATGAGGAACAACGGAAGAATGACAGGCGAGAGTGGATCAAGCAGGGGGAGGGGACTGAAGAATGACAGAACAATCAGTCCTGAAGATCGCTTGGCTTGCAGCTAGGCTGAGACTGGAGGAATTGATCAATGAGTGAATGAATGAATGGTCCACGGAGGATGGATAGTGGAAAGATGAAACAACGGGGGAGAATGAAGGGGGAAGCGGAGGAGGAGAAGTTGGTGAGGTGGAGAAGCTTAGGTACCTCTAGTACTACTCGGAGTACCCTATGAAGTAAAGGGTTCGATGGTGCCAGGCTAACTTTGTGTCTCTTATCTGCTGTATACCTCCCGTGGAGCTTCGTATATCTCACCTGAACACACCCGAATGCATGATGATAACGTAGACTCTGTACATGTTCTCTTTTTGAATCCACTGTATCCACTGTCGACAATCCCTTATCCCCCTCCAGAGCTCGTATTGTTCCTCAGGATCCATAGATCGGAAGATTGTCCCCACGGGTTTCCATGGTTGGCCCACACTTAGGGCTGCTGAGTCATGTTCATTATCTCTCGCATAATTCATATTGCACAAGTAGTACACCAGTCAGTACCTTAGTATACAAATGGACAGAAGACAGAAGACAGAAGACACCTGACGCCATCCAGTCCACACATGCAAAACAGAAAAGTACCCATTCCAAAAATCACAGATACACGTCATCCCCATGTACATTGACTCCCCCGTATCCTGGCGGACCTGTCCTGCAACTCCTCGTCCGTCGCCAGGAATATATATTCCGGCCGGCCAAGGAGGAGGACAGGCCCTCCCAATCAACCCCACGAACAAAATCTTCAAACAACCACATCACACTCCCTTTCTCGGAGACAGTCGACTCCCCTGGGCCGCCCGGATGTTGGAAAGAGAAACCGTCAACTTCCGATTCTCGTCCGTCAACTCGCGGATCTGCTTCCCAGTCTGAATCATATCCTCCGACCGAGCCCTCTTTTCAGTCTCCAAGGCCACTCGAAGTCTTCGCACCTGCTCATGCAAGAGCGCTTCCTGATCTGAAGAAGGGGTCTGAGGCTGATTCTGTAGTTTTGCCATTGCCCGACGGAGATTCTCTATCTCCAAGTCCTTCTGCGCAACGGTTAACTTGGCCTGTTCGAGCGCCGTGCTGATGGACCCTATGTGGCCCGTCTGACGCTTCATGATTTCTTGAGCCCCGTCGCGATTCTCCCACTTAGACAGACGATTCTCGAGAACCTGGATGGTTTGCTGGGCCTGCGTTGCCTCCTCATGCTTTCGTTGCGCATCGCGCATGGCCATCCCAATCCGTAGCTGGAGATCGTTCACTTCCTCCGTCAGCTGGATGACCTGCAGTTCAGCTTCGCTCGCCCTCGCTCGCTGCTGTTCAAGGGTTGAATCGCAGGCGCTCTTGATGTCGTGAATGCTCTGTTGCATGCTTTGCTGCATCTTGGCCGCCGTCTCACGGGACTCGTTCAGCGCCTCGTTGGCTTCGTTAATTAGCCTCTCTGCGGTAGACTTGGTGTTTTCCAACTCTTGTTGCAAATACAGTGCCTTTCCCAAGGCCTCATCACGCTCCTGTTGAGCCGCGAATGATGGGCTCCGTGCTTCGGGGGAACAAGATCTTGATTCGAGCTCACTGCACCTGGACGTCAGCGCCTGATTTTCCGCCACTAGTCTCTGGTTTTCGGCCGTCTGTGCCTGGTGACGTGCGATCAAGTCCTCATGTTGTCGGTTGAGCCCGTTGGTTTCCCCGGACAGATGCTCGTGCTGGACCATGGCGTTGTGATGCTGGGCTTCTAGGAAATTGCACCTCTGCTGCAGTTCTTGGTATTGGGCAACGAGAGCACCGCGTTCAACCATCAGATCATTGTACTTCGCTTCGATTTCCTTGCATTGCTCAACGACAGTATCGCGTTCCGCCGTAATCCTTTGGACATTCGAGATCAATTCTTGGTGTTGTCGGGTCAGGCCTTTGTTTTGCTGATCCAGCTTCTGGTTCAACAACCCGAGCTCCACGACCTGGCCGACTAACTCTTCGTTTTCACGGTTGAGATGTTGTTCGCGGACAACCAGTTCCTGACACCTGGCATCGCTGCTTTCGGTAGGTTGAGATTCTGCTTCCTTCAAGCGTTTTTCGAGCATCCTAATGTTGACCTGGCATGTCAGCAACTCCGAAAAGCTACTGATTTCCGCTTCGAACATGGTCTCGATTTGTTCTTTGCTCTGCGACAACTCTTGCTCCAGCTCAGTGATACGGTCCTTCAATGCCTGCTCACTGGCCTGCGAAGCGGAGTCGTGTTGGTCTATGTCATTCCTGCTCGCCGATAGCTGTTGTTCCAACTGAGCGATCTGGTCCCGCAGAGCCTTTTCTTGGGCGCTGGAAGAGTCTTTGCTGTCTGACAACTTTTGTTCTAGCTGGGTGATGTGATCTTGCAGAGACTTCTCCCTGGCTTGAAGAGCGGAGTCGCGTTGGTCGATGGTATCCTTGCTTGATGAGAGATGCTGCTCCAACTGAGCGATTTGGTCCTGGAGAGCCTGTTCCTTGGCATCGAAGGAGTCTGGTTTACTCGCTGCCAACTGTTGTTCCAACTGAGCGACGTGATCTTGTAGAGTCTTTTCCCTGGCCTGGAATGAGTCGGTTTGCTTGTTGAAGCCCTCTTTAGCCTCTGACAACTGTTGTTCCAACTGAGTGATGTGATCTTGCAGAGACTTTTCTCTGGTCTGGAAAGAGTGGTTTTGCTCGTTGAGGCCCTCCTTGGACTCGGACAGTTGTTGCTCCAACTGGGTAATGTAGTCTTGAAGAGACTTCTCCCTAGTCTGGAAAGAGCTGTTTTGCTGGTTGAATCCTGCTTTAGTGTCTGACAATTGTTGTTCCAGCTGGGAGATGTGGTCCTTCAAGAACGCCTCCGTGAGGTTGAATGAGGCGCTCTTCTCGTCGAATTCATTCTTGGTTTCCGATAAGTGATGTTCCAACCGAGCGATGTGGTCATTCAACGACTTCTCCGTCGCATCAAAGGGTGTCTTTCCTTGACTTTCGAGCTGTTGTTCCAACATGGCGATGCGGTCGTTGAGCGACTTCTCCTTCACATCGAAGCAAGTTCCTTGTTCATTGAAGTCTTCCATCAAAGCCTCGAGTTCCACATCCTTCTGTTGAAGTCGATCCTTCAATGTCTCAATGTTTACTTCCTGACGCCGAATCTCGAGGGAGGTCTTCTCGCTTTCTTGACCCTCGCTCTCGTGCAGCTTATACCGGAGGATGGAGAGGTCGGAGTCTCTGCTGGCGATTTCCTGTCGCAGCTGTGGAATCACCGTCCACTGACAGGAGCACCAAGGAGTGACTGTGACGGCAGGACGGGAAGACAGCTTCTCGATCTCGATTTTGTCTTCATTCACCTTTCTGTGGTACTTCTGGAGGAGCCTTTCACCATCCTGGATCTGTCTGTGCTGCTCAAGGAGCTTCTTGTTGGCAGAACTAAGCTCGACGTTTTTGGTGAGAAGGAGATACTTGATGTTGGCGATCTGCTCATCGTACGCGCTGACCAAAGTGTGGAGATCCCTTTCGCGTTGAATGATGGGAGGGTTGCTGGAGAATATTCTGATGGCGCGATTGTAGAGAGGCGTTTGGGTGAATGCGTGAGCCGCGAGAATAACGAGGGCGAGGACTACGAGGAAGACTCCGGTCCAGGCGAGGATCAGCCGGTTCTTGATCTCGCTTTCGATAAAGTCGTTGAACACGAAACGCGCCTCAAAATCCGCACGTATGCCGGCCGCGTCTTCCTGTCCGAGGCAGTAATGCGTCTGGAGGACTCGCAGGACAGACATACGCTGGCCCTGGCGCAGGCGCTCGATAGAGTCCATGCAGTACATCGTTTGAACAAAGTCGCTGTAACGGAAGCCGGTGATAAAGCCGCTGAGATACCAGTACGCTGGCCTGATAGATGATTTGTACATGATTGTGAAAAAGATGATTGTAGGAAGGATGCGAGAGATCGAGTGGAGGGGCTTGTTGGAAGGGAAGTACCAGTCCCAGATTGATTTGATGATGCGTCCAGCCAGTGTGATTCGAGGGATTTTCACCGAGCCTTTGGCCCAGTCGAGTACGAGATGTAGTTCATACAAGGAACGCACCATCGATAGCTGGATAGTGAACCAAGTAATGCCGTAGAGGAGCTTCAGGATGGGGAAGAAGATCTTCTTGTAGATCCACCAGAGGAGATGATTGAAAGAGTCCCAGAAGCCAAAGATGAGAGTGAGGAGGACCATGACTCCCACAACAAGACCGGATTCGGCAGTGAGGTCGATGATGAAGAGTTTGGCGAGGTCTGTGGGAAGTTCTGGCTCCACGGCTCCGAAGAGGAAGATCTGCTCTGCCGGGGAGGTCATTGTGATGATGATGGTATGAGGGAGGAGGAGGGGGATGAGGATGAGGAGACACCCAACCAATGTTGGGTGGAGGTGGGAGGATGTGAAGATTGAGACCAGGATTGTTGTTGTATGGATTGACGAACAAGCCAGTCGAGAAAGAAGAGGTGAGAATGGAGATAGGAGGAGGAGAAGGAGGGAGGGAGGGGAAAGGAAAGGAACAGAAGATGAGAAGCAGAGGGGTAGATATAGGAAACGAGGGAGGCAAAATGGGCGTGGATGATGGCAGTTCCCAAGTGTGAGAGACAGTGAAAGAGGCTGTTAGGAGTGAAGTTGGTCTCTACGTCGCGGTGATCCAGTGAAGATGACTTTAGGCTTATTGTTTGATATCGACGCCCACAACAAGTGATTAAGGGAATTTCAGTATACATTTGGGCATGGAGCACAATATGTACCCTACTAGTAGATAAGCCATAATATTCTAGGAGAAGGTCATCAAACAGAAGATGTTCAATATGTTATAGAGGATGACAACATGTTATAGGAGCGATTGAGGTGCAATCAGTCCTACTATCTAGTACATACTACAAGCTCAGATATCACTGTCGTGAATAAGCTATCAGCCAGATGGCACTTTTCTCAATCACCACATACTAGTAAATACTATTCTAGTGAATATAGACATGATTCTTGCCTGCTCTATATGGTTCTTTGTATACAGTGACTGATGTCCCAATCGGGTTAGGGCGTGTGATGACTCAGCATACGATCCAGCACTGCTGATTGGCCCGAGACAGCCCATTGCCTCATTCGGACGGCGCAAGCTGCAGCGAACAAGCAGAAAAGAACTTCAATTCAACTTCACTGCAATTCTCTCAACCTGCCAAATTCCTCCATCCGCACGGAACCCCCCTCGACCACCCTCTCGTCGAGAATTGCCACCGGAGTGGACAGCTATTCACGCACGGCCGAGTCCATCCATATTACCTCACGATCCACGCGCCGACTTCTCTCCCACGTCATTCGTCAATCGAGTCCCCGATTGCGTCCTTCCCAGTCCCGCCGAGAGAGCCTGAGACCGACACTAGACCCTCTACGTGAGAGAGAGAAAGAGTGAGATTGATTGCCGCCTGGTCCAAATATGTTCCTTTGGTAGTCTCTTCGCCGCTTCTTTCTTTTCTTTTCTTTCCTGTGCTCGCCTTTCCTCCCCACCCGGTGATGGCTACACCCTTTGCCAATCGTCTTCTGGCCACCCGGCCGATCGTCTTTGGTTTCGTCAAATTGCTTCTTCTTGCCTTCTCGCATCTCCCTGTTGTCGCTGCCGTTCCTGCGCGCTATACGATCCGCTCCGAACTCGATCCGAAGCCCCCAGGGGACCCGAGCCTATGGTTGTATCTCGGGGTTGCCGCCGCCCTCGTCCTGAGTGGCGGCGCATTCGCCGGCCTCACCATCGCTTTGATGGGCCAGGTAGGTCTTGTCCATAATGCCTATATCCTATCGGAAGATTCCTAACAATTCTGTGTCCGCAATAGGATGAGGTCTATCTTCAAGTCATCCAAACCTCCGGTGAAGCCTCCGAACGCAAAAACGCCGCCAGTGTCTTGAAACTCCTCAAACGGGGAAAGCATTGGGTCCTGGTGACTCTCCTCCTCAGCAATGTCATTACCAACGAAACCCTCCCCATCGTCCTCGATCGCTCGCTAGGAGGAGGATGGCCCGCGGTACTGGGCAGTACCGTCTTGATTGGTAGGAAATTCCCTCCATCTCAATCTCTCGCGTGCCTAGACTGAGCCATTAATCTCCAGTTATCTTCGGTGAAATTGTCCCCCAGTCTATCTGCGTTCGCTACGGCCTCCCCATTGGAGCTTGGATGGCTCCCTGCGTCCTCACCCTCATGTACATCATGTCCCCTGTCGCGTGGCCCATTGCCAAGCTCCTCGATAAGCTCCTCGGCGAAGACCACGGCACCATCTACAAGAAGGCCGGACTCAAGACATTAGTGACCCTGCACAAGACCCTCGGAGAGGCCGGGGAGCAGCTCAACTCTGATGAAGTCACCATCATTAGCGCCGTCTTGGATCTCAAGGAGAAGGCGGTTGGCAGTATCATGACTCCCATGGAGGATGTGTTCACCATGTCCGCAGACCAGGTGCTGGATGAGGAGACCATGGATATGATTCTTTCTCAGGGGTACTCGCGGATCCCCATCCATGCGCCCGACAATCCCCTCAACTTTGTCGGCATGCTCTTGGTCAAGATGTTAATTACTTACGACCCGGAGGATTGCAAGCGCGTCCGCGACTTCGCTCTGGCGACTTTGCCGGAGACTCGCCCAGAGACAAGCTGTCTGGACATTGTCAATTTCTTCCAAGAAGGCAAATCCCACATGGTCTTGGTCTCCGAGTACCCGAGTGAAGATCGCGGTGCTCTTGGTGTTGTCACTCTGGAAGACGTGATTGAGGAATTGATCGGCGAGTACGTTGTGGGCCTGGACAATCTCGATTGCAGGATTAGCGGGAGCGCTGACACACATCTAGGGAAATCATTGACGAGTCCGATGTTTTTGTTGACGTGCACAAGGCCATCCGGCGCATGACACCCGCCCCCCGGGCTCGCGTTCCGAAGGGCAAGATTGTAGAGGAGCCCCCCATGCTCCCGCCGCAAACTCAGGGAAAACTAGTTGACGTGGATGGTGACACTGATCACGCGTCGAGTGACCGCCGTCGGAGCTCGGTGGAAGCGCCCCTGCCCAGATTCCAGATCCGCAAGCAAATGTCGGACAAGAATTCCGACTCCGTTGAAGGCTGGTTTACCCAGCGTGGAGCGACAGACGAGATTCGCGAACATCTCAAGCACCTCGGACCATCTAACCTAGCCAGCCGCCCCCGTCAGACACGCTACCAAAGCGTGAAGATCAAACGAGCCAATGCCGCCTCTCCCACCCGATCTACCCAGACTGATATGGACTCCGGCCAGAGTACTTCTGATTCCCATCTCCTATCTAGTAATTCCACGGGCTTAACAGGGGGCATCGGTGCGGGGCTGGTTCATTCGGGCATGGACGCTCGGGATGGAGCCTACGCCTTGCGGATGGGGTACGGCAGCACCGGCACACACAAGGTCACCGATACCGGGATACAGACCAAAGACCTTCCTACCCTGTCCATCCCGGAGGCCGTCCATGAAGAGCAGGATGAGCACCCTGCCATTCCGAGTGCTGCCGTCAGCGAAGAGTCGACCGAATCCCCGGCCTTGAATGTGGACCGTCCCAAAACTGGAAGCAGTTACCAACATCAAGGTCCCGCGCGCAGCGGGAGTATCACGGAACAAGTGATAGATGTCAATGGAATCCGAAAGGTCGTCCTCCACACCACGAGTACAAGCTCCTCAGAGAGCTCCTCCAAGCATAAGTTCCCGGTCCGTCAAAATGGGGAGGTGTTGGACCTGGATGATAATACCAAGCCGAGCACAAACGGAGCGAAGAAACGACGTCGTCGCCGCAAGCGTGGGAACAACTCCAAGCCCGATGATCACGGCGACGAACAGTCCCCTCTACTGGGAGATAGATAATGTTAATGTTGCAGGTTACGTCCGTCCTCTGCGGGTCAGAGCCCTCATTCTCGTTGTACTCAAATGAGCATTGCACGGAAGCTGTTTATACAGGATAGTTCATAGTATATTCCATCCCGAGTCCTCTTTTGTGATGGACTTCTTATCGTGGGAATCAAGCACCTACTGTCATGTCAACTACTAAAGTACGTACGAACTAAGGACCGTTGCCAGCCCTGTGTAGCGATAGGTAATGCGACCTCCATCAGATGACCATCGCAACAAGCATATTCTTCATTCAACTTTTGTCATGCCATGAGTGTCTACATGTCATTCAACCATAACTCCATGAACTGTCCAAAATATGCAGGAACAAAAGCAACCCAGAGCATCACGGTAATTCATAAACAGGCCGCAGCCAATATACGCATGAAATCATTGCAGGAGAGGATCCTAGAGTATCGTTAGCTATAGTTCACACAATAACATCAGCAGACGAAACATACCCGGTAGTGTTTCTGGTTGTTGGCCGCCCGGTTGACCCGAGCGGTGTATCTCAGCTCTTGTCGGATAGCACGAGTACGCTCCTTGCGCTCGTTTGTCAAGGCTTCCCGCTTCTGACTGTCAGTAGCACCGACCATGCCGGAGCCACCGTTGGCACGGCTGATGACGGCGCGGTTCTGGTTGCGGCCGCGGGGCTTCTCCTCCTCCTCGATCTCGCCGTTCTCGATCGCCAGCTGGCGTGCGATGCGTTCCTCAGCGGTGGGGTAGTTGTGCAGGTTCTGGCGGTAGTACCGGGCGAGAGAGCGGTGGCCGACGCTACGGCCGGACGGGAGATGCAGCTCGTACTCGGTTCTGTAGACCGCCGAGCCGCCCTTGGTGTCGTCGATTTCGTCGTCGTCAACAGAAGAAGCCGACGTCTCCGTCTCCCAGCCCTCGTCCTCTTCGCCATCCACCTTCACACCCCCGTCCTCAGCCGTCTCGCTGGCGGTGGACATGGCGTCCTCGTTGTCGGAGTAGGTGCTCCGGAAGTCGTAGTACTGACCGATCTCGACCTGCTCGTCTTCCGACTCGAACGCGATCATGCAATGGCCCTTGTCGCGCATGTGGGTGCGGGCACCCGCCGGGTTGTTCCGAATGGCATGACAGTAAAGACACTCGCTGTTCTCGTTGATCTTGCGCCACAGGTAGTGAATGAGACCCTCCAGATCGACGAGGTAGTCTCGCTCGGGGATAAACATGCCGTGGGTCTTGAACATGTGCTCGGTGTTGTCCTGCAGACTGGCGGACTTTTCGGCACAGAACAGACAGCGCGAGGACGAGAATCCATCCGCCTCCGTGACCTCCTCGTCCTCGTCCTCCTCGTCGATCGTGGCGTTCTTCATCTGCTCCGTGACCTTGGACACCTCCGTCTGCTCCCGCGGCTTGTTAATGGGCTCCCCGAGGGAGAACGTCGAGCTCATGACGGACGAGGCATCGTCCGCGCCGTCTCTGAGCATGCGTGCCTCGCGGGCCCTGTGCTTGGAGCTCTTGATGTGGTTCTGGTACGAGTTCTCGCTGTAGAATGTCTTCTGGCAGGCGACGCAGGTCTTCTCGTAGGACGCCTTGGCGGCGGCGGCAGTCGTGGAGGCCTTGGCGGCGAGGACCTTCTCGTTGAAGGTTTCCTGCGACACAGGCGGGAGAGAGGCAATCCGGCGTTTCATGTTGTACAAACTAGAAGAATTCTCTGTCAGAGGGTCTGTGGGACTGACTTGGAGAGAGTCAGAACATACTGCCAATCTTTGCGCATGTGGTCCCGCTGGGCATCGCTGCCGCGGAAGGCCACCAGGCAGGTGTTGCAGGTGTAAGGCAAGGTGGTCGTCGGGGCGTTGGGATCCATGATTGCTGGTGGTAGAATCTCAGGAATGACAGCGGAAAACAGTATGATAAAAAGCGAAGCGGGGTATCAAGTCTTCAGCACCCAACAACAGGGAAAAGTAAACACGAAACCTAGGTCCAATAAGAGATAGAGTAACTGTAGAGAAGAGGAAGAGGAGGAATAAATCCGACGGTGATAGTCGCCACCAAAGATGATCAATAATCAGCCGTTACTCATCGAGAGTCATCGAAATCGCACAAAATCATTCTCGCCGCTTGCCGCTTTTAGAAAAATGACGTTCCCCCCGCCGCCAGGCCTGATCGGGCCTAGCGCTGGCGGTGCGGATCATCCTCCGTCCCGCGGATGCTGAGTCATCTGATGCACGGACCTGGTGTTGGAGGCGCTGATGGCCGTTGTTCCCCAGAGAGATCTACCGTTGCCATCTACGACAACAACCACGGAGATCGCGACTTTTGCATTCTTTCTGGAGTGGAGCGATTCAGACGCATCTGCTGATTACTTGGTCTGCGGATTCAGGAATGCTTGCCGGTCTGCGAAGATGACCCGGCTCCGCGGAGCTTCCGTGAGCTCCTATGACGCTTCGCATAGTGGTGGCATGGACAGGTCTCCATCGCACCGCTCCAAACTCCCACCCAACGCCCCTGGTGTGATAGTTGAGAATACAGTCGATGTTTCGGATCCTGCGCAGGTTCTTTTGTGGTGTCGGGATGAGCGTCGACGGCAGTTCAACCTGCTAGTTCGCAGGTTAGTGTTCATTGAAACGAGTGCAACATGGCAGATTGGGACTAAGCTGAGCGGCTTGCAGGTACAAGAACCAGCTTCTTCACGGATGTCAAGACCCCGGATGCCAAACACCGACATGTGCTAGCTACCGCAAACGAGTGAGCGAAGGACCATATCGTCGTTACACCGAGCTGAGCGCCCGCACCCTGGCATGCTATTTGGCCAGTCTGGATAACGCGGAGGCTGGACTATGTCGCAACACCTCTAGAGCCTCATCAGACTTCACGCCCCAAGATAGTCATCGCCGATCAAAGCGACGGATTCCTACTGTTGAGACGAGGGAACGGAACGGTCGAGTGGCTGTAGGTGATGGGGCTATGGCGGGGCGAACGCTGCTGGATAAAGATACAGAGACCTCTGGCACTGGAGTCAACGATGCAACATCGCCGTCTGGCATGGAAATAGGCCGGAAGAGCGATGCCTTCCCGGAGGACGAAAGTCGCGGAATTCAGCAGCTGAAAGACCCCAAGTCTTTCACCCAGAACCTTTTCGATACCCTTTCTTTGCGAATGATCGAATGGCTTCCTTTGCGTCGGTCCCCAACCCATACCGATACTGCGCCTGATCGCGCAGGGGCGCGAACGAGAACGTTTTCACCAAAACCAGACACTCCTCACAGCAGTTATCAACGTTCTGAAAGGCCCCGCCGGAACCGGGACCAGCCATCCCAGTCAACCCAGTTGAACGGTAGCAACGTGCACACGCCGTCTTCGCGGCATGGCGGAAGTCAGTCGACGGCTCTGGAGTTGAGATTGCCCTGCCAGCAGATCAAACGGGTGTCCTTGACGGATGTGGACCAGTGGCGCCAAAGCCCGCGATCGAGCCTGGAAGAAAAAACACATACCGAACTGAAGCCCGCCCGGAAACTGTCCATCAACACGCAACCAAACGCCGACGAGTCATACAATCTACCTTCGCCGCCCGCTCTGAAGCACCGCCCGCAGAAACACCGAGGGCGAGCTGGTGAACAGCGAAAAACGGAGCGGCGCGTCTCCTGGGATGGCGCGAAACTCCTCAATGATGTTGAACGTTCAGACTCCGAAACGTACCCTCCTGTCAAAGCGGACCAGCATCCTGTGGACTTTCAATCTCCCAGCGACCGCAAACCTCGCCGCAGGGAGAGACGCCGCAAACGAGAGATATGTAGTATCCAGTCGGTCAGCCACCTCTCGGGTGAGATTGTCGATGGTTTGAGCCAGATCATGGCTCTTACCGACGATGAGGCCGATCGATGGAGACATGAACTGGAGTATATAGAATCGACTGGCGCGTTTGAGGATTCCGAATGGCGTTTCGCCACGTCCCGTCAGCGCGAGGTTTTTACATTTGTTGCACAGAGTGTTTTCTATGCACTTGGCAATACAAAGCATGTTCTACGATCGTTTCGCCTTCACACGGCTGGACCCGGCGAGATGATTGAACATGGTACTGGTACTACGTCCAGACTTGATTTGCAGCAATTACAACCTTCGCTGCGCAAACTCTTCACCATATGCCCCAAGGATCTTGTGTTTCACAGCCTTTGGAGTGCGGTGGAGACGTTGTTTATCCCCCCAAAGGAATTGTCCACTACAGGCCGACAATCTCGGCGTTCTTCATGCAACTCCACCAGCAGCGCGCCGGCAGCGCCGATAATTCTTCGACGGACCTCTGATTCGACGAAAAGTGAGCACATTAATGATGAAAATGCAGCTGACATCGCGACGATTGCCTTCTTTGCATTGGCTAGCTCCCTTCCAGAGGTCGATGCACCCACCTGGCGTGGGATTCTTCAGATGCGTGCTACTGGAACTGTGGCCTCCAGCTCTGAGATGCAGAAGCTGCCTCTTCGCAGTTCGCGTCTGGTTGTCGAAGCGACAGATATGCTGGAGCATGAACTCGCTTTGCGGCTCGTCAACCGCCTCGTCCGTGCTCTTACGGCCCGGGTGACTTATCACGAGATATCGAAAGCCCGTCAAACATATCCCAACGATACTGCTACTAAACAGAAAAGGAATGTTCTGGACCTTTTGATCAGCAACCTCAGTGAGCATCAGGGTCAGGTCACGGCCGAAAACAAGTATATGGACCGTCAGCAACTCCCCGGTACGTCCGCTGTTATCACTGAGTGGCTTCGTACCATCCTATTGAAGGAGTGGGATGGAAACCCGGACATTGCAAAAGGGAGCACAGTGGGAGGGGCCGTGCAGATGCTGTCTCTACTGTACAAAGAGAGGAGCCGCCTGGGCCTCATCCCGGAAGATTTCCATACGCCATTTCTTTCCGAAAGACTGGAACCGATGGAGATGCCGGTGGAATGGATCGAGCGACCACCCAACAATAGACGACTCCATCTGTTGTCCTATTCTTTTCTCTTTCCCCCGTCCGCCTTGGTGATCTACTTCCGTGCCCTGAATTATGCCGCCATGTCCAAGTACTACGAGGCCGCGATGACAACCACGCGGCATGTCACGCAGACCGCGTTTGGGGCAATTCAAATCCAAAATGATGTCGGTCTCCTGGCGCGGATGAAGACGTCGATGACGACGTACTTGGTGTTGGTGGTGAGGCGTGACAACGTGCTTACGGATGCTCTGAATCAACTTTGGCGGCGTGAACGACGGGAGCTTATGCGGCCGCTCAAGGTGCAAATGGGCATGGACGAGGGCGAGGAGGGCCTCGACCACGGGGGCGTTCAGCAGGAATTCTTCCGCGTCCTCATGGCCGAAGCACTGGATCCGGGATATGGCATGTTCACCATGGACCAACGCACTCGCATCTCCTGGTTTCAGCCACGCTCGTTGGAACCGCTCTACAAGTTTGAGCTTCTCGGGCTGTTTATGTCGCTAGCGGTCTACAATGGGGTCACCCTTCCGGTCAACTTTCCGACCGCGTTTTACCGTAAGCTCCTTGGCCTAAAGGTGAAGCACCTCGACCATATTCGGGACGGCTGGCCGGAATTGACCAAGGGGCTGGAGGGACTGCTCACGTGGCATGACGGCGACGTTGGGGATGTCTTCATGCGGACTTATGAGTTCAGTTTTGAGGCGTTTGGCAAGATCGAGACGGTCGACATGCAGCAGGTGGACCGGGATGCGGCATGGCCGTCCCCCTTGGTGCGGTCGCGCGCTGGGAGCCCGCTGCGACCGTCCCCTTGGCCTGAGGTGCACCGACAAACGGACAACGCGAGCTTGAGCCCACCACTATCGACCGCTGGCGAGGTGCCTGAATCACCCGACGACATCGCCAAGTCTCTGAATGGATCTGTGCCGATTCAGTCGTTTACACCCCCCGTGGAAGAGGCGCCGTTGGTCACCAACCGCAATCGAACCCAGTTCGTCAAGGACTATATCTTCTGGCTGACCGACAAGTCGATCCGCCCGCAGTTTGAGGCTTTTGCGCAAGGGTTCTACACGTGTCTTGACCGGACGTCGCTGTCGATCTTCACGCCGGAAGCGTTGAAGACGGTGGTGGAAGGGATCCAGGAGATTGACATGCTAGAACTAGAGCGCCATGCGCGATACGACGGCGGGTTTGGACCGAGTCACCGGGTGATCCGCGACTTTTGGAGCATTGCTCGGAAGTTTTCGCCGGAGAAGAAGGCGCAGCTGTTGGAGTTTGTGACGGCCAGTGATCGGGTGCCAGTCAATGGAATTTCGAGCATCATGTTTGTGATTCAGAAGAACGGAGTGGGAGATGCTGTGAGTTGACTTGATCGTCTTATACGGATATACTGATCTACTGATACTGACCATGAACAGCGACTTCCGACCAGCTTGACCTGTTTCGGGCGACTTCTTCTCCCCGAGTATTCATCCAAGGCGGTGCTGGAGGAGAAGCTGGACAAGGCATTGGAAAACGCCCGGGGATTCGGGGTAGCATGAGCGGATTATGTGTATATCCTTGCATTGGGTAGTTTATCATTTTGGTCTGTCTGGGTTGTGCATGGTCTTGTAGACTGTAGGGAGTCTCGTACTCGGTATACTTCGTATAGAGTGTGAGTCAGTCGGGCGACGTTCCTCCGATGTGGCGATGGGTGATTTGTCCTGGATGACCCAGCAGAAAAGTCTGGACGGCCGAAAGTCAACCAGCAATTGAATTTTCAGTGCCAACAATTTCCGGTTGACTGTTAAACAGTTCCTATCCTTGGGTATACTCACTAGGGCAGGGATATACCCCCCACGTATCGTGACTAACCCCGCGACTACCTAACTCTTACTTCTCCCGCATTTCTCATTCTCTTTCTCAACCTCAATCAACTCTCCCTCTCTTCACTCACTATTGACGTCGCCATGCCTCCCATCGTGCACTGCGTTCGCCACGCCCAGGTACTCACCCTTTACCGTCCGCGGGATACAGAGACTAACAGATCCAGGGCGTCCACAACATCTCGGTCGCCAACCACGTCATCCACGACCCCCTCCTGACGGACCTGGGCAACGAGCAATGCCGCCAGCTGCGCGATCGCTTCCCCTTCCACGACCGCATCGACCTGGTGACGGCGTCTCCCCTTCGCCGCACCATCTACACCGCCCTGCAGAGCTTCGAGCCCGTCTTCCAGCGCCGCCCGGATCTGAAGCTGGTCCTGCTGCCGGACGCCCAGGAGACGAGCGACGTGCCCTGTGACACGGGCAGCGACCCGGCCGACCTGCGCCGCGAGATCGACGCCAAGCAGCTGCCCGTCGACGCCGAGTACGTGCACGACGGCTGGAATAACAAGGAGGGCCGGTACGCGCCGACCACGCACGCAATCAAGGAGCGCGCCCGCGCATGCCGGCGCTGGCTGAAGGCGCGCCCGGAGAAGGAGATTGTCCTCGTCACGCACGGCGGATTCCTGCACTACTTCACCGAGGACTGGGAGGATAGCAGTAAATTCCAGGGTGCGTCTTTGTCTTTCGTCTTTCGACTCTTGCGTGGTGAGCATGGAGGATACTGATGAGTGTAGGCACCGGCTGGACCAACACCGAATACCGCACATACACCTTCTCCGCGGAGGAGCACACGGACGACCTGGAGGGCTACCCGCTGGACGGCGACAACGCCACCCTCGTCGAGACGCTGGAGTCGCGCCAGCGCCGCAACAAGGCCGGCCCCATGCCCGACCGCGACCAGCAGCGCGTGCTGTACAGGCTCGGCACGCAGGGCTGGGATGACCAGGGGCTGCAGCTGAGCACGGCGGAGCGCGAGGCGGCCAAGGTGTCGGAGGTCGGCGGCCCGAAGATGTGAACTGTCGACGAGGGATCCTGGCCGAGGGTTTGGTCTGATGGCTGTGCTGCTTTGTTTGTAGATAATGGATGATACATACATTGTTAGATGAATAGAATAGACCGTGGTCCTTGTCGGTTGTTTTGATTGTGTAGACAAAGGGATAAAGGGGTTTGTGTATGGTATTGACCGGGTGAGTACAATGGGTTTATTGGGACAAAGAGGCAGACAGATATATAAGGGTCGATGTGCGGGGAAGATTGTAGAGATCAGACAGCGACATCAGACAGAAACAGAAGACATAGAGTGCCAGGTGAGTCTCCCACCCACAGGCTGATCGTTGACGCATGTCCAGGTTCGATCACTATCTATATGAAGATGAGGTATATGAGTGGTGAGTGCTCCTCCCCGAGAACAGCTGACAGCGCCAGGCGACAACTACAATTATGAGACCGAGTCGAGATATATATATTACGAAAAAAAAAAAGCCTAAGTTACAGCCCTTCCCTGGACGGATCTCTACTGATTCATGCAGGAGTTGTATCGATTCATGTCTATTTGAATATACTATGGAACAAACTCCAGGTACGCCCCCATATATGGAATGGCTTACAGAACAGGCTCCCACAACGGACTATATACGAAAGTAAGAGTGAACGAAAGGATGAAAGACAGACTAAGTTTCTTTCCAAGTCGCGAACATGATCAGAGCTAATCAACTTGCAGTGCAATTCCGACAATCAAAGCTGTATATCAGCGGCTGGGTGGGCGGGCATCTTTTCGCCTCAAGACTTAGTGGTGAGTTGTCTGTCCCTATGTATCTACTACGGTTATAGATATGCACAGCTTGGGACTTTACTTGTGACACTGTTTTATAGATCAGACTATGTCTAAGTGAGCCCCTACTCAGACAAAGACTTACTGACGTGACACTAGATCTATCGCTCCGTACGTTGTCGACAAGATACATCCCGAACGATATTGAACAGGATTTTTCCCTCCTCTCAGGAGCATTCGCTCCTCAACACTCCATGACAAACTTGAACTTATTTATCCTCTCGTCGGAAGTTCTGCAAGCAATGAATCATGTTCATCATCCTGAGTTCCAATAGTATCACCATCTGTAAACATAGCTGTAAGGCCATCGTGCTTAAGCAGTGGTAGTAATGAATAAACACTGCCTCTCCCAGCTGTCCCTGCCACGTCATTCAACATATGTATTATAAAACCAACTGCAGTCGTCACAAGCATACTCTGATAGGATCTTTGCCCTACTCACGTGCAGTCGCGGGGCGGTGTTGATCAGCATCAGCATCTATAAAACGCAACATGCACTGAGCTGACAGAAACAACAACATCCATCTCAAAATGAATCTCTTCCATCTTGCCGTAGGCGCTCTCATCGGCGCTGCATGGCCCTTATGGTCCCGAATAAGAAACACCATCTTCTTGCCCCAGGTTGACCTGGGCTACGAAATCCACGAGGCCCTCTCCTACAACGTAAGACAACTATATCCCACCGAGACAAACTACTAACCCTTAAACCAGCACACAACCGGACACTTCACCTTCCGCAACATCCGCTACGCCCAGGCGCCCATCGGTGCCCTCCGGCATGCACCCCCCGTCGCACCAGCCGGTACAAACCCCGAGGTACAGCGAGGCAACGAAAGCCGGATCTGCCCGCAGGCCTCGCAGGACATTCCCGGTACGACGGAGGACTGTCTTTTCCTGAACGTCATCGTCCCTCGGAGCGTCTTCAACAGACGCGGAAAATGCAAAGCGGACGTGACGCTGCATTTTGTGTAAGGCCCCCTCTACGCCGTATGTTCTGACTCTGCTGACGCGTGTAGCATGGCCAACGATGTACCTGGTGCGATCGTCGATAAGGAGAGTCGTTTCCGCGAGGGACTCGGGGAGAACGTCTTTGTTAGTGCGAATTACCGGCTGGGACGCCTGGCGCAGCTGGAGCCGTCGCTGGCTGGGGAGCTCGGCGGTGACTGTGCGGATTTGGGGTGTTTAGATCGGGGGCTGGCGGTGGAGTGGGTGAGGAAGTATATTCATCTGTTTGGGGGGAATGGGAAGAGGGTGTTTACGATCGAGACTTCATGGTCTTGATGCTGTTTCTATGGTTTCATGGGAAGTCGAGGGTCGTGGACATCTTGGGGTACATACTAGACACCATTGTGAGAGGCTACTGCTATAATGCAGAAATGTGATAGTATTGTGACAGGGGTATATCAGTTCTATAATTTAAAGAGAACGGCACAGCTAAAGAGCATACGGCTTGATCGGGGGCTCTTCGTCCGTCCCAAACGCCAACTTTAAGACATCTAGGACGCCCGCAACCATGGTGGTCTCTGTACCGAGAAAGTCATCGATCGTCAGCCCCGGCGGCAAGAATTGGCCGCAGACGGCGTCCAGATCGATCCGCGATGGTTCACCAGGTCCGTCATGCGTCAATGCATCGACCACCAACGCCCACGCAACAGGATTCACCAGCATACTCTCATGAGTATAAACACTCCCGGCAATCTGGCCCGGACACACTAATTGCACCTGGTTGTTGGTCACGCCGACGGCGCGGGCATCACGCAGGAAGGCGGACGCCTCCGTCCCGATCTGCGGCTGCACGACCTCATCCAAACTCGAGTACAGCGTCGTCGTGGGGACGTAGGCGGAGTCGCCGCCGTTGCTGCGAAGCGTGCGGAGCAGGCTGGTGTTATGGGCTTGCTGGATCAAGGACGGCGTGCAGAGCCTAGACGGGAATCCAGGACAGGGACCGCCCATAAGTGTGCCGTGAAAGTCCGGGCTGACGGGCATGAAATCCTGCACGACTGCGCGCGTGGAGGACCAGTATTTCAAGGCCCATTGCGTGTCGAGGCCACCCTGCGACCAGGAGATCACGCCAATCGTGCTGTTGTTGGACATGCCTGAGAGGTAGTTGATGGCGTAGGCGACGTACTCGGCGTTTATCTGGACGTCGTCGAGGGAGTTCCTGGGGATATTCAGCCACACGGGGTCGGCGAAGCTTGTTGCCAACAGGAGCTTGACAAAGTTGAAATGGTAGGTCAGACCGGCGGGCACGGCGGTGCCCGGCACGAGCAGGACTGGCGTTTTCCCGTTGGCGCCGTATTCGAAGCTCGAGGGGATGTACAGGGCCGAGCGGAGGGTAGCCTCGTCTACTGAGTAGGGTGCGTCCTCGGGGGCCTTCTGGGGGTAGATGGGTGAACTGGGAGACTTGGTGTTGATATTGTTGGAGGAGTTGATCTCGTCGTCCGTGACGCCTTCCAGCAGGTCGAGGACATTGCTTGGGAGTAAGCCGCGGGCCACCAAGTCTAGGGCATACGCGATGTGGTCGAAGGTGCCATTGTGAGAGTCGAGAAGATCGGACAACTCCTTTATAGTCCCATCCACGGATGTGACGGGAGATTTCTTGCCAGTGGAGAGGTCGAGCAGATGGGAGACCAGCAGGTCGACCTCTTGTAATGCGGATGCACCTAAGAAGCCCAATGCCTTGACCCCGTTTGTCACCATTAACAGCGTTTCTGGAAGACTGCGGCGATCCATCGACAACGCAGCCGTCGTAATAGACTGTCCTAGAAGGACGCCGGTAAAGACCGCCATGGCCACGGGCGGATACATTGTGGTAGTGGAGTGAAGACGACGAGGGCTGCAGGAAGAAGTCGACATTCCCTACCTTGGATATGAACATACCAACCACTGCCAACTTTGACATGCCAGTGCAGGTCACGCTTCACATCGAAACTTTGGTGTGCGTCACCATGGCTGTCCCTATTGTAGCTTGGCCATACCATGGCAAGCTCGTTCTCCCATACATCTGGTGGAATGACATGAGGTTGCACAAGATGGGTTCTTAGGGTTGTCCATCCCTTCGGTGGCTTGACACATCGATCGCCCTCGATGTTGGAGTGGAATCGATCTCCGGAATGTATCCCTCTTGGATCTCGGAGGACTCCGTCGGGGTCTCTTGGTTCTTCCGGGATTCCTTATACTCATGAGAGTAGAAGTATAGTCTCAGTCCGATTGGGTGGACAACTGGTTGTCATCACAGCTATCACAATCCGCATTAGATTATCACGGCACATACAATAGTCCGTTGTCAATGTAATGAAGCGAATGTTCCATCGGCACCGAGCGCCTCCAAACAATCACGATAAAAGCCAAGCTTGCGGTCGACCCGCTTGTGTCGACATCGGTCTTCCCCGCATCATCACCCCGATATCCCACACCACACCACACCTAGACTTGCCATACCAACAGAGCACCAGCTCAAACAAAGCAAGACAATGGTCTCCAACACAGACATTACCTACCTCCGTCGGTGCGTCGAGCTCGCCCGCGAAGCCCTACAGGCCGGCGACGCCCCCTTTGGCTCGGTCCTCGTGGACGCCGCCGGGAACATCCTCAAAGAAGACCGCAATCGCACCGTGACCGACGCCGACGTCACGCTGCACCCGGAGCTCACTCTCGCCCTGTGGGCGCAGAAGAATTTGAGCCAGAACGAACGGGCAACAGCAACGGTCTACACGTCTGGCGAACACTGTCCGATGTGTGCTGCCGTCCATGCAAACGTGGGGTTGGGCCGTATTGTCTACGCTAGCTCCTCTGCGCAGTTTGATCAGTGGAGGAAGGAGTTGGGGGTGACGCCTGGGCCTGTTGTGTCCCTTCCGATTAATCAGGTGGCGCCCGGGTTGAAGGTTGAAGGTCCGGCGCCCGGTCTGGATGAGGAGGTTCGGGAGTTGCATCGGGTGAGGTATACCCGGGCGACGAAATCATAGGGTTGGTTTGTGGGTGGTTCACAGCGAGTGGGCTTCTAGCGATGATGGACGATGAATGGATTGATGAAGGATATCACTGCTTCTCATAAAAATTACTGTACTCGTTACACCTCGTCTTGTTCATTATGAGTCTGAGTCTTTGGCTTTTTCTTCCATCTCCATGCCCTCCGAGGCGCGAGGCTAGTCGTGATGAGACCTGGCCCTCCAACTGCCAGCTGGAACGGCGCGAGGTCTTGCTCGGTTTTTGTTTCCTGAGGATCAGAAGAGACTTCAGGTGAATGTGACTGGGGCTGATCGTCCTCCGAGGAAGCTTCCACAAGAGACGACCTCTCCTTAACACTCTCGTCTTCTACCTCCCACTCAACAACCCCCACAACCCCATCATACTGCCCCAGCACATCCAAATCCTCCTTACCCGTATCACGAATCCCAACATTAGATTGATGAATTTTGACATCAGGAATGTGTCGGATATCAATGAAAGACTACATTTCCTCCTAATGATGGTAATACGTACAACTTCCTATGCATCAAAGTATTCGGACAATTGCCTAATTGGGTCATAAGTGTTCAACTCCGACGATACAGTCGTCGATGCATATACATATCATAGATTTCATTACCGTACACCAAAATAGGACTATGGATACATTTTCCTCCCCTTTCCAGCCAGTACCTCGGCGAAGAAATCACGGAAGGTCACTGGTTGAAAGTCCGGATAGAGCTCTCTCGCATTGATATAACCCAGATAGTCGGCATAGTCGGGAGTGTTGTCCCGACGCACGTACTTGCTATGCTGATATTGGGCTATGAAAAGGCTCCTGCGCTTCATGGGATCACGGGGATCCTCACCGAGAGCAGCTTTGGCTTGCTTCACGCTTGCTTCGATGTCTTCATTCGATACCTGGAAATATGCTGTTAGTAAAGTAATCTGCTGAAATGAAATCGACTTACCCGAGTCGGTTCCAGCTTCTCCCCAGAAATCTCCTCCGCGATCCGGTAGATTTCGTTCTCGGAGAGTACCTCTCCAAACGTGTAAACATATCTGTTAAGAGTTCTGTTATCGAGAACGATTCGCGCGACAAATCGCCCGATATCACGTAGGTCGGTAAGCAGATTAGGAGCTGTCCCGTCCCCATGAATTGTCTTCAATGGAGCGATTTGGGCGTAATCCACTTTGCCCGACGGGAGAGTCGGGAATGAGATTTGATACCAATAGCCAACATCGATCACGGTATACGGAATACCCAAGAACTTGATGGCATTGTATATTTCTTCTTTCTACTTGCCTGTTAGTCGGGTCGGCTATTCTTGTCAAATCAGGGTATTCGTACCTCATCACGGAGAAGCATAGCGCCGTTTGGAGGCGCGACGGTGATGAAAGCGCAGGGAACCACTCTTTTGACACCCGTAAGCTTCGCGGCTTGGAGTAGCCTCTTCTGTTGGAGCAAGTCATTGGGCCCAATAGCACTGATGAGAATGTCGACACCAGTCAGAGCAGACACAAGCGCGCTACTGTCGTCAAGGTCTATGGATTGAATCGGGATGCCTTGCTCTTGGAGCTTTTGGACCGCCGGCTTTTTGGCAGAAGCGGGTCGTACTAAAAGCTCCACATCCTAACCAAAGAATAGAAAGAAATAGGTGTCAGGCATGAAAGAGAATGCGATATATAGCCGATTCAACTTACGAAATGGCCACACTCTTGCAGCCCATCCAGGATAGAGCTGCCAGTCTCACCCGTCGCTCCGAGGAGCAGTACTTTCTGCTTGACAGTCATTTGGAGTGAAATTTCCTGAGCCTGCGAAAGGAAATCTTGTATACCGAGACAGGTAGAGTCCTATACACGGGTTGCTAAGCAGATTTAAAGGCTTCCAGCTTCCGTGCGGTCTGTGGAACTACAGACTTGGCATTTGATGCATCCGATATCCGAAGGTGCTTCTGACGGGACCTATGCATCCGATAGTTTATGCACGGAAAGATTCTTTCCGATCCACTATTCAACAACAACAACACTCGAAGTTCACACTTGATTGTAGTTAAATAATACTGACAAATATTTATTAATTCAAAGAAGAGGCAGCCAGTGAACAAGTTAGCATTCAATTTGGATTTCTAATCACTCCTACCACACTAGCGGGCAGAGAAAGATAGAAAGAGAATAGGATGTACATGAGCAAGTCACCTGGAGAAACCTCGATTTTTGCCTTCGCAGGCCCTTTTCCAGTAAATATCATGCCTGCTATTGCCGTCTCTGGGGGCAGGAATGGCCTCGGCCTGGCCACTGCACAAGTATCGTTCGTCCAAGGCGGGCATGCAAATAGGTTTTCGAGTTTCATCTGTGGTATAGAACCTCACAGTCCGGGGCACTAGAATGTGTTCTCCTTCATTCGAGGTATCCAGAGAGCTCGCCGTGGAGTAGCAGGCATTCCTCTCGTCTTTCTCTTCATAAGAAATGCTATGCTAATAAACTTATTGGTCGGAACTATTAACCAAGGTTTATGGAGAATGTGCGCTAATAGTCATGGGCATAGACTTTAGCATGGCGTATTTAGCGCAGGAGGAAAAATGAAGCTGGACAGAGAGATAACTGAGAACTTAGTAGAACAAAAATATTCACATAATATTTCTGAATTCCATACTGATTGTTGCCTTTTTAATGTCTCCTACAGCATTCGGGTAGTTTCAACATTAGACCTTATATTTTGAGAACCATGTTCAAGCATGTTATCGATGTAGTATTCAGTCATTAAAGATCAAATCGCTCATTATATAACAATTGAATGTCTAAATTCACATCCAGGAGTACGAAATTCCTTCAAATAAGGACGATACCTAGGCATACGACTAATTACGTAGGTACGTTACACCGTGAGAGGCCATCGAAGTATTCACGTCCACCTGGGTACGACCGGGGTACGCCATAATCAACAGGTCTACATTGCGACTACTTCACTCGTCTCTGGCCACAATTCTACATATACTCCCCTAATTACACTTGACTCCGGGGGTATTACTTCTCACAGGGTAGACACGTCATGGACTTCCTATATAAGCGAAAGCCGCTCTTATGGTTCTGCACCAAGGCCACGAAACAAAACTATACAATTAGAACTTATGTATTATCCAAAAAAAAATAAGAGCCAGTCACATTTAGGTACTAGTGGATGGGCTTCTGTTACTTATGGCCAGGCAACTAAAGACCATTCCATTCTAGGTGCCCCTTCGCAGGGGTTTTTTTTTTTGGAAATCCGAAGCAATACAACGGACCATATAAATAGGACCATCTCGTCTCGCCTTTCTGGAGAATCACTGCATCATAAACTGCCTATTTTCCATAGACAGCTTCTCTACCAATTTCTCTATCAATTCCAAGGCAATTTGATCTATACTAAAGAAAAAAATCCTTCTCAATCTTCTCTTTCCCGAACAAAATGCGTTTCTCTATCACGGCTATTATAGCTATGGCAGCTGCTGGCGCCATTGCCACTCAGGATGACCACTTCCAGGCTAAGATATGCCCACATCTTGACACCCAAGACCACGGCTGTATTCGCTATACCCGGGGCTTTGATGTGACTGGGGTCCTTACAACCGTGGAGCTGCCAGATATAAAATATGCATGCGATTGTGTTCAAGCCTGCTTGGATAGGCCAGATACTTGCGCTTCATATGTATGGAAATTCGATGAGCCAACAGCCAACCGCCGCACCTGCACGCTGTATTCCAACTTCAACCTTCCATCTGGCGTCGATGTCCTTTACAACCCCACTGAAGTACCAGGTGTTAACCAGGGCCTGAATCCGATCTCCGACAACCCTCAAATCGGTGGCCGCGTCCCGAAAGCTACAAAGAACAACGGCACTGAGTTCGACGATGAAGCGATTTCTGGGCCTGTCTGGCAACTAGAAGGTGGCAAAGTCCAATGTTAAAATACCCCTTTTTCAGCACTTGTTGCTGGGGTTGCGATCGTTTCCTATTTGCCGCCAGACGCTTCTTCATCGGCATTCAGCCGTAAGGGGAATAATAGTTGGAATGATAATATGGTTGTTTGGTGGAAGTCGAGTACTTGAATTGGGTGTAATATCTGATTTCAACAATCATTTGCCGAGTGAAGTCGTGTTGTGGAGTCTGTCTCGACCTTCTGATTTCAACAATCTTTAGCGCCTTTCAGTTGAATTTTAGGTAGTCCGATGTTTACATGATATTTTATCCTTTATTATCTCCAGACGTTGAGCAGATCTAATGGTAGTGTCCGATTTTATAGCATGGAGACGGAACCTGAACATATATAGAGCTTTGATTCAGCTAAATCGGGTACTACAGTCTCCGCCTTCGCCCACTGGGTTTGTGATTAGGTGCACGGCGCTTGTGCCACTTAATGCTGTGCTTAGGATGTGTTCTAAATTTTTGTGAGTAAAGATTAGGTAGGCAGGGTCTGAATGGTGCGCTGATCTAAAGCTCCCGAGTAGTAGTTAAGTGAGACTTGGAGGAACAGGTAAATAGCACAGGTATTAAGCCTCTGCGACGACCCAACGGCTCTAATGATGGTTGTGGTTTCCCCAGATAGACTCCAAAAAAAACGACAGCACCGACGCTTTCTAATCCAAAGTCTCTCTAATAACAGCCAACGAACGTTCGCCGCCTGTAGGCTTCTTCGATAGTTCATATAAATGGCAACAACTACAAAATGAGACAGGAAACACTAAACCTATACTAAATACTGCCCCTACTTTTCAGGTGTCGTCCGTTTCTCAAGGATAGATTATCTGATACAAATGGCGGTCAGTATCTACTATTTTTATTATCTGCTGTGCCTTTCCGGGCAAATATTTAAGATTGCACCTTTATATTCTGGACAGTATAGTTCTAAAGACAATATTCTGAGTTCAGATCAGGCTAATCGACGCGGCAAAATAGGGCGTTGATATCGTAGAAGGAAGGAATATATAACCGTTCAAAGACGGCCCAGAATCAACGATATGCAGAATTTGCATCTGCATCTCAAAGAGTAGAACAACAGGGATGAATCAAGGAGCAGCGACTCAGAGAGTAGGCTGAATATTGTGATTCGAGGGAAGGCTGAATGTTATTATTGAGACTTTCACTATAAACAGCCCAGATCTATGAGGCCTGGGCTGTAATTCCGGCGTTGTTTTCACAGGTCTCTACGGAGTACCTAGTATGTTCTAATTGCAATTCGGAGATGAGCCTCCAGACTAGTCGGGGCAGTGTCAGGCAACGGAATTGAAGATTGACCCAGATTGATTAACCGATTTGTCATATACCAGGTATGAAAGAATCCATCTGCCTAGAGAAGGAAGATCTAGGGTCCTTATATAGTTAGTACCTGTAGTGTAGCAGGCACACAGTATACTCTATTTATAGCCGGTCATGTGGCGCAGTTCTCCACTTCCCGTTCGGCTTCATCATCTCATCATCTCATCTTCTCCAACTTCATCTCCATATTTTCTTCTTCTCTTCTTCTCCCTCCTACCCTCCCGTCTTATATCAATGGACTCCCCGCCGAGCTTCTTCTGCTCTGCATCTTCCCCCCTCTAACCAATCCCGACAGCATGATCGACGAGAACCTTCCCAGTATGTATATGACCTCCTATCCACTACTCCGTACATCTAACATATTAGCCTTCTTCCTCAAACCCACGAAGCAAAAACATCTCTGGACCATCTACCTGGCCCAACATGGCGACGAACCCACCCCCGTCTACACCCTCCGTCACCCCGACCCGAATTCTCCCGACTGCAAGAACCGCTACGCCGTCGCCCTCGCCGACCCCTTCGTCCCGGACGTGATCTACGGCGAAGTCCTGATTATCCCCGAATGGACGCAGCCCAGTCTCTCCGCTGATGCCATCCGCCAGAACGGCGGCGTGACCCCGCCGCCCGAACCCATCCTCCCGACACGCTTCACCGTGCACCTGTACAACCCCGACCAGCAGATCACCGTTCATTTCAAGCCCAAGTCCTGGAACAGTCCGCCCACCTGGTCCTTCGAGATGCCGCAGCACACCTTCCGTCAACCATCGACCTCGGCCCTCGACCACACGCTGACCGACCCGGCTGCTGCCGATACCACACCCAAGCTGCGGTTCAGCTGGCGACGCGACAGCAAACTCTCCAAAGACATGACGTGTTTGCTGTCTGGGAAGACGACCACCCTGTCGGAGACCAAAACCAAACACAAGGAGCCGGACATTACCGTGTCGATCTTCCAAGCCCTGCGCGAAATTACCCTCTACGAGCCGAATCTGTACCGGGGGAGATGAAGGATTTCAGGGGGCTCGAAGGTGGTCCTGTTACTGGGGGCAGTGACGATCCGCGACGTCTACTTTACGCCGATGAAAGGAGTCTTTCCATCTGTCGAAGCCGACCTCGCCTGCCGCGGCGACTACAGCACCTGTGATCGCTCCCCCCAAACCCAGACCCAATAAAGAAACGCCCGCCGTATCAGGAGCGCTGGCCGCTCCAAAACCGGCACCCCACCCGCAACCATCCCCCAAACCAGACCGCCGCAAGCAAGAGCTCGACCGCGAAGAGGAGAAACGTACGAAGAAACTGCTCGAAGAGGAGGAAAAAGCGCGTCGCAAACGCCAAGCAGAAATCGACAAGGAGACGCGTCGTCTGCAGAAGCTCTACGGCCAGGAAGAGCAAAAGGCGCGCCAGCAGGCCCATACTCCGGCCCTGCCTCCGCGCCCGTCGCAAACCCCTCGACCGCAGCAACCGCCGCGGCCACACTCGAGCATGCCGTTTCGACCGCACCCGCACCCGCAATATCACCAGTCGTCGGGCTCCGTGCCGCATGCGCCGCGACCCGGCCCGTACTTGTCCATGCCTGTGAATGACGGCCGACGGCAGTCGTCGCTGGGCTTTGTGCCGATGCAGCCGGTAGCGACAGGGGCACGGCCACCGGGGCCCAAGCCGAAGAAGAGTAGCTTCTTTGGGTTCCGGAAGACGTCAGAGGACGCGAAGCTGGCGAAGAAACGGAGCTCGATGTTTTGACCGAAACTTGTTATGATACCCTACACCTTGTACGTATATACCTAGTAACCATGCATGAATGATATTACTACGAATGCGTCAACGCTGTCCAGACTAGTGTAGCGGTCTCCCCTCGACTCCCTCGGTGGTGATGGTCACCGGCAGGATGTTCCCGTCGGCATCAAACTTCATCCGATCGATACACACCACGCGATGGTCGCGCTCGGTGTCGTTGACGGGGCGCCGATGGTACACGATATAGTAATCCTCGCCGTCGGGGGTAAACACACTGTTATGGCCGGTGCTGGTGCCGACGCGGTCGTTTCCCTGCAGGATTTGGACAGAAGTATTGGAGAAGGGGCCGGTAGGCGAGGACCCAGTGACATAGCTGACGCCGTAGGAGTTGTCGCCCCATCTGCACCGTTAGCTCGTCCATACCCCATACGGAGTATAAGAGAAGGAACTTACCCCCCGACACTATACATCAGATAATACACCCCGCCTCTCTTCATCATCCACGGCCCCTCCACATACCCCGGCGGCGTGATCTCCCTGAACTCTCCTTTGAGGTTCACCATATCCTGCTCCAACTCCACAACAACCGCATGACTCCACCCCCCAAAATACAACCACACGCGTTGCCCCTCATCATCATCACGAAACACCTGCGCATCGATCGGCTCCGCGCCAAACACCGTGCTCCCGACCAGCGGGGTCCCGCGCGCGTCTTCGAACGGCCCCTCCGGCCGCCCGGTCACAGACCTCGCAACCCCGATGCCGGCGCCGTCGCCGGCGGAAAAGTACATGAAGTAGTCGCCGGCCAGCGAGCGGGCGACGGACGGCGCCCAGGCGGCGCGGTTGGTCGACCACGGGATGGCGGTGAGGTTGAGGATGTGCGGGTGTTTGGTCCAGGTGAGCAGGTCGGGCGAGGAGAAGGCGTCGAAGAAGGTCTGCGCTTCGTAGGCGGCCGAGTAGGTTGGGTAGATCCAGTAGGTGGTGCTGAAGATGCGGGCTTCCGGGTCGGCGTACCAGCCGGGGAAGATGGGGTTGCCGGATGTGTGGTGCAGGGGGGATTGGAGGGAGAGGGTGGGGGATATGAAGAGGAGGAGGGAGAGGATTGTCTTCATTTTGTATGTATGTATGTATGTGTATAGGTTGTAGGTAGAGAAGAGAGGGAGTGTATGAATGGAGTGTATGGAGGTGTAGAGGTCAGATGCAATGCAGATCTGCGGGGGAAGACAGGGATGTGTTCTATTTACAGCCGGAATGGCTGATTCGTGTTGTTTATCCAGGCTGGGATTGTGATCTATCATGGATGGGTTGATGTCGTTGGGTACACACTGTCTGTATACTACCTACTTGTATACTCCATATAGTAACGATATCATACTCGAGGTCAATATTACTACATCTATACGAGCTCCACAAACACGAGCATCGTATCTGAAGATCCGACCCATCGACTTAATTATAGAAGCACCGCGCTTAGCGCCCAATCACCAGCGCAGGATATTGTTCGCAGTACGAGCGTCTTCGGGAGGATCCCTCGTTTACCGACTTGGGAATACATTCAGCTGGCTGCTCCGACGGTGGATACACGAGCGTCTCATCTTCAACACGCACAACGCAGGAGCAGGCCCAGCGACATCGTATATCATGGGGCGATTCTGCGATTCTCCATCGTATCATCCGTATCGCGACAATCCTCATCATTCGCCTCTCATAAATATGCCTCCACGAGCCCTCGCCCTCACCCTCACCCTCACCCACAGCAAAGCAAAGCGACCTCTCCTTTCGATGCTATCCACAGAAGATGGTCGGCGTCCCGCACAGCACCGGCTGCGCGCGTTGTCGCGAACGGCGCATCAAAGTATACATCTCCCCTCTCCCACCCCGTCACCGTCTCCTCTAACACACACCGGCAGTGCGACGAAGCAACCCCCCACTGCACCCAATGCCGCCGCTACGGCCGTCCCTGCCCAGGCTACAGACGCACATTCCGCTTCCAAGACGAGCGTCCGGCCCTCGAACGCCGGCACCAGTCGAGCAGCGCTCAACCGTCCCCGACACCACCGCCACAGCGCACGCTCCCCGACGCCGCCGCCCTCACCCTGATCCAGGCACACATCGCCCGCGACGACTCCCCCCGAAGCATAACCCCCTTGCCACAGCAGCAGCAGCCTGCCCTCTTCGCCGAAGAAATGCGCACCAGCTTCCCCGCGCTCTCCTCGCAACTGCGCATCCGGCGCCCAGGCACCGACTGCGCCGCGCACATCGCCGCGAGCTTCGGCCAATCCGCCGTGCAGGACGGCGCGGTGACCTGCGTGACGGCGATGGTGCGGGCGGCGCGGACGCACGACCGCGGGCTGATGAAGACGGCGCGGCAGGCGTACGCCGCGACGCTGCAGCAGGTTGCGTGCGCGCTGCAGTCCACCCACACCCACACCTCGGCGGAGGGGACACAGACACAGTCTGAGAGCGCACGCGGGGCGGACATGTTGGCGGGGGTGATGATGCTGAGCGTGTACGAGCTGTACGCGCAGACGCGGCGGGACGCGTGGATGGTGCATGCGGAGGGGGTGCGGAGGCTGATGGGGTCCCGCGGGGCGTCTGCGCATGGCAGCGGCTGGGGGCGGGCGTGCTACCTCGCGTTCCGGGGGCTGCTGGTGGCGGCTGCGGTGCAGGAGGGGACGGCGTGCTTTCTGGCGGGGGAGGAGTGGGTGGAGTTGGCGCGGAGGGTGCGCGCGGAGGACGTGCGGCGGGCGGGACAGTGGGGTGGGTTTGTGGGTGCGGCGGACCGGGCGTTCATGGAGGTCGTGCTGTGTCCTGGGTTTCTGGCGGAGGCGCGCGCCGTGCGGGAGGAGGCGGCGCTGCGCGGGTTGGTGGTCAGGGTGCGGGCGTCGCGGGGGCGGTTGGTGAGGGTGGCGGCGGAGTTGAGGGCGTGTGTGCAGGCGGGGATGGGTGCGGCGCTGGTGCTGCAGGGGGTGGAGAGTGCGGTGGGCCTGCTGGATGGGCTGCTGGAGAGACTGCGCGAGAACGAGGTGCTGCCGTTTCGCGTGGTATCGGCGCTGGAGCGCTGGTTGGCGGCGCCGTCGGGCGCGAGGGATGTCACGGCGCTGGATCGCGTGGCGTCGTCGATGGGGATGCTCGGGACGGTGCTGGTGGTTCCTGAGATGTCTTGATAGATTCGTTACTAGTGTAAGCTATAGGCAGGCATGGAGCTGGAACTTCATTCATAGACGCATCAATATATACAGGCATGGCGCATTACAAATGACAAGGCTAATAATCCATTGACTGCTCTAGCAGACTCCTCAGCTCCGCCTTTTCGGCCTCCAGCTCCTCGTTGAGGTTGGGCGCTAGCATGAGTACGCGCTTCTGCGGAATCGTGCCTTCAACCAGCGACTCGACGTCGGACGGCTTGAAGCCCAGGTCTTTGAGTCCCCGGGGCTGGTCGCCCAGACGGCTGAGGAAGCTGGCGATGGCCTCGCCGAGCACCTCGCCGGCGCTTTCGCGCTTGACGTTGGAGATATCCACACCAAATGCCTCGGCCGCCGCCAGATGGCGGTCCGGGTTGGACGCGGCGGTGAAGCGGAAGACGGCCGGGGCCGTGACAGCCACCGAAACGCCGTGGGGAATGATCGGGTGGTCGACGTCGTAGCCGGCGTGCTTGTATCCCGGGTTCTGGCTGGAGATGGGGTAGCTCATGCCGTGGCACAGATGCACGCCGGCGTTGCCGAACCCGACGCCCGCCAGGGTGGCGGCGAGCAGCATCTGCGACTGCGCCTCAAAGTCATCCGGGTCGCGTACCGCACGCGGGAGGTACTTGACGGTGCTGCGCAGGGCCTGCAGCGAGAAGATGTCGGAGATGGGGTTGGCGCCCTGGTAGGCGGGGCGGTTGATGGGGTTGGTGGGCCGCGGGGTGCGCTCGTTGTACGGGATGGCGGTCCACGACTCGAGCGAGTGGCAGAGCACGTCCAGCCCGGACGAGGCGTGCACGGCCGACGGCATGGTGCGCGTGTTGAGCGGATCGCAGATGCCGAGGGTCGGCTTGAGGTTGCGGTGGGCGATACCCGTCTTTGCCTTTTTCGACACGAGGTCGAAGATGGCGGTGCCGGTGGTCTCGGAGCCCGTGCCGGCCGTCGTGGGCACGGCGACCAGCGGCTTCAGCGGCCTGGTCACGGGGAGCCCCTTGCCCAGGGGCGCGTTGACAAAGTCGAGAAAGTCGGCCTCGGGGAAGACGGTGTAGAGGTTCATCAGCTTGGCGGTGTCAATGACAGAGCCGCCACCCACCGCCAGAAAGGCATCGGGATTGTAGGGCTTTGCAAAAGCAATCGCTTCCTGGACGCTGTAGTCCTTTGGCTCGACGCGCACCTTGTCGAACACGGTGAACTCGATGCCCTCGCGACTGAGACCCTCAATAGCCTGCTTCATCGCGTCCAGCTTGGCGACATTCTGGTCGGTGACGACGCAGACGCGCTTGGCCTTCATGTTGGCAAAGTCCATGCCGACCTCCTTGGTGGCACCCGGGCCGAAACGGATGCTGGAGGCGGCCATCTCAAAGGCGTACTCCTTCTGCCGGGAGGGATCCGTGGGAGTGGCCATATGGCGACGCACATGGTCCGCCAGAGTCGGAGAGCGATGGTGATGATGGTGGTTGGGGTTGGAATGACAGGGACAGGAGGGCGGATGCGTGTATTGCACAGTGCGCAGGAGATTGAGGGCGCGGTTGGCGGCCGAGGGGGCCACACGGATGGTAGGAGAGACCATATCGGACGTATGGAGTACGATGTGAGAGCGTGGAGGGTGGTTAGAAGAGAAAGGGAGATGATGGGAAGAAGAATAAGAGAAGACGAGAGGAAGTTGGAGAGATGGAGAGGATTTTGTGGGGAAGTGCGGGGAGTTCGGCAAGAAGGCCGAGGTACCTATACACTGCATGTGTACGGAGTAAATCCCGCTTTTCGTCGACACCCGGAGAAAAAAAGGGATACATGGGATTGGAGTATAATATCTTATCCCTACAGCTATACTACCCAGACTCATGGGAATACGTATACTTGTGTGGTGGTGGTAGGAGATGCAGATGACCCAATCGGGAAATACCATCGGGAACCTACTATGTACTATAACCGTACCTGATAGCTACTGTAGCTACTGTCGTCCTTGATCTGTTATCTCGCTATACCAGAAACATTCTGCCATCCTCATGTTTCGACCACGATCACGTCAGACGGTGACAGCTGCCAATTAAGGTATGATATCACATGTCATCAAACACGTGACGTATTAAACATATCTTGTTGTAAGCGCCTGCTCGCCTTCGTACTTCCCTATAATTTCCACCTTCCCACTTCCTTCTTCTCACCTTCTTTACCTTATCGCCCAACATGGAGACTCCATACTCGAAGCTCTCATGTTCTGGACGCTCACATTCTGAACCCTCATATCTTGAAGCCTCGTGTCCTGACCTCTCGCGTCCTGAGATCCTGTCAGTCAAAGCCGGCTGCGAGGATCCTCTTGAACAACTGGCAACGGAAGTACAGCAGCAGACATTTACCACCAGCAGGAGGTTGCAAGAATCATTAGGACGTCGCCACCAAGACCTTCTGCAAGGTCGAATTGACGATCAATATCTTGTGTTCACGTCTGTTCCTTCAGCAGAATCTTCGAGACTAAGCGATGATGGGACACAAATAAGCAAGTATTGTCGATTCTTCTTCAATGAAGACACGCGAACCTTGATTGCGAAAATCATACCAAACCCCGCACATGGACTTGCAATAAGATCGTTTGACGCGCTGATAATGCTTGAGCTTAACGCGATAAACGTCCTTGATGATATGAGCCCCCTCGGCTCGAGCACGGTAACCATCGGAGATTGGAAAAAGGAGGCTGACTGTTGCTGGGGCCCGGAATCACAAAACGGGAAGCTAAGTTTTGTGGTAGAAGTCGGGTTGTCCCAATCTTCGCGACAGCTTGCACTTAGCGCACGCAGTTGGCTCGAGACTCCCTTGTCATCTGTCAATCTCGTGGTAACGATTAACGTAAACCAACAAAGCCCTGAAGTTATTCTACAACGATGGGAGCTCGTTCGCCGTGAATACGGTATTATTACTAGGTTTAATCCTCTGTCGGCGCGTCGAACTACATACCTCAAACTCTCCCGAATCAACAACACGACATCAGTTGCAGGAGAGGCTTACGTTAACAACACAACTATACCGATTACACGACTAGACCTTCCGTTTGAAAAGATCGTCGGCCGTCCTCCGCGCAAGTCTGAAGAAAGAGATTTGGTAATACGCGAAGAGCAGCTGAGAAAGTTTGCAGATAAAATCTGGCGTCTGCAAGGTCTTGTATAGATAGTCTTAATTCTAATATGTTGCTGATGGCTCGCGTATTCACGCTGATGAATGGTCTATTTGTAACATTCGTTACTATGGAGTAGGAGACTACCTGATCATGGGCTTCTGTCACGTGTATATTATCTCATGGCTACGAGAAAAAGATTGCGTCTTGTATGAAGCATGGCCTTCGAAGAATTAAAACAGTCAGAGTCGATTGAAACGATTAAGACTATTCCATGACCGGATTCCGCGCAAGAGCAGTCACCCCAACAGCGCCAGCCTCTATGTCTATGGTGTGCCAATCTACGCACCAACAGCAACCGCTTTTCCAAACAGCCTCTCCCACTTCATACCCAAAGCCGCCAGCAACATCACCCCTCCAGCAACAGGAACCAAAACAAACGTCATCTGCATAGCCTCGGTGACCGCCTGAATAGCCTTCTCCCGCAGCTCCCCGTTCAAAGTCTCAAACAACGGGCTCTGTGCGCCGGCCGTAGCCCCCTGAATGGCCTCTTGGGAAAAGCCCTGCCCAGCCAGAGCCGCAGACAGTTTCTGTATCACCTCGGACTGGTAGATCTGCCCGGCGACAGCGAGCGCAATTACCTGGCCGCCGATCTGGGAGACATTCTGCATCTTGAGGCCCGCGCCGGTGTCCTCCGGCTTGAGGGTCAGCGTGGCGACGGTATACCCCATCACCATCGACAGACCCGTGCCCACCGCGACGATAATCGTCAGTCCGTAGATGGTGCCAGTAGACGTGGTGGGATCGAGGTACACCATCAAAGGCCCGCCGCCAGCGACCAAAAACACCCCGGCGATGATGTACAAGACCTTGTAGACCTTGATGAAGTGGAGGAAGGTGTTCGACACCAGGTTCACGGTCACGCCGATGACAACGAATGGGAGGAGCCGCACAGCAGCCATCAGCGCGCCGTCGCTATTCACAAACTGAAAGTAGATGGGGATGTAGTAGACGACCACAAACAGGGTGGTGGTGCCTGCGGCCGTGACGACGTATAGGAGCACCTGTGTGCGGCTGCGCAGGAGGTGTCCCGGGAACGCGCGCCGGCTGGGGGTGGTCAAGACGGCGAAGTACTGCTGCAAGACATATGCCACGAGAACGAGGCCAAACACCACAAAGGTGGCAATGGTTCGCCCGTCCTTCCAGGGCCATTGGGCGCCGGCCATGGTGAAGGCCATGAGGAAACTGACCCACGTGCCAGCGCCCAGGACGAAGCCGGCGAAATCAATATACCCTAGGCGTTTCCGCAGCGGCGTGCCGGGCATGGGGTCGATGGCCGGGAGGCAGAAGACGAAGGCTGGGGCCGAGACGCCGCCGATGACCAGATTGATGTAGAAGGCCCAGCGCCAGGTGGCCGATGAAACGGAAAACGCACCCCCAATCACCGGCCCCAAGACGGCCCCGAGACCCCAGGACACGCCGATGAGTGCCATGTAAAAGCCGCGTTCCTTCTCGACGGTCATGACGGCAAAGTAATTCAAGGAGCCGAGATAGATGCCGCTGCCGCCCGCCCCGGCAATGACCCGGCCGACAATCAAGGCATTCATGTTTGGGGCAGCGCCACAGAGGGCCGAGCCGACCTCAAACAGCACGACGGTGGTGATATAGACCCATTTCATGTTGAAGGTGCTGAACAGCGTGCCCAGCAACAAGATGACACACACGGAACCCAAAGGGAAGCCGGCCCCAATCCAGGCGAGCTGCTGGACCCGGCCAAACGCCTCGATCACCGGGCCTTGCACGTCGGCGGCAATGGTCGTATCGAGCCCGTACAAGAAACAGGTGATGTAGAGAGCGACACAGACGACGAGCCAGCGGAGACCACGCACGGTCCTGCCCGTCTCCTCCGACTCGGCGGAGGAACCATTCTGGGAAGACGACTCTGGCGGTTCCGAGTCCTTCTCCACGTCTTGTATTTGGTGGTTTGGATCTGTGAGAGCTGACATGGTTGAGGTACAGATCAGAGATGAGCCATGCGTGGGGGAGGGAGTATAAAAGTAAACAGTACTTACTCAGTACTCATACAGAATCGGCCTTTCTAATGCGAGAACAGAAAGAATGCCGATTACCAATCTCCCTGAGATCAAGAAAGCAGCAGCAATTTGTTAGAAGAACGATTTCTCATCACCACAAATACAGAGAATACATAGATTGGAGGTTCATGAAGGATTTACCTTCTGGGCCGCCAACACTCTATCTTGACGGAAAGAAATCCCCCCGAATGTCTCCGGTCGGCGACATTCACGTCCTTTGTTCGATCGTTTTTGGGAAGGAAAACGTAATCAGGTTGCGTTGATTATTGAACCTGAGAAATCAAGAGGAAAACGTATCAGAGGGGGAATGTGGGGGGTAGTGTATACTGGTCCGGAACTATTTGTATAGAACCCTCCCCATCCGCGCCGGTCACCTGTTGCAACAGTTCGTCTTTGAGATCCTGTCGAAACACAAACCACAGGCATAATCCCCAACTGCTTTGCAATGCAAATCCCATTGTTTCTCAGTCTGAACGTGGCGGATGACTCCTTGAAGTCGGCTCTTTGGCGTTTATACACCATGATGTTGAACTCAGGGTGTTTCCGGAGGAATGCCGCGGCGGCGAGACCGGCAATTCCGCCGCCGATGATGGCGACGTGAAGTCGGCCTGGAGCGGTATTGTTGCTGTGGAGGTCCATGATTATCAGGATAGAGTTGGGCATACTGTAGTCCGAAGGATCGCGATCCTGGCCGCCGGGTAGTTAGTATTCAGGACACTTGCGTCAAAAGTACTATGCAGTGGACCCGGCTCTACTGATCCTTCCCCGGTCGTTGTTCTCGGCGAATTACCGGTGGATTGTATCATGGAAGCTATCAAGGCCCTTAATTGGTCATATCGCGGAATAACCTCGTGTGATTCAAATTACGCACCATGCTCTTCCAGATGCTAATCGCAGTCGTGTAACCACCTGCTTCTACACGATATAGAACGTCCTGCCGTCCCTCACAGCACTCTCGGCATAGAGGAATCTCGCATATGGAGTTCCTCTCCATGGGTATGTGACATAGGGAAAGGGGAGAGTCCGACACGGCGGCTGCTCGAGGTTCCTGGCAAGAACAATCTAGGCGTGTAGTAGGGGCTGTCAAATTCGCACACCATTCCGATGCACATCGTCCATATTTGCCTGCGACATTTCCTCTTAAGGCCAAAGTCTCCGACACGGACCGGTGCATCTGTATAAGGCCACCTGCACTTAGGGACGTTATGAGGCAGGCGCTCGAATGTGAGGTTCCTGCCCCATTACTGTCAGATGCCGTATCTCGTTCCCTTTGCATTTGGTGGGTGAAGATATCTCCAACGACTTGCGTTAGCATGATAGCCTCATACCACCCGGTAGGGTGGAAACCGTTAGCCTCTAAGGCAACCGCATATCACGCTGCCAGCCACCAACCCCAGGCATTGCCGTAATCCCGCTAACGGTGTACTCGTCATCTAATGCTGGGAAGTAGATCCTCGGCTATACTTATCAAACTATAAGCCAAATCCGGTAAGATGGGCCGCGGAGGGCAAGCCACCTGCCTAATTAGGCCAATTAGGCCTAGCGCCCTACGCGCTATGATAGAGCCGGTCATCTTCATCTTCCTCCTAGGAGCAATAAAGCAAGCATATCTCCGAGTCCCTTTCGAGTCCCTTTGACAAGACCGACTGCAATCAGATAGCTATGGAAGGCCATCTGAATCCTTTCGAAACACATGGACTCCGTCTATCGTCTTAAATGCGGCAAACTTTATGCGATCTCCTGCAAAGATGGACATCCAGACGAGATGCCGCGGAGACTAGACCATTCGAGAGCCGGATTGGGGCTATGACTGGTGGTTTGGCGCAATTCAACAATGAGGGCATCCCATTCAAGGCACTCCACGGTCATAAAAGGCCGTGGAATCACAGAGATGGGTGTGTGGCATGGCTAGATCTCTTGTGCATTCACAAACACATACACTCAGCAATCACGAGTCTAGTTCTTTTGTCTTTCTGCACACGCCATGTCTACCATGACAGAAGGCCCACACGCACCCGTCGCCATCGTCGGCATGGGTAAGATAGCCCCGGTCCTCCTGTGTGATAGACCATACTCACACAGATGTTACTAGGCTGTCGATGGCCAGGAGGAGTCCGTGCTCCTCCCGCGCTGTGGGAGTTCCTCAAAAATAAGGTCAACGGCTGGCGGGAGTTCGACGACCCGCGCTTCTCGACTCGGGGCTTCCACCACCCGAATGCAGACCGGCCGGGTACGTTTTCCATGCGCGGTGCGTTCCTGGCCGATGAGGACGCCCGCCTGTTCGACCACGCTTTCTTCGGCATGACGCGCCTCGAGGTCGAGACCATGGATCCGTCCCAGCGGAAGCTCCTCGAGGTGACGTATGAAGCATTGGAGAATGGAGGCGAGACGTGGGAGAGTATTTCGGGGACGCGGACGGGAGTGTTCGTGGGCAACTTCTGTCTCGATCACTGGATGATCCAGTCCCGAGACTGGGATAACCCGAGACCGTACGCGTTCACTGGTGCCGGCACCAGTATTCTTGCCAATCGGATCAGTTACATCTTCAATCTCCAGGGGCCAAGGTATGTTAACATGCCAATTCGGTCGGCCTCCAATCGTTAGGGAGAATATTGACCCCGTCTCCAGTCTTACGGTCGACACCGCTTGCTCGTCATCCATGTATGCCCTGCAATTGGCAGTCAATGCCATTCGCGCTGGGGATTGTGACTCGGCGATTGTGGCGTCCGCAAACTGGATTGCAGACCCGGGCGTGCAGATTGCACTGGACAAGCTCGGCGCATTGTCTGCCTCGTCGAGATGTCACACCTTTGATGCCCGCGCGGAAGGCTACGCCCGTGGGGAGGGCTTTGCGGCCATCTATCTGAAGAAGCCATCTCTGGCGATTGCGGATCGATCCCCGATCCGTGCAATGATTCGAGGGGCGGCAATTAATTCCAACGGCCGGACCGGCGGAATCACACGGCCGAGCACCGCGGGCCAGGAGGCCGTCATCCGGGAAGCATATCGAAATGCGGGCAATCTGCCTTTCGCCGACACAAATTACTTCGAATGCCATGGCACCGGCACGTATGTCGGGGATCCCATTGAAGTGTCTGCCGTGGGAAAGGTGTTTGCGGGCGAGAGGGAGGCGGACAACCCATTGCTGATCGGTTCTGTGAAAAGCAACGTCGGACATAGCGAGGGAGCCAGTGCCCTGGCATCCATCATGAAGGTTGTGCTCTCTCTCGAGCGCGGGGCGATTCCCCCTGTGTTTGATCTCCAGACATTGAACCCGAATATCGACTTCGAGGGGGCGCGGATGAAGCCTGTAACCGAGGTGACCCCGTGGCCTGAGGGGCTGCGAAGAGCAAGCATCAATTCCTTCGGATACGGCGGTGCCAATGGGCATGTCATCATTGATCACGTCAACAATGTGCTTCCGGACTATGTGGCGCCAGGTGTCTTCAAGCATTCAGCAAACCGCACGAGCAATAGCCACAGCAATGGGTATTCAAATGGGAATGCCAACGCACAACCAATGCACCATAGTCCCATCCTTGTGAGTCCAAAGTTGACCTCAACAGCCACCGCGGCGACGCGCCAACTAGTTGTCCTACCGTTCTCAGGCCACAATCAGGCATCATTGGATGCGAATATTGATGCATTATCCAAGGTAATCGACCAATACCAGCTAGCAGACGTTGCCTACACCCTGGGAGCCCGACGTTCCAGACTAGCTCAACGATCCTTCCGCGTTGTCGACAAGAACAACGTCGCTGAAGGCCTCATGGTGGCGAGAAAGCCTGTGCGGGCGCCATTACAGACGAGCAAAGTCGGGTTCATTTTCACTGGTCAAGGAGCTCAGTGGCAGGCCATGGGCGCGGGTTTGTTCGAGTACGGTGTGTTCCGGGAATCGATCCAGTATCTTGACCATGTCCTGGGTTCACTTCCTGACGCCCCTTCATGGTCGCTGCATGACATCCTCGCTGGCCGCTGCGACGAGAATTTGGTCCAGGCAGCCGAGGTCTCTCAGGCAGTATGCACAGCCCTGCAGATCGGCCTTGTCGACCTTCTGGCCTCATGGTCCATCAGGCCTTCGGGCGTTGCCGGTCATTCGTCTGGTGAGATTGCAGCAGCCTATGCATCAGGTCGAATCACCGCCGCCGAGTCGATCATCGCGGCATATTTCCGGGGTCAAGCGGTGTCTAAAAATACGCGACAAGGTGCCATGTTGGCCGTCGGTCTCGGACCTGAACAGGTCGGACCATATGTAGCCGGTAAAGAAGAAGAGGTCAAGTTGGCGGCAATCAACTCCCCAGGCAGCGTCACTCTATCTGGAGAGGTTGGGGCAATTGATGCGATTTCCGCCGCCCTGACGGCGGACAGTGTCTTCAATCGCAAGCTGAAAACCGGGGGCAATGCGTACCATTCCCATCACATGCTCCCCCTTGGCCGTGAATATATACAAATGTTAGCCACTGGTATGGAGCATGTCCGAAAATTTGGACTCCTGGATGAGCAGAAACGCTATCCGCACGTCCCCTGGGCGTCGTCCGTCACGCCCAGCAAGCTCACTACCGACCTCAAGGACGCGGCTTCATACTGGAGATCCAACCTGGAGTCTCCAGTCCTTTTCTCGCACGCAGTGACTAGGCTCATGAATATGGAAGATGTTCCGATCCATGTTTTCGTGGAAATCGGGCCGCATCCTGCGCTAAAGAGCCCGATAGAACAGACACTGAAGACCCAGGGCAAGGCAGCTGCTTATGCTTCGACTCTGAATCGCCAGGAAGATAATCGGATGTCAATGCTCCAGCTCGCCGGGACTCTGTTTGGCTTGAACGCGAGCGTTGATCTTGCGGCGGTCAATGCGGTAGATGGCAACCACGGTCGTCTAGAACACGGCCGCACGTGCATTGATCTTCCTCCGTACCAGTACACATATACAGGACTAAATTACCACGAAAGCCGAGCAAGCAAGGAGTATCGTTTGCGGTCGATCCCCCGCCATGACCTATTGGGGTCCAAGGTTGTTGGCAATGCAAAGCTCCGGCCGCAGTGGCGCAATATTCTCCGTCTGAAGGATGTGCCATGGTTAAGTGACCATCGCCTAGTGCCAGGTAAATTCTTTTTGGCGCTTTGGTGAATCCAGACTGACCTCGGAAATAGATGCTGTCCTACCGGGCGCTGCATACATGGCCATGGCAGTGGAAGCCGCATCCCGCATCCACGAGGAGTTCCCCGAGCCGCCCAGGATCAAGGGTTATTCTCTCCTAGATGTAGCCATCAAGCGAAGCCTGACAATTCCAGAGGATGACTACGGGGTCGAAATCCTCACCAGCATGGAGCTTGTCGACGTCGCGACCGCCAAGTCTCCGGCATGGGCATCATTCTCCATTAGTTCGGTGGACCGAGAGACGGACCAATGGGCCGAGCACTGCACTGGGCTGGTCAAGGTCGAGGTTGCAGAAGTCGATCTGATGCCCGGCGTTCAAGATATCGGAGACCCTCCCCGGCGAGCCGATGCACAGGCTTGGTACAAGCGGTTTGCCGCCATCGGCCTCGGGTATGGCCCGGCCTTCCAGCCTCTGTCGTCCATCCGCAGCGATCCAGACCGACACTTGGCTGTCGCCAACCTTTCTCTGCATACAACCTCTGGGCTCATCAAGGGCGGCGAGTCAAAGTATCCTCTGCACCCAGCATCATTAGATGGCGCCATTCAGCTGGGGCTGATCGCGGCTCATGGAGGCCGGCCGGGCGACGCCGACACGGCGTATGTGCCAGTCCAGCTGTCTCAGCTGTATATTTCGAGTGACATCCTCGGAGAGACCTGCGCAGTCGTTGCCCGGGGAGAAAGACGGGGGATCCGCGCTGCGTACCTTGACTTACAAATTCTGGCTCCGAATGGCGACGTAATGCTCCGCGCTAATAACCTCCGTTGCATCAGCTACTCCTCTGAGGCCAAGATCCTGAACCGGAACTTCAGCAGCCCATACACGCGTCTGGTGTGGAAGCCTGCAATTCACGCTATGAGCAATCACCAGGCTCGTGCACTTTATCCCCCACCAAAAGAGAATGTGGACAAGTCAGCCAAATGGGGCATCACGAACAAGCTCGCTTACTTCGTGGTGTATAGCATATATGAGCGTTTTGGTAGGCAGCAAGACGGGCCGAGACCCTCTGGTGATGTGGGCCACTTTTTCTCGTGGATCCAGAGGAAGGGACAGTATGATCACTCCCCCTTGATGGAGGAGGCCCGGCAGCTTGCCAGCCAGGGACGGCTCCTGGAGGAGATGGGAAAGCTGGTCAGCCAGGCCCCCGATGTGTTGGAAGTGAAGATTGCCAAGCTTCTCCATCATAACATGGGCGACGTTCTGTACGAACGCAGAACCGGCGTCGATATCATCATCGCCGAGGAATTGCTCACGCCGCTCTACCAATCGGGTCTGCTCATGACTGGCATTTACCCGCAGCTCTATCATGTTCTGGACGGAATTGCTCATTCTGACCCCAACCTCCGCGTGCTAGAGATCGGCGGCGGTACCGGCGGTGCGACACGCATCGCCATGCAGGCGTTTAACGGTCCCAACGGGATCAAAGCCTACCGGGACTATACATTTACCGATGTTTCCGCGGGCTTCCTGTCGTCAGCTCGTGAGTTGTTGTCTGAGTTCCGTGACATGAACTTTTCCGTGTTTGACGCGGAGGTTGATCCTGTCGAACAGGGGTATGAACTTGAAGTGTACGACCTGGTCATCGCTTGCCAGGTTCTTCACGCCACCTTCAACATGCACAAAACCCTGACCAATTGCCGCAAGCTACTCAGACCTGAAGGTAGACTTGTTCTCGTGGAAACGAACCAGAACTTTATCGTCCCCGGTGTCGTCGTTGGCACCTTTACTGGGTACTGGGCTGGTATCCCGGATGGCCGGGTGGATGCTCCGTTCCAGAGTCTGGATGCTTGGGACTCGTCCCTGCGCAAGGCTGGTTTCTCGGGGCTTGATATCGTGCTGGACGATTTCCCTGCGCCACATAACACTACCTCTGTCATTGTTTCCACTTACACCCCGGAGTTCAAACGACCTAAACAGGACCACATTCATGTGCTCTATAGCACCGAGACCAGCCCGGCGCTTGTTGAACACATCTGCGAGGAATTCGAACAACAGGAGGTAGTAGCTAAATTCGGTCCACTTGACTCGGCTCTGGACAGCGTTGGAAGCGAATCCCGCGTGGTTGTGCTTCTTGATGAGAAGCACCTTCTGGTCGATGCGAGTGATGGTGACCTGGCCATCTTCCAGCACCTTTCCCGGAATGCGGCCAGCCTGGTAATTCTTACGAGCTGCGGGGTGACCAAAGGACGCTATCCCGATGGTGCTATCATCCCCGGCCTCCTCCGGGTCCTTCAAACAGAGAATCCCGTCGGCCAATACATATCAATCGACATGGACGCCGACAATTTTACGGTGGGAGATGGCGAAGCGAGCGAACTTGCTCGCTGCGTTGTTGACCAGCTATTCGCATCTCAGAACAGCATTCCAGTAGACGACGAGGGCCTCCATGCAAAAGACCGTGAGTTCGTCTGGCAAGACGGCTGTCTGTGGGTCAGTCGCCATGTACCTGATGCAGGCTTCCACTCGCAACACGGCATCGATAGTCGAAACATGAAGCCTCAGATGCTGCCGCTGAAGAGCTACAGTGCCGTCCGGGCTACATTCGAGACCCCGGGGGTGTTCAATTCCCTGTGTTTCAAAGCCTACGAGGAGCTCTTGCAGCCCTTACCTGCTGACTTTATCGACGTTGAAGTGGCAGCGGTGGGCTTGAACGCTACCGACCTGGACCACTGGGCGGGCCGCGTCGATTCCAACAGTCTCTCCTCTGAATATGCAGGTGTCGTCACGGCGGTTGGCGCCAATGTCGCCCATCTGAAGGTTGGAGACCGCGTGTATGGTCTCGGAAAGGGCCATTTTGGCAACTACACACGCGTGCCAGCTTGTCTGTCTAGCAAGCTGGACGCCGCGGACGATATGGTCCAGATGGCCTCCATGCCCGTGGCCTACATGACCGCCATTTTCGCCCTGGACCACGTCGCACATGTCAGGAAGGGGCAAAGCGTCCTCATCCAATCCCCCACTACCGACGTTGCCCTCGCATCAATGCGTCTGGCAAAAGCAAAAGGGGCAGTAGTTGTGGCCATGGTCGAGACGTCTGAGGAAGCCCGCTTTCTCGAGACCGAAATCGCCATGCCAGCCTCTAATGTGTGCGCCGGATTCACAACGGCCTGTCTCCAGAAAGCTGCCGAAGTGGCTCCCCAGCGCGGGTTCGATATAATCTTGAGCACCGTGCACGGCGAGTTTCTGCGGTCGTCTCTCCAGATCCTACGGCCCCTGGGCCACCTCATCGACATTGGTCGGGGTGACGCGCAAAACACGCAGGCCGTCGGAATGGACCTGCCTCGCAAGAACGCGACTTATTCCTCCGTCGACGCGTCCGCCATCCTGGACTCTGATCTACTGCTGGCTGGGGAGCTCATGCGGTCCGTCGATGAATACTACCGCCAGGGACTCATCGGGCCGACGGAAAGGATCACTACAACAAACGTTGCGCAGGTGTCCCAGGTCCTCGATAGCTTCTCCAGCGTGATCGGCAAGGTCGTGGTGACCTTTACGACTCCAGACACTCTCGTCAGGATGGTTCCCGCCGCCCCAACCGCCTCTTTCGACCCCGAGGCGTGCTATATCATCACCGGGGCCTTGGGCGGGCTGGGCCAGTCGCTGGTGCGATGGATGGGAGACCGCGGCGCAAGACACCTGGCCCTTCTTTCGAGACGCGACATCCACACCGTGCCAGAAGCCCAGAAACTGGCCCACTCGCTCGCCAGTCGCAACATCCACGTCGAATCGTTCGTGTGCGACGTGACCGACATGAACGCAGTAACGCACACCATCCAGAAGATCGCTTCTGTCCGTCCCGTCCGGGGCATCGTGCACGCAGCCGTGTCGTACCTAGACCTGACCTTCGACAAGCTCACCTCGTCGCGATGGAACGCCGGCCTCTCCGCCAAAGTCCAGGGCACCAAGAACCTGCACGCGGCCACGCTCTCCATGCCGCTGGACTTCTTCGTCATGACGACCTCGGCCCTGTCGATGTACGCATTCGCCACGCAGGGCGCGTACACCGCCGCCAACAATTTCCAAGATGCGTTCGCCCGCTACCGTCGCCGACTCGGCCTGCCCGCGTCGACCGCCTCGTTCAGCCTCATCCACGAGGTCACCGGCGTCGGCACCGACTCCGTAACGGTGGACCTATTCGAGCGCAATAAGACCCTGACGCTCGGCGAGTGCCAGTTCCTCGCCCTGCTTGGGCCCGCCTTCCTGGACAACAAGACAGACGTCCGCGCAGGCGCAGGCGCAGGCGCCGAGCAATGGACCGGTCAGCGCGCTGACCCGCTCTCCGCTGCGAACCTGCACACGTACCTGGACCCGGCCGCCATGATGGCCAGGAAGCAGGCGGACGGCGACGCGGCCTCGTCCACCATCCCGCAGTGGTACAGCGATGCGCGGGTCTCGCTCATGATGCGCGCGTTTGCCGACGCCCAGCGCGACGCGGCTTCTCTGTCCGGCGCTGCGGATGAAGGATCCAAGAAGACGGTCGCGGCTGTACGCCGCGAATTTGACGCGGCTGTCCGGACTGGCGCGGCCACGAGAGCAGACACGGTGGCGTTCGTGCAGGGCGCGATTGCGACGGCCGTGGCGGAGATGCTTTTTGTCGATGTACAGGCGATCGACCCAGCCAAGTCGGTGGCGGATCTCGGCGTCGACAGTTTGATCGCGGCCGAGTTGCGCAACTGGTTCCTCCAGGCGCTGGCGACGACGATCAGCATGTTGGACCTTCTGGACCCAGGTGTGAGCATCAGGTCTCGGGCGGAGAGTATCACCGAGAAGGCGCTGGCTGCGGTGGCTTAATGGCGTGGTTATATGTCGAGGGTGATTAGGGAGGTCCTGAACACCATTCTAGGGCTCTTTAGATATCAGAACAGGCAGGCAGGCGCTACACCTAAAGAGGCATACATTATATTTCTAGCGTCGGGTTGTAGATCTTCCAGCTAAATAAAACGAGACACGCACCTCGCTTGGATCATGTACACTCTGCACTGCACCGTCCATCCACCACCGCACAGCGATAACCTCCCTCTCCAACAACCACAACATCCTAACAACACAACCGCAACACAACATCCAGCGCAGCCGACTGCGTGAGCACCTGGCTCCCCGCCGGCGGCACCCCATCCTCCCACGTAATGCCCTTCCCCTCAGGCCCGCCAATACTGACCCGATGGCCCTTGAAAGCGTCACCAAAAACATCCGACAGGTCGTAGTAGACCAGGTCGCCGACCAGGCTGTATGCGAAGATGGTCTGCGGGGCGCCGGTATGCAGCCCGTCCGGGGTGGTGGTGATCTTGATGGCGACGCCGCCGGTGCTGGCGTCGGCGCGGAACTTCTCGGTGTACGCAGTGAACGGATGGAGGGCCTCCTCGGTGCTGACGGTGGACGCCACGGACCACAGGTAAACGGGGAATCTGCAGCCGTTGTCGACAACGGCGTTGCCGACGGTGGTGTTGTGTCTGGGCATGAGGGCTGGGGTGGCCAGCGCCAGAGATGCAGTGGAGAGGAGGGTGTAGAGGAAGTGCATTGTGATAGCGACGGGGTACTTGGTAGGTGATGGAGAAGTGGATGAGATGGGGACTCTGGAGCAGAGGGATTGATCTATCCATGGCGCATAGGGCCTTTTATAACCTCCAGCGCGAGCATTCGCATGCTGGTGCCTGTGCAACCGGCCCTCCCGGATAGATACGCCTCTGCAAGGAGCGGCATACCAGAACGCCCGCGGCTGGGCAGAGTCGCACCGGTGCAGTCATTGGTGCTCCAGCTGTATCCCACCGTCGATATGCTTGGAGGTTACATTGCCTCTCCGTGTCTAGACCCATGAGAAAATAACCTCGCGAGCGTTATTTCCCCGAGAATCTAGGGGGTGGTTGGTGATCCTGAAATGTGGATGCTCGCGATCTGATGCACGTTGTCCTATTTCTGGATCAGAAGAATGCGCATGTTGCTCAGGATAAGGGCGGAATCTTGTCTGCAACAAGATGGTCTCATAAAGTCGCATCCCGGTCGATGTGCATATGGGGTAGACGCAGGGGATCGTTTTATCTGGTCCCTGCAACGGGGAATTCCTCATTGGATCTCATCACATACCACCGCGAGGTATGTTCCGAACATCCACCCTCCGCGACGTGGTCGCCATGCGAAGACCTAGGAATACCTAGTACATACCAGGTTACCTCAAGGTTACAGAGGTGATCATAACACATGGCATCGTGGGATCGCCAAACAGACAGATGATATTTACACTTTATCACAGTAACCAAAAAGATATATACAAGAACAATATACACAGGTCTACTCCTTCATATACACCAGCATAACATCAAGCCCACCTTCTTGCAACTAAAAAGTCACAATCTCGGAAGTACCGAGCGGAACCTGGCCCTTGCGAGCCACCACCTGGATGTAAGGGGTCTTCAGGCTGCCCACGTCGGCGGATGTCTCGAAGCCGGCCCGAGAAACCGAGGTCACAAAGTTGTTGTTAGTCGAATCCGCCGAAGGAGCCGAGTAGATGGCCCAGTTATCATACTCGGTGGCACCGTTCCAGCTCATGTAGATGCGGGCAGAGTCGGACGAGGTGCGTTCCGCCACCACGGCCGGGCTCCAGAAGGGAGTGGCCTTCCACGGGCACTTGTAACCCCGGTACGACGCAACGGCGTTGTCGTCACCAAATTTGGCGGTCAGCACTTCGTTGTTGTTGGCGTCGAACTCCTTGACCTTGGCGATGGAACCGTAGCCCATGACGACGTGGTTGCTCTGCGGGCTCATGAGGTGATAGCTGCCCTGGCTGACGCTGTGGATCACATCATCCGAGTCGCTCAGCACGCGGATCGTGGTCGCGGTGCGGTTCACCTTGTTGACGGCGTAAGCCAGACCGGTGGTCGCGGCGACCTCATCCGTAGGGGTGTTGGCGTTGTTGAACAACGAAAGCACCATGCTGTCGTCGGTCTCGTTGTAGATGCGGATATCGTGCTGCCAGGAGAACACCCCGTTGTCATCGATCGCAAAGTCCCCGACGCCTTTCTCACCCTGTTATCGCATTAGTACACCGGGCCACACTGAGCGCGGATCAGAGAAACCTACGCTGAACTGCCACATGACGGAACCGTTGTTGTGGACGTAGAATCCCGACCAGTAGTGACGCAGAGAGATGATATAGCCGTCGTCCATGAGTTCCACCGAGTTGATATGATATGCGTCCCAGGGCGTCTCTTGCGTGCCCTGGTCGTCAGCCATACCCTGTTTGGATTTGGTGAGGGGGATCTCATCGAGGTGGTCGAGGGCGCTCCAGGAGTGGATGATCTCGTTGGTCGCGATGTCAATCTCGTAGAACATGCCGTTCAGCATGAAGTCATCCACTTTTCCACCGATAGGGGTCAAGTCATGCTGGGTCACGTTGTAGGCGGTCACCAGCAGGGTGTTGCGGTTGGTGACGTGGCTCTCGTGGAGATCGATGTAGGAGTCGCGAGCGACGTTGTCGGGCGAGACAAAGTTGTCCTGGAGGGTGACGGTGTAGATCTCGCGGTAGGTGTTGTCGAGAATGTGCACGGTGCCGTATCCGAAGCCCAGGTCCATCATGTTGCCGGCCCAGAAGGTGATGACGTCCTCGTTGAACAGCTTCTGGACCTTGAAGTTGGCGGTGACTTCGGTGGGACCCTGGTAGATGAGGTCGCCATTCTCGTCGTAGATCAACGCGGCCGTTCCATTGGCCTGGTTCCCGCGCGGTCCAACGAAGATGTATCCGGGATCGGTCTCGCCGGACTTGGTGACCTCGATAGCGGAGGCACCCACGGCCCGGTGGTGAAGGTCTTGAAGGGGAAGGTATCGGCGACGGCCTTGAAGCGAAAGCAACAGGGTACTGGCCGGAGGCGAGGAAGCGACGAGACATTGGGAGC